GATGAGGGTGAAGGCCATCTTGGGACTGTACAACGCGTCCTTGAGAGTGACCCTAGTGCGGTCTTTGCCATTTGGTAAGTCCAACACAACGTCTCCCTTGCCTATAGCGCTAATGGTGGATCCATCGGCCGTATGCACGTCCTGTGCCTCTATGGGGACATAGTTGACAAACTTGGACTGATCCGGACAGAAGTGAGATGTGGCGCCTGAATCAATGATGGCACTGTGTCGTTCTATGGGGATGTTCAGTTCCTTGGCTATGCTAGCCAAGTTGGACGTTGCAAACACGAAGTTCTCTGGTGGGGTAGGTTCGGAGGTCGCTGTGTTAGCTCCCTCCTTAGGCAAATGGCTACCTTTCTTCTGGCGTTGCTGATTCGGCCCTTGGCCCTCTTTGCCCCCTCCAGGTCTCCAACAGTCACTTTTATAGTGTCCTTTGCGTTCGCAGTTGAAACACGTTATGTCTGCGCCGGCTTGGTTCGTTCCTGAGGGCTTACGGCCCTTTCCAGGTCCGTTCTTGGCCATCAGTGCCGCGTTTGACCCTTTCTTGGAGGTACGACGGTCCGTGAGGAGATGATGCTCGTATTCCTCGCTGATGACGGTGATAAGTTCATTGGGGGTGAGTGCCTTCTGCGTGATCTTTGCAGTGGCATTAATGGAGGATAGGAGGGGTCTATAGGATTCGGGGAGCGAGCCGAGTAGGATCGCGTGAAAATCGTGATCCTCAATTGCCGAGCCCATGCCTGCCAGGGATTCGCGCAGTCTCAAGAGTTCCAAGAAGTGGGCTTTGACATCGCCATTCTCTTCGCACCTCAAGTCCTGCAGCCTGCAGCGGAGGTCAATCTGGACCAACTTGGTCTTACCCTCATGGATATTGCAGATTTCCTTCCAAATCTTCGAGGCATCTTCGAGCTTCTGAACGTGCAGTAAGAGACGATCTGTGATCGTGCTGAAGATTTGCTGCTTCACAAGTGAGTCCTTCTGCAAATATTCGTCTATTTTCTTCTCTATCTCCTCGATCTCCGCTGGCATAGGCGTCGAGCCATCTGGCTTCTTGACGGTGCTCGTCATCGGGTCGATACTATATCGTACTGGTCTCGTGGCATGGCCGTCTGCATGTCGCATCATACCTCTAGCACTGATCGCGGTCAACATCCATTCCTTGTAGGTAATCCAATTGCTGCCATCTTCAGCTAGCTTGGGGATGTTGAATAGCACGGAAGTGGTGCTGGGGAGCGAAGATTCCATGGCCGTGTCAGGGCTCATAACCTAAAGTGAGTTCAGGCGAGCGGCGCACGAAGCGGGAGCTAGTAGAATAAATATATCTCAGGCTCTATGAAAAGACCTCTAGTAAGAGCAGGTAAAGTACCTAGTAGAATAAATATCTAATGGTATGTTAGCTCTTTAGAATAACGTGAAAAATATATGAGACTTACATCTCAGGCTCTATGAAAAGACCTGAGATGTTCTAACGACTCGTTCGGTCCTTTATAGTACGGATAGGATAGATAAGTAAATGATAAGTAAATTGTCTGTTACTTAGAGATAGACATTCCAATATCGACGAGCCTCGGCCGACATCAATGCATTGCCTCGTCGTACTCACTGGTTGCGCTCGTACTGTTTCACTCTCATCTTCTATGGTCCATCTTCCGTTTCCTTCATCTCGTCGGATTCCAACAAAGCATGATGTAGAAATAGGAGTAGAGTTTCCAGCTGTTCGAGCCACCCTTATTGCTGACCCAGAACGCTGCTGACTGAAGGATACCAGTGATGTCAAAGGTAATAATCATGTAGGAAAAGGAGAAAGAGGAGATGACAATACTGTGTGTAGCAAGCTGAACATGTAATTTTTATGATCTAATATAGGGAACTGAGAGACGAGTAGGCATATGTTATATTGTCAAAATGTCTTAAAGTGAGCACCATGAACAGCTCTGTGACGATCTTGGATAAGTTTCCACCTTGCCAATCGATCATCCAGTCAAGAATACTTGGTTGAGTATCAACCGACAGCTGTTCATGCCACCTCAAATCTGCTGGCGCTATGGAGAATGTGACACAGCACACGTCACTAGAGTGCTTGAATATGGCAATGGTTTGTCAATCTGAGCAACGCCAAAGATGGACATGGTTGTTAAATGATGCAGAAGCGACAAGTGCGCTAGCAGGATGAATTGCAATGACATACACAAGGCGAGTATGTCCTTTCTATAGATCAATGGGTTCGAACCGGTCCGAACGGGTTCGCAACTGTCAAGCATCAGCCGAACCCCGAACCTCTGGAGAGGTTCAGTTCTGAGTCTTGACCAAATCTGGAACCAGACCGTGAGTCCGGTTCGGAAAGGTTCAGGTTCGAACCGGGGTTCGCAACCAGACTGCGGCAGCACTACTTTCAACGTTCAATCAAGACAAAAGTTACTCATACATCATGTTTCTTAGTCAATATCATATTGAATAATTCTTCTATCCAAGGGCTTCTGTTTCCCAAGCAGCAGTCGGGACTCCTGGCAGGAGTGACCATATTGACCAAATCAGCAATGAACTATGAATTATGCCATCAGCCTCAATGCGAAACCAGAAACACGACTCACTGTGCCGATGTGCCACTGAGGCTGCCAGTCCACAGACTAACTAATCATTACAGAACACAGCAAGAACCTATTGAAATTACATGGGGTGAGTAATGAATCCAGGATGCAAAACAAGCTACTACTCACACCCGTGACTATTAAACTACAATGCTTACTGCAGCACTCGTCGTCTTCGAGGCAAATTGAGCCTGTAGGCTTGCACTGCTTTTCCTCGTCGGCACTGACAGACATAGATGCTGTCAAAGCAGCAATGACAACGAGGAAGGAGAAACGCATTATTTGTGAGGCTATATGAGAGAATCTTTCTGAGGTGGGGAGGGACGTTGAAGACGACCTGTTTTTATATCTAGTGATGTGCATGGCCCGGCTTGGAATTCTGGAAAGCCAAAGCCGGCGACCTGAGCTGCGGCTCTGTATGGTTTGCAGAGGCGGCGAAACCGTTCCGAACCCTGAACCGATTATCATCACCATGATCAGTATTTCATTGCCAGTGAAAGCAAGAGTGAGATACCAGCGAGTCTGAGCAACGAGCCTTGTAAACGTCGCTGGCACAATTCCCCTTCAATCTTCGAACCACCTCGCCCACCGCCCATCAGATGGGTCTGTATTCAGCGTACTGGAGCTTGGGCGGGTTACTGGCCCTAGGTTGGTTCTGATTTTGTTGTATTGCATGGGGGCTGACAATGGGCTTCTACTGATATTTTTCTCCTTTGCCAGCTCACCCAAACCGTGCCGACCTCCCCATCCTGCCAAGTGGTCCGAGGAAGGCACGCACTATACGAATGCACTGATTGGGGTGCTAAGTGAAATGAACAAGAAAGTACCTTTGGTGCCAGGATCTCGGGAGCTTCCTTTGGCAAGACGTCCTTGGGTACTTCCCACTCTGAGATCATCTTATCATCGCCTCCGCTGAGGATGTGCTTTCCGTCCATGGAGACAGTGACGCAAAAAAGTGGGGCTGAATGCTGGAAGATAGCGATGGTTCGTCGATCGCAGTACCCGGGCCGGAACACTGGATTTATATGCTCATGTACACCGTTGGCGCGAGTTTACGCTGAGGTCAACCTCACAAACCTATATGCGTCAAGCACTCTGGCTCATGTCACGCCCTTCTGTCCATCCAGCCCATATGCTAGAAAAGCTTCATCCTCAACTCGTACGCAGCCAATTGAATGCAGACCCGGACTGGTAGAGACTATTACTTTTTCCTGATTCAGCATCTCCCATCTGTGATCTTATCCTTTGGGAATAAGGTGGGCTTGGCTATCGCCCTCCATGTTTTCATCACGTCTTGTTAACCTGTGAATACGCTATGATATGCATGAAGATAACAGAACTACGAGCACTACTGCAAAAGTTTTGTCACAACTCCTCGGTGCGCTAGTCAATCTGCAGACCCTCGCACTTGAGCTAAATATGGATCCGCTTTCTACAGACAGAATGTCTCCCTTTCAGTTGCCCCGCTTGCACTATCTGGCTATCAAATCGCAAATGACGGAACACTGGACTGCGGATTTTTTTCCGCAAGGTCCATATGCTTCATCTCCGAATATTGACCTTGGATGGAGTTGACTATGAACACCAGTTGACCGAGGTTGATTTCGAAGGCATCCTTCAAGGCTTGGCCAAGCTCACCCATTCTGTTCTCACGAAATATCCTCCTTTCTAGAGCTAGATGAATTCCATCTCGTTGATTTCGCACCTTGTGCAGATGGGCTCTTCCATCGCTTGTACAAACAGATGGCCAGTGTCAAGGTATTGACCCTGGGACCAAAAGGGTTGGATCAGAATCTTGCATTCGCAATGGCACTGCTCCCCACGCCCCACGGACTGGCGGAATTGCCTCTCCCTGGACTTCGGACCCTGTTCATTTTCGATGTTCCAAAAGACATCGTGCGGCGCATCGTACTAAAACGACTGTCGCTCGCTGGTCCATTGGAGGAGCTTTACTATCAAGAGGACTATGACGAGGATGATTATCTAGAGGGGCTATCTAGAGGAGGATGCGAGCGTCCCAAATAATTAGCAGCATCAAGTCAGGAATTACCACCATATCGCTGGTCGAAAGGTTGTCCGTTATTGCGATATAGTTGGCAGGCGGTGGTCATATTTAGCCTAGTACTTTATTCTCTGATCATGTGCGTATACACCAGCTTCCACTTCACTACTCAAACGTTCATATGTAAATTTAATGCAATTACACTGCAGAAATGTTGCATGAGCCTGATCTGTTACTAGTTTGCGATTGCGCAACAAACCAGATACTATAGCTGTGCATGAATGATACTTAAAATAAATCAACTCGAGCAGAACACATGACTTTCGTGTCTATAATAACTTTTCGCTTCAACTCCAAGAAGCTTGAAGTTTGTAAGTAGGACTTGGATGATCACAAAACTTACCAACGGTATGTCAGAATCGACGATAATCGTCGAACGCTCCGAAAGGGTAGGGATTATCAAGCTCAACCGACCTAGAGCGTATAATGCACTGTCCAGGACATTGATCAACGAGTTGTTGGATGCTTTGAGGTCATTCGAGAGCGACCCCAGGATAGGCGCCATTATCCTGACAGGCAATGAGAAAGGATTTTGTGGTCAGTTCTGAAAGCTCTCTATACAGATCCATTCTGATCTCAGGCAGCTGGTGCGGATATCAAGGAACAAAGTGAACTATCCTTCGTCAATGCATACAACCAAGACTATCTGAAGAATCTTAACGATGGATTCTTCGCCGTCCATAAGCCAATCATCGGAGTCATCAATGGCATTGCGGTGAGTCACCGATCACTCGAGGTTTATCTCGACTGACACAAACCCCCCAGCTGGGAGGTGGCTGTGAGTTAGCGATGATGTGTGACATTTTATACGCAGCAGAGATTGCGACGTTCGGGCAGCCAGAAATCACACTTGGAACCATCCCAGGGGCTGGAGGGACGCAACGCTTAATCAGGGCTATTGGAAAGTCAAAAGTAGTCGCCGCAAGATAAGGAGCCTACATCATTACTAATGGTTACTTGCTTAGGCGATGCACATGATATTGACGGGGGAGACGATTAGCGCAAAAGAAGCCGAAGCTGCGGGGCTTGTGGCCAAGGTCCTTCCCACAGAGCAGGTCTTTAATGCAGCTTTGGAGACAGGTACACAAAGTGCTTAGTTTCCTGGAGCGTGACTGACTTGGTTTCAACATTCGTTTAGCGGGCAAAATAGCGAGCTTTTCAGCACCCATAGTGGCAATAGCAAAGGAAGCGGTCAACGAAGGTGAATACACCACCTTTCATAGCTTACCATGCAGTATTGAACATCAACATCGACAGCCGAAGAACTGGGGCTGAAGAACGGGTTACATTTCGAAAGCAGACTTTACCACACGACTTTCGGGCTGGAGGATCATGCAGAAGGTTTCCAAGCATTCCTCGCCAGACCCAAGCGCGTAGCCCAGTGGACACACAAGTGACGCTCACCCGACGTGAGTTTTGTATGAGATGTATAAGCACCTTATCGTCGAGAATCAGATTGTACAATAGCTTGAATGATGGTATTATACAGTGCGGTGATGTAGCGAGTACTCAACGTAGATCATTTGAGCCAGGGTGTTGGATCGACAAGTTTATCTGAACCTTTGACGTTCAATTACAGACTTTTGTCTCGAGTCTCGCGAAACACGCCTGTGGCATGTGAGTAAACAAAGTAAAAACCGCAAGAACGCAACCTTACCAATAATACTCCATCACCTCGGCTTGACCGAGCTTGCGAAGGAAATTCTCGTCATGTGTGATGATGATCAACTGAAAGTTAGAATGATTCTTCCTCTCGTGGATGATGCTTCACAAAAGCTTAGCACTTCTTTGTGAAAGGGCCGTCGATGATTACTTACTCGACAAGACTCTCAGCGAGTGCATCGATGTTTTCCACATCAAGAGCGTTTGTTGGCTCATCCAGCGCAAGAATGCCACAGTTTTGGCCGAAAGAGTCAGAGAGGGCGAGACGGATAATAATCGAGGCTAGCATCTTCTGACCTGCGGAGCATCGTCCACGCATGTCCATCTCGACTTGATCTTTTGTCATAACAACCTGTTGAAAGCATGTCAGGAACATAGCATGTACCGCGGCAGTCAGCACCCACTCGGTAATTATAGGATCGTTTTGATGCGCCGCCCTCAACGTCAGAGCGGATCTTGATACCATCGATATCTAACAGCGATTGGCATTGGGCCATGACGATATCTAAGGGTACACACCAGTCCCTTGATACGTTTTATTCCAGAGATGACGCATGGTATCGTTCACTTCCTCCATCTTCAGACCGTGGTACTTCATAATGGCACTGGGAGAGACATGAAATGTAGGATTATAGGACCAGGGGTATGCAGCTTACTTGTCTAGGGCCTTGGCATATTTCTCCAGGTCATTGTTTGCCATGTCGGACATCTAAGCAGGTGTCAAATTTCTCGTTTTGCAAGTTGGAACCAGACCCAACTCACCTTGACCTTGACCAATTGCTCGGTATACCGTTTATTGATGTCTTTGAAGTCACGTAGATCCCTCTCTGTCATCTTGAGTTGTTCTTGGTGGGAACTGATTTCGCCTCCTATATGGGCATACTGCAGAACATGAGATGCTGGAACGAAATTGCGAAAGGTAACGAGCTCTTACCCTGCTCTGCATTTCCGTTTCCTTCTGTTTCTCAACCTGGTAACGGTCCTCAAAGTTCCGCTTCGCCTTTGCAGCCCCATCCATATCACAGGAGTCAATCTCGGCTTGCGTAGCTGCTATATCGCGAGCAAGCCTTCTGATACGGATATTCTCGCGCAGATTCACGACCAAACTGCCGCTCTCGCTGATCTCCCGGTCAATCTTAGCTACGACATCCCGGACGTTCTCAATATTAGTGACAAGATCCTTGATGCCCTGCTCGAATTGCTCTATCTTGTCGGCGCACTCAACAAGGAGACGGGCCCGCTTGTCACGAATATATCTGGCAGATGTCAATGGAAGATCTTACGTTGCAACACTTGAGCAATCACATACCGTTCTACGATTTTATTGAGGTTGTCAAGTTTGTCGACGTTCATGTTGAGTTCTTGTACGGAACGTTGAGCTTCGCGTATCTTTGCATCAAGGTTGACCATAGCCTGCTGATGCTCGTGTTCAAGCGTATCGATGGGAGCTTGCGCCTCCGAAATCTTTGTGTCCAGTTCCTGTATTCATGAAGGCACAAGCAATGTTCAGCCTCTAATATCGTCTAGACGCTCAAGAACAAACCTTCAATTTCGAGTGCAAGGCTGCGATCTCGTTGGTCATTGTGACGATACGTTCCTCCATGATATCCTTGTCACGGATTTGATTAGAAAGCGTATTTTCTTTCTTTTCCATCGCATGGTGGTCACTCTCATTCGTCCGCAGCAATTGATTCTGGCGGTCACGCTCTGTCATGAGCGCTTGCCTTTCTCTCTCATTTGAACGTCTGTGAACGGTTAGCTGGAGGAGTGTTCGCCAGGATAGGGGTTGGACAGTACATCTCGTTAGAAAGGACATCAAGTTCGCTCTGCACATCATCACCAGTCTTGGCAATACCGGTAGCAGCAAGCTCCGCTTCCAAGTTTCTGATCTCAGCCTTGAGCCGCTCCGTCTCGCTCTGGTTACGTGACACGGTGGAGGCGGACTGCTTCAAGGAAGCAACTTCTTTCATGTCCTTCTTAAGATCTGTTAGCCTTTCAACAGCCTGTGTATAAGTGTAAGTAAGTTCCAAGAAGTTACAAGAGTATCTTGCCTGCTCTGCCTTCTCGCTATTGGACGGAAGATCTGCATCCAAAGCCTTGATTTGCTTCTCTAGTGTTGGAAGCTCGACAGTCCTGATGCGCTCCTTGGTTGCAAACACGGGCATAAGACCGTGGAGCTTCTTCAATTCACTTTCCCACTCGTCAATGACAGCTTTCTGAGCCTCAATAGCCTCGGGAGAATTTTTCTCGATTTGCTCCTTGAGCTGTATGCACAATAGTTAAAGTGGTTAAGAACTCTTGTGAAAGCACATACATATTTCTCGAAAACGAGCATATCCTTGGCATCTAGGCCGCGGTTGCAGGCAGTGCAGACTTTTTTCGCCTGTCCTGCTTTCAGAATTTGCTCATAGACTTGACCCATGCCCGCTTTGCTGCTGCTCTCGCTGTGATAGACATCAGCAACCATCTAGAAAGAATGCATCAGAACGCATACTTCTTGTGGTAGCTGAGCTCCCTCTGCGCGGACGGGAGGGCGACCTCGAAAGGAATCCCTCCTTCAATATCGTCCTTGAGCTTCTTCTCCAATTCTACAACCTGGTTAGTGCGAGACGTCCATTCACTATACGCGAGTGCTTACTTTTCATTTCGTCACGCTTGCTCTTCATCTCGGATTTTGCGTGCGATAAGGTTGTCTCTGCTTGCTGGAGTTCTTTATTCGCGGCGGCAGCCTCGGCCTCTGCGCCAGCGAGCTCCTCCTCTTTCTCTCTACAACAATTTATCGTTAATCAGGTTTTGATCATCGAATGCGAAGCTACCTCGAGAGACGGTCAATATCACGCTCCATTGTTTCTGCTCTTGCATCTTTGCCTATTAACTTCCGAAATTTGACGTTGCACAACTCAAGGCTATGAAAAATCGTCAGGAGGCAAAAGACGTTCAACGAGGAACTCACATGTTCTTGGTATCTGATGTCTTACTCCGCATCTCTGCCCGCTTGAGGTCCAAGCGAGCCCTTGACTCCGCCTGCAAGCTCAGGCTGCGAAGTTCCAGGTTCAGGGCGTCGCGTTGGTCTTCCATACTCCGTGCCTTTGCGGCCTTCGCACTCAGGCGCTCATCGAAGTTCCCAGATTGGATATCCGCCTTGATCTTCTCAACACGCGATTTCTTCTCCTCGATATCACCAGCAAGAGTGCGGAGCTCAGATGCGAGACCCTGCATGGTCTCAACTGATGATTCAGCTTTGGTAACAGCGGCTTGGCGCTCTTTCTGTGATGAGGAAGAGTGTGAATGCATGTGCGAAAATCACATAGGCATAGGACGTCAACATACGATTTGTTCGCGTGCATTTCCTCGCTGCATCCGAAGACTTTCTAGCTCGGTGTGCAGCAGCCGTAACTTGCGGCTGTGTTCGTCATTCTTGTTGTTCCTTCCAGTCTGTGGTTGTTAGTGGTGTGAAGGTCGTCAAGCTCGCTAGGCTAGCGCACCTGCAGCTTCTCATATTCAGACCTTTGTCGACGTTGGAGATCCCCGAGTCGGGAGACAAACTCAATCACTTTCTCGCGTTCGAGAGGACAGTGGTTGTAGCCCTTGATATTGTTCTTGTCACTGATGTCACGGATGAGTTCCTCGCGTTCGGAAATGCGACGGTCATGCGCCTAAGGACCGTGTTACAAACCAATGCACAAACAAGTCAAATGGGTACCTTGGCCTCTGCAGCAAGTTCGCCGTGTTCGTTAATCAGCTCCACGTGCGATCTTCGCGTGTTTGCAAGTTCATCTTCAAGATCTTGTCGTTCCACCTCGCGTCTGTTGCGAGCTATTTTTTCCCTCTCAATGTTCTGGTCAAAGTTGCGTAAGCGCTCCTGAAGCTCCTCATCAGTGCCTATGTGCACTCAGTTTCAGCGACCCGTGTGCAACCCAGGACCTGAAAAGTTACCTCCAACTTCCTGCACGCTCTCCTTCGCATCCGAAAGCTCTTGTCGATAATGTTCCTTCTTTTGTTGCAGATTCTCCACCTTGACGTATAACTCGCGGAACTTGGTGGCGGACTCGTAGAAGCGTGCATTGTTCTTGACAAGTTCCTCGTACTGTTTCTTGGTCTCTTCGTACTGCAATTGCTTCCCGGTAACGGTCGCGTTCAGTTCGCTAATACGGCCACGGAGCTTGTCGGCATGCGCTTTCTCTTTCGCAAGAGATTCCAAACGTTCTTTGTCCGCTTTAAGGTCGGCAACGCGATCTTTACGCAGCGACTTGATAGAGTCAAGTGCCTTGGTATAACTGGTTCATATCTTAGCCGGAATGACATTCCATTCAACAACAGAAAAGCTCACCGCGTGGCCTCGAAGATATCGTCAAATTTCTTCTTAAGTGCAGAAGGCTCGGCAAGGGGCCAATACGAATCCTCCTGATGACAGAAAATTACATTCTCCAGAACAGACTTTGATACCCCAAGGAGATGGGGTATTTCTGTGTCTATCTCAGCGCACTTCGTGGAAATAGCTCCCCTCTGGTGCAAGTAAGGATGTCAGACAAGTCCAAGATGCAAGTACTTCTGACCCACCTTGCCACCCTTTTCGATATTGCTATCCGCAAGCGCAAGAATGTTCTCGAGGGTCTTCATAGTCAAGCCAGTCTTCTTGACTGTGACTGAGAGGTTCCTAACGACAAGCATCCGTGTCCCATTTGCAGCATGAAAACGTAACTTGACTTGAGCTTTGACTTCCTTCTCATTCGCCATCTTCGGGTCGTGGACGAACGCGCCACCTCGAGTGTTGGGAGGCTGGTCGCCCGTCGTCGCGTATTTCAGACACTCAATGACAGTTGTTTTTCCACTTCCATTGTGTCCGACTATGACGGTGACTGGGGAGAAAAATTCAATGACAGATATTTGCTTGTCGTCGAAGGAACGAATGCCCCGGATTGCAAGCTTATTGAGACTTGCCATTAGCCACGAGGAGTTCGGTGAGGCTTCTGCTTCGAGTAGAAATTTGCGCTTGAAGGAGTTCAAAAAAAGAGCCACTGGTCGGAGATGGAGCTCGGTGGTCAAGGAATGGTTTTCTGCTGTTCTGCTGTCGCAGCCTCAGGGGATTAATCTGAGTCTTGAGAAAAGCGCGTGTCACCGTCACGACCGCGAGTTGTCACATTCATTGTAGCACGTGACAGAATCGCGTCACACAGTGGCGCTCTACACTAGTGCTCACTTGAAGAGATCTTTACTAGTGATATGTACATGGCAGTTGTACATACGGTTACACTCATAGTACTCTTCCAAACGTTAGCCGAATGACATTGCCTTCACTAGTGGATATATTCTACAGGGTCTGGGAATCTTTAATGAATGATACTCTGGGGAGTAAACTTGCAAGCTGTATGCATCCCGGAAAGAAAACGGAACATCCTGGTAAAGGATTTCAACAGATCTCGCAGGTATATCATCATTTACATATACGCACTGATAAGCACCGACAGCACACGCAATTGGAAGGATTACTTCCTCTTCGCCATTTGCATGGTTAGGTTGTCAATGTACATCTGCAGCGTCGAATTCCCAGCCGAGAGTTTATCGACGTCCGCCTGGACGCCGTGCACTCGTGCAACAAGTGCTGGAGATCCGATGAATTGGCAACTGCGTAAACTGATATTGAAGAAGCAAGAACCTTGCAAATCACCCTGTGCAGCTGTAATCTCTCTGTATGGGTGATCAGCAGGTTGTAGCCGGAACAATTAGAAGGAAACTGACTTAAGAACTTGCTCCTTCCGTATAGCGTCCTTGACTATGTCGCCAGGTTGCTGCTTGGGCTCGCCCCAGGCAATGGCCGATTCAAAATCATTGAACGACATGGCGTGCCTTCACCAATCCTCTCAGCCAAATCCTAGCCTCCCTACGTAGGTAAGCTGAGTCAAGCACTTGGAAGAAGAAGGTTGGAGTAAGGAAGACATGTCGTGGAAATGATCCGATCGGATAGCTGCCTAATCGAGAAACAATAGCCCCTACTGACATGTCACTCGCAGTTCCGTAGGCAAGGAGACGGTCGAATGTATGATTCGGCGAGTAGCTCATCAATCTAACTCATGTCCGAGAGCCTTATCTACACCAGGTATCTAAAACCAATAGGGTCTCGAAGCTCCGTAATATCCTTCGCATCTCGCTCGTACCTCTCGATTGCTTCAAAAACTAGTTAGACGGTGGTTAGCAATTTGTTGTTTCCGAGGAGACAATCATTGATTGAGCCGGGATCATATTCTAAAAACGTGTCGCTGAGGACGCTCTAAATTGACTGTCAATTTCCAAGTCTTTCTGGCCAAGGCTCACACTTGACGTTGACAATCTCAAATCTGCAGCCACCACGGGTCTCCGAAGTAAATCCCGTCTTTCTCAGCCTTTGTGGCATTTCCTGGTGGTTGTCATCAATGACGTAACACCACAGGTAACCACCATGGAACGCAACAAAGTTATATGCCCCCCGACGGATTACCTCGTGTCTGGGCAGCCTCGACAAAAATAGTGTCCGTCGAGCGGCCTGGGGATGGGTATTGTCACCATCTAAACATATAAGGTCAATATACAATGTTTGTCACCCGACTGGAGAGTTCATACATGATGGCTGTACAGGGTACACCGCTAGCAAACATGCTGCAAGTTCGAAATTAAACTGGGTGCAAGAAAGGTGTGAAGTGGAGAGGAAGTGCGACACACCCTGTAGGATGAATCATCGATGTACTAGTAGTCAGCCACTGTAACAGACCCGGACACTTCTTCTACATAACACTTCAGCGGTGAAGCGAACAAGACGCATGGGACGGACCTTGAAAGATGACTTAAATGGAACTGGTGCCCAACTTTCCTCGGCTCCAAATCAAACTCCCACTTTCCCAGCTTGCGGTTTTGCTCTGGCTTGTGATTCAAGCACTGAGTTGGTTTGAACCGTGCTTCTCGTGAGTGATACTCTTGGCCCTAGGCAAAGCTAATCGATATGTTACACCAGTGACTTCGAATAAAGATTTCTCGGATAGCGCCGCCGCAGTACCTGGAGTACGGTATCGATAAGCCGACTTGTGGGTCAGGACTGAATTCTCGTGAGTAGTCTGAGATCTCGTGAGCAATGTCTCGTGTGCCTGTATTGATAAGAATGAAACAGTCAACTCCCCAGCAAATTTTTCCGTTGCCGGATAAACCGTTCTGATTCAAAGATCCCGGGAAGCTTATCTCACATCCATAGTTCACGATCTACCGAAGTCAAGACCCCGAGCGCGGACCATGTCTTCCTCGGCCGATGAAATGCAAGAGACGCCAAGTATCACGCCCCGCCAGATGATGCGAGGCCATACCAACTGGGTACGAGGTGTTGTGCACCTGCCCGGCGGACAACGTACCGTCACATGTTCAAACGACGGCTCGCTCCGAGTATGGGACATAGAGAGCGGCACACAGATAGGCAACGACTGGCGAGACGAAAGGGACGAGGCAGCAGTGTACGCCATGGCATTGTCTCCAAACGGTAAGATCGTTGCAAGCGGCAGCGTTGATGGGACAGTGAGGTTGTGGGACATCGAGACGGGAAAGGTCAGGGCCAAATGGACAGAGCACCCTGGGGGCGTGCACGCAGTGTGCTGGAGTGCAGATAGTGGCCGAGTGGTGAGCGGATCTGAGGATGGGACGATACTAGTGTGGGACATCGAGAGTGGCGTAATCATTCTGGGCCCAATCGAGACCGACCACCAGAATGTGTGGGCAGTGATCTACTCGCCCGATGGGGCCAGGATTGCGACGGGTGGACACAACGAGGATGCAGTACAAATCTGGGACGCCGAGACCGGCGAGCTGCTCGACACACTCAAACACAATTGGATAGTTTGTAGCGTGGCATGGACGTCGGACGGCAAGAAGCTTGTCACCGGGTCGTATTGCTCAATTAGGATATTCGACACCGCGACTTCGCAGGAGATCGCCATCCTCGAGGGTCACACAGACTACATCAACGCCATCTCTTTGTTTCAGAACAACCGCCTCCTTGCAAGTGCATCAGATGATAACACAGCACGGCTGTGGAATCTCGACACGAACCTCCAAGTAGGTCATCCCCTCCAGCACGAAAAAGGTGTGAGATGCGCACCCTTTTCTGCTGACGGAACAGTGCTAGTTACTGGTTGCGAGGACGAGGGCGCATACGTGTGGGATGTCTATGCCATCCTCAGGGAAGCTGGCCTTCAAGACCTCCTGTCCTTTCCCAATGTGAGTGTAAATCTCATGGCTCTTCGGTAAAGACCACTAATTTCCCAAACCTGAAAAGTCGTTAATAGACGTGCGTAACATGTTTCTCGACCGTTTCGATGATCGTAACATCGATACTCTAGACCACGCAGCCTGAGGGCGATCAGCTACCGTCAGGCTTTGTCAACGAGACGCAAGACGGTGTTCATGTAGTTTTTAGTGACGAGCGGGACGGGACGCTAGTTGAAACAATGTAATCCCGTCTCTAGAAAGAACTCGGTATGTGGACGAGTCATGTACCTAGTTGAAACAATGTACTACATGCTCATCAGATCAATGTATGATAAGGAAAAACAAAATGGGGGCTCACATCTCAGTCTCTAGAAAGAACTGAGGTGTTCGTACGAGTTTTATACTATGTTAGCATAGAGACAGAAAATATATGTAACGCAGAGGGTGGGACACCATAATATGGACGAGTACCAGCCGATACGTCGCTGGCTCGTACTTCTTTTGGTTACGCTCGTATCCTATCCCTCTCTCGTCTCGGACGTCTCGGACTGACTCCGACAGTTCATGTGTGTCGTCAGTGTTTTTTTAATTAGTTCTCGTTCTGACCTGTCTTCTCAGTCCTCCGCGACGCGCAGCATCCATTCCCGTTCCTCTGTGCATGGCTCCAGAGCCCCCGCACCGCACCCCCCCCCCCCCCCTGGGGAGTCCGCGCACGTTTATCAACCGCCTTTCGTCGCTTTTCTGTCGCTCTGACTCCAATACCGATGGAGCAACTGAACTCCAGGATCGCTCAAGGCGAAGTCTCTACCAATCACAAAGCCAGTCATCATCGCAAATCGAACCTGCCGTGGCCTCGACGTCCGCGACACCTTCTGCTCCAGACACTAGCAATACCACGCCAGGTCCAGCAGGCACACAGTCACGGCCTCTCCCCTTGTGGGCTCGTTTCATGCATTTTCTCTGCTGTGCATCTCCACAGCCCGATGGTCATTATACAGAGGTAGCACATGGTCAACTATGTCATCTTTTCTTGTTGTTCGTTAGCACTGTTATCTATTTGTCAATGCTTTCTCTACTCTATTGATACTGTCTATTTAGAGAGGAGGATCTTCTACTTCCAGGATCTCCGGGTTGGTTTCAACGTTTTAGTATGAAGCGACCTAGTTTATGCTGACGAGTATGTCACATAGCTAACTAAAGTATTCTCTGTACCCTAACCGCGTATCCGAGAGTCACATCAATCATCGTCTATACCAGATACCTGAAACCAATAGGGTCTCGAAGCTCCTTAACATCCTTTGCATCCCGCTCGTTCCTCTCAATCTGCACATTCTGATGCTTCAAATACAAATGCATCATACCAAACATGCTCGTCGACATCGCAATTGCAGCGATGCAAATGATGGAGGAATAACGATATGTCGGGCCCCAGTTGGACGGCCAGATGTACCTGTGAGACACGTGCCATTGGGGATAATCAACGATATTGAGACGGCAATGTCACTCACGATCCAGCGATACTGCCCAACTGCCCCAGCGCGCTAATCAAAGCAATAGCAACGGCTCGTTTCGCGGGTTCTCTGTCGAAAGTGTTGCTGATCCACCCCCAAAGCACCATATATCCGCCGATGATTTGAGCCATCAAGAACCTGTACGTCTCTGAGTATAACAGGCGGCGCTTGATGAGCGATGGTACCGCTTACAGAGAAATATAGCGCGCAACCGTGTTCATCGTACAGATAGACACGATGAATCCAAGGGAGCCAAGTCCATTGCAGGCAGCGAGGTATCTATAACGCTTTTGCTTCTTGTCAGAGTGCCTGATTGTCTGTGAGACGCGTTTTGCGATAGAAATGATTCCCCGACCTCACAATAAAAAATGCAGCTATCGCGGCGAATGCCCACGGAGGAGCACAGAGCAATAAGGTTACCGTCGTTCCATATCCCATGGTCGCGGCGATCGTCGGAAAGTAACTGGCGAATGACAGCACTGCGTACTGGAAAGTGATCCCGCCTGTCACCCACCACACCTTCCAGTCAGACACAGCATCTCGCAGTCCTTGGATGGTTGTCTGTTTCCCAAGCTCCTCAGCCGTACCATATCTATCTTCTGCAAGGCGAGAAATGGCAAGTGCTCTTTCCTCTGGAGTGAGCCACCTGGTGTTGTGTGGGAAATCAGGGAGTATGAAAATCGCGAAAATTGCGACGATGATGGTAATGCCACCCTCGATGTAAAATAACCACCTAGAGATTATTCAGCCTTCGCCGAGTAAAGTAAATGATCGTTTCTTGCCTCCATGCAGCTTGACCAAGTTTTCCCTCCATGCTGCTAAGTATCCCAGATGCAATCAGAGATCCGAAAGCGAAGCTGAGTATACTTCCACAAGAAACGAGACCTGTTCTCATGGCGATCTCGTCTCGTTTATACCATCTAGATACAAGAAACAGAACACCAGGAAAAAAAGGCGCTTCGACGAAGCCAAGAAAGAAACGGACGACAAGGACCCCCGTATAACTTGTGTCGAACTATCAGAGACTAGAATGGTGCAAAACGAGAATGGGTACTAGTACTTTGTTGTGATCCCTGGGCACGATCAGCAGTCATCTTCATGAACGACCAGTGTTGACAAACCAGTTAATACTGATATCATACCCCATACCGCCATACAAGAAGGAATGAGGATAGCAGGCCTCCCCAGCCGGTGTAGAAGCATATTCCTGGAAGAAAATCAAGTTGACCCGTCCCTCAATGATGGACGCAAGTCAACTCACCCTGGCACTTGCATGATAATGTATCCCACATATAGGATGGACAAGACCGTGGCATATTGTTCCCCATGCAGGTGCAGGTCTTTCTCAAAACCTTGTAACCGAGCATTGCTGTGAACGTCATGAGATTAAAGCAAATATCACAATACGTCACACACTTAACATTCGTCCTGTCGATCTAATCACGGGTGTACAGTAAGCACCAGGTTATACACGATAGAGATGAGAGTTCGCTGAAATGCTTAGACTCACAAAGTTCAGGGTATAAATAACGACGATCACGGACATGCGCAAATCAAGCTTCCTCACTAATCTCCTCTCAAGGCCGTCACGGGCATGACAGGGTACGGTGGGCAAGTCGTCGATTGCATCGGTGGTATCGACCCTTTTTTCATCCATGCGAGCTGACATCGTTAGGGGGGAAAGAGCAGCGGAAGAGCTTATATATCTTCTTGGCGACACTCAGGTGAGAAGAATGATAGAGCCATTGTGCCATGGATCATCCGACATGTCATCAATTCATATTGACAGCACATCGATGGACGATGATGTGAATGCTGCTTTGTTCCTAGTTTGTGTAATACTAGCGATGAGCCGGGTGCTGTTGTGAGGAAAGTTCAGTAGTTCTGCCAATTGGTTACCCAGAACAGTTGTTCCGCAGGTCCGAGGATGACGGCAGAAACTTTACAGCACGATGGTAGGCAGTATCCGGCAGAAACTTGGGGTCAACGGATGAACTCTTCAGAGGGAGACGACAAATCCTGAAGTTTTTGCCTACAACAATTAAACCCACGAGAGCCCGCGTCACTTCCAACTGCAGCTTATCAGTTCTGTGAAATTGAGAATCAAAGACATGTTGAGCTTCATTCGGGTGCATACGTGGCAAACTGATATAAATTTAGCCAATGATCCACCCGCATGTTGGCAGAAATTTGAATTTGACTAGCCAGCGGCCACTTCACGACCTCCGAGTCTGGTTGCATCCTGCGATAGATAAGTGGTATTGAAAGGACGCGACTCGCCATCAGACATAGCAGATCTATGAGACGCAACACCTGAGATCACAGCTTGAGCGAGTTGGACACTCCTTGTGGCACTACTGGTGACCATGAGGAGCTGTCCTGTCAATATTAAGACACTCGATGAGTCAAAAGCAGTGTGAATTTCTGATTAGATTATACTAGTAGAGTATGACGTACGGTCTGTGTAATCGCATGCATTTGATGCCTTGTCATGATCTTCGCACCGCGTTCCTTTTCATACGATATCGACCTTAATATAGGATTATTGGTAACCTCCCCGACTGAGCTCAGTGGTTCCTATCGTAGACGGATCTTTCATCACTCGCCCTCAGTAGACCCTGCTGGAGCTGGAGAGCTAGCTGACGAAGCTATCAAGGCATTCAAAGCGGCATAGAATGATCATGAGAGAAGAGTGACAAATTGTGTACAATTACCTTGAATGTGAAGTCATGCGATGGCCACCGGTTATCTGAGTCGTTCAGAAATCTTGTTCCTTGTGCCGAATAAGATAGGGAAGCGATAAGTTGGAAGACTATCATGATCAGTGTGGGACCACAGCACAAGTCCATGTTGGTCCAGGCCACGAGCGTGTGGGGTACCAGCACCGAACTTTCGAAGGTGATAAGGGAGGGGTCTACATCAAATATGAGTGAGCAGGGCAGGATCCAGAACACAGCCCGCGGTGACGGCATGCTGTACCAAATGAAAACATGGAAGACATCAAGTTCGAAAGTAGACTGGTTGCAAGAAACATGTGAACTGGAGAGGAAGTGCGGCATCCTATCGAACGCTTGTCACAACCAACTAGTCTCTTACGTATAGGAAAGTGCGCGTAGCGCCGGTCGCAGACCTGAGCGCTTCGTCTACACAGCACTTAAGCCGTGAAGCGAACACGAGGATAACACATGGGACGCACCTTAAAAGACCACTCGAACACGTGGGTGCCTAAATCCCTCGACTCTGAATTAAACGTCCACTGTCTCGGCTTATAGTTTATGCCTCTTGCTGGTGAGCGGAGAGTTGGTTCAAGTTGGTCTGAACGGGGCTTCTCGTGAGTGATACCCTTGGGTCTTATGTCAGGTGAAGCAGACCGATCGGTTAACAGCGACATTGGACTTCTGCAAAGTTCTGTTGCGAATTCTCGAACAACGCCATACATACAGTCCTAAAGTCGTCCTAATCCAGTAAGCACTAATTCAGAGATTCTGGCAGCTTCTCCCGCCTACGTAGTCCACGATATACCGGAGTTGAGCGCCAGCAATGTCTTCACCAGCGGCTGACACACAAGAGACGCCATAAATCACGTCACACCACAGGGAAGGTCATCGCCAAATGGACAGGCCACAGCAAACGTTTGCGGACAGCGTGCTGGAGTGCGGATGGTGAGCGTGTCGTGAGCGGATCCTACAACGGGACGATAAAAATGTGGAATGTCAACCGGTACGCGGTGATGTTGTCGCCCGATGCAAACCAAAATTGGGATGAGCGGAATATTGATCATTTGAAGTCCGACCTAATCGGCAAGTTCCGTTTATTGGTTTACTTGGCAGTTCGATCGCATCCACCCTACTAGGCAAGGAGATGGTCATTTAACTTGTGCATAGCTGACCTAACTGCGTGTCCGAATCACATTGCATCTAACAAAATCGTGTCCCGACGAAATTCTCTAATATCCTTCACATTGAATCCTGGTCATGCCTCATTCAATTGCTTCAAATCTAAATGCATCCCAGCATGCCTGTCGATGTACTGAGAGCAGCGATGCATCCTGTTCGTTCCTTCCAATGCGCTCATTCTGATGCTTCAAATACACTCCTACTCACAGATCCTGGAGTCATCTATTCCACGTTCTGTCCGTGGGTGGTACCCGGGTGACCCTCACCCGTGTCACATCCTAATGCCATCTTCAAAAAGCAGGCCTTGAAGACCTCCTGTCCATTCCTGATGCGAGTGTAAATCTCAGGTCTTTGCGGTATCATATCAACTACACTTAATATCCCACTCGCAGGTCGCAGTTGAAACCTCGTCAATGGAAGTACGTGACATGTTTCTGAAACATTTCGAGTGTAACATTGGCATTCTAGGGAGATGCAACACAGGCCAATGATGAACCGCCGCCACTCTTTTTCGATGAGGCGCGAGACGACGTTTATGTGTGTCGTCAGATTTTTTCACCCAGCTCTTGTTCTGACCCCTTGCTCTCAGTTCACTGCAGCACACAACATCCATCCCCATTACTCTGCTCGTTGCTGCTGTCATGCTCTCGCACCATCTTTTGTGAGTCTAAGTACGCTCACCGATCGCCTTTCATAGCTCGTCCGCCCCTCTCACTCCAACTCTGATGGAGCAACCGAACTTCAACAATGCCAAATGCAAACTCTCTTTTCTCGTCGTGATCCTAGTGTCGTTGAAGTTGCTGCAGTACGGGACAAATAGGTGTGCTTTCTTGGTTTGTGTTTCCAAAATACCGAAGTCTAATGATTTCTGTACAGGCATTGTTGTTGCTTGGCAGCCGGAAAAAGACAAGCCGAGGCCAGTGCAGAATCTGCAACACCAAGCCCGAGCGTCGACATTGCAAGCTCCCGTTGCCTCGACGTCCACAATACCTGCTCCTGCTGCTACCACGATGGGTACAACAGCTGCACAGTCACCTCCCACTATTGTCATCGCGAAACGCCCATGGTGGGCTCATGTCGTGCTATCTCTTTGCTGTGCATCTTCTCATCACACCTATGGTCATTAGTAGAGTAGGGACGCAGCACAGGACTACTCTCATCTTTGTGCCTAATCCATTATCTCGTTTATTTCACTACTCGTCAATTTATGTATCACAGCATTTTTTGCCCACCACTCGTCACACTTGCCTGGAGCAGTGATATCAATCAGTACATCTCAGATACTAACATCTAGACCTAGGCCTTCTAGGTGATTTTTTCCAGAGCACTTGGCGCCGCTACACCTACATAGTCCAACATACTTGGCAACAAATGAATCATTCACATCCTTCAGGAACGACACTCAGAGGTGCGGTCCGGGGAACGACATACACCAGATATGGACAGGTTGCATAACGGTGATGCGCCACTGGAGTGACGCCTGTCATGGTACACAGAGTATGGTTCACGCCGCCCTGCAGGACCGATGGCGGTGCTATCCCACACGACTAGGACACTGAGCCAGATCGATGTTTGCTTTGGGGACCAAGTTAGATGCTCGTGCAGGGGCGCAGAACATCACGCAAGACATGTACAATAACAGGGAACGTTCTGGGTGTATCCTCGTGGACGACAGTGTAGGTGAACAGCCTCGTGCCTTGTACCTTGAGCGTCCAATGAGACAAGTGTAGGCAATGCTGTGAAGTGGCATTATAAAACGTACCTCTACAACTTCGCCGTGCTCAACAATCGATCGTCACAAGAATGGCAGAAGAAGCAGCGCAGTCAATAGATCCAAGCACCACACCTATTCGAGCGTTTGAGGATCATGAAGAATTTGTACGAGCAGTCGCAGTGTTCCCCAATAGACCATGTATGGTGACGGGCTTACACAACGGAACGCTTCGCCTGTGGGACTTACAAGAGGGTGTTGTGTTGAAGAAGATGGAGGGGCATCGCGGGTTGGTGCAGGCAGTGGCAGTATCACGAGATGGGAAATCGATAGCAAGCGGTGATAAGGAGGGAAAGCTCATCGCCTGGCATGGGGACACTGGCGAATCTCTGACTCAATCCATCAACACCCATTCTGATCGCATCCGCTCGCTGGACTTTTCCCCAGATGGCGCAGTGATCGCGACTGGTTCATGGGACAAGACAACAAAGCTGTGGAGCACAGTAACCTGGCATCTGCAAGGACTTCCAATCGATTGTGGTACAGAAGTCTGGTGCGTTCGATATTCGCCATCTGGTGAATATCTTGCCATCGCGACATCTCGAAATATACAAATATGGAAGCCGGGCACGAGGGAGGGCATTACAACATTTGGGAGCCATGCATCTCATTACTCACTCGCGTGGACGCCTGATGGGACACGCCTTCTGTCAGGGGGCTCTATTTTTGATCCCACTATACGGGAGTGGGATACATCGACATGGAAGCAGGTCGGTGAGCCCTGGAAGGGCCATACAAGAGATATTAACACCATTGCTATAAACTCAACTGGCACACTCGTCGCATCTGCATCCGATGATAACCAAGCCCGCCTCTGGCAGCTCTCGCATCAACAAATCATCATCATATTCAACCACTCAAATCCAGTGTACGCTGTCTCCTTCTCTATGGATGGCAAGCACATTCTGAGCGGAGGAAATCATAAGAAAGTCTCGGAGTGGGCAATACCCGAGGAGGCATTGTCGGAAGATGCTCCTTCGGAACAGGTGTCACCCACAGTAAGTTCCCATTGATTTCACATCCATTTATTATCTCATTTCAAATTCAGACTAGCGCACCTGACGACCTGACTGTATGTCTAAGTTCTCTCTCTCAAACTCCGTTACTCATGTCCCCGCCGCGTCGTCGCCCAATGAATGTCTTCTTCATGCATTTGCTCCATTTCTTATTCATTTTACCTGCTGACAACCACGCAGATGGAGATCCCTGGCCAAGATGAAGATGACTACATGCAAGATACATCACCTGATTTCTTTGGGGGAACATATGATGTAAGTGCACCAGCGCATGTTTCATTCTGCCCTTACATTATTGGCCACAGTATTCTCGTCCCTCCCCGCCACGACCACGGCAGCGCCCAGGACTCTCCAAGAAACTGCTCGCTGCTGCTAGTACCCTTCTTTCAGCCCCCACACGACGAAAAACAAACACTGATCAAGCAACCGAACTCAAGCACCGTCTGAGGCAGAGTATCTTCTCTCGTCACAGTCCTCGCATCGTCGAAGTTGCTACAGTACGGGACAAGAAGGTATGTTTTTCAGTTGCAATTCTTGTCACCGGGGTTCCATTATTTCTGTCGTGCAGCCATTAGTTGTTGCTTGGCGACCGAAACGAAACAATGGGACACCAGCACAGCAGCTGCAACACCAAGCCCAGGCGTCGACATCACAAGCTCCAGCTGCCTCGAAATCCACGACGGGTAAAACAGCCATACAGTCACCCACTATCGTCATCACGAAACGCCCATGGTGGGCTCATGTTGTGCTATTTCTTTGCTGTGCATATTCACATAACACCCATGGTCATTAGGAGAAACCACCTATGTTTCCCACATTACCTAGTTAGTCAACTGGCCCTATGGTAATCTTAGTCACACTTAATTAAGCTTAAACATGATTGTATGGAGCACCGCCGGTGCACACCAGCAGTGCTCTATAGGCCTTTACTTGTATTCTTTTCATAGGGAGCACCGCCGGTGCACACCCGCGGTGCTTGGGTTCCTCCATTACCTGTTTTGGCAACTCCACTGCCTCCCATAATGGGCACAACGCCGCCACCTCTCTGCTCGTCGTCAACAACAGTGAGCTCGTATCCTTATGATTGTTCTTCCTTTATTCTATAGTATTATTTTATTTCATTACACACTCTCATTGGAATCTACACCTTCTCTATACACTACCATGACCTCGTACATTCTTACAGCAAGGAGGTACGTGGGAATTGTACTTCCCACCTCTTACACCACACTGACTTGCAGTTTCGCAACGACAGCAACAACACCGACAATGACGAGGAATATGACACGTCATTCTGTAGGTGGCATGTCAAGAAAGTGTACCATCTATGTTGGGGGAACCAAACCTCAAAACCAATGTGCGGGCACCATTCAAAAACGTCAACAAGAGGCCCATGCACTCTGAGCATCACTTCTCAAAAGTAGGACTTGCTACACCACTGATTCTGTACTAATGGTATGTTCTAGAGATGTCTTTGAGGGAACGCGAGCGGTTGTTGAGTGCCGAAAACCAGCAGTCCATCACGGATACCTCTACCTCACCAGATGGACATGACCTTGCCTCCTACACCATGGAAGTCGACACTATGTTTCCTCCTCCTGGGGAAGAGGGTTTTTCATTTAGTCATGGAGCAGAAGAGATATTGTTGTATGCGGACCTGGAGCAAATCACAACTGAACGCACAACATATGTTAACTTCATCTCTCTCTATATCGTTCTCTCACTATCCTCACTTCAACGTATTGCAGACACCTCGACTTGCGCAACCGCAGTGATTGTGTAGCCCAGCAGCTTGCTGACTGGTCTACCCAATACGATAACCTTACAGATGCGCTTCTTCACTACCGTCACCATCATCAAACAATGGCGCCTTCCCCTGCGATTGATAGTTCATTCTCAATGGAGGTCATTGATATTTTTGGTGAGTCAAAGACTCTGAGCTCATCATTTCGTATTTTTCATGTAGCGTAGATTGCAGCACCCACACTTTCAATCATGCCTCGCCTTTCATCAATGCCACCTTACTTCAACATGGCTGCATTGGCAGTTCTCCCCTTCATCCTACAGTTGCTATTACAATTCACACCCTTGATGTCTTCCGTCAGACCCACCGTGTGTGCCCATGTTACAGCATCAATGCAGAAGCGAAAAAGCTTGCCTTCCTTCACAATGTAAGTCCATTTGTCTCCTCAAAACTGATATTTACATAAACTAGGTGTGTTATCGGCGACAACTTGCCGAACAGCTATGAGTTGCCTATGACGTTTACCTTGAACTTGAGCAGCGTATCGAAAACCGTCTTCAAATTGCCCTTGGTCACTGTCATATACCGGATCCGAGCACCTCCAATACCACCTGTGAACATCCCCACCCCTGGTCCGACCCCCTGTTTCCCTGTCCACTCCATTCCTCCTTCCCCGACAATGCACGAAGTGCATCTCAGCAGGATTAGCCCTGCTACCTCCGCCCGACCCCATTCCGCTCCTCTGACACTACCCATATGTCCTCCGACACCATACCCCTTCCATCCAACCCTATCTGGGGTTCCGCTCCTCCGCCCTATTGATCTGCCCGACCCTACTCCTACTCCCTCTGCTTTTCTGACCTGCTTGGATCCTTCAGTTCCACTCGTATTGCCCTACCCGACTATTAGTCCGACCGCCTCACCAGTCCACTCCTAGACTAGGAACCACTCAACTGGTCCTATCCCCATTTAGTATCATAGTTCCGCTTTTTGGATCACCGGTAATTCCTATACCCTAGCAATTCTGATCTGTCACATACATACTGTTCCCCGAGCCTTATTCTCATATGTCTCAGTCATCCTATTGTAATCCTGTACACTCAGCACATAGCCTTCTGCTATGCTATGCTCATCACTTAGAGTATATAAACATATGTACATTTGTCTGTAGATACTCAGTCTGAATATTACCTTTTCTAAGCCCTGCTCTTCTGTTCTCTGACTTGGGCCTGATCCTAGTCAACTCCTGTTAAAGCCGGCCTAGGGGATTGACTCCCTAGGCCGGCCATCCTCCGATCCTCCATTCCCCCGATCCTCTGTTCCCCCATTCCCCCATTCCCTCGTTCCCCTGCTCCCCCATTCCCCCATTCCTCTGCTCTTCCGACTCCCTGCACATCGACCGGCTTTCCCACTCATCAGAACTAAACCCCGCACTCTCGCATTTGTCCCCTCCGCTCTGCTCTGCTTCGGACTTAGTCAAAGCAGTCCCTTCCACTCTGCTTCTACTGTTGGTTCCGACCACAGTAGTCCCCTGCCTCCCTCCTGTCAGGCGGAACAACCCCTGCCCGACTTTCCCGCGCTCACCTAGTAGTCCGTTGGTCCTCCTTCAGAGGACCCCCGTTCCGACATCCTGTCGGAACTCATAGAACTTGTGTCAGACTACACTCTGAAATTAGGGGCATGTACTCGGGTAAGGGGCGCAGCGCATGAGCTGAAGCCAAGCCCCTCAGACTCCACTTTACCCCTGAGCATGGTCTTAACAGTCACAATACACCAAATTGGCGCATGCTCAACTTGTGTCCTGCTTGTCAGTACAAGGTGGTGGGTGAACCACCCCTCAAGTATTCAGTCCTATGTGCCCTTGATGGTAATAACTCAGCAAAGCTCATTGATCCAGCCATACACCATGGCAATGAGCGCTTTGGCCCAAGATGTGGCTTATCTTACATTTGGCTCACTGAAACTTATGTAGATCAGTTCAAGGACAAAGTTCAGCATGCACATCGCATGCAAAAACAACACGTCTTGCATGATCCAGATGACCCTTGGATAGATGAGCCTGACTCTGGAGACTCATCGGAGCTGAGCACTGTCTGTGTTGATTGCTGGCAAAATGCTGCCCCAGAGTCTCGTAAAAAAATGTTCGCCATCTTTAAGAAGTCTGGCATCTTTATTACTGTGTGTCGGCATGGCTTCTTACTCACAATATGCGATATGGTGTGAAGTGGGGAGCTGTTTGTCTTTTTTTTTTGTCTTTGGTGTCTATCTGTTTGTTAACCACTTATGCAGGATGAAGTATCCGATTGCCAGCATCAGGAAACTCATGGACATTTTCGGCGATAACATCCTATATGGCTACGACATCAAGTGTGCCTTTAAAAAAATTGTTATGCGGAGCTCACTAGCGGATGATGCCAAGCGACTCAACCTTCAGGGAGTAGTTCCCGCATTTCACGGACATGCTCACAACCGCCTCTGCCAAGTAGAACACCACTCGAAGTACAAAGTCGGTGCTGGCAAAGAGGACTTTGAGACTTGCGAGTGCATTTTTTCAGGCTCAAACGCTCTGGCTGGTAATATATGCAATGCAACAGACTTCCATCATCATCAAGCACTCGATGAGCATTTTCGGTTCCAAGATATGGATTGATATGCTGCACTATGTAAGTCATTCATTGTGGGAAGGACACTTGGCTAATGAATATCTAGCAGATTTCATCTATCACAATTACGTTCAATCGCTCAACCTTATCTCGACGACTACAAGCTTTATCATCAATTTCCGAGCGTCACACGCTGAGGCTACCACACCCTTCGAAGATGACCTTCAAGATGAATTTTTGTATCTTAAACATCTGGCACACAAGAAAGATGGGACCAGCACTGAAGTAGACTATGTGAAAGCTTTGATTGACTATGAGGAGGCCCAGTAAGTGTCTGTCTTTTTTTTCTACACACTATGAAACTTAATTATGTACAACAGGGCCAGTTATAAAGCGGCACAGGTGGAGTTTAGCAGGCTCGATCTGCACCCCGATTTTTCAGCAAAAGATGCTGCAATCACATGCCAGCGAGATCAGAAGCTCGAAGTTGTCATGGATTATGAATGGCAGATGGCATTGGAGGCGCAATGGGGAGAAGACCACCCTGAGTGCTTGAAGGCACAATCACGCATCATGCACCGTCTTTATCACAAGGCAGTTGATGATGTCGAGCGTTTGGTAGTTATGCATCTACTTGAGTTGACAAAATTGCAGATGAGCGGACTAGGTATGTTTTTGATTTAACCTCTGAATTTCTCGCTATTAATATTTATATATAGGTGTTAGGTACCATGCCGACTCAGGAAGCAGAGGGGTCGGGGCTTGGCTTCAGCTCTTGTGCTGTGCCCTTAGCTGAGTACGTGCCCCGAATTTGGAGCGGGTCCGACAGTAGGACGATTGGACCACTTTGGTCCGCTCTGAGGGTCGGGGAGTAAGAGCTACTAGCGGTGGGCCAACTAGGAGCAGAGCAGAGAAGGTGGGGAGTGATGCAGAGGGTGGATAGGAACAAGGGGAATTTTGGTAGGGTCAGGGAAGGCAGAGGATAATGCAGAGGGGCAAAGGAGGATATTTGATAGGGGTGGAGTAATAAGGGGAAGACTTAGAGCATGGCTCTAAGTCGGAGCGGAGGGTTGGAGGGTCGGAGGTGACAACAAGTTGAGACTTGTGTCCAGAGGAGGCAAGGTCCTACTGAGAATCCTCACAAGATATAACTGCGAGAAGACAAGTAATATTAAGACTGAGGAAAAATATCTAAGTACATGATATGTTATATACTACTATGTATGAGGCAGTGATCAGGATAACTATGTAGTAAAGCTATGTACCAAGGATATAGTTTGTAAGTATTTTACATAGGCGAAGACATAAGTCAGGGCGGATATCAATATGTACACATCGGATCAGTGATCGAGCAGTAATAGGAATTACCAGTCATCCGGAAGTAAGGGTCTATGTACCAATGGGGAAGGTATATATCTAAAAGGGGAAAGAGATCCAGTTGAATGGAGAGGTTATGGAAGGGGACCAGTTGAGCGGTTGAGCAGAAGCATAGGGCGGAATGCAGACTTGTGATTGGACAGAGTGGAGGATGGGTGGGGCGGAAGGGTTGGAAAGCGGAGCGGATATCAGTATCAGAGCGGTCGGATCAGGTATATGACAATAGGCTACAAACTGCGCACCCAGATCTCGACTGCACTGAAGAGTCGTGCAAATGCTGTCCGCAATGCTCTACAAAGGTACAATAAGTATGCTGCACAATTGGACCCTCCTCGTCCCTCGCTGCAGTGGGAACAAATTGTCGAATACTCTTTTCTAGCTGAATTTGACCTACTCCACAAAACAGTTGGCATGGTTCAAGCCAAACATTGGGTGAATCCTGCATACCATCATGCCTCCACTCAATACTTTGAGCAACAGTGTGCTTATGAAGAAATCTGTCAGCTTAAAATCGAGGTTGGACGTTTACTTACAAGAATCCGCGATGACGCCATCAACTATCCTCTCGCCATCTCCCACCTTACAATGGAGAATCCACCACTGGCATCTGAATTGTGCTGTCATTGGGCACACCTGCAAGCTGTCAATACAAAATTCAGCACCTCTCGGGGTACACTGGGCCTATGAGTGCTGGCGTGTACGAGGGTCGTATTGTGCCTCCCCAGTCCCCACCTTTCAATTATCAGCCTACATTGGGGGAGGAAACGGATGAGGGTGAGGGCCATAATGATGACCGGGACTTGGCGGAGCAGCAACTCGAGCAGATACATGACTATATTGAAGGACTTCATCATCATCTCATAGACTCAGAAATAGCCACATAGCTTTAGTGTTAGTTTTGTTCTCGAATCTCCATGAATATAATTGCGCTTTGCTTTATTGCGGGTCAACTAGTCTCAATGATCTCAAAGCAAGAATCACCCTTAGCTCAGTGGTCTTAGACTTGATGATGATGTGTTGGTTGCTTTGAAGATACGAAAGATATGATGTTTAACTTGCGGTGCTGTCTTTTCTTCAACTTGAAGGTTGCAGTAGCATGTACCTAGTGTTGATTTAATGCATGACTTGTGCACTGCAGCATGACTCATACACGAGTTGATCCATGAGTTGTATTACTTGTGTCGCATGCACTATCAATTATGTGCACATTGCACTCAGTCAATTATGTGCATTATAGTACCATCACCTACATAAACTGATCTGAGCCTCACAATTTCTACTCCACACACTCATCATGTCGTCCCAAGCCAGTACTTCAGCTTCAACTCAATTGAACAGATCACCTTCTGTGACCGGTCTGGAGGAAATGGTAACTATGATTCCCCTACCTCCAAGTCTAACCAGAATTACAGGACTTGGTGAACAACGGCCATCAGCAATCTTAACAATGCTCGCACATGGATTTCATGATGACAGAAAACACCTACAGTATGATGAAGAGGGATTCTGCACTGCAACTACAGACCACTACCGAATGGGCATCAGCAAATATCAAAAGGCATCTTCAGAAGAGAAGACGCAAAATTGGTGAGCACGCACTGCACATGTTGAGACAATCATGGCTTGTATATTTGATTTAGTGAGTATTTAATTAGGTGCACCATGCACATATTGATCCTATATGCAGTGCACTGTCCTCGACAGACTGACAGGTGGTTCAACCATCGTCATGCATCATCCAGGCGCCACGGCTCCAAATACACCCATCGTTCCTGAATCTCTCAAGGCCAATATCTACGTTAACCCCAAAGTCCTTCTTGAGCATCACGAGCTACATCCTGTGGTCGCCGAGATCACTCAACTCTTCCTTGCGAAATATGCAACTCCTCTTGCTCAAAGCTTCGCATCATCCTGCACTAAGAAAGGATGGAGATCAGGAAGTTCGCAAACTCCTGCTAAAGGCAAATGCAGGGCAGAGACTAGCCTATTGCTGCTTATTCCACTTCCAATCACCCCATCATCTTCACACTTCGTCTTTCCAGGCCGCCCAGATGGCTCACTGGCGGTCCTTTTGTCAACCAAGTCCCATATCTTATCTTACATTCCACACCACTATGATACTCAAATTATGTGGGTGGCGTCTCAGGTTGGTGTACAGAGCTCCGGCAATCACACTCATGACAGCACTGTCAACATTTCTGCTAATGACACTGACAATGTGACACCCATTACACCAGTGAAAAAGTCCAAAGTGCACTCGTTTCAGGGAATGATCAAGGTAAGAAGGATTTCTTTTAATGATGAAATGACTAATGCTCAGTGTAGGATACTCCCGTCACCATGGTCGAGTCTTTGAGTGACTCTGACACTCACCCATCTTCACTGTGGACTTATCCTCATGTTACATTCTCAACCCAGAAGGGTAAGGATGTTTGAGCAGTACCATTGGCTCTACCCACCAGTATGTTTGCATCTACGCCCATGAGCTATATTACCCGTCAGGCGTCTTCGGCCCCATTGTCAAATAATTCGGTCATCATCCCTTTTGGTAGCGAGACTATGACTATCTTGGAAAGCCTGGGATATCCAGACAACTTTCACCGACTTTGTCACCAGATCTGTGATCAGCATTTGATGAAGAGGTGGGTTGTCAAATTAAAGGAGGAGGCTAATATTTCTCAAGAAGATGCGGAGGCTATTGTGGATGCCATGTTGAAAGATTGCCAGGTCTAAATTTTGTAATTTGTTTTTGGTTTGGACGTTGATCCTGTATATATTTTCATACTAGGATTACTATGCAAGCTCGTGCCCCCCCCCCCCCCCCCCCAATTTGTTTGAACTCAATGCTGCCAGATTTATGATGAACCGGCCCCACAACCCTCATCAACTCATCTCTCGTGCACGTCGACCCCAGGTCAAGATGTCTAAGGAAGTACGTCAGCAGTTAATGCAATGCAGGCACACCAAGCGCCTTGACGAAGAACAAGAAATTCAAGCCATTCTCAACTACATTAATGTGAAGGCCACTGAATTGGCCTCGAAGTTCAAACAGCCACACCATCAGTATCTTGAATGCTTTTCACTTGGCTTGACGATTCACCAGTGCAAACACCACAAGACGAGTGCATGGCACACCTTTATGCACTTCAAAGGTCTAAAGAGTAATGAAGGTAGGCTACGTATTTCTAATATAATCCTCACGATGCTGACAAGACATGGGGAAGGCAAGGGCTTCAATGAGAAGTCGAATGTTGCAGACTTAGTCCAGCACACTGCAGAATACCATGACCTCACAGATGCAGATAAGGCAAAGCTTGTAGCCGAGTTTAACACCATCAAAAAAGGAGCTAGTAGCCATCCTCCAAACATAACCGCTCGGATGTGTGCGGCTGAATGTGGTTGTAGTTTTCAGTACGTCAAAGAAGAGGTGAGTCATGTTCAATTGTATTGTTAGATACTTGATCTCATATGTTCAGCTCGAGGCTCTCAAACTGCGTGTCGGTATTGAAGCGATGGTCTTCATGGTCCGAGGCATTTCAGATTTTACCATGGCGCCCAAAGCATTTTTTACAAGTCCTGCAGCCAAGCAATTTGTTCGCTTGTACTTGCGCAAGGACATTGCTCAGTTGGCTACTGACTTTGAAAGTACAATACTTGCCAGTGGTTTACTCTTGAGTGAGTGAGTATATTACCATGGTATAACATTTTCTAATGCCCATCTAGGCACATCCACCAATCACCATGATCGTGTGGCTAAGGCTAAAACAGCTATCAGAATGGGTCTTCGTGCCTTGCTATGTAAGGTTTTCTATTGATTACATTCGAAAATTGTGCTAACAAAAACAATACAGGCGAGGTAACTAATGACCTCTCCATGACAATGGAGTTCACACAGTATCACAACCTTGTCCGCTGTCATCAGGTCAAGCTCATTGGTTGGACTCACCCACAGTGGGCAAATCCATCAGATTTAAAGGGCGGCATAGAGGGCCTTGAGAATCTTGTGAGTGCCATTGAGAGTGGCACATGCCGTTTTGTTCCGATCTCAAGTGAAGAGCTTGAAGATCGTTTACGACGCGTGAAGAATGGAGAGAAGCTCACCCCCGAGGTTGAGCCCCCCATGCCCATTGAACCACCCTGCAACTCATTGCCTGACGTAGTCCAACTGTCTGCTGAAACTGACTCAACCCTATCTTCGCCCTTAACTGCAGAGTCTACCCCCATCAATCATTCACTTGCGCATTCCCCAACTTCACGTCCACCTGCATCTAACTCTGAGAACGAATCATCTACCATGTCACGTGGTGTTGATGTTGATGTGAATGATTTTTCACACAACAACTCTTTTGCTGGAGAAATCAATCATGAGCCTGATGTCGACACTTCTCCATCTGCAGCACCTACCGGTAGTACCTTCAATGAACCCACTCCATCTGCGGCACCCACCGGTAGTACCTTCAATGAACCCACCCATGTCTCCACATTTACAGATGATATGTTGGATCTGGCTCTTTGCACTCACAGTAAGTCTAATAGAACTGTCTAATGAATGCATTCTCACTTCACCCTCTGCAGCTTCTAGTACAACTGACACTTCACAGTGCCTCGTATCACCTGCCCCACCTCACCTCCCTGTCAACAGTTCAGACTGTCTGTTAACTCATCTCAAATCCCATGTGCCAGGTCCCCAGCCACAACCTTCTGCAACATCGGGTGCAACCAACGGGGATGCCCTTGTCTCCCTGACAAATCACAAGTGCAAGTGCACTTCAACTGACAGTGTTCTCTCGCATGAACAATACCCTAAATGTGCTCACAAGCTTACAGAAAAAGCCCAGCTGTTGCAACCTGGCTCAATTGAGAAACATGGCCAGTGCAGTGGGAAGAGGCTCCAGCAGGGGGGAAAAGAGCAATGCTGTGGTTGATTCAGACCAGGAAAATGTCTAGCTTACACTCAGCATGTCATAGAATAGTTCATCTCAATATATATCTTTGCAATGAAAAAAAAACATATGAGAACATTGAATAATTCAGTACACGGCTTATAGATTACACTATACTTAATAGTATAGAGAAAGAGCAGACAGGCCATGGTATTTTTAACATATGTAACAAGCTCACTGTTGTTGACGACAAGCAGAGAGGTGGTGGCATTGTGCCCATTATGGGAGGCGGCAGAGTTGCCAAAACAAGTAATGGAGGAACCCAAGCACCGTGGGTGTGCACCAGCGGTGCTCCCTATGAAAAGAATATAAGTATTTACAAGTAAAGTCCTATAGGGCACCACTGGTGTGCACCGGTGGTGCTCCATACAAACGTGTTTAAGCTTAATTAAATGTGACTAAGATTACCATAGGGCCAGTTGACTAACTAGGTAATGTGGGAAACATAGGTGTATGGTTGTGTGTATGACCTAAGATCAGATTTTGTGAGCTGTAAGTGAACTGTGCATAAGAAGCGGATGCAGATATGCCTGTGGAACTGCCGGTATCATTTAAATTTATGATGCATTGAGTGGTTCACACCATTTAGGGAGTTGGACCCCTTCTATGGCCTGCATCAGGTGTCTCGTTCGACTCGTTGACTGCATTGGGGACCAGCATGTTCTGTGGGGTACAGAACGATCACATAAGTCTGAAAACAAAGCACACATGTGATATAATAATCCCCGAGCGTTTTTTTTTAGCACTGAGAAGATGAAGGAACCTGCATTGCAGGTAGTGCTGCCATGGTCCAGTTCGGTCCGGTTCACAGAGGGTCGAGCGAGAACCGAGAACTGGACCTAGGTCCGGTTCTAGCAGACTTGACAAACCCCGAACCAGACCTTTGCGAACGGTTCAGAATGGTCTGGTCCGGTCATTTTCAGGTTCAAACGTGAACCAAACTCAAAATTTTATACAGCGAGCAAAAAAAACATATACAGGACTTGTACTCATAGCTAAGCATCCAACAACCCAGCTGCTTCTGCCTCAACCATTGCAGAAACATGGCCATTCCTATATGCTGCCTTCAACAACTGTAGCGAACTGAATGTGGATGTTCCGGGTTCATTGTGTCATATAGTAGAAGTGATCCCTCCGCTCGAGAAAGCCTGTTCAGAGGGAACAGCACTGCCTTGAATGGGCAAATAATCTCGTGCAATGTGAGCTAATGTAGGGAATCGCAACAAATGAAGCTAATAAATGATTTAAGTAGTGAATAAACAGGTCAAAGAGATTACTTACTCCCCACCAGGCAACAATGTCATCAGCTACCTCTAGAGGCGAAGACAGATATGTCGTGAGTTCTTGATGAGATTTGTGAGCAAGTTGGTCTGCAGCTTGACGCGCCTTGATAGCCTCACACATCCATGCATCACCATACCGGTTTTCATGTGAGGGTCTTGTCAGCAGAGCAGGTTCTTTGGCAGGTGTCTTCGAAGTTGGTGGTTTATAATACTGATCAAACTATAAATTGTCAGGATCGTGAGTCCAAGAAGGATAACGAGCAGTCCGAAAAAGTACTTACCACAGCCTCTAGGTGAGCCCTCCCATCCACAACGTCTTGACAATCCCATTGATCTTCAACATACGCAAGTTTGTAGTTGGGGTCAATAACTGTAATTATATGAGAGGCAGGCACACGTCATAGAAAATAATATTAATGCTCACCAAGACAAATGAAATACACGTCCGAGTCACTCGTCTTCTTGTAATACTTGTCGACATTCTTGAGTCCTTGCTTGATTGCATCTGAGATCGGTGCGAACTGCATATCGCTGGCCATCTCTTGCCACCGGTCAGTGAGGCATTCCAATGTCGGAATTGTTTGCCATGCAGTCGGGTGTTTTGCAGATGAGAAAGATTGCTGGGCAGTTGCTGGTTCCTTCAGGACTCGATGAACGAGCCCAAGGAACTTCCAATTGCTCCAATCGAGCTTAAAATCGGCATAAGTCTTGTTGCGAAGATTTGGAACCTCTTTGCCTTCATCAGCGAGATTCATGAAACGGTTTACAGCCTGTTAAATTATAAATATCCAACTCACAAACACTAATAGAAAAAAGCTTACCCGCCATAAGAGTAGCATGCGGTCAAGAGATTTGTATAGGGAAGCCCAACATGTCCTGACCCACTGCAATAACTCAAGCTCGGGTACTTTCTCTTCTATGCAGGCCTTCTTGAAGAAGGCACGAGCTTGAGGCGATTTTCGAATCTAACAATCTTGATCAGCAAGAGCATAGTATAATAACACAGTGCATACCTGCTCAATGAGTGTGAGGGCCTTGCCAAGCGAATCACCAGTGTCAAATGTGTCATCTTTTTCACGGTCACTGTTGACTTCCATGGCTGCAAGCTCCTTATTCAAAACATCAAGATCAGCATCATCCCCCTTATCAAGCGCCTCACAGATCTTCTTCATAAGAGCAGCTTGAGGAGTGGGTGCGACTGCATCTACAAAGTGTCACACAGCAAGGTTTAGTATGTGTTCCTGGCATCTGATGCGATGTGTGGTGGGTATCCACTGGATGCCCTCTGGGTCAATTTCACGAGCGACTTCCTTCATTGCGGCATCATTGTTGCTCGCATTATCAGAGGTCATCCACCTGACCTATATGAACCATTAGCTTTGCTGCAGGATAGTAGGACAGACCTTACCTGGGCTCAGAGGCCATACATGTCAATTGAGTCAATAAGCATATGAGCAATATTTTGCCCGCTGTGATCACCCTCAATGTGTTCAAAACTGAGCTGCTCGCGACGCAACTCCCATTGCTGGGGTTTGTCGTCTGGATTCCAAATGTAATGACTGGTGACAGAGAAAAACAGGTCACCAATGATCAAAGTCCACAAGTCGAACATCATGGAAACTTTACTATCAACCTTTGCAAGATGTTCACGTATGACATCGACTATGGATTCTGCACGTGCCTTGATGGTCTCAGTAAGCTTGGTGCAGTGAGGGATGTCACTTTCAGTAAGGCCAGGGTGAACATAGCGAAGTAGTTTTCGAAAGGCTGGTTTGTCAACCAGCTGCAGCGCCTCATCTTCAGTCACAATGAACTCCATGATGTACTCCAGGAGTCCTGCCTTCATGAACACGGGCACTTTGGTGATGAGGATAGCATCAAGGGTAGATTGCCTCGAACTGTCAATAATTCAGTACCATATTATGCCAAACATAAGTTGAAACTCACAGGGCCTGATCCTCGCCAGTTGGAATAGCACAAGGGTGCATAGAAATCCCTGCAGCTTGGCAGCGAGCCTTGTAGAGTTGAAAGTGGTTTATTTTGCTGATAGATATTAGTAAAAGTTAAGAGATGTCATTGAGAGGACATAGACATACCGACTAATGTGTGTGTGGAGTGTCAAGATCCCTCCTCGAAAGATGTGCTTGCTCTCAGGTTCACCAGCGTCCCTACCAAACATTAGAAAAAAACAATACATGCAGTACTAACCACTTACTTGCAGGGGTTGCATACCAAATGTGTTTCATGACGGGTGAAGGTGGTGCAAATGTTGGCGGTACATTTGGTCTTGGTCAAAGTAGCTTGCACAGGGGTCTCAGCTTCATCTTCAACTTCATCCTCACACTCAGTTTCAGCTTCATCTTCAGCTTCAGGCTGGTCAGTGCCAGACTCCAAAGGGTCGGTGTTGTTACAAGCATCAATGTCATTGAGGCTATCATCAGACAAGGGAGATGATACAACCTTTTTCCAAGCTGGTTGCAGTTCAGTAGTGCCAGACAATGCACGTTTTCGGCTTGTTGAGCCAGTTGAAGAATAGACATTCTCAGCATCCCGGAGGCGAGCAGACGGCTTAGATGTGCGAACAGATCATCGAGAACCAGCTGTCACTGGCACTGGTTTGCACCCAGCCTGCAATAGCATGGAGAAGGCATCTTTAGGAGGATGAGGATTAGATGATGATGGCTGGGCAGAGGATGTAGCATCAATAGGGTCAGGATCATCAGGATCGTGGTAGAATACAATGTCCTTGGCATCCTTGAGCAAGCCATCAGCATTGAGGGCACATGCATCATTGGACATTGTATGAGTGGAAATTACTCACCTGGTGAGGCGTGGTCCTTTTATGTTTGAACAAACCAGACAGCCAGCCGTCTCCAAAGCCTGTATTGGAGGATGCTAAATATATCAATGTGATATATCAATTGATTTATCGAGTTTTATTAGACAGCTGATTCGTACCTTTATCTAACAGCTGGGGGCGCAAAATGTGAGCCTCTGGACAGGAATCTGTCATGAATGTTACCAACTGCATCTAAATTTCGATTATCAAACCCTAAGTCACCTTATCCGATAAGATTAGATTAGATAGATCCCTGATAAGATAAGATGGATAACCGATTAACGATCACTATCTTTACATCATATCTATACTACATTGACGTCATCCATCTATATCCGTAACCCTAGACATACGAACTCATCACGTCCTTAGAAGTCCTACGATTAGGCAACGGGTTACATCATAAGCATCTACATGCCTCTATGATCAAACCATAACCGAGAGTCCTTTACGAGCTATCTCTCGAAGAGTCATCACCCCTTCACATCGCAGACCTTTCACTTCCCTCACATGACATGTTAAGAGTTACCTCTGTCAGTCACCGAACCCCTTACATTAGAACCTGTTGCACAGTCACAGTTAAACCCTGAACCCCTATCACAAGAAGCACTGCTCATAGAGAAGCGTGCTCATTACCGAAGACCCTGGAGAAACCCTTAGATACGATCACACCCGATACATCTCCAGATCCTATCTAGATTCCAGATCTAGATCCCATCTCTAATCGAGATCCTTAATTACCGCTCGAGACTTCTTGTCACAGAACTCTCTCACACCCTTCTTAATCTCCGTCTACCCTGAATAGAAGCAGTCCCTGAGAACCCTGCTTAATTACCGATATCCTAAACCCTATGAACCCTTTACCCTTTCCCCTTTCTCCTTTCTTGTAGTTGATTGGTTGATAAGACGCCCTATACCCTAGGTGCAATGTTATGACCGTATATAGTTATATCACAACCTTTCATACTCAGCTATCTCCGCTTAGAGAGTAGTATATAGTTTAGGTCGTAGTCAGTAGTACTCCTTAGACTTAACCTCCTCGTTTCTACGTCATCGTAGGGCCTAGACGTTCCCTCTCAATCCATCTTGCTTTACCCTCTTCAGACTGAGTCCTGTGGTGTGATTCCAACTCCAGACACCTACTAGTTAGGTTAAGGGACGTGGGTCATAACAGAATCAAAGCCAGTAAAATTATTGAGGATCACGAAAGTCAGAGTCTGAGTGACCATGAGGGCAGAAGTCGAAGTAGAACAGTTGTATGCCTCACCGATATCGCAAAGTTGGACAGCCAGCCGTCTCCGAAGCCTGCATTAGAGGATACTAACAAATATATCAATATGATATATCAATTAGTTTATTGAGTGTTATTTGACGGCTGATTTGTACCTTTATCTAACGGCCGGGGGGGCGAAATGCGAGCCTCTGGACAGGAATCAAAGCCAGTGAAATTCTTGAGGATCGCAAAAGTCAGAGTGACCATGAGGGCAGAAGTCGAAGTAGAACAGTTGTATGCCTCACCGATATCGCAAGGAAGCATTGGTTCGGGGTTCGGAACAGTTCGGGAAGGTCCGAACCTATGTCCGAACGGTTCGGGAGACAGCGGACCGCGAACCTCATTTCGGTTCGGTCCGGCCAAAACTTGGAACCATGGACCGAACCATGGACGAACCTGACCAATGGTCAGGTTCGAACCGCGGTTCGGGACCGGACCACGGCAGCACTACTCCCATACCATTACCAACACCACCACCAAACCCCTCGCAAATTCAGACCTCGTATCCACCCCAAACACAGACACAAACGCGGACTCAACCACTCTCACCACCCTCGTCCGCACACTCACCCTAACCCTCAAGTCATGCATGCACCTCGTGATAACAGGTTCTAATGGTGTCGGTAAAGCGACTGTAGCACGGGTTTTGGCGGGGCTTTGGGCGCCTAGATTTAACTCGGGGCTTAGGTCCGGATCCAATTCGGGCTTGGGCTCGGGGCTTAGGTCTGGCTCCAACTCGACGCTCACGCGTTCTACGGAAGTCCTACAGATGGCATAAACGGTCCGCCGTGTTTGTCGTCCCGCAACGTTCATATCATCCTGCGGAGTCTCATTTAGCGCAGGTTATTTATCCGCAGGGTGTTTCTGAGTTCAATCATGTATGGCCTGAAGTTCGAACAACCAAGAGAGCACATATATCGACCGAACAGAGTGGCCCTGAGGCAGGCCACAATTAAACGAGACAAGAAGGAACAACTACCAGTGCATGTCTTGTCAATTTTTCAAGTGAACGAGTAATATATGGTGACTACTGAAGCAAACAGTTGATCTGATCCGCGGCAGTCCTTTCCGGGACTGGCGTGCATCGTGTTATGCCTATGCCACGAGGCTTTCAACGTTCAATCAAGACGAAAGTTACTCATACATCATGTTTCCTAGTCAATATCATATTGAACGATTCTTCTATCCAAGGGCTTCTGTTTCCAAAGCAGCAGTCGAAACTCCTGGCAGGAGCGACCATATTGACCACATCAGCAATGAACTACGAATTATGCCATCAGCCTCAATGCGAAATCAAACACACGACTCACTGTCCCGATGTGCCACTGAGGCTGCTAATCCATGGACTAACTAATAATTACAGTACACACCAAGAACCTATTGAAATTACAAGGGGTGAGTAATGAATCCAGGATGCAAAACAAGCTACTACTCACACCCTTGATTATTAAATTACAATTATTACTGCAGCACTCCTCGTCGTAGAGGCAAATTGAGCCTGCAGGGTCGCACTGCTTTTCCTCGTCAGCACTGACAGACATAGATGTTGTCAAAGCAGCAATGACAACGAGGAAGGAGAAACGCATTATTTGTGTGAGGTTATATGAGAGAATCTTTCTGAGGTGGGGAGGGACATTGAAGATGGCTTGCTTTTATATCCTGAAAATCGTGTTGTGGGCAGGACTCGGACGTTCTGCTAATGGGCTGGTAGAATGGTTGCGCCTGACAGAATTTCATGGCAAAATTATGGAGGCAGAACCTAGTGGTAGAACCTTACGGCGAGCATGCAGGCACGATCTGGTAGAAATTGAGCCTCGGCGGATAAACAATCCAGACTATACAAATCGTAGACGCGAACTCCACAGAAACTAAGATGCAATATTGTAGGCCATGCCAAGAATCCCGTCTAATGGAACTTACTCCATGCGTTGATCATGATTGGAATGTAAACACTTACCGAAGGTAAAGGTGAGATAACTGGCAGGATTGTTCGTGACATCTGCGAGTGGGAGAAGGACCCGTCCGTCAAGCCAGTACCGAACTGAATGGACGACGCGAAAATCTGCTTTATAGGTGGGTCGAAGAAGCACGCCTCAGAACTATGAGTGAATTCCGAGTGCACGGCAAAAAGAAACGCGTATTTTCTTAGTGAGCATGACCTTACATGTTAGAGTGGAGTGCTGACCTCAATATCAGTACAATATCGAGTGTTCTATGTGTCCAACACCGAGTGATGTGCGCATACTGGTGAACAGCCTGGACATTGTTGTTGATTTCCTGGGGCTAAAAGAATTACTCATTGGGATCGCCAAAAATCTTGCGCTGAAAAGGAGTTCTCCAATACAATCCAGCTATCAGCGATCCAATGAGCATGGAATTTCAGTGGCAGCTCCTGTTAAACACTCATTCCACGACAAACAGAATGTTGGTCGTAACATATAACGTGATCGGTAACTGTCAACCGAAAAACACGACCAGCATTGCGCGGACGACACAGCTGTTTCCTTCTGAATTACCATTGACAGGGAGAGGCTCGAAAGGAAAACCTTTCATCTGGAACGCAATCATATTAAACTCCCTTAAATAATAACAACAAACCAACCTCATCCCTTAATCCTCAATCTCGATGTTCCCGATCACCACTCCCCGCGCTCAACACCTCCAACGCCCGTCTCCTAGCATTGACCTGTCCACGCCCATGCCCACTCACATACCCAAGACTCATCGCACGCGCACCCACCTCACCACGCCTAAACGCGGCACTCGAGGAGAAAGCACTGATCGCAGACGTAGAAGACGGCCCTTCTTTCTTTTCGCGTTTTCCAGGTAGTTCGCTTATAGCCCAGCTCACTTCCGCGGAACGCTGGATGCTCCAAAGCCAGATGAGTCCGAAACGGGGGTGCTCACTAAGACATTGAGTACTGCAAAGAGATCAGGGTAGCGCGCGGGTGGTGTCACTGCTAGCTCGAGCAAGTGGAGAATAATTATGGCTGTGTGTGTACGACCTAAGATCAGATTTTGTGAGCTGTGAGTGAACCGTGCATAAGAAGCGCTAAGCTGCTACGTACGGAAGATACGAGTTCCACGAAAGATCTATGGTGTAGTTTAAACGGATTGTGCCCGATCAACCGGTTCCAGAGAAGAAGCATCGCAAGGTATTGAACACCCAGTCCATCATTTTTTAGCAAAGGCCACATGCTACAAGTGAACAAAATCCACGTTAGCGGCTTAAATGCATATTGAAATGCACACTCCCTACCTGAAGATACCGATGTTGTCGCCCAAAGCGCCCCATAAGAATACATTGTCAGTAGGTGCAGCACCTGACAGAAGGAGTGTGAGAGGTACCAGAGGAACCAGAATAGGAAGAACGAGAGTGAACAGGTTAGGAGTGCGTGGGGCAAGAGTGGCAAAATTGGCGTAGGTGATGGCGGCACTTAGTCTAAGGGTGATATGAGCGACTGATTCATCTTGCGAGACACCAAAATAAGTCGGCACTTTTGCCAGATGCTCGAAATAGACTCGGTCCGACTCGAATCTCGGATGCAATGAAGTGAGAAGGCATCACAATTCCAGAAAGTCAGGGTATTGGGAAGTCTGTGTGAGGTCTGCGCAGACGTCTGTCACGGTCTGTGTCTAGGTCTGTGTCAAGTCTTTGTCAGTGTTACCCGAGAGTTACCGGGGGAGGTCTGTCAGCCGCCAAACTGATATTGAGGTCGGCTCTCCACTCCAACATGCAAGGTTATGCTCGCTAAGAAAATACACGTTTCTCTTTGCCGTGCACTCGGAATTCACTCATAGTTCTGAGGCGTGCTTCTTCGACCCACATATAAAGCAGATATTCACGTCGTCCATCTAGTTCGGTACTGGCTCGACGGACGGGTCCGTCTCCCACTCGCAGATGTCACGAACAATCCTGCCAGTTATCTCACCTTTACCTTCGGTAAGTGTTTACATTCCAATCATGATCAACGCATGGAGTAAGTTCCATTAGACGGGATTCTTGGCATGGCCTACAATATTGCATCTCGGTTTCTGTGGAGTTCGCGTCTACGATTTGTATAGTCTGGATTGTTTATCCGCCGAGGCTCAATTTTTACCAGATCGTGCCTGCATGCTCGCCGTAAGGTTCTACCACTAGGTTCTGCCTCCATAATTTTGCCATGAAATTCTGTCAGGCGCAACCATTCTACCAGCCCATTAGCAGAACGTCCGAGTCCTGCCCACAACACGATTTTCAGGATATAAAAGCAGGCCGTCTTCAATGTCCCTCCCCACCTCAGAAAGATTCTCTCATATAACCTCACACAAATAATGCGTTTCTCCTTCCTCGTTGTCATTGCTGCTTTGACAGCATCTATGTCTGTCAGTGCTGACGAGGAAAAGCAGTGCAGGCCTCCAGGCTCACTTTGCCAATACGACAAGGACTGCTGCAGTAAGCATTGTAATTTCGTACCCCCGGGTGTGAGTAGTAGCTTGTTTTGCATCCTGGATTCATGACTTACCCCTTGTAATTTCAATAGGGTCTTGCTGTGTACTGTAATTATTAGTTAGTCCATGGATTAGCAGCCTCAGTGGCACATCGGGACAGTGAGTCGTGTGTTTGATTTCGCATTGAGGCTGATGGCATAATTCGTAGTTCATTGCTGATGTGGTCAATATGGTCGCTCCTGCCAGGAGTCTCGACTGCTGCTTGGGAAACAGAAGCCCTTGGATAGAAGAATCATTCAATATGATATTGACTAGGAAACATGATGTATGAGTAACTTTGGTCTTGATTGAACATTGAAAGTAGTCCGGTTCCGAACCCCGGTTCGAACCTGAACCTTTCCCAGAAAGTCAGGGTATTGGGGAGTCTCTGTGAGGTCTGCGCAGACGCCTGTCTCTAGGTTTGTGTCAAGTTTTTGTCAGTGTTACCCGAGAGTTACCGGGGGAGGTCTGTCAGCCGCCAAAGGTCTGTCTGCCCGCCGCCTTACATAACCACTGATCATCTTATCCCGCCGCCCTCTCTCGTTTGCCCGCCGCCTCCCTCATTGCGCGCCGTCTCCTTCGTTGCGCTCCACTTCTCTCGTTGCGCGCCATCTCTCTCGTTGCGTGCTGTCTCTCTCGTTTGTGCGCCACCGCCACCCTCTCTTGTTTGCCCGCCGCCTCCCTCGTTGCCAGCCACCTATACTTGAACCGTGGGCACCACATCATTCAGGCCCGCCCTTTGATTGTCCAATATTCCCGGCATACTGTGGCGCATGACGACTATTGATCTGGCTGTTGACCGCACTGGCTGTGGTAGCGCTGTCGCACTTACGATATGTCAGAGTGACTAGAATGGCAACGCAGGGAAGCCTATGGCCAGGGTAAGTGTCAGCTGCTTCGCATCTCTGCCTCCAACTAATTTCTTTGCTATTAGTATGCGCGATGTCGATTTTTCAGATTCTTCCCCGAGCTTCTCGAGACCCGAGTCTGGTCTAAACGATGTACAAGCGGCGGAATATAAGGGGAAAGATCACATGACGTGTGATAAGGTAAGTGTGTAGTAAGCGTCCAGCTCCTGATGTCCTTGCAATCATTCCTTCATCCAGCTGGTCCCCAACCCCCTCGTCATATTGAAGCCGTAACATGTAAGTACAAGTAGAGGGTGGTACTTAATTAGATGCTCGTGGTATATGTACTATAGTTTGATAATCTGTAGCGGGCCCTGCTAATTTGCATGCAGTGTCTCAGTTGAAACTTTCTCCAGCGGCAGGTTATTTAGAAGTGAAGTGTAGGTACGAAACAGAAAACAAACGACTAGCCATGCAGACGATATCGATCGAAACAACAACGTTAGAAAGCGCAACCAGCTACGACCATCCGCCGGCGGATCCACGACCTCCTCCATGACCTCTTTCCTTCCCTATGGCGACATAGTACTTGTTAGTCTATATTGTTTCAGAATCGAGCCTGACTATTTTCTCGCAGACCAAGGGGAAGAACTGTTTGTCCGCCACCACTGGTCAGAAGTCGAGGAGTCTGCCATCGAGTCTGCACAGACCTCACACAGACCGTGGCCCAGCCAACATGGTTCCAAATGCATATCATAGTCAGACTCAGTCTACTGGCGTAGCGTCACCTTCTGGCCCATCTGTCAGCTAGTCAAATGGTGCTCCACTAAGCTAATACTAAGCCTGTGCCCACATTAAGATGCTTTGGGAATATTTTGATGCGGTCACCTGCAGCTCATAAGGTAAGATAAGAAGGTGCACGATGTGTATCCCTCGTGCGCAAGACCCTTCTGCCTCCCGACCGAATGCAGATAGAGTATTCGGCTGATGATATTACAGCCGCGAGGAGTCTCCAGACCTACACAGTGCGTCTCTGTCTTGTCGATGCGAGTACATTTGAATCAGTGGCCCAGGCTGCATTGGTATGGTGGTATTGTGGGGAAGGACCAGTGATTGTGTGAGGGACAGTCTGGGTGAGCCCCAGTGGAAGTAGAAACATGTCTCGTTGCTCTCAGGGTGTTTACATCAGCACTGAATCCTCAGCAAGTTAGCCCAGTGAACTCAAGAGACACAATTTGATCCACATACCACTGCATACCAATAACCTTGATTACCCTTTAAATCATCTTTGCAAACCTGCCATTTGACAGGTTCAGAATACGATTGACAGATAGCGGCCCATTCAGGCCAGATGAGGGGTGTTGTAGGAGGAACAGATGACATGAATTCTATGGTATCTTTGATAGTGTGATACAGAGAGCTGATAAAAGGAGTATGTTGAAGGTAAGCATTTACTATAGTTGTTCACTACACAGAACCCATCAGCGCTAGTGCACCATGCAGCAAAGACCAGTGCAACTTACATGGTGCCAATACATATCAGTTATCAATGTGCAGGGTGGGCAAGAAGGGTGGGCATTGTTGATAGTGCTAATGATTGGTGGGATGATTGTGACACAAAGCGCTACCTGCCTAGCAGAACGGTGGGCAAGCGTGGGAAAAAATCCCTGCCAGTGTATTAGCTAATTAGGTGCGGCACGAATACGAACGGGGCGAATGGGCGAATCGGGGCGAAAAGTCGAAGACCAGGAGGGCATGTAAGGTGCATGGGTAGAATCTACATAGAATCTACCGTGGACTCGCGTAGAAAATTGGTAGACTCAGTTCGGATAACTCCGCAGAATCTACCGCAGTCTACCGCAGTCTGCCGCAGTCTACCGCAGTCTGCCGCAGTCTACCGCAGTCTACGCGAGTCTACGTAGAACAACCAAACAACATTATTAGCGACATATATCCTCATCCTCATCACCATCATTGACGTCCCTCTGATCCCCTTCCTCATCATCATCGACGTCCCTCTGATCCCCTTCATGACGGACATCCGTCAGTTGCTTGCGTCCTTGGATGCGTCTGATCTCACTTTCTCCGACCTCACGGCCTTCGTTCGGCTTGCATGCATGGCAAAACCATTCATTCACCAGTGCATGACCGACATCTGCCATCCACCCACCCACCCTCCAGAAGTCGTTATACTCCTTCTTGCTGGCGCACTTGGCCAAGACCGACCCACTATCCTTGCATGCTGGGTAGCATTGCATCAGGTTATTTGGACTCATGGTACAGTACTCCCAACTGACAAGGAGATTGAGGCTTTTAACCGTCATGGACTTATGCGTGGTATTGGTGCGTTGCTGTTCATCGTTTCACTTCCTTCACTGACATGTTTGAACCTCATAGGATATCACGACTTGTATCCACCGACACGTGTATGCCAGAGTCCTGAGTGCACGAACTACCGTGATGGCAATGAAGTAGCCACTCTCACGGATGTCAATAAATTTCGGGCTAGCCTCTTTACGCTACGAGATGGCTCCCTCCCGGTCCATTCGGTATCAACATATTGTCGTCGTATGTTCGTTATCTTCCAGTAACACCTACTGACCACTTCACCCAGAATGCCACACCAGATACTACCCCAACTATCGGATTCACAATGCCGACTCGACACGCATGTACTATGCTGGTGTTCCCGGCGTCATTCAAGCCGCAAGGCATTTCTATATTGAAGCTGTGCTGTTGGAATTATTTGCAGCAACAAAAGTCTTCGGATGGTACGTGGCAAATTCTCGTCTTTCTCTGATGTAACCTTTTGTTTCAGGATGTCTAGTATGAACTGCGCTCGCATGTACAACTACGCACTTGCTCAACGGCATGCCTACATGTCGAACAATAGGCGTGCTTTTGACGCTACACTTTCGCAAGCTTTCGACGAGGAATTTTCATGGCAGTATACCCTTCGAATGCGCGACACTGACGTCCTGAACGGTTTTTTTATCTACTCACTGCTACTGGAGAAGGCAGAGCATAACAGTTGCCTCGTTCTTCCCCACGATGAGCAACAATGGACCCGAATTGACATTGCGCTGAGTGAGCGCAACAAAGAAATGGAAGGTATTGGGCAGGAAGCATACCCGCATGCCTGTGACTTATGCTTCATCGTCATCGGTGACAACCCAAAAAGTAAGTCAATCATTTGTTAAGCGCAAGGCGTCATACTCAGATTGATTCCACGCCGCAGCGAAGATCCAAGCAGCTGTTTGTGATGGTAATATTATTGGGCACCCTTGTTGCGCAGTGCACGACTGCAAAGTCCCGCTTATGACCAACCGTCATCGTTTCTGTCCAGACCATCAAGACTTGAACCAGCAGTGCGCGGTCGATGGCTGTGATGAGCTCCATACCACTGGATCTCGAACATGCGGCAATGTGGACCACCAGGCTCTTGAAGACGCCTACTTCAAGCCTGCAAAAGCTCTCTTCCAGCTGCGAGCGCGGCTCAAGAGGGCTGGCATTACATTGCCCTTGGACTCTGTTCCTTCAGCCTCTGATAGTGGCGGTAGTAACTCTAACAGCGCAGACGAAGATCTCGAGGTGATCCTTGACTCTGAGTGTGACGGTAAGCTGGAGAACGGCAACAGACACCTCAGAGCAAGGTTTGGTCGACGCCGAACCCATAATGAGCAGCTTATCATGCGGCCTTGTGGGGTGATATTAGCGCGGGCTACATTTTTTGGGTCCGAGGCTGTCTCCGCTGTTAATGTGAGTTATATACAGTCTCACTGATGCGCGCTAACCCTTAACATTTAAACTCAAGGAATTTGCAAAGACGGTATTTCCTACTGCCGCATCAACACCTGAATTTTTCGTCTTCGACAACAACTGCAAGCTCCGTGCTCACCAAGATGCTATTGGTGATGACCACTTCGCCGCAACAGGGATGCCTGTGGACGTGTTTCACTTCAACTCGAAACACAAGGAAACTGACACCTACTGTCAGCAGCACTGCAACCCTGCTGCTTTCCCAGAGCTCATTTCTGGTGGCAAGTGGCAATTCAATACCTCGATTTGCGAACAGACAAATGTATGGCTAGGTGGGTATCAGGCAATCCTGCGGGACATGTCTGTACACCGGTATAACTTTTACCTTGATGAAATGATCAAACGCCGGAACCGCTATGTTATCTCAGAGTCAGAGAGACGAGGACATTCTCCTTGGACGATTTCTATGGATGCTCTGTTTGGCAGTGACTAGTGCACCGGTGCTGTTCGCATTACATAATTACATAGTTTGCACTACATACATTGTCTAGATTTTTGTTGTTTATAATTCTATCTCTTGTGTGCATGTTGTCACTCTATCAAGGCACGAGCATAGTCTTAAGAGTTTTGTGATGGCGCGCAGCGCCGTCTGCGGATCTTTGAAATTCTTCCTCCAGTGTTCAAGTCTAACGTGCAGATCTTCGAAATTTACACTACGGCAACCCTGCCTCCAATAGATCCCCAAGAAAGCCGAGGCTGCACGCGCCATACATATGCCGCCTTCAGAGCTGGTCCCAAATCACGCATTTTCAAAGTAAAGTTAGCTTGAATGCTGGACGACGCGCTGGAACCGGATTGACTCGCGGTAGGTGGGGATACATTCTATGAACCGTTTCGGGGTTGCTGTATAGTGGACCTACCATCAGTCAACAGGAATGATTTTGGTACACCGTGCAACCTGTAATGGATGAGCTCCCATGCGTTGTCGGTCAACTGGAGAATGATTTTGGTACACCATGCAACCTGTAATGGATGAGCTCCCATGCGTTGTCGGTCGACTGGAAAATCCCATAGATTTGGCAGAGCAAGACCTGCATCAGACAGACTCTGAAGGAGGTCACATTTTCATGGATAATAAACAGTTGAATCAACTAGTAGAACTTTCGGTGCGATAATTAGTCTAATTGAAAAGGTGGTAAGGATGGTAAGGCTCGACCGTCAGGTCCCATAAATGAATAATCTACAGGAGAGGGATCATTTAACCAAGCGGGAAATGTATTGACAGGAAAGGGATCGATTTGGGGATAACTCGTAAAATCTAATGGAAATTCAGAATTGGTGGTTGCTATGGTATCATGGTTCATCTCCTCTATGCTCCAGAATAGTGACGCAAGAGCGTCACTCATATCACCGGTTAAGTCAGTAGGGAGTAATCCAGTGTCAGTGGTAGATGGGTCTGCTGGTAGTAAACTCGGAGTAAGGAGTAATTCAGTGTCAGTGGTAGATGGGTCCATTGATAGTAAACTCGGAGGCAGTATATGACCTGAAGGACAAGGATTAGCCAATCGTGGAATTAGTAAATCAGATTACACTTACACTTCGCATCCGAGTTTGAGACGCTACCCAGGCCATTACTACCAGTAAGACTGAGGGTGTTAGCTTTGATTTCCGCCAAGAGAGTGTTCCACAGGCCAGCGGGACTATATCCTGCATTGACGGCATATTCCACCTTATCCCCCGAGTTCCTGATAGCTGCCCGATAAGCGGCACGATGCTTATAAAATGTTGCCTTAGTATAGGTGCAATTCAGAAAAGTAGTAGCGAAGAGGGTCTGGATCATCTGATCGTCTGATAAATCGACGAAGAGCTGAATACGGGGAACCATATCGCATGCATACTTCCAAGGAAATCGTGCTTGGGCACCTGGAGGGACAGTAGCAGAGGCGTTAGGTTGGACCGTGGCTGATGCAGGTGATGTGTCCGAGTCATCTGCGGTGAGTGACAGAGGTGACGTCACGGTGGGACTAGGTGATTCGATAAGCGGTAAAGGAGTGGGCGACTGCGGAGAGATGAGAACCCAGCTCGCAGCATTGTTACTACTGGCATTCCTCTGCCGCTTCAACGGCGAGGTGATCCCATCCAATCGGGAGAGATGCATACCCGTGGCACTAAAGGCTCGCTTTGACGGAGATTGGACGGTTGCAGGCGTGCGACTAAGGGATAAGACCCTCTCAGCAAATCCGTGTAGCGTGTGATTGTCAGTGAGATCAATAGAGCGGAGGAGGATGGTTGAATTCGGGGGACTGAGAAGTGGAGTCTTAATGTCTTGCTCGATCCAGGCATGCTGATCACTGCAATATACTGCGATATAGTCTCCAAGGTCGAATCTCATCAATAGCGAATGGTCTCCTGGCATGAACTTTCCAGGTGTGGTGCATGTAAGCCTCACCAGGTGGGGAGGGTCGTTGTTCTAGCGTTATTCGAGTTGACTAGTCAGCGCCAAGAAACCATCAAATAAATGTAGAAGACACACCTTCAACCAGAGGACTACGTCGATCATATTGCGGATCATGATACTCAGACTTTGGTCGGCTTGAAAGCGCTGTTCAGCCACCAACGTCCGCTGGTGCCCAAGAACATAGTTCCGTGCGTAATTGGGGTCTAACGGCCGGGCATAAACTCGTGAAGCAGCTGGGAGTGACTGAGTGGTAGTTAAAGATTGGGATGTAGTCGAGGGGCCCTCAGGTATAGTAACTGGAGGGTGGTCAAGCTGAGTAGATGTGGGGTTAACGGTGGCAAGCGGTGGTATGATCGAGCTTTCATGCTGTTGAGCAGCAACTGGAGGAGATATGGATGCGACTCGGTGGACCCTACACCCTCCCACCACCTCACAACACTGCTTGCAGTAGCGTCATATGCAGTTCCTGTTGGCCTTCCGTGGCTGAGTACCCTGCTTCAAGTTGCGGCAGTCAGCTTTGGTACACAGGACCGTATCAGTCATACCACGTCAGTGAAACATCCTACGAAGAAAAGTCACTGTGAACATACTACAAATTTTATACTGAGACGGCGACTCGTCCTGGATATTGTGCACATATTGTGCACATTGATTTAGTAACAGTCTAACTTGTAGCAGGTGTAGGTCCAAGTGACATAGCGGTGGGGCAGATAGCGAAAACATTGGCTTGCTGTTGCGCCAGACGCTGCTCCAGGCAAAGTGACATAGTGGGGGGGCAGATGGCGAAAACATTGGCTTGCCGTTGCCGTATATATGCCCGACGCTGTTCCAGGCAATGATCACAGCCGAGGCAATAAACTCCGCTGAAGTTGTTTGGTCGATCTACGGAAAGTCTACGTAAGTCTACGAATGGTCTATGAATGGTCTATGGATTCGGCTCACTTTCCACGAAAAGAATTAGTAATGCTCCCGGATTTTCTACAATTTTCTACGCGTAGTCCATGGTAGAGTCTACCCACGTACTCTCAAAGTTCTGAAGACCAGTGAGACTTTCTGAAGAAGCCGATAGCTTTAGATCCTAACACAGACAAACAAAGGCCCAACGACGAAAGTCACGAAACCAACTCGAAAACGGTACTGTGAATGTCTTATATACTAATTTCTTAATGTTAGAATCATGCGAGCAAATTACTCAAGCTTCCTCGATCTCTCTGACCACTTTCTTTTTTTTGGATGAGCAATTTTCCGTCGTATGACCGCTTGCAAGATGATTTCCGCTGGGAGACGTCTACGCTTCCGTTCCCTCTCCCGCATGCATTCGTCTTGCCATCCACTGAAAGTGCCAGTTCCAATATCCTCCCTCCATTGTCTTCCATGGTTTCCCAACAACAAGTCCTGGATCGCAGTTCCACTTGCGCATCGTGCCGTCCCTCGAACTACTCACTATGTGAATGTTGTCGTGTAAGAAGACGAAATCCTCAACAGCGTTTCTGTGACGCTCAAATCGGTGCTGCTTCGTCAGTACTCGCAAGGGACTCGGATTCAGAGGACATAGTCTCTTCAATGATGGATGTCTCAAGGGGCTCAGATTCAGAAGATACGGTTCCCTCAATGGTCGATGGTGCAAGGGATTCGGAAGACGTAGCTCATTAATGTACGGCGTCTGCGTTTTTCTGGCTCTGACTCGATTCGTGATCGAATATCACAGGGAACAGTTGAACAGTACTCACCGGTTGTTCTGCCGGTCTATCGCTGATAGCAAGCCAACGAGCACGAGTCATATATGCATCACGGTATGGATCCCGTTGACAGCGCTAATCGTCCATTCACAGGTTCATAGTCTTCCATCTCGGCTGGTTCGATGTTTTCAAAGCCACGATGACCACTGCGTTCCTTTCCACCCGGTTCCAACATGGTGACCTTCACCTGTCAACATAGCTTTGAACGTCTACTGTTAGCTTCAAAACCAATGCTGTTGTTGGGCTCCAGGTTCTCGCGATCCCTCACGCTTCACATCCACCATTGGTATTTGCCCGGTGCCGTCGTCTGGACGAGTTGGTACTGGTCGGATGATGCATTTCTGTAGGAATGACGCAACGGAGTTCGGCAGGCAAGGCGAGTACATTGTGTTTCTCATGTTCTTACGATGATAATATTCATTTCGTGCTATTATTCCCGGCTGAGCACATTGATAATGTCTGTTCCTGCGTTAAGTGACCATGGCTACATATGTCCTCGAATGTTCTCGTTCCTGTGTGTATCGCCCCTTCATGCTGATGTTCTTTCCATCTCTCAGGTTTGCATGGAGACCTTGTTGCGGGTCCGCCCTTCGTGCCGCGTCATCTCGAGGGCCGTTATTGATATGGTTTAGAAGTGTCATTTTTCGTCGCTCCGCTCCAGTGATCTACTCCATAAACGAAAGGATTTTAGATACACTTTACAAGACACTCGTCCGTTTCACTGTTCAGGTGACGCGAATCACTGTTTTGAATCTGCCCAATCCCAGGCTCCTGGACAAAAAAGTGATTCTTCCGAGTAAGATTTTGTCTGGACTCGACGGACTGACCACTCAGGTCCTCCATGATGACACTTCCGCTATATGTCCTCTAAACACACCACAAATCTGTGTAAATCACTGCAATCAGACCCATCATGCGCCACGCAGAGGCTAGATGTAATATATTCGCTTCACATACATGATGATGTACAAATATACCGTAGATCTCCCCGATCGACTTGACTGTATTATACTTATACGAACACCAACGACAGTCCATTAATGGTCCAAGTAATGAGCCCAGATAAAAAAAAGTCCAGATAAACAACAATGCACCAGTATACCACATATATCCAGAGATCAAAGAGCGTCGGTAGAGATGTGTGAGATGAGATGAGCTGGACGTGAGATGGAGATGGAAATAGGATATATCCGCATGATGAATGGATCCACATGGTTGTTCCGAGTGGGGTGGGATGCAGCGATGCTCGTAATGACGTGGACGTCCAGGACCGTCAATGAATGTCGACAACATCCTGGTCAACAGTATCATGATGTTCTTGCGATGTCGGAAATCGTCATGAGAGAGAGACAATACCATTACGCAAACCCAAGAATGATGAGTTCCCGTCAGCATTATCGCTCCGAGGGAGGTTGTCACGAAGGTCAGCCACGATTAGGCTCCCGCGGGCGACGGTTCCAACACCTGCCATGCCTACATCACCCTCCGCAACGTCGCTATCACTGCTATGCGAGCCACTTCGGCGATGCAGGTCTGTAAGCAAGGGAACAGATATGCTTTCCGACACGCCGCTGAGTTCACCGGGTGTTCGTCGATGGTTGATGGGCAATAAATCGGGGGAGGTAGGAATATCAGGCAAGGGCGCATCAGTGCCTACAATTGTATCTCGATTTGCCGCATGAGGATCCCAAGGGTCGCTCAGGTCGAATATCGATGGCGGCGAGTGGTCGTACTTGAACTTCCATTCGCCAAACTCCTTGACTGGATCCGCATCTGGCTCAACACGCGTCCCGCTTGAATCGAAAGTATAGTTGGAAACCTTCTCTTTCCTCGTAGCGTATGACTCGTATGCAAGCGTCCTGAGAGTAGTCGCGGGAGGAACATCCTCGCTTGAATGCGAGGTCCGCCTCGTAAACTGGTATTCGCTTTCGCCTTTGTGCTCTCCATCCATGTCAACCATTCCCTGTTTTTTCCATTGCCGCCGGGTCATGAACCATTTCAGCCCGAAAAGCGTGATGCACAACGCAAAGAAGCCGACTAGACCAATGAGAATTTCGAGGCCAGCTGACAACTTCGTGTCGCTCGAAGAGGTGGTCTGTGATTGCGCGCCGCCCAGCGGCTGATTGAGGACACGGACATTGTTGAACTCCTGCAGCGCTTGGGTTATATTGGTAAGTCCAAGAAGTCCAAGAGTTGGGCGAATTCCGGTGTAGACAGACGTATTAAATGGTGGGGGTTCATATGCAAGCACAGTGTAGACGTTACGCATGAAGGGAACACCGAGGATCATGTCCCCGGCGTCGGAAGTGGCATTAAGTTGTGAGTCATCAGCTTGTATGAGGCCAATGCAGTACTGTGCGTTGTGCTGCCCAGATGGCTCGGAGGTGAGGTCGAGGGGGTGGATGGGTAGCTCGGGTTGGCCGTCGAGAGTAATGGTCATGTTAAGTGGCATTGTACAGGGAACATAAACTAACAGTCAGTCAGCTCGGGAACTGCGAGCTGAATTGAATAAAACACGCACAATTGCCGTCTGAGGCCGGGTTTATACCCAATGCGCCGTATATCCCGTTTGCTATGGACGACGTCGTGATGATAAATGGCGTGCCGGAGTCAAGCAATGCAGTGGGGAAAGCGGCGCCAGTGACAGAATTGGTTAGTAATACAGGGCGTGCCTGGCCATTTACGTAGACTGTGATGGCTCGAATGTTCGTCTTCCAGAATAATGTGCCAGCGTTTTCGCTCACAAGCGTCGAATAATTGATTTTCGAAGGATCTGGAACCACAGACGACGGATGCATGCCGATTCCGAGAAGAGATGGAATTTCATTTGAACCAGGACGGGCAAAAGTGAGGGAGAAGAACGGTTGTGAGGGAACTGTGGATGCGGGAGTCATGGAGAAGAGGTTCGAGGAGAATGATGCGCCATCTGGGTTGTTGTTCACAGCTGGGGGAATTGCTTGTTCGATTTGTGAATCAAGGGGAAGAGCGAGGCCGAGGACACCGTCAAAATCCAAGCCTAACGGCTCGTCGGATACCGTGTTGGCAGCGGCTGTTAACGTTGATAAGCAGGGTGCATGAAATGTTTTCAGAAAACAAACCTAACGCCTGGTTCAGCACACTGTACGTTCCCAGCTGGACCGTATCCCATACTATGGGCCCGCTGACGGCTCCGGAGAGGTAATTGATGGTAAAACTAGCGCCGGTTGACGTGGATGAGCTCGGATCGTACAGGCGACCATTTGTCAATGAACACGACGATGTGGAACACGATTTTGATGCGATCCACTGTAATTTCGGATGAGGAAGGCTGTGTAATCAGGAAAGGCACGACTTACAAGATCCGATGATCCCGTGTCAATTTGAAGGGAAAGGTTTTGCTGTGCTGAACCTACTAACACAGGTACGGTGTAGGCACTATATTCGAGCGATGAGCCAAGGGGAAAGGGGGGGAAACGAAATCAGAAGGTAAAATGACGCCAAATCAATCAGGAGCAGGGCTGAAGACGTATAAAGGAAATCAGCTGGAAGACTCACATTCCGTCATAGCTAGTGGACACCATATCAAGGTTAAGCACCATGCCACCAGAACCACCAGAACCCTCGTCGCGAGCACGTTGCTTGCCTTCCGCCCTCGAAAATGCACGAGCGCCTTTATGCAGGGTCATCGTTCACTAGCAATAGTAGTCTGGAAGGTCAGGGGGTGACGGGGAGCCTGGGTCGCAAAAGAAAGTAAACTTGTAGGAGGGAGGTGAATAAACGGAGGCTCGCGTGAGATGTTGAACGTCTAGATGGAGGCCGATGAGGACATGCAAGCTGAGCGGTACCGGGAGATAGCAATGGTCTTCCTTAAACTTGAGTGGTAGAGTGAAAACTCGAAGATGGCGAAAGGGAGTAAATAAGACTGGGTAATAACTTGCGGGGATAACAAAAGGAGGTTAAAGAGCGAGGCAAAGGCCAGGGATGCGGAATCCAGAACAACTCGCGAGCACTGTACATAAAAAGTTCCGTCAATTGGTAACATGTCAGAAAAGACGCCTAAAAGTCCTTTGCCAAGATGCTTAAACATACCGCTGCAGCTAAAAGTCAGACTCTCGCGTACGTTCGATATGTCCGTCAAGAGGGTATCAATAAGATTGCCTTGTATTCGAGCGCGCTCGCTGTCCCATATGGCGCTCGGCCGCGTTCCTCGCAGTTTGCAGCGACCCTGCATCATCTTCTTTAGGCAATTTATTCGCACACTATGCACGGCCTATTGTAGCCTAGAGAAAGCCTATAGTCTACATTCTGCAACGTCAATCTGTCAATATACCGGACGTTTCACGGGTACAGACATCACGTCGTTGCGCTCACCGTCTCCCACTCTATTATTATGTAGCAAGGCACGACCAGGGGATTAACTTGGCGCGAACGGGAGACCTACACGCTCTTCCCTTCCCGTTCATCATGCCCCGTGACATAGTCTAAACCTGAGACGGTATCAGGGCTAAATAAACCGTCCCCTTCGCGTCGCGGCCTGGGGGAGGTTGAAGCGAAGAAGACTGAAGCAAAGTAGGAGCACCTAGAACGGGAAGCGGTGATGAACATCGCGAAGCCGATAAGAAGTCGAAGGTCAACAACTGGAGTAGCTACTAACGACACCCTCAACCCGCGACTAGTAATACGCCATGACCATCCACATGTTCATCATTGAAATTCGTTCAAACAAGTACTGTTCTACATACATACCTCCGCCTGAAAAAATAGATGCTGTTAACTGCATCTCTTTTTCAACCATGAAAGACGGACCCTGAAAGTGATGTCGACGTTCCCACTTGAGATCATGAGAGAGCAGGTTGTGTTCGATAGATTTCTTTATGACTCAGAGCAATTACAGATATTTGGCACAGCTAATGGACTACGCGAGACCCGTCACCCAGCATTGTAGGCGCAGTATAATAGGTGCACGGGCTGTGCCCCGCGTCAACCATGCTGCGCGCGCTTGTTGCATCGCAATATGTATGTTCCGATTCCGAGACTATTCCCTGGATCTAGACATAAAGTAAGCGTTTTTTGAGGCGGGAGCAGAGTTCCCCGTTGATACATTCAATCTTGACACCTGCACAGGTAATTATTTGCGGCACGGAGCGCTAAAAATTACTGCGAATAAGCATGCCACGATATACAGCACCACTCGTTTGATTAATTGTGAAGGCGACCCATGATTAATTGACTGAGGAGGCTACAACCTCTTTCGCTCTGGTGTTGTAAGTATCCAGAAACGCGTATACCATAAGACAACACCATACTTGCACCAAAACCGTCTCTGATATTTTGCGCAAACGAAATCTGTTTAGCGCCTCGAACCAAAGTCAGGGACAGAGTCGGCTTGCCGGCTATTGGCGGAATCCGCGCACCACAATGTCAGATGAGGATGTAATTGTTGCCCAGACGTCTTCTCACCAATCCGCAAAGTCCATAAGGACAGTGCACGAGATGACAACGCTGTCTGATGAGTCGAAGACTTCAGTCACGACTTGGCTCCGTTTAAAATAGAGCGATCGGAGATTACATAGGTGCGCTCACCTTCGATGTGCACCATCATCCCTCGTTCCACGATCACACATTGGAAAATTGACAAAAGAACGGCTGACTCGGCTGACTGAACCGCAGGAACGAGAAGAGTTGCAATCGGTTCTACGGGGGAGTGATCAATACTATTATTATAAGTTATAAAAGGATCGATTTGGGCAATGGGACATACATTCATATCATGATAGAGAACACGTCGTAGAAATACGGTGTTCCGTCAAATTCTTATCGTGCACTGGTGCCCTAGCGCCATTAATCGAGCGAGAGCCGTCAACAGACCGTAAGTACATCCTGAAGCTATTGAGTGGTTTATAGACAACTTGGCGATGGATCAACTTGCCAGCTCAAATCACTCACGTTGAGCTGTGTACGCAAGTATGGGCGTAGGTTGAGCGTAGGCATGATCTGCGATAGTACTAGGTCGATATCAGTGATCAACAAGACCACTCGGAGTTTCCCGTTTTGACTTTCTGCGTAGGCCACAAGGAAGACAATCGTTCCTTCTGTAAAGCATGGCTACAAAGTATGTTCCAAACACTGCCAGGGCAAGCGTTTCGACCCCTCACCGTGGACAAATTTCCTCTGGTATAAATCGCAATTCCAAATTGCGACCTACACATTGTCCGTGGGTTTCCAGTCTTGAATGCAGTATGTGTGCTCAGTGCGTTATCTCCAAGTCATATCCTTGCCCATCGTCAGTATCGATCTTTTGATTAAAAAAAATACCTGCCAATGTAGAACCAGGGCCACCACGTGCACTTGCAGGAATCAGTGAAGTCGTTCACGGATGGTTTGCTCAATAGTAAGCCTGCGCTCCCTGGTGTCGATAGAGGTATTGTTATCGCACCCCGTCGCCTTCATTTGACACTAGGAGTCATGACTCTCGAGGATACACCAGTTTCCTCTGGGAACACTTTAGCAAATGCACAGGCATTGTTATGGTCATTGAGATCTCGCGTCATGGAGTTATTAGACGGTCACAGTCTCTGCATTCCTCTTACGGAGATGAACATCATGAAACCCGATCGTGGTGATGCAGAAAACGCCCATGTACTCTGGTTGGGTCCTTCAATGGATACAAAGGACGCGCAGCGCCTCAAAACCGTGAGCGGCGCGTTGATTCTCGTCCCATGTCAACTGCATTCCCATAATGTGACATAACAGAGTTTGTGAACAAAGCGTTTAGGGACGCAGGTTTTATTCAAGATCGTCGTCCTCTTAAGGTTTGTGCCTCTTGCTTCTTGTATCTCACTTTGCGACTAACGCGGAACCAGCTGCATTGCACAATTCTCAACACTTCGCATCGCAAACCGCGTCGACAGCCGTTCTCCTACAACGCAGTCCTTGCGTCACCGGTCATGTGTGAGGTTATTCGTACACCGCTCGGAGCACATGATTTTCGGAACCCCGTGAAAGTGGAGTTTGGCACTTGGAGCGTTGATGAAATACAGATATGCAAGATGGGAAGTTATGGACCTGAAGGCGAATACGTGAGTTGCGGGTGCTGTTCGGTGGTGTCATAAGTGTGTCGGTGTATGACACATGCCATGATATATGCCATATTCTACTCACAGCCCTTGTTGGAAGCTTGGAAGAGCTTGGATTATGTCGCTACGGTATGATAGGTAGTCTAAGTATTAGTAATTATGCTGTGACTACACTTGCTACGAGTGACGGCTGTAAGAGCGCGGCTTCCTAGAAGGGAAGTTTGATCTCACGCACAGGCCTTGCGGTGGACACAGCCCATTGTGTGGCATTGAAAGACCGATTAAAAGACCGACTTGTATCATCGTGCGACTCTTGTCTCGCTGAACACCATCATCCCCAAGCAGCGCCCGTACATCCACGCAATCCTACTTTCTACGTTTGAATAATGGCCGAAATCAGGAGGAAGCTTGTTATCGTTGGTGATGGTGCTTGTGGAAAGGTTCGCCCCTTAACTTTGACGTGAAACAGCCAAGGACGAGCTCACATCATTAATAGACGTGTTTGTTGATAGTTTTCTCCAAAGGAACATTTCCTGAGGTACTTTTCAATTACAGTCGTCAGCCGCCTGTTTGCCTGATTATTCCCTTGATTCTTGTGTGTATAGGTCTATGTTCCGACCGTCTTCGAGAACTATGTGGCAGATGTGGAGGTTGATGGAAAGCACGTAGAGCTTGCGCTATGGGATACGGCAGGACAAGAAGACTATGACCGTCTCAGACCTCTCAGCTACCCAGACACCCACGTCATTCTTATCTGCTTTGCTGTAGACTCACCAGATTCTCTGGACAACGTTCAAGAAAAGGTACGTCTGGCCAATGAGCAATGCCTCATTCGGTCCTGACGGCATCTCCCGAATGCAGTGGATTTCTGAGGTGATGCACTTCTGCGCCGGTCTTCCTATCATTCTTGTTGGCTGCAAGAACGACCTCAGACGTGACCGACGAGTGATTGACGAGCTCAAGAAGACGAGCCAGAGACCTGTAACTCCTGAGGAGGTACGTTTCTGTTTTCTTCCTTGCAGATTTCTCTAGATGATGTGTCCACCTTTTCAGGGTATGGCCGTGGCAAACAAGATTGGCGCAAGGCACTATCTCGAGTGTTCTGCTAGAACAGGCGAGGGCGTTCGCGAAGTCTTCCAATATGCTACGAGGGCTGCACTTCTTAGCCGGCCCAAGAATAGCAAGAAACACCACTGCGTGGTTGTGTAGGCTATCCGTCTTACTTTCCACCCTCGCCGCACCGCACCGCTTCTGACTACACCCTTGCCCCTGTCAAGAGTCCATACCCTTCACGACTAGTTGTTATTTGCAATCTTCATGATCTGTCCTTTCCCTCACTCTATTTTTTTGCGTGACCGGACAAGTGTGCGGCCTCATCAGTATTTGACTTTGCATTGATGTCTCTGCTTTTTCAGTCTTGAATAAGCTCAAGTAGGATTGCATTGGCTCTTGGTAGTACGTTCTATATCCACGCTTTTGTCCTCATAATCCGCTTCGAGTTTGAGTCACATGTCTGCAACGACCCTTACCTCCGATATTCGGGGTGCAGAAGCCCCAACTCAGAAGGTATTGTGAATTACACGTTGGACCTTCCCTTGATGAGGTCTTTGCACCCTAGACAACGTCAAGAAGACTCGATTCTGCAAGGTACTCGCTGGGATTGCAATGACGCAGAACTGAAACAGCACATCCTTGATGTACAGTGTAACAAGCGAAGCCTGCGGTGTTCGCCTTCGTCGACGTGAAACTTAATTGTGCCGTACCCGGGCATTCGCATGTCGACTTTACGAAGTGTGACTTGTTGGAGTTTGCCCACTTGCCAGGTAAAAATGCGCGTTCTTGATGTATTGTTCCAGACCATGTGCTGACAATTCCATGCATCCGTTGGGCTCTCGCGGGGGCAACGAGCTTGATGAGTGCAATGTGCAAGTGACCGTGACGTTGTTGATAGGCTAGGTGCCTGGCCACCTATTCGTCATAATTTCCTGTGCTGTTTCCCTGCATTCTACTTGGCGCGACTAACCATAGCAGGAATTGAGCTACAGAAGCACTGTATATTCACGTGGCCCACCGCGCAGAAGTGTGCGAGCTTCCCCAGGCGAATTCATCGCGTGAAGGAACCGAAAACAGATCGGGTGAAATGGGCCGCTTGTGGAGATGGTCCAATATATCATGCATTCGCTGGACGGTACATAGACAGATAAGTTAATAGGAAGCTCCTGCCGAAGATGAGCGAAAATATGCGTTGAGGCGCACATGAACAAGTGACAGATACGGGTTTACCGGATCGCCCATTTGAATGCATGAGATCAGGAGAAATCGCGGTTAAGAAAATCTAGTGCGTCCACACTGGAATCATTGCACAAAACATTAAGACATTTGCTGCAAACGTGCTGGAAAGAAAACCCGAGACGTGCCTATGCTTTTGGGGCTCTGCCTCCCAAAGGCAGGCACCAGCAGTCGTCATTTACCGCCATCTGATAAAACAGCGAAGACACTCTGACTCATTTCTCGTACTTACATCAGTGATAGGCGCTTAAGGCGTTACTCAGGGGCTAGTAAATGATTGAGGAAAGATTGTAGTTCGGGCTGCCGTGATCAGAATTTACTTGGTCTGGACAGATCAGCCTCACGTACTCCTCCGATAGACAATGAATTAAAGGCAGGACAATTGCCATACAACATTGGAACAGTAACCTCGTGTTTATGTTTATCCTGATGCTGCAAACTCACAGGGATTTGATACAATTCAGGAACTATTCCGCTCCAGCTTCCGAGCCCAATATACCGGAAGGAGAACAAAGAAGTTCCGGTCAGCGTTAAGGCAGATACCGAACTCGTGGCAAGGTTCTTGCCGAGAACTCAATAAACGGGAACCTTAGAGAATCTAGCCCCTAGGGTGGTGGAAAGTCACTGGGCCTCGAACGGCCTGGACACGAGGCGTTCCATGGAGAAAAGCTATAAATGAAGGTCCAGGCGCCCGCTCCACGGCACTGAAGCGGCACAAGAGTTGTGGAAATATATTTTGAGTACAAAGGATCGTGGGCAAGTAAAATGCACTGGGGGGAACAGTATAATTTGCTGGCGTACTTCTCTTAGATTCTAGTTGCGACGTCGCCGTAGTGATAAACACGGTATCTAGACGCTGATAGCTGACGGTCTTAGCTTTCATTTCGCAGTTCCGGTAGAGGCATAACGGACCGAGTGTGTCGAATTGCCTCAAAGTTCGAACCGAATCGAAGTCTTGAGGTTAGCAATATTGGATGATGAATGTGATAGATGATCAAGGTCCAGGTACGTCGAGTGCACCTTTTGAGATAAACTTGATGTGATCACCGAGGATCACCATCTAATCCAGTTCATGATTTTCTTCTGCGATCCAGATTGTGGATGACATTGAATTGACGGTTGGAGGACTACTAGTACTTGGCCTCCAAAATAGGAAACTACCCCGATTATTTGAAGGCAACTTCATCTGTTCAATGCAGCTCCTCCATTCTCCTAATATCGCTCCACTGCTAAAGTTTCTCCAATATTCTGCCCAAGTGTCACCTGTAAAACAATTCTTCATTCGAACTGTGATCGTATCATCTCGCATTAGCTTTCCGATATCGAGCTGACCATTTCCCTGCTCATCTCCCCCCGTCCCACTGCCAAATTATGATCCGTTTTGAGGGCATGTCTCCAGACGTTATGGAGGCAATTTGCACGCCTATGCATCAGATTCTTCCTGTTCAGTTTCCGTCTTCGTCCATGCCTCCAATTCAATCAGTGGCCCACCCCTCCAGCTCGCAGCCTGGGTCCTTGTACCTTGGCTCCATGTCCGCAACGATGGATCGCGAGTTGCTCGCACACCATCATATCACTCATGTCGTACAAGTACTCGATGTCCCCTGGCTTCCGATATCAGAAAAGGATGGCTTTCGCTGTCTCCGGATAGACATTCTCGATAAACCCTCCGCTGACCTTCGTCCACACCTTGAAGGAGCATGCCAGTATATTGCTAACGCACTGAAAAATGGTGGAAACGTCCTGGTGCATTGCCAGCAGGTGCGCCCCTTTATCAGTTTTGCAACTTCAAGTCTGACGTGGCTCTTGCGTAACAGGGCGTCTCACGCTCTCCAGCCATAGTCATCGCTTATCTCATTCATGATCTCGGAATGTCGTACGAGCAGGCATATGCTCTAGTCAAACATCGCAGACCGTGCATTAATCCTAACCCTGGTTTTGTTGCCGGTCTTCGCGCATGGGAAGAGAAATGGCGTGCGTTCGCGCCGCCGCCGCCGCCACAACTACGCAGGGTTAATACCTCCTATACATCTCCAGCAACTCCCACGGCTGTTAGGCCGCTCGCGAGCTTCCCAAAGCTCTCCAGGGGGATGAGTTATAGTGGTAACTGCAAACCAGGGAGTACTTCAGTTTCTTGATCTTCCTTGCCAACATCGTCATGGCATGGGTATGATCAGTTCATTGGCGCCGTCACATAATCATTGCAAAACGATGTTTACCCCAGTCATTACGACATGCCCCAGACTTCTCGGTATCCCGTCATATTTTCTTACATTCACAACGTTTACCCGCTCCTACATACCGTAGCATCATTCACCAATACGCATCCCTATCGCACTGTTATCCTCGTTTTTCAATCTTTCGATGTCGTCTCGGCGTACATCATACCCTGGAAGTATCTGTACACCTTCATTTCGTGCATACTTCACACTTGGATTTGATTGGACTGGACGTTTTACTCCCAGTGAATAGGGGGAACCGTGTTTATTTTGATGTTGCTTGTCCGTGCATGCAAGTAGCCCTACTCACGCCCATAAAAACCACCGGAACATCGTTGATCAATTCAAGCATGCGTTTTACTTCGGTAAAACATGCCTTATCAGCTGACGTTCGACATTTGGGTCAAGGTTTGGTTGTGGAGACACGTGTGTGCTTTGAATTTGTTTTGAATCATCGGATCCGAAGTTCCGGTTGCAACTATCATGCAAGGTGGAATGAATACAACGCAAGTTCAACGTGATGCTTGCACGTGTTCAGATCTCGTTTCTAAACCAAATCGACGAAAAACTACAGGAATAGGTATCAGACGCTAGGAGCTCGCCACAAAAAGTAAAGGTTTCCCGACCTCAATGCTAGCACGATAGATCGCTTGATGGTTGACTTAATTTTCCAACCACTTGAGAGGTGGGACACGTCTGGATGGAAGTCATAGTGCTCATCGATATAGATGCGGCATGTGTGGTGCTCTGGCTCCTGTCCACCGTGAGGAGGCCAAGATCGACGACGGTCGTAAATTCCGCCGCTCCATTCGCTGCTGGCCTGTCCAGATCTGCCCTGGAGCTTCGGAGGTAGCGGTAAACAAAGGAGATTATAACAAGCAAATTTGCGATTATTAACGAAGTTGCTGACTTTTGTGGCATGGTATGATCAGACAAGTTAAGAAACAGAAGTAACTGCACACCTTGACATGCGCGAATATTAGTGCAGTCCCCGAAACCGGAGCTACCAAAAGGAGAACGGAAAGGGGAATTGCCATGGCGGTGGTCAACAAAGAGGCGCAAAAGACTGATGTGACAAGAATTCGTTGATGGTAGGTGAGCCCGACATCTCGTAAGAGATATGTAGGCATGATCACCAACATTAGGTCCGATATCGAATCGGCTTGAAAGAGAGCACATCAGTGATCGAAAGAACTTCTTGGGCTGAATTCACTGACTGACGAGATCTGCAATAGCGATGTCGGATCCTATGCTGCACCCGTGATACACACAAGTGAACACCTTTTGAACAATCAAGGCTGTCCACATGACTGCGAAGCAGCTTATGACGCCATACACAACCCACCGAATTGTACATCGGGGATCTGCGACGCGTAAAATAGAATATATGATACTCATCCTCGCTGCCCTGGTGACATGAGAAATGGAAACAGAACAGGCACGACTCGACAACACACCATAAAACAGAGGTGAAAGCTATCGGGAGTAGCCAGAACATGACCGTATAAACGGGAGGATCATTGTAAACTGGAGTGATTTGAGCTCAACGTTGCCGCGTTTCAGAATACTACACACATATTGGCCCTTCAGCCCATACTCCGAATAAGCAGATGACATCAAACACAAGAGCGATTGCAGCCCACGCATCTTCCCACCAGAATCTGGATGTAGACAACCGGTATACAAGTCGAAAAAGTGTAGTGGTGATGGCACTCCCGTGGAATACGCAAGCTACAACTTTCTTGAGGGATGAGATACATCTGCAAGCCCGACAGTCATTGCTTACCTTCTATTGTTTTCCAAGCATTACCGGGGATTGGCAGAGGGGACATGATCATCATCGGCAAGAATGGAAAGGAAATTTGAGGTGTATTTAGTGTTCTGCCATCGTATTTCTACCCGCAAGGCTAGTAACAGCCGTCGGTTTCAGACTTCCAGTAACGAGGATTTCGACCCTGATCTTGGTTCCGCCGCGATTATAGAGAAGTGCTGACTGACACCGTGGGTCACAGCAGCTCGTACATTATGAGTCCGACTGAGAGCAGCCAAGGTGTTGAACTAGTTGTGCCTGGCACTGCAATGCCGCAGAACGGACCCATATAACTGAAGTATATGTAAACTGTAATCATGAACCTAAAAAATATGCCCATTTGGAACAAAGTCAGTCGCGAACACAGAGTGCTGAGCAACGACTGAGCTCGTCCAAAAAATAGCACAACCCAACGCCGCAGTGGCCCGGACTGTCACAATCGACGTCGCAGGAGAATGTCAATGAAACACAGAAGAAAACTCTCCGCCAGACTTCTCGGACATGGCAGAACTGATTATCCTGCCCACAACGGCACTTACTAAGTTACACTCCGCACATCACGTACTCAACGTGTCAGCAAGATTTCCTTGTGAAGGATCGTGATAAGCTGTGATAAGTGGTTCCTGTCACTGTAGTTGTCGCGTGCAGTCAATTCAATTGATGCACTGTATACATCACGGGCTAAGTAACAGGTCATACTCTATCACCGGGTTCGATTAGGTTAGCACCCAAGTTGTCGGGTATCGCAAGCGTTGGATCCGCGTCGTGTATCATACGACCACCAAACATCACACCACCGTGCGACGCACGGAAAGCATCGATACGTGCTTCAACTTCTGGACGGAAATGACGCATGAGGCCCTGAATGGGCCAGGCGGCAGCATCGCCGAGAGCACAGATGGTCCGACCCTCTACTTGTTTACTGCAGAGAACAGTGAGCTGAGGAAAGCCGCAAAGGAACAACTTACGTGATCTCAAGGAGCATGTCGATCTCACGTCTATGAGCGCGACCTTCAACCATACGGTTCATCATGTTCATCATCCACGTCGTGCCCTCCCGGCAGGGGGTACACTGGCCACAAGACTCGTGTTTGTAGAACTGATAGGAAGTTAAGCATTAGTGAGGTGTGGGAAAAGAACACGGGACCCGCGTACTGAAGAGAACCGTGCAATAGCAGATACGATGTCCGTGCTCTTGTCCATTACGATGACGGCACCCGTTCCAAGACCCGACTGTGCATCCTTCAAAGAATCATAGTCCATCAAGACTTCTGAGCACTTGTCGATGGGTAAGACAGGAACAGAGCTTCCACCAGGAATGATACCGAGTAAGTTATCCCAGCCACCTCTGACGCCTCCACAATGCCGCTCAATAAGCTCTTTCAATGGGATGCTCATCTCCTCTTCCACAACACAAGGGTTGTTAACGTGACCGCTAATGCAAAAGAGTTTTGTACCCTGATTACGCTCACGACCGAAGCTGGCGAACCAAGATCCGCCACGACGGCAGATAGTAGGTGCCACGGCAACAGTCTCGACATTAGCAACAGTGGTAGGGCATCCGAACAAACCAACGTCTGCAGGAAAAGGTGGCTTTAGTCGGGGCTTGCCTTGCTTGCCCTCAAGACTTTCGATCAACGCAGTTTCCTCGCCGCATATATATGCGCCAGCTCCGCGATGGAGGTATACGTCAAACGAGTAACCGGAACCGCATGCATCTTTGCCAATGAGTCCAGCTTTGTACGCCTCAGTTATGGCTTGTTGAAGGTGGGAGGCCTCCTGGAAAAATTCTCCGCGAATATAAATGTAGGCAGCGGTTGCGTTCATGGCTCGACCGGCGACGAGACAGCCCTCCACAAGTTTATGGGGGTCACCACGAAGAATCTCGCGGTCCTTGCAAGTTCCCGGCTCTCCCTCGTCGGCGTTGACAACCAGATAGCGAGGCCTATAGATAAGTGAGCACCGAAACTACAAAAGGCTATGACTCGAGAGGAAATATACCGTTTATCCTTTTCCCATCCAGGCTTGTTCATGAATGACCATTTGAGACCACTTGGGAATCCAGCACCACCACGACCTCTGAGACCTGAATCCTTGATTGTTTGAATGATCCAAGAGTCACCCTTCAAAAGAATGTCTTTCGTGCGATGCCAGTCACCACGAGACTATCAGTGACAGTAAGACAAAAGAAGAGCTGTATGAGCACATCAGACTTACCACGGCGCCCTTTATACCATGGTCGTGTCTACAATATGCATTGGTGAAGATGCGGTCCTGGTCTTTGAGACCGCCATATCGGCGAACTGGAGGGTCCGCAACAGTTGCGAGACCACGCTTGATTGAGAAATTTGCTTGCCGCTGGATTCCAGCGACTGACTTTGAAGCTTTGAGCATATTTGAGCCCGTCACAGTCGTCGGCGGTGACGATCCTAAGCAGAGGCCTTCAACTTCGGAACGGTGGATTTACTGTTTCAAAATTGTTGGCATATGGGGATGGCTTAGTCAGCGCGTATCCCGGGCGTGTCCGAATCTACCGACTCAGATGGGCCGGCGAACATGAATCTGCTTTCCGTCGAGACTCGAAAAGTTCAGAAGGCAAGCAAGCTGGCAGTGAGCAATATATATATTTTCGTGGATTCGTACGTGAATCCTGCAATCGCGTCGTGTTCCTATTCATTGTTGTGGTTCTAGCTCGCAATACATCCAGAGTGTGTGGAGTGTGCGTTACCATCACGCACGAGACCATCGCGCACGAGGTCCCTGTCAAGCTATCGCGTAGTGCCCGGTGCTCACTAGCACTGCTGTAAGGTTCATGTCCTTATCCTTAATTGTCTGGTCAGAAACAGCTATAGAATGATACCCCAGGACCCACGCCTGAAGCGCGTACCAAACCCTCAAGACTAACTGTATGACATCAGCAATGGTTGCCATTGATATGAATTTTTGCATTACAGAACTTTCAGACGAACGCTCCTGATTTGTAGTCCGCAATTGGGTTTGGGTGAACTGCACTCACAGAGGTGCTGTAGTTTCCACATGGACTTTTCGCGACCGGAATCCGTCTATTAGGACCTCCCAATGGTGGACGACCACCGAGGGGTCGACCGGGCTAATGTCGATGCTGGATAGCGATACCTCAGCGCAGCATGACGCTGATCAGCGTACAGTTTTTCCTTGAAATTGTATGTGGCTGCATGAAGTTGAGATGCGTACCCTCCATTTCTAGAAGGCAAAGGAGGCTTGGATTAATAGCCGGAAGTCTCTTGAAGAAGGCTATAATAAGTATTCGTGTCTCTACAGAATTATGGCAAGAATGGGAAAAGACCTAGCTTGCAATTGGAGATCTCTTCGATTCTGTGAGCTTATTTTCTATGTACTTGGTGATCTTTCATGCGGAAGCATTTTCATTTACTTCATGGTACGACACTACACGACTTGACGGTTATCCACAGACGTGTGTTTCAGACAGCCGAGGAAAAATTAATGTACATGCTCTCATCTGATAGTACTGTGGTTCTATATGACTGTAGATACTAACTATGTCGATGCTCTGAGTAACTTTTACGTCCGTTTCTATTGCGGACGGGGAGACAGGAAAGTGCTTAACTAAACGAGAGAAGTACTTATGAACGGTGGTTTGCATGGGGTGGGCGATAACACTTATAGCGATTCGCCCGCGAGAATGAGTGCTGCTTGATGTTAGCAACACCAGAGGCTACTGTCGCTCTCTCAGCTCCTCTGCGAGGATCGCATCTGGGTCACGACCAGCAACTTCAGGCAAAAGGAACGTGAAAGCTGCAAACCAGCTCGTCAGACAATACGTTCCCGAAAGGAAATCATAGTTTTTCATACCAGCACCGAGAAGTGAGCAACCGACGAAGACTAAAAATAAAAATAAATTAGTTGCCAATACACATTAGTTGATCAAGGTACATACTCCAAAGCACAGCAGGTGTCCCGATCGAGGTTGTGAGGGAGTTAAATACGAGTGCAGATATGATTGCTCCTGATTTCCCGCATGCCGCGGACATGCCGTGCGCAAAAGCTCGGTAGCGAGTGGGGAATACCTCAGCGGGATAGCACTGCGGGTTCTATTAGCTGCCTTCAGGGGATAAACATGCATAGTAACGCACGTAAGTGGTACTATGTATGTAACAGTCAAGTCAGAACGGAGCGTGTTCTAGTCAAGCTAAGTACTCACGCATTGGCTCCGAAATTGAAAAAGAACTGAATCAAGACTGAATAAGTCGGGTTCTCCCATCAGGGGTTCTATCACACACCTGGAGAAGCGTGAAATTTACTATGAATGCTGCAGTGCTCAAGGTATGGAATTTCCCAGCCAAGATGCCCACTACAGTACGCCGTCAGTAGATATTTCTCAGGAGGATTCGTGGCAGCTCACGGAACAGAGCTTCCATCAGGAATCCCATGATTTGAATGGTCTTGCGGCCGAGTTTCTCGATGGTGAGCACAGTCACGTAGTAGCCTTTTTAGAGTGAGCATGTACGCTGAGGGATGGATCAATGGATGTACCTGGCACAAATCCTAGTGCGGTGATGATGATGTTTCCTGTAGCGACCTTGAAGAGCTTCTCCCAGGGCGTGCCCGATCCCCCGGCGTAACCTATCTCAGTGAGCACTACATTCGTGTTCAAATTAATGCCGTAGAAGCTAGCAGCACCATATCAGAGGGAAACCCATTCGATGATCGACAACCGACATACGCAATGTCTAGTAGAAACCAGCACGAGCAAGTTCCGATGAGTATCTTGAGGTGTCTCCATTCGGAGAAGTACTGAAAAACATCTAGAACATCCGTGACACCAAGGAGCATGGTCGACACAGTAAGGAATCATACCTCGGAAATGAGCCTTCTTGTGTGCAGGCACAGTAGAACGTTTCTCATCGACACTTCCTTCCGATCCGGTAGCATGAACATGAGCTTCGACCACCAACGTCTCTTTCTTCAAGTCACCCTCTTCAACTAATTCTGCATCCTGCGACTTCTTAAAACGCGTGGATTCGGGGAGTGTCAAGCGCTGGTAGAGTGTCCCAAAAGCTGGAATGAGCGACAATCCAACGATGATCCTCCACACTGATTTCAGGGGTAAATGTCCATCAACAACGCCACCATGCAACTAGTACACAGTACGCACCTCCGTCGACCTTGGATGTCTCATTTTCATCATTCATGACGTGCTTGTAGCATGCCAGAACGATGATATTCATCAGCGACCCCATGAAGCTGCCCCATCCCTGGTTGGCGAAGATGTATGCGAGCATGGTTCCACGCTTACGGAGCACGGCACGGTCACTTGTCACGGAAGCCGACATGGGGTAGTCGCCGCCGACACCCACGCCAAGCAGGATACGGAACATGGTCAAGTAGATCAGGCACCCGGTTGGGGAGAGCGTGCCTGGACATAGCTTAGCGCTCGCGAATACCATGAAGGCTCGAAAGACACACCTGTAGGTGTAGAAATGCAGAGGATAGTCGCAATGATGATGAGCATAAGCTCTTTTCCGTCTGGAAACGCATGTGAATGTTGAGGCTAGCAAGAACGATGCAAATGACTGACAGATTGCCTTTCTCCCGAAGGCATCAGCACAGTAGCCTATATCATTGCAGATGTATCGTGAAGCGGGGTAAAGCATGGTATATTATGCAGCTCACCGAACAGGAACTGGCCGATCACACTTCCGATGTTGGCAGCGGCTTTCAATAAACCTTGCAGGTTGGAGGGCATGGTTCCGCTTCCGTACAGCCTAAACTGCAGCATGGTAGATACGGGCTGCGCGAGTCGATCTAGTCCTACACGTCACCCATTGAAACAATACGCTTACATTGATAATGAACAAGTCATAAGCTGTCAAACGTGTGAGAGCTTGCCCCTAAGCAGGGTCAAATGCCTACCATCTAAGAAAAAGCCAACCTGGACGATAGATCAGAAGTTGTCGCAGACTGGACACGGCACAGAGCACTCACCCCAGCAATGCCCAGGAGCTTGACCTCGGTATATGTCAGAATGAAAGGGGGTCGGCCCTCGCCAGATTGTTCATACTCCTCGAGAGCAGTTCTCTGGCGAGTCTCTCTGCCTTCTGCTTGTTCAGACATCGTGCTGCTAGGCTGGCAGGCAAGGGATCGATATGATGCGCCTGGGCTTCTAATAAGAGCTAATAAGAGCTACGGCAAGATCAACGTAAAAACGAAGGTTCTATCACGAAGCGCAAAGAAGAGGGGACAATCTGGCTGGTTCCACTGTCCGGGTATAAGAGGAAATCACAGTAGCGCTGGTGGGGCGTTTTGAATCTAAAGTTTTCAACTGCAGCATGCAGGATTGGATTTAGCCGAAAAACGTTTGTTAATAGTAGAACGATAAATCATAAGTCGGGGCCAACTCGGAGCGTCACGGTTGCATTAATGATCATGCACATGCACAATGTTCAGCGTGTGCCGGGTCGCCGGACATAACATATGTAATGTATATCAACAAATCATATCCAATTATATATAGTAACTGAAATTCTAACTCTACATAGCAAAGCTTTGCGCCGCTTGGTGGAGCAAATGATGCCATTGGTGCGAGCTGAATACGGCGGCCTGCTGAACCTAGGCTAAACTCCATATCGAAAGATCAACGTTAACACCAAGTAGTACTGAAGGCGATGTTGGGTTTTTTTGATACCCTTGACAACTGAGAAGGATGACATTATTAATATTATGTACCTGCCAATCCAATTCATAAAGGACCGAGACGATGATTATATGAATTAGATAACCCCAGTACATCTATTGAACACCACATCAAATTCATTCGCACCTGTTCGCACTTAGAAGAACCGATATCTTGGAAAATCAAGGCCGTATTGCTGAGGAGTATGCATGAACGTTTTAGCTGTCGCCAACTCGAGGGTTTGCCATGCGCAGCTGTACATGGCTGTACTGATCTGCCGCATTAAGTTGCTATGACAAAGTCCTGTAATCGTGTGCATGTGCGTCGGTAGTCGTGCCGGGTGTATTCCCAATCTGACAACTGTCAGAAGGCTAGAGTATTATGTTGTACATATGCATGGGTGATCAGCGTAAAATGACCCGCATTATGCACTACCGTTGGATGAGCTTGGGCATTTCGCTCGACGACCCTTCAGCGTGGAGTCTGGACTGTACTGCAGTGTATCAAGGTGAGATTGATGAGGGTTGTGGATGACCTCCATGATGGTTTCTAAACATTTGAATGCGAAGTTTAAGATGCACACGACAGGAATCTAGGCTTGCCTGAGGAAAGGGCGGTCGTCAAATCAGATAGCTGAGTTAGTTTCCCCTAGCCAGTCCATAAAATAAGGAAAAGAATCGTTCCTTCTTGATTATGTAGCTGAGTAGCTTACTGTGCAATTCAACCTGACACACAAGACGAAAGTGAGAAAGGCGGAACGGGCAATCTCTAGGTAGACCAATAGAAGAAAGACAATTCGTTCCCAGAGAACGTACGTTTTCTCACGCAGAACAACGCCATAACCGAGCACAACCCCTAAGGGGCAGAGGTGAGGAATGAGGTAAGCAGAAGTTTAGGGAGGCTTATCCCTTCGAAGCAAGACAGATAGCCAAAATAATTCGCAGACCCACTCACATGCTCATCACATCTGTTCATGCCCTGACGATGTCAAGAATGCACGTGATAACAGACAGCCCTGCCATCAGACGGGTGTTCCCGCGGAGATTGAGCGAGCGCCAAGACAGCCCTTGCCCTCGCATGCCATCGGTCGTGTGATTGATCGAGAGTACGTCTCTCGGAGAGATGTCCAGAATGAAGCGGAATCCAATTGCAAACTGGGAATGTCGGATAGTGAGTATTTGAACATTAATAGGCATTGATCGATGACTATCGATGGTCGCCACTGGAGCGTCTTCCGTAATGAATTCGATTCCGCCCGCCGCACCGTACCATCTCATGAGCCTAATGTACAGAGGATAATCGCGTATGACTACGGAGCACTCTAGCACTGCCTTACTGTGATCATGCATCTTCAAGGCGGAATAGCATGTTAGAAGTCTGGTAAGAGCGTCCCAGTGAAACGGAACCACAACCCACAAAAGCCCACAGACCATTGAAAGTCAACACATGCACTCACCGGATTTCACTGCAGCCGCCGAAAACGGGACGCGATCCGTTATAACAGGACGCCTAATTTAAGCGCAACTTTTAGGGGGTTCTGTGGAAATGTGTACTACAGAGCCAAGATGCATGGCTGTACGTGTCTGCAAAAAACGACAAGGTCTTACGCCCAACGCCGTTCATTGTACAACCTTGTTCGACAAGCAGGGTGTCGGCCATTCACAGACCAGCAAAGCATTGGGAATATCGGGATAGGATCTCATGCACGGCGTAGCAGGGGACGAGCTAGTCGTCTGTGGGGAGTGGGAATGGGTTCATGGGTCATGGGGGTCATAGAAGCGGGAAGGCAGAGTGCGTGCTCGAGGGGTATACGGACTGGATGCTGGCGGTTAATATACCGCTAGACGATGGCGGCTATAGCAAAAGCCGGTGGGCTACTCTAATACAACGGTCTAGTCAGTTCTTCGTCACACGTAAACAAAAGTGCGACACCCTCGAGCAGTGCGTGCAATGTTCTCGACCGCAAAACACTGCACTCCGTGGGGCATGATCATATATTGCTTTCGTCATGTAAGGCGGTCATGGGGATCGTGCACGATGCAAACTGTAAGTTAGAAGAGGGTATATATGAGGCGGCTTGAATATCTTCTTCACTCCGGTCTGCATGGCGTAGGTCAAAAAGAATACGTGAAGCCATAACGCCATGCAGGACACCTTGAAACCTTGTTGTGACGTTTGAGCAGTTAGCCCTAGATACGAGGGGCAGCCACTTACACATCGATGATGCCATTCTGCCCGCTTGAGACCTGCACCAATAGTTCATATACCTGACCATAAGTGCATGGAAACCACATACCGGTAAGGAAAACGAAACAATGTTTGCAATAGAGATTGCTTAGAGCACAGTCAGGCAAGACAAAGAAGAAGAAGAAACATCCAAATGGCATACCAAGGAGCGATAGCGCATACAGCAAACTTCCCTTCGACAAGTTCGACACCAATTTACTGACACTACGTATGCCAGTAGAGCGTGACGTTATTGAATGATATATCGTAACAATAACCACCGCTGCACGTATTTCATCAGTAGAGTCAAAGGAAGGCAGCTTCGCCAATCACTCACTGAGTTCAAAGAGTGCTGCACTAACAAACATGCCCATTATCAGGCGTTCCACTCTTGTAGCCTCATCTGCAGAGCTCCGACTTGATGTTGGTGCACATACACTTTGGAGATTTGGAGACACCGCAAGGACATCGCAAGTGAGCATTGAGATAGCAAGAAGCTTCAGACACCATTATCACCACTCAAACAACAGGACTGCAAAAACACTTACGAAATAGCTTGCCAACAAAAATCGTTTAATCTTCTCATTGTTGTGCCATAAGGCAAGTGTACGCATGAGAAGAAGACCTGAAATACATAAGGGGATATTTTCCTTTATCGACACAAGTGCGCTGACCTTCGGTAGCCACCATGATAAGAGCCATCGCACCTGGGAGATATTAGCAGACATAGGGCTAACGATCGTGAGGTGACCTACCCCCAGCAGCCCGATATGTTGTTAAGCACTGTGTCACCTAGCATTAACATGTTTTGGATACGGTTGAGAGAATCAATACCGTTTCCACTGATTGTGGCCCAAGAGTGACTGATGAAGCATTAAGGTCATTTTCCTAAGGAGTAGATAGTGTCACTCACCGTAAATTTCGCTGATAATCCATACTATAGGAGCATATCTAGTTATGATAAACATGACGGGCGCAATGCTCCAACGACCCGTGCTACTGAACAGACGGACTTCATGTTCAAAGGTCAAACAATAATCGAATGCCTAATGTGGGGATGAGGTCTCGAATGAACTTGCGAGAAGACTCAGAAGAGCACACGCTTTACTCACCCAAACAGCGGCCGGTGCAACTTTGCCAGTAATTGAGCACTTCAGGAATAACAATTGAGGGAAACCAACAACAAACCTCGAAAGTACTAACAAAGCACGAGAGTCAGTTCAAAAAGGTAGAAAATTGGGTGCCACGCGCTCGTACCTTGATTGTTTGTTGTGTGTGGAGTAAAACCATAAAGTATGTTGTGCGTGGATCGGATCAAGCCACTACGTGGGCGTGCTGTTTTTAATATGAGGGGTCCTTCACCATTTGGTGGGTGGATTTTACAAGCCAGGTGAAGAAGCGTTCGTGAAGGTGTATGATAAGTTGGAGGGAATATATCACACCCGGCTGCAGAAGCGAGCGCTAAAAGATTTCAGACCCACGAATATAGTTGATTGAGCAGAGTAAGTACACACATGTCCACCAATCAGAGCCGTCGGTAATTCCGTATCTTTCTCGCGTGATCAGTTGGAGACACCGACACACTGAGCATTATTGTGTTACTGGTACTAGCAATCCATCTAGACGCCTTCTCTGGATAGGACTTCTGTGAACAGGTGATACTAGTACTTGCAGACATCATAGTCATACAGCTGAGACTTGTATGCTATGATGTCTGCTAGTAACAGACCTTCTATTTGACATAGAAGGAAGTCGCTTCTTCTTTATCACGATGCGACTGGAAATATGACGGTGAACTGTGTGAAGCAAAGGCCAAGGGTATGTGACGTACTTCGGAAAGTTACTTTAACGTCGGTAGTAGCCGTTTTATCAAGATAATCATGTACAGGTGCCGGGTAACGTAGCCTGCCGGAGTATCCCGGTACCACGTCCAGCTGAGCGGAACGCGTCTTTTCTTGTCTTTCTTCCTTGGTTCATTTCTCGCATCCGCGTCGACTCGTTCAGCATACTAGCTCACGCATTCCTCACTCGTATCTACATTCATTGTTTGCTCCCGCCCGCCAGTCCCTTTTTACTTTACTCCGCAATCCGTAGATTCCTTCTATTCCGTTGTTTATATATCATGATTGTTAATTCATACCGTCGTTTCGCGAACTTTTCGAAGAGTCATCGGCACGATCGAGTTCGTAGGCAGGTTATCCCGCCCTCCTAGCGGCTCCATCTGCCTGCGTCCCACCCCGAGCTATCGCTCGGTCCAGCCCAATGCATGAGATCGTGTCACCGACTCCTACTTAGCCAGACGAAGCTGGAAAAATGATTATCAACTTTAGTGCAACGTTGTAACATCGTATCTGTTTTGGAAGGGCACAAGCTTGTTCTCCCTGTAGGGGGGAGGTGAGTATTTGAGTGAGTTCAGACATGGCTACGATGTAGTCACTTGATGTAGTACCACCTCGTAGCTAGGCCTCGATCAATGATCTCATCCTCCGATGATAGGAGCTCCCAACTGATTTCGTTGGTGTGGGGCAACCCCCCAGCGAGGGGGGAGCAGCGTTTGCGTAGCTTAGGTAGGCATTCATCCAGAGCTCGAGCCTCACCAGCTCAGTCTGCTAGAGGCAGGCTCGTTGCTAGTCGCCACCGCCCCATCGTCCCCAAAACTGATCGGAATGATCTGGGGAAAGCGAAGCTCGCTGTCAATCACGCGACCTAAATCCGTCTGCGTACGTCCTTTGGTTATATACATTCGATTCAGCCGGATTGATCACAAGAATATGTCATTGTTCGATGACCAAGTTCCGGCATGTGCGATCGCTGGTTTCGCTGCAACGAGCCAGTGGTCTATGGGTGACTATGCTCATCTACTCACCGACACCTTCACTATCGAGAATACGAAAGTTCGGCGCGCAAGAATGATGTTGCACGAGTGCGGGGGGAGTGCGGGCGCGCGGCGCACTGATCTCTGATAAAAATACACTGTACAGTAATTTGTTATAGTACAACTCTTGCAACCTGCAGATTCAATAGCCATGTGCACACTGCCTAATTATACATTGTGATGCAGACGAATATGATCCCCCTGGCTTGGACAAGCTTATAAGATTTAGATCACAGGATCTGGAAATTTGAGTTGATGATTGATTTCATATTTGTCAGGACCATAATGTAGCGCACATCATAGTCTACAAAAGGCTCGCATTTAGCGCTCTGCACAGCAGAAATTTCCTCTTATCATCTGGGTTTCGTGTAGCACCTCCAGCTCGCCTGCCAGCCCCAGGCTCCTTCTGTTCACTCTTGGACAATCTCTCTGCTTCTCTTTTCTTGAGTTCCTCGTCCAGAATATTTTGGGTAGCTTCAGGCGGGAAAGTGTTGATGGGCGCGTCTCCAACGAAGCGTTGGATAGCGGCTGCCATGTCCTGTAGGGGTAGGTTTGGGTAGATGCAACTTGTGATTTCGTGAACATGAATCAAACTATGCTTAGGTAGGTGGTCTCATGTTTAGGGCAAGCGGAGTCCCCCAGCTCCATGCTCGGGGGACTCGGTCACTTTTTATTGGAGTCGCAGAATACAAAGGATTACAGTCGGGGGCTCGAAGAGACGGAAGAGAGACTAACTAGTGGATAGAAAAGTTCGGGAGAGACGACGGGAGATGGAGGCTCGATAAAGATGCTACTGTACAATAGAGGGACGGAGGGTGGGTAGCTTAAAATGCAGATGTGCACGAGCAGACGGTGCTTTGCGAGGGCAAGTGAGCAACGACGGAAGAATCCAGACTCGTCAGTTGTCAGCTATTAAAACCATCAATAGAGGGGCCTCGCATGTGTTTTAACTTTTAAGCCGCTGAGGCTGAGTCACGAGGTAGGATTTGACTGGCGTCGCGAATCGATTCAACTCGGTTAAACAAGTTAAACCACGAAGAAACGTTTGCCATGCAATGATGTCATTCGGCACGCTGGTCGCGCTTGTCGTGGACCATCACTCAGTGGTCCTGACTCCTGCATCCGGTACATACCAATTAGGGCTCTAAATATCCGCGCCCGAGCACTGTCTAGAATAGGACGACCAAGGGCGCGAATCAATCATGTTTCACTTTGATCATCAACGAATGATATTACATAGGGAGTGCATCATGTTTCTAACATGCGAACCCGATCACCGAGACAAATTTGTGAACGAATCGCACTCCTACTTGAACACTATGAGTGACCCTTTAATAAAATTAATACAAAGTGCTGTTTGGCTGACCGTGGTCGTTATGGTGTCGATGGATGCGGAATATAGGCGTGAGGTACAAAGTGATCGCCGTGAACACCCTAATTTTTTTTTACGGCGCCTTTGAACTTCAAGATCACAAGCGTCTGCATGGTATCCAACAGGAGTCCGCAAAAAATGCGGCGCGTTCATATGGCACACACATTGGAAGAACTCGAAAGGGGGAAATGAGCGGAAGATACAGTTGCTTGACAGTTGCAATGTATAAAATTTATAACTTTATGCTAGAGTGCCGCGAAAATCATGCACTCTCGAGGTTACCGATCGATCGGCAAGTTAAATCTCGGAAATTGAACATGCCTCAAACCAACCTCAAACTGACAGTTCTCCGCGTAGACAAGGAAACTAGGATCAGCTGAGATAATCGAATGGTACTTGCAGGCTCCCAGTGCAGGGCAGTTCGCCGCGACAGCCCATCACACCAGACCCGAGGGGTGCCGTTTCTTGACTCATGTTATCTTGTCAATCGGCCCATAAACTCCTAGGGTGAGTAGTGTACTTATCTTTAACCTATGGGACGCGCCGAGGTCTATCATGAATCAGGATGCGCCCTCAAGTTTACATAGGTTCACGCCATGATCTGGCGGGGACCGTCTTTGAAACCTAGTCTCCCCTAGCCAGACCATATAGAAGGAACAAAGTCGTTCCTTCTTGATTATGAACTAGGCCCGCAAACAGGTTTCGAGTTATATTCGTTCAAGATACAATAGAGGCTCACCTCATCTGGTGCCAGCGAAGGCATCGTCCCTGAATTCCACACTCCAAAGCCCAACTAGGACCAAGTTGCAAATTATCTGTTCATGGTGATGTCCGCCGGTACGGCAGGCCACAGAATAGCGGTGGAAGAGCGGCCACATCGTCTTGTCAATTATCAATTGTATGCTGGGTAATCTCAATGGTTTTTCACGGTGTGAACGAGAACTCTGAGCCCCAAAATCCCAACGATTAATGATTGTCTTCGCAACACTGACGGCGCATGGAACTTGCCTACCACGCGGGGAGGACGGAGATGAGGATTGGAGACATATGGTCCCGCAGTGCAAAACGTTGGAGAGGGTCACCAAGGGAATAATCCAATGGGTTCTTAGAATCTTACGTTGTTGTCCAAAAGCGGAAACAGTGAGGCTCAAACTTCAATTCAGCGCCCATGTATATAAGAACAAAAGAAGTTTAGTGGATTGTCCACCACCGTCATCGTCAGGATCTAAAACGCTCTTTTCAACTTTCTCTTTCTCTAACAACTTCGTCTTTCTTTTCTGTCTAGTTCGCTTCAGGCGTTGCACGCGAAGTCGACCCAACCATTCATTTTTCTGACGATCCTTTCAGTACAACACAATGGCTCTGAAGTTGCTTGCACTATCGTCTCTAGCTGTGCTAGCCAACGCGCATATGGCCGCGTTCCACAAATCAATGTATTGCCTGAATGTTAGTTTTATACTTCATCTCGCGTGATTCAACTCATCAGGTCCGTCCCTAGGGAACTGTGGCAGGCCAGGTCAATTATAACAACGACGACCCAGTTAGCCCTCTGTGGATGCTGAAGAAGAGTGACTACTGGTTTCACCATTTCAACCAGGTCAGTTCATATCTGTTAGTCATGAATTCGTGCTTAGCCTTTTAGTGCGATGATTTCCCTCCTGCAGAAGGCGACTTTCTTGAACTGTGGGTTTCATATTCTGTTCATCGCATAAATCTCACTGTCTGTTCTAGACCTGCTGGTGGTTCCTTCACTGTTGAAATAGCTGCCAATCGCGGTGTGACTTCCCTCTCTTATAATGGACAATACGCAACCGAGTGGGGTGATGGTGGAAATCACCCTGAGGACTACTCCATCACAAACTTGGACGGCGCCCCTCTCTCCGATAGTGATTGCATATCTAATCCAAACAGTAAGTACACATTAAGTGTGGTCGAACAGACGCGCTGACCGCGGTTAGTGCATACACAGAACCAGTCTATGGCTGCTGGGAGTGCGTTCGCAATCTCTTACCAGGTCAGTTTCAGTTTGCTTCCGACTGAACACAAAACTCACCGATCAAACAGTCTGATATCAGCCAGGTTACTATGGACAACCTTGCTGTGTTCACGGTCCGCTACAAGTGAGTTTCATGTCCGGCGACCCTGTGCATGTCCCCTAACGTTCATTAAAGCACCCCCTGGAAACGTGTGACATCCTATGATGTTCCCAAGGACATGCCTGCTTGTCCTGCAGCTGGGTGTACTTGTGCTGTAAGTTATTAATGATTTTCCTCGACGAGGCTGAAGCTGATTGATATTCCGCAGTGGGTTTGGGTTTGTTGCCTCTCGGCTGCGTTTCATTACCGCATTAATTGACAACATTTTTTAGATTCCGAATGGATGCGGCGAGCCTAACATCTACATGCAGGGATTCAAGTGCATGGTCACAGGCGCCACCTCCACTACTCCTATTGCCACCCCCAAGGCTCCCGTCTGGTGCCAGGAGGACCAAAGCACATGCACTGAGGGCGCCAAACAAATCCTGATCTGGAATCAGGCCGAGGAAAACAACATCGTGGTTAACGGCACGGACCTGAGCGGCAGCAATAAGAGCCCGGCGTACAATAGCAATTGTGGGTTCAACGATGGTGAGGCTTCGACTCTTCGGTTGTAGTTGGAAATGTTGTGCCTGACACCTCACCACAGGAGCACAGAACGATATCTTTGCTACATCGTCTTCTGCCATGGCCACATCATCTCCCACTGTGTCGGCCGCACTAGCCCCGGCTGTTTCGTCGTCCGAGCCAGCTATTTCATCATCTACGTCAGCTATTTCATCATCTACGTCAGCTGTTTCATTCTCCATGCCGGCTATTTCATTCTCCACGCTAGCCATTCCATCATCCGCGCCAGCTATTTCATCATCTACGTCAGCTATTTCATTCTCCACGCTAGCCATTCCATCATCCGCGCCAGCTTTTTCATTCTCCACGCTAGCCATTCCATCATCCGCGCCAGCTCTTTCATTACCCGTCACCTTTAGTGGCGCACCTTCCGTAGCCTCGATTCCATCGTGCACGACTACTACTAACACAGTCCTCATCACATCTACGGTTCAGCCGCCCGCGGGTGCAAGTACCCCTATATCAAGTGTTGCCAGTGCCATGTCAAGCTCAAACTCGGCCGACGACCTCGTGGCCTCTACTTCATTGAGCGCATCTGCCATTCCCACAAGTGCTGGGACCTGCCGCCGTAAACGGATGGTTCATAAGCCACTTCATCGTCGACTTTTCTAAGTAGTTGATCTACATTGCTATCCTGTCGACCAGGACCCGTCATCTGATATCTCTTACCGTTGAGCGGGCTCGACTGCCTTTTTGTTAGCTCGTCTGTAGATTGTGAGTTTCGTATTCGGTTTATTTCGTTCTTGCTGTTATCATATTCTGTCATATACCCCGCATGTTGTCGTTGTTACCATTTTTGTTGTTGTCATGGTTGCGTTGGCACTCATTGTCTGAGGTTCATTTACCGTGCATGCATCTACTGCGATACTCGTATACCCATAGAGATACCAAAAATGTTCATGTAGGAGACAGTGATTTGTTGTTATCCTATGCAATTGTTTGTGATCGTATGGTTCAACCTAGATCTGACCGAATAAGACTTCTAGATCTTCCACTCTCTAAGTATTTTGGTCACAACCCCAGGCGATTGTGCTATCTCGTATGCTTCTTGTCCTTACCGAGGAAAAACCATTTGCTCCTCCGAGGACGGTCCACAGCTAATCATGCTTCTGCCTTTCTCTGATACCTGCTCCGAGCCTCGTATCGTGATGATTTACAGTACTTGCGCATATTCTCACGTTCTTATCATGCCAAGTGGCTCATCGTGCTTGCGCCATACTGTCTATGATATTTCTATAAGCTTCGCCACTGCTTATAGTATGTCTGTATGCTGAATATTGCACAAACCAGTCACGCTCAAATTTCCTTTTCAGCATCTGTAGCCGTGACCTGGCGGAACCAGACCACAACCTGCCACGACATCATGGTGATCCATGATACCCCGGCAGGTTTTGCGTAACATAGTCCAGACTCCATGGAGATATCAGCTCAATTTTTTTGGTCGGAGTACGTGGTTGGTGCTCAGCGCTTAGTGCTCGCGTTCTCGCACGTTGCTCTTTGACGAGAATATTATAATAATGATATTCTACTTGGAAAAAGCATTAAGGGGGGCTAAATATTGTATCATCAACAACCACTGATTACCACTGATCACATACAGACATCTTCCCATCGTTTCCTTCCCCCCTGGCAGCCGCGATGTCGCAATTGATAGCGTGCAGTCAGCTGCCTCCAGTTTCCCCTTTAACCCGACATTTCTCCACTCACTTAAAATGCAGGTGACATGCTCGATCTCACTACCTTTCTTTCTCGCCTCGAGTTTCAAGCTGGCCTTGGACTGTTAAGATGCTGCGCTCAATCGTCTTCACTTTCGCTGCTTTTGTATCACTTACTTCGGCAACCCCTCTCATCTATGATGGCCGTGCCCCTTTCAACTATACTAGCGAAGACCTGAACAGCGACCTGGATCCCTACTTATCGTGAGTATTATCTCGCCCGCCACATTTTTAGGCTAACTTGCACCTCAGAGCGGTCAAAGGCAGCATGAATGCCTCATATGTATGGTTGTATCCTACTTGATGATAGACCGCTAAACAACCGGCTTGCAGTATACCCAACTCCTTGGGCACTCGCTAAATGCTACACCGCTGTGGTCGCCCAATCTATGGTCTCCTATAGAACAGCCGATGACGATTTCGATTGACAACACTTCTATCTTCGTCCCTGGAGGAAGCACACCTCAAAACGGTTTCCGCCGGACGGAGCTCATTGCGCAAAAGAATGGGAACCATACCGCATTAAACGCTGTCGCTGATGCAGGAACCACTGTGTTCCACGTATCCATTCTGGAGGACCCGGAGAGACCTTTGAATTTCAGCCATGAGTACCAAATCGTCTGGATCGAGCCTAATGATGGAACCCACGTCTTCGAGATCCAGCTCGGTCAGTGTCATAAGATGTTCAAGTTGTTATATTTCATTGACACTCCCTGTTTTAGGTTCACCTTTCACCATCCCCACGGGCACTGTGCCCGTCTCCGACGCTCGATTCCTGAAAGTTCGCAACCATGCGCTCGACCTTCTATTTGAGACGCCTTTTACCTGCAAGGACTGGCATAACTTCGCGGTCCAGATTGATTGGACGAATCTCACCCTTGGCGTCTTCTATTCAACCAATGGAGAGCCACTGAAGAATGTAACTGGCATTGTGGAGAACTCGAGCGCCTCACCCGGTGCAGCTGGCCAAGGAGATTATCACTTTGGTTTACTCAAGGTAAGTCTGAACTATATCACTCGATGAATGGTTGTTGAATTGCGATGTAGCTTCCACTCGCGAATCCCAACGAGACAGCTTCGCAGCAGAGTGATGTTGTGCATTTTGGTATCCAGGAAGGCGATGCCGAGGCGCTGACTTATTCGGGTGTCTTCATTGAGAGTATCACAGGAGGCGTCAGTGCAGCATATGGGAAAACTATCGCTCCAATCTCTTGACAGGCAACTGTCCGATTGATACTGCAGCGGTGAATCCACGGAGGCAATAGGGTAGCAGAGTGTGGGATAAAGAATTGGGATGAATTCATGATGTGCCGGGTATTTCAGGGTATTTCAGGTTGAAAACTACGAGGTGCTGCACGGTGGAGCATCATCGGCTCATGATTACGTTGTACCCATCGGAGCCAGGTCGACTCCTTGCTCGCTGTCAACGTCTCTCTGCGCTCTTCTGAACTCCAACCGTTTCCAAGCGGCAGGCAGACGAGATAATGATTCCAACATACCTCCATGCAGCGAGTTCTCTCCTTCCCTGGTCCGAATGATGCTGTTTGAAATCATCACGAATACGATCAGCGTCACACTACCAACAACGGCCTTGGAGGTGGCATCCCCGGAACTCCACCAATCGATTGAGAATGCCGCACAGAAGAAGACCATGCTAATATATTATTATCAATGCTCCGCCTATCATATTGGGGTGCGAACTCACCCCCACATCAGCAAGGCCTTGGGAAGGCTGTAGATGATGGCCAACTTTTCAAGTCCGTGTCTCTCATCGTGAAGGCTTGTTAGGAATAATGCCTGAACCAACCACCGTAAGAAATATGGTTAGTATACAGCAAGAGTTACTAACTATTTCCTCAGCTGTCTTTTGTCCACATGTTCGATCTTGGGAGACAAAGAGCAAGCCAAGAACTATACTTCCCAAGCTCGTCACAAGGGACATGTAGCTTGCCATTTGAACGGCAGATCTACCGCCCTTATCAACAGTGTTGATAGCCAGAAACCCGACGTTGGCATTGAGCAAGACAGTGGCCTGGCTCAGTATTAATAGCATGCAAGTACACGACCATAACAAGACGGACTTGCCATGAGATTGGAGTCCTGAAGCTGCCCCCTTAATTTCGAAGTGTATGCATCCCACCGTGGTGTGCAGGCAATTCTGTCAGCAAAAATATTGTGCAGTTCTTTGACTTGAGTCACGGGGTCCAAGAACAGGAGGGGTGCGAGAATAAGCATCAACAGGGACGGTTCATACGCCCAACCGTGCACTGTCTGACCAAAGATCAGTCTCGCGCAGTCCTCCCCGTGGAAATCCAAGAAGCGAGAGTGACCTGGAAAATTACCATAAATTACAGCCAGATAGACATAGATGAATGGGAGATTACTGACTGAATGTATGCATTATTCGACCTTGAATAATAATCAAGGTCAGGAAGAGATTGATCTCAATTTCAAGCCTCACCAATGACGATTGCGGGGTGGCATCGTTGCGCGCTCTGATCCGTAGGGGAATAAACTTCGAGAAATGGGATTAGCACATAACATCCGCAAGGGGGCATCGACGACCTATATCATACCATTGACATTGTCTATCACAGAAATGTAATCCCTGAGCTGGATGAGATCGTATGGCGCAGAAGACCGCCTGGACGTTAAGTGATCTGATCGTTGCATTAGGCCAGGGTATTAAGGTTAAGAGAGTACTAACCACATGTCGCATGCACCAACATATCCTTGACCTCATCGACAAGGTTCTGCGTAACCGAGCACAGGCTAGGGAAGTAATCCCAATGTTTCCTACGTCACATGTTACTTTACTTCCACATGAACCTGTGATGTTGTTAGGAATGTGATGGTGTAATAAACGACGCCGTGCGGACCTTTGATGGAACACACCAGTATTGTGCTTGAATAGAAAGCTCTGCATACAAAAACAAGGGCAAGTCGTCAGATACAGACCCCTGAGAACTACCAGGCACCCACGTATGTGCGAAAGACTTTCAACGCCTTTACAATGGGAGAGAATATACTCGGTATCGAATTCATCCAACCAAAAGAGACACCTGTCACGATGGTTGACGAAATAATACCAACAAATGATGCTGTCAGAGTCAGGAGCCTTCTTCGGCTCAAGCACAAGGTCCACCTGCATCATGTCAAGCTCACGCCCCTCACACTTAGACTCCAGTGCACGCAATAAGTACTGCATGTACCATTCGATGTCACCGCATATTTCTTCGTCACAAACATTCATTTCTGTGCATGTTCTCTGTATTCAACTTAAACCGTCAGTCTTCAATAATTTATGAACTTCACACACATTTTCCTGGTTCACAAAGTAGCGAGATCCTTCTGGATGCACGACAGTGGTCCATCCTGGCGGTAGAGCCGTGCTTTGAAAGGTTGAAGCGCGGCAGAAAATGGTAAAATCATTGCTTACTCATGCGCTGGAAATGCGATTGTCATAGCAGGGACGGGAATTTTGCAAAAGTCTGCGGCCCTTTGGCAAGGTTAGCTCTCGAGTAAGGGCAAGGGAGGAGGCTCGTGTTCACCGGGTAATGCGCCTTTCGTACCGCCTGACTCCATCTGCGACCATTGGGGCTATCGACGGACCGTCATAGAGCGTAACGACTTCTGAGCCCGGTTGTCCGTCGTTGTCGGGAGGGACAGTGTAATGAACAAGATGTTCTGCCTGGGCAAGTAAATCCAATGGAACAGAAATTGTTCCCGGGAATACATGGGGTAGAATCGCGATGGAGCTGACACTAACGGTGTGAGATTGAAAAGGTCCCGTGTGTGTCCGATATGCAGCTTGTCGACTCAGTGATCCAGCAATCGATCGTGTAAGGGAGCTCGTGGTATTTATGGATGACGCGCACGAATGTGATCTGGGTAATTCATGGGAGACTGAAAGGGGCGATAGGCCTGGATTGTTAGACCCCTGTGATCTGTTGTTCACCGAGCTCTCTGCAGGACTAGTCTGCCGAGACGGATGCAAACTTGACGTTGAAACCGAATGAAGTCCGCCTGTTTCAGCAGCCCCTGGCGACCCTTTCGTTGTTATATTAGTCTCCGAGCCAGGCATCGCTGTACTCTTTCGCACAAGTCGTGAATTTCGTGAATGGGTTCTTAGATAAGGATCATCTGAAGAAGAAGATGGGGAAGCCCCTGCAGCTTCCGGCCCCGTTTGATCAGGAGGCAAAAGACTCGAGAAAATGGGCGCATCCTCTCCTGCGATGTCTCTTTGAGATCGCGGGAGGGTGGAAAAACGAGTTATCGATATCCGATCACCGAGCTTTAAACGACGTGCAGAGTTGTGAGTAAAGCGGCGAAGTAAAGACAAGAAAAAGATGAATAAACTCGCAGAGCGGCGTGCAAGTTGTGAAAAGGATTTCTTCAGTGTCTTGATGATATGGGCGAGTAATTGCGCCGTGATCATGGCTAGTGAGTGATGGCAAGCAAGGGAAAGGGAAATAAGGGGACATATGCCATAACTCTGTTATCTAAACTTATCAGCGTGCACTGACGCTCATCACATACGGGCGCAAAGTGTTCCACTTACTGTGCTAGAACTTCGAGAAACAACCGTTTGTTTCAAGAATATGAAAGTCTTCTAGAAGATCAGCTGGGTCGCACGTGAGATCACCCCTCGAGAATTTGTTTGAATAAGTTCTTGCCCTTCTAAAACTTTCTTCCGAGTTCAAGTTGCCAGCATCGACTGTGTCTGCAATGTTCATGCAGGCATAGTGAGTCCTTCCCTCGATCATCTTTCCGCATACCATTTCTTCACACCGTTCGTTGGCAGACTATCATATGATAGTGTATCCTGAGGAAATTGATTGTCATGGGTAAGGCTCGTATATAGCGTCAAACCGCCTTGTCACCATGAAAAAGGAGGAGTAGTGGATCGTCCTTGCTAATATCCACCTACACACTCACCGTCGTACCTGTGCAAGGTAGCTGATCAACTGGTTACGTAGTAGCGGATGAACTGTATTGGATATAGTATTAGTAACCAAATATAGTCCTTCGATTTTCGCCTAAGCGGGGTGTTGAGTCGTCGACGCGGACGACGAACTCGGGATATGCAATCAACAGTCCCCAGACGTGCGTCGACGCTGAACTCCGCAGTACCGTTGTCCCTCATAGGTTATACGGCGGACCTATACTCGGACTCACGCAAGCACGGATACCAGGGACCAGTGAGAAGTGTCCGCTCGCACCGTGCAACCACCAATGGTGGAGGAACCATAGCAAAGAGTGAAGATGGTCTAAGATGTGTTGTTGCAGGACGAGAATGTGAGTAACATTATAAAATATTTTCGTGTAGCATGAGATTGGCGTGTTATTGAGATTATCGCTAGCCCTGCGCATCTTGCGTCTGTCTGATCCAGAAGATCCTGCCAATAATGACCATAAGGCTTCCATCGGTCGCGGTGGGCATCGTATCGAAGCGTCGCGGAACATATGGGATGGAAGTGGCTTAAAGATTGATAGTGCAAGCACTGATGTTGCCTGGTGCCATGGCAGTAAGCAGTTGCCCATACTCTGGTATTCAGCGTCTCATTTCCTTCGAAGGCTACGACAACAAGATTCTCACAAGCGCGCGGAATGGGGATCTCATTATGTGGGATCTCAACAGGGCTGGCAACGCCAAATACGGTGCGTGTACTTGTCTTATATTTGATGCTACATCTCAAACGCTATTAGAAAGAAAGACGAAGAATCATATTCGTTCGATTCACAAGTTGTCCTGCTCCACTATTGTACCATACTACTGCGTTACAGGCTCTGCTGATGGTGATATGCGTGTCTGGGTGTGCACTTGTCATGTACTAGCCTGCTCAGTAGCTCACTTTTGGCGTAGGATCTTCGAGACATGTCCAAGTCCCTCTTGAAGATCCACCATCCAACCTCAGTTCGCTCTGTTGTCTTCTCACCGTGTCTATCCCATCCCCTTCAAGCTGTCGTGGGTCTTGACAACGGATCAATCTATCGTTGGGATCTTCAAATGGGTCAGAGGGGTCAGCTCGATAGATTGCCTGTAGCCCATGCAGGTCCAATTCTTGCATTGGACTGGTGTAGCACCCCGGCTGCCAACAATGTCGGTGATGTTGTTGGTGCCGATCGGAGCTGGATAGTCAGCGGAGGTTTGGATCACACCGTCAAAGTACGTCGGCTTTTACTTTCGCTGGGTTATATTTACTTATGGGCATACAGGTCTGGGACCTCACCACATCTGGCACGTCCGCTCATATTGCGCATCAGCCTACCTATACCCTTCATCCGTCATTCCCCGTACGCCGGGTACTCTGGCGTCCCGAGTACCCCTCCGAGCTCGCGATCGTGTCCAATGAGGACTTTGGCGGAGGCACCGAGCTATTAGCCAGTCCTCGACTACAGTCCGCAACTCCAGCATTCATTAGTGCCTCCAGTTCTGTCACGGACGCCACTAAAGACAAGGACTCCAAAGGTAACGGGGCAGACGCCGTGGAGATATGGGATGTAAGACGCGGCTGGATTGCTAAATGGACTGTCGAAGCGAGCGCCTCGGAAGGGGGAGTAACAGGTATGTTCTAAAACTATGCCAGGTCTCATCAGATTAATCACTTGTGTGCATCCCATTTGCAGATGCCACATTCCGCGACTCACATGCGCTTTGGGTCCAGCATGCATCCGGAACATTTGCTCAAGTCGACTTGCGTAGGTCTGTACGCCCTGTTGATGCTGTTCCGCGCGTGGCGCTGTCTTGGCATGTTGGTGTCAATGGGGATACCGACGGGACATTGGCTTTTGTCTCGGACAGAAGAACAAGATGGGAAGTGCCCTACGATGATATGTCCGTACCCTTCGCTTTATGCTACGCTCTTATCTTAATCTTCCGTGATGCAGCCACCCTGACAAACGGCATGTACTTCCTGAACGAAAGCTCAAACTCAAATGCCTTGGTGATAAGCCTCGCATGCCTTTTCTGCAAAATATGGGTACATATGTATGCGGAAGGCTTCGAAATACGGAAACTGGAGGACTTTTTGAGCATCTCGCAAGGAAGTACCTTGTCGAGTTTGACGGGAGGAACAGGGCTGCTGTTTGCAAGGCAAACGCCGAGGTTAGTGTTCCTCGCACGTGGGTGTGTATATGAATAAACAGAATATCCTTAGGTGTCTATTCAAGCGGGAAGCATTCGCGCAGCACAAGTATGGCTGCTGCTTGGCTCTCTACTTACTGATGTCATTCCAGAGTTTATAAAACCTTCACCTCATTCGGAGAACAGCTACCAGATCATCCCACACCTCACGCACTCTAATTCGGCTCCGGCTGCCTTTCCTACAGTTGGCACAAACTCTGGATCTCATGCCTCGGGTTCCACCTCGAAACCCGCCTCAAAGCGTGGCGCCTCGTCAGATTCTGTCTCCAAGATGATCCAACAGATACGCCCCAACTCTAGTTCCCCCGCCAAGTCACGTATCACCAGTCAATCTCAATCTCTACCCCAAGATCAGCGTTCCACGTCGAAAAACAGCAACGGAACCTCTGCATCGAGAGAACGTTCTGGGGAGCGAGAAGCCCCACCCGCAACCAAACCACCTCCAAATTCACGAAACTTAACCCCTGCGTCATCCACATCCTCATCGCCTCGTCACATTCCCGCTTCCCTTCCGCCAGCACCAGCACTCCCGCCTTCGACGACCATGACGCCTGTTACGATAACACCCCGCCGTCCATCTGTTCTTATTTCCACCCCGGCATTGGCGCAAGGACAAGGACATATAAGGCGGCCGTCTGTGTATAGTCGTGCGTCTGCAGCCCACAGCGAGAGCCCCAGCGCACCTAGTATCAGTGCGAGCGACCGAAGCCTCCGCCACGTAGGCGAAGGTGCTCTGGATGACTCGGATTCGTCAGACGGCGAACACTTGGTCAGCGCTGACGCCCCGGACAGTCACAGTGAAAACGAGGCAGACGTACCGCCCGAGATTCCTCTGCGACCCATAATGTCGAAGTCGAGAAGTCTTAGCATGGGCCGCACAGGCCCGGCGCATCCCAGCCCACTCTCCAGACTCGCTGGGCAGCGTTGGACGGAGGATGAGGATGATGGTGGTAAGGAGCATGGGGACGACGAGGCTAGTCCGTCGCCTGGGTCGACTGATACTGATGGCGAAGGACATAGCGGTCGTGACTCGGAGTGCAGTACTAGACCACAGACGATCAGGGTAAAAGCAGCATCTGTGTCGAGGACACGACCCAGGAAGAACTCGGCTGCCAAGCGACTGAAGAGCCGTACGCGAAGTGCCACCGTTGCTGCTCTTGCTGCATCATCACCATCTCCTGTGTACACAGTGTCCGAGAGTCCTCATTTGGCGAAACAGGCGAGCCATAGTAGCATTCGTACTGTTACTGCTGGGTCTGTCCAACAGGAGCAAAATTCTGGGCTTGGGCATCATGATGAGGATGCCATGCAGGCGGACGCAGAGTCAGATGAATACCAAGCCTGGCATGATATGACTGAATCTAGACGTCACGCTGTGATGGAGGAAGAAGCCCAGCTCCGCGAGGCAGCATGGCACGCACTTCGAGACGCGCTTGAAGAATTCGCAGAAGCAGTAGGGGATTAATTTGACGTGATCTCGTGTGGTTTCTGATGTAGCACCGATTAGGGTGATGTTCAGATGTGCGCTATGCTGGCGCTCATTGCAGCTAAGGAACTGGAGATCAGCCGGAGGAGAGGTTTGCAATTCTTAGAGGCATATATAGGTAAGCTTGACTGTTCACCTGTTATGAACGCCGGACTAACACCCATAAGAACTACTCACTCGCCTCCGACTGCACACCTGTGCTGCTTACCTGCGTAAATGCAGCGATTTCGAAGATGTTACAAGTACCACTAAGGTGTGTCCCTGTTACACTGATGCGTGTGAGACGAGGTTGAAGATACATTGTAGCTCGAAACCGTCGTTTACACCGCCTGTGGACGTTGTCGAAAGGCAATCATCCTCTCTCGCCCTCGAACAGTGACAGGGGCGCACGCATTATGTACGACATGCAAGAGTGCAGTTGTAAGGTGTTCGATATGGTCAGTCAAGCATTTTATGTCTCTGCGCGTTGAGAACTCATTTTCATCAGTCATCTTCCCGTTCGCACACTCCTTTTCCAATGTTCTGTGTGCATGCACGGAGGACACCAAGAGTGCTACAGGCGATATTACATGGAACGCCCGATGGTCGATATCCCAGCCCCTTCATCTGCACGAGGGCGTTCGCTGATCAGAGAACGAGATGATGACGTAGAGGAGGGAGAAGAGGTCACCAGCTCTGAGGGCTGGCGGGAGAGGACACTGGCGGGTCATCCGTGTGCAGCTGGATGCGGGCATTATTGCTGGGCAGCTGTGGGTGGGCACCTAGGCGGAGAGGAAGCTTCATGAGCAGTCGGTCTAGGAACGATTTGACTCTACAATGCAACTTCACCAGCAAAGATGAGAATGTCTATCTACGACGGGTTTCCCTACAGACTGTAGTGTGCCACGAATAAATTACTTTGTCACAGGGGAAAATCACGCCTGCTACTGCCACTCAGCCTGGCCTCCGGGCGGACCCAAAGTCAGGATAGTTCCGTCAAGCCACATCTAGAGGAAAGACAAGTCAAGTTCCTTCTTCAAGTATCTTGGCGCAGACGTTCATTTCCGTCGGAAACAAAGAAGACAGAGGTCCCGGTACCGTGGCGTTGCCCAGCACTGGTTCCACGGTCATAGCCTATGGGTAGGCTATTAACACGGGTAGGTGGCCTAGGCCACACCCAGATTAACGAACGGACGGATCTTTGCAACACAATACATTAACTGTCATATGCTGTATTAGGTACTGCTCGTTCGAAACTAGCAGTCGGACGAATCGACGAAGTTGAGCTGAGGCGTGATCAAAGGGATCTGGTCAACTGCAGCACATCTCCATCAACCGATGAGTAGTACGTTGATTCGAATAAGCTGGAACGGTAGCTGACCAGAACTAGCGACAGCAAAATTTCAACCGTCTTACAGAACCGAGAGTACTTGACAAAGAAGTTAGACATCGGAAATTGGATAAAGAAGCGTTATGTTATCATAGGTCCAGAACGCCCGACCCTGTTCGCCTCACTGGGTCTGTTTCACCAGGGGCCAGGGCGCATGACATCCCTTGTTCGGGGAACTCGTTATGGAGAGGTGTAGTTGGACGTAGTTGGGCTCCAACCAAACGCTAGCGCATACTTGGAAATTCTAGGAACAGAATAAGCGAAGTTCAGAAGACCTGCCAACCCCACTAAAGTCTGTGGGCGGTAAGAGTGAAGGCGTCCGTGACGCAGGCACCATTGGTCTATCCTAGGCAGATGCACTATGATTATCGATGGATAACTGTCAGCCCTTCGTTTGATGCCTGGTATGGTTGGGAGAAAACAAAGGATGAGTACATAGTACGTTGATTCGAATGAGCTGGAACTGGGACCTGCCAGGCATATAATCCCCTGAACTCTGTGAGCGGTAAGAGTGAAACTGACTCCAAAGCAATATAAAATGCAGCCCACAGACACAGATAGGCATTACGCAGGCCCTTCATTGGTATATCCTATGAAGATGCACCATGGTTGCCGATGGATAGCCGCCGGCCCCTGTCTTGATGTGATCGGTATAGTTGGGAGAAAATAAAGGGCGTGTCTCGTAATCAATTAAACCGACAGGACGCATATTGATATTAGTCGTCCCATGATCCATGCCACAGTCCCCACCATTGCGCCCGGAGGTGCAATGTCGTTATGGATGAATAGGACGTCAAACATACCCCGCACTTGCAGCACTGTTCGGCAACATCACACCCCGGTCGAACAAACGGCCCAGAGTGACTTGCACAAACTGCACCAAGCAAACTTCGAGGTATAAAGGGCCTGCAATGTACACGGTTTTCTTCAGTTCACTCCTCTTTACAACCAGGTTAGCAAACAACTAATCTTGAACATGCCAGTCAACGTCGCCTGACATTTGTAAGGAATGTCATTCTGCTAGCTATGGAATTCCCTTTGTTCCTCCGGCTATAGACTTCCCCTTGTACCGGTCGACGTACTACTCGGCTGACTACTCGTACTGCCACTCACTTAGATATAAAAGCCGATCCTTACCTTCTGTATCGATAGTGAATAAATCCCCCTCACTCATCTCTCATCACTCGTGATCTATCAATCCCCGTCGAATACTTACGCAGCATTACACATTGCCCTCATACAGAAACCATGTCTTACACCATCGCAGTCAGAATAGTCGACGCCAGTGCCGGAGACCCCGGTTTCATGATCGTCGAGAAAACCGTGTGGCACTACGCCAACTGGCGGGACGTGGTCCAACATGGACTCTATCGAGACGCTCGTCATGGGCGACAGCGGCACGTCTGGTGCGCTCCGCTTCAGAAATGGCGCCGGGGAGGAGTTCCTCGTGACGCTCGGCGTCCATAATTATAAGAGGTGGTGCGACGTCGTCACTGACCTGGGGGCCGGAGAAACGGGCATGAAAATACAGCCCGAGTACTACATGGACTCCAGCCCCAGGAACCAGATGCTGTGGAAGCAACTGGCTGACATCCAAAGGAAGAGCGCGAAGGGAACTTCGGTGGAAGTTAAGTACGTCAAGGAGGTGGGAAACTCCTTCGTCGTCCACATCGACATTACTACTTGTTGAATATCTCGTGTAAACGCTGCGATACCGAAGGAGTTGTACTTACGAAAATTCTGTATGATTGGAAATTGAATGTACTACTAGTATGTCAAGACGTAGTCAATCATTGAGTTGTGGCGGGCACAATCGAGAAGGAACTCACAAAATTGTTTATGTTCATATGGAAAACGACACGTCACACTAGGTGAATATCGCTGGCTGTGCGGGATCGGATACCGGTAACATTCAAGGCGACTGCGATACAGCACGAGTGAGGTATTCTGTCGGGGTGGCATGTCAGTTATACTCAGTTCCTATTCTCTGATGAACTGGCCCCCTGAGCCGGTTCCACTGTCCACGGTGATGGCAGGTACACGCCATATTGACATCGTTAAACTCCGAAGAAAAATGTACCGTAAGATCGCTGACGCAATTAAACATCGCACTGAGGAAAACAACTCGCAAGTGATACGCAAGGTCGTCAAGGATAACGTCATCATACTCTGCAGGAAAACCGCTAAAAAGTCAATCCCCATGAAACATAACAAACTGAAGACCTAGTTCAAAGCTACGTTGAACGATACTACCCTCCCGGAAGAAGAGAGACGCCTAGTGGGCTTCAAAATTCCAAGAAAACCTAAAGCCGAGTAGAAATACTGCGCCATGAGACCGCCCGAGAATACCTAATGGCAAAGATCAGACTCGAAAGCGAGTCACCCACGAACAAGTTGTGGTCGAGGGTTGGGAAAGCGCAGAAGCACCGAGACACGATAATAGAACTCGAAACACTGAACTCACCATCCGATGCCCCAATTATGAACATGATAGATCCCATAAGATAGCCGAAATAGCCAAAGGCCACAAGACTTGACATAGTACCTCGGTAAACTGTAAGACAGACAGCCCGAGTAACCGAGCAACGCTCGACGTGTAAAGGACCAGCATTGCACACCATTTCCCCCAGTTCACCCATCATTATAATCAGGTTAGCGAAAAACCAACCTAGAATCTGCCAATCAACTTGTCTGACATCACCTTAATACAGAAACAATGACTTACACCATCACAATCAGAATAACCGACGACACTACCTGTAAACCCGGTTTCACGGTCGTCGAGAAAGCCGTGTGGCTCCACGCCAACGGCGGGACGTGGTCCAACATAGGACCCACGGAGACGCTCATCACAGGCGGCAGCGGCACGTCTGGTGCGTTGCGCTTCAGAAATGGCGCCGGGGAGGAGTTCCTCGTGACGCTCGGCGTCCACAACTACAAGAGGTGGTACGATGTCGTCATGGATCTTGCGCCTGGAGACAGAGGCATGAAGATCCAGCCCGAGTATTACTCAGATAGCGCTAGGGGCGAGATGCTATGGAAGCAACTGGCTGAGGTCCGAAAGAAAGAGCGCGAAGGGAACTACCGTGACGGTGAATGTTATAACGTACGTCAACGGATAGGGAAACTCTTTCATCAATATCATCATGTCTTCTTGAACGTCTTGTCTTGCGTTCTCGCATCTATTACAGAAGGAGTTGTAAGGGTAATCAATAGGAAATTTGTATGGTTGAAAATTTGAATGCACCTATTATGACAACAGGAAATCAACCCCAATGTACATGATATAGTGTATCGTCACGGATGAATCTAATGACTCGGATGACTCGGAAGAGTACTAAGCAATGTAGTGTACCGCTGGGGCAACTTATACTGGTGACCAGCCCGTTGAATAAACGACCGTCTTCCTTCTAGTGGGGGCCCAGTGGGGCAACGAAGCTGACAAGCTCATATCAAATAACCCCTAATAAATAGTCCGACTAAAGATCATGTTGGTACTTCTGCCCAGATAACAGACAAATGCACCGAAGAACGATCACGAAGCGACGGTATCAGGTACTCAAAAAAAGTTCAAAGGGAGAGTACTACAACAAATCAACACGAGGCAGGAACACAAAGCATAACAATATCAACGACATATTACCATCTTCATACAAGTCCGTATCATATCCGAGCTTCGAGATATGCATCTGAATCACTCCCCTGCAAACAAGCGCACGAGCATGTATGTCGTCGACCCGAGGAAACGAATGACTATGGAATAAAATGAAAGGCATCAGTACTAGCGATCATGTGAATGTGAGAAAATTCTGACGTACACGCAAGTCCGGCCACCGAGAACAGGATGAACGCCATGTACCCGTTCACAGCTGCACTTCCGGTCCCACTCGTCGCCGTTCTGCGATAAAAAGGGTAAGCGCTGGTGGCAACATCTATGATCTCTTGAAAAACTCACGTTACAGCAGCAGCCAACAGAGCCTAAAAACATGCTCAAGTCAGCTCCCATACGAGCCAATTCACCGATCACTCACATTACTCAAAGTCCACACCAACAATACATTCGTCCTGAATGTCTTATAATAGTCTTCTTGCTGCGTCGCCGGATCGGGCTTAGACTCCGCCTTGGGTGGTTTCGAGGACAAAACGACTATAGCATCCTCATATGCTGCGTTGATGTCTGTCTCAGCCGTAGGTACTGCTACCTCGACTTCATTCTTATTGTCGCCCTTGCCCGCGCTGACGACACCGAGATCAGTAGAGACTTTGTTATCGCCCTTCGTACCCCATGAAACATCATGCACGTTCGCAAACTGGGTTTTTGTGAGCGACTGGGAGGTGTAACGAGGAAGAGGGACGTACTGCGTAGACGTTCAAGACAGCAATATAAGACGGCGCCATGAGCAGATATTGGACGAAGGAAGTAATCATATGCCACGGCTCAAACTTGGATGATCATCAATACACAGTGAGGAAGATAAAAAGTGAACGATGACCCACGAAGATCAGCGAGGAGACGATATACAGCCCCAGGGTGGCCGCTATCGAGAGCACAACATCTCTAAAGATCGAATTCGAGAACAAGTCGCTCGCCTGGATCGCCCGTCCTTCGCTTTGTGCGACGCTCTCGATGCCTTTGTATGCAAGCAAGAACGCTGAGACTGTCATATAAATCGTGACGACGCCAAACCCGATGAAGGCGAGGGTGTACCCCCATTTTGCGCCTTGCGGCCGGTTGCCGAGCGAGAGAAGGAAGCACATGATGAGCAGCCCGAGATAGAAGTAGTTGAGTATAAGGTTAAGGATGTGGATTTGAGGGACGTAGGATTCGAGCGCTTGGGAGAGGATGATGAAGGCGATGTAGTAGTTGCCCTAATGAGTGTCATTCTGGCGGTGGAGAGAAGGAAAGAGAAGGGGGCTTACTAGGGCAAACCAGGAAAAAACGAGGTTGTACAGTTGATAGACCATCTCTATGTGAATCCAGAACTTGCGCATGAATGAATGTGAGGAACGATAGAGGTAGTGGAAATGAACGGTAGAGTGTATGGCGGCAAAGAAAGAGCCGTTAAGCCAGCGACGTCTTTGTGAAATTAACTCGGGAACCTGTGAAAAAGGGTCAGTCAGTATCACACCAGGACTTGACTACTGAAACTGACCTGGTCCGGAACATCAGTCACGGCGTAGGCAGACTTGACATAGTGCAGAATCCACGATCCCCCACGTTTGGAGACCAGCTCCCAACATAATATCTGCACAAGCGTCAGCCAAGACATCATCTCATTCGACTCGACACTCACCCGATCCTCGGCAAGATACATGTTTGCAGTGAAGATATCTGCACCTGCACCATGCATCTTTTCACCTAAAAAGTACTTCTGCAGTGGTCCCTCCCCCATTTGGTCGTTCTGTAGGGCAATGTACCTGTATGCGCTAAAGGCACCAGGCAGCACAGTGATGTACCCGAACACACTCTCTAGTGGCTTATCCAGGATATTCGACATCTTATATTCGAAATTCTGTGCCGCTACTAGTGGGTTGATTAGGAACTGCCCGTACTTGCCCTTCAGAGCGACGATTTCGCCGCATGCGCCACCGACGTTCGAATTGATGTCGAAGGCTTTCCAAAGGTGGTATATTGAGGTGGGACCGGGCATAGTACCGACGTCAAGCAAAACGCACACGTTGGGCTGCAGTATTGGACCGAAGGCATTGAAGAACCAGCGATGGGAGTTGATCTTCTTTTGGTTCTTCTCCTTCAGGCAGAAGATGATCTGTACGGGGACGACACCCTTCTCGGCGCCTTCAATTTTCATTGAAGGGGATACGGATACTGTGATGGTGTTAGGATTTAATACAGACATATAAGTGGAAGACGCACTTTGCGTAGTATACTCGTATATGTGTGCTGCAACAGGTTTTCCATTGACGATGTTCTTCTCTATGATCAACGACAAGACTATTTGCCAGAATTAAAGCGCACCTTTGCAATGCCGTCTTGGTATGCTCCCATGGTAGCAATGACACTCAGCGTCCGAGAATTGATCTTCTGTCGCCCATCACTAACAATACAGACTACAACCTTTTTCCAGCCGTCTTTCCCCCACGTTTTACTCCGATCTCGTTTGCACAAATGAGCGATATTCTTGATGACACCATGCATTGAACGACAGAATAGCTCCTCGTCTTCGTTGTACATTGTCATGACAATGAAAAGCTCAGTTCTCCGGGGAGGATCGTAGTGCACTTGGCGGAGGGTGAATCCAGAGTCCTTGAAGTCATTTGGATCGCAGGTGGCGGCGGAGTACCGCATGTGGGTAAACTCGCGTTCGTTACGCAAAGCGCACATATCCAGCAGTTTTGTTGGTACTGCGGAGTCGAGGACAAAGTTACCGTGAAAAAGTCTGTGCGCTGTGAGGGGGAAAGAAAAGAAGATCAAGCAAATAACACTCACTCAACCTTCTTGATGGTCTTGTACCGCCGAGGTACGCGTTGTGGTATGCGTCCGTAGCGAATGTTAGTCTCCGAGCGATCATCAATAGCCTCCTGATAGCCTCCAGGCATGGGTCCTGATGCATAGGGACCGTTTCGTTGCAACAGTGGCATATCACCCAAATCCTCACGGTCTACCATCTCATAATCCAGACCGAACTGCGACTGCGGACGTGTAATGGGCTGCGAGTTGTCGACAGGACTAATATAGCGGGCATGCGGTGTGAGGAAGTCTGACTGTGGTTGCAGTGAAGGTTGTTGTGTTGGTACAAATCTTGCGATGGTGATGGAGGAAATGGGTTTGATTGTACTTGCGGGGTAAGGAATGGGTCCGGGAGGTGATATTGCTGGTTCGGATCGTACGGCTGGTGTTCATATTGGGTATCAAAGTGTTGTTGGTCGTACGGGTCATATGGTTGTTGTTCATAAGGATTGGGTGTCTGAGACGGGTGGGCGTTGTAGCCATCATTGTAGCGTCCCCGCTGTGCTTCATCGACCTATTCACCATCAGACGCCGCAAAACCACGGCAATGGCGATAGACGTACCTCAGGATACCTTGACATCGCGTCTAGACAAATGATCCCCTAGAAAATATAAGAGCCTTTCAACAAAGAGTTAGCGTAGTCCTGCGTAGTCTATCCAAAATATAAACTTCTGCTGTGGAAAGCAGTTCACAAATTGTGTGGCAGTGCTATTCACAGGTTCCCCTCTTCCCAGCCAAGCGCTTATCAGCGCAGTGCGCAGTTAAGCCTGAGAGCTTCCAAGACGCCGTGCATAAGCTTGGCTGTCCATTGGCAAGCATTTGGAGCAGACAGCGGATCACGAAAAAAATCAATTGCAGTCGATTGGCCCACCACACAATCGGCACAGGTGCGTGATACAGGTTTATAGCATTCACCCATATTCAATAGTTTCATGTTCAGAAATGCACACCTTGAATGGGTGGTGTGGTGTTGGATTCATCCATGGCAGTTGGGGGTCACAACTAGGTGATGGATAGACCCGGCATCAAACCTGTGCCACCTCATAGACGTTTTGGCAAGTCGGGGGCTCAAGAATTTGCGGCCGCTGAATATGTACTCTCTGGAGAAGCAGGTGGCCATCTAAACGAGCTTGATTCATCTAGGCCGTCCATAGCTAACGCTATCTGTGTTGTAGATGACTCTCTGGCAAGCAAATGCATTTGAGGAGTCGGTCCCCGTACAGGATCACCAGCTTCGGCTAGACGGCTCTAGCCTTTTGGTGATTGCAATGCTATACGATGACGAGAGTTGACGCTGATACGATGACGAAAATCAGCAGCAAACAAGAAGCTCGAGCCACATTGAATTGGTTTCTCGGCCGTAGGCGGATCTACCTTCGTAGTTGAACCGAGAACGACTTTCTTCCTTCTTGGAACTGTTCTACAGGTCTGGTTAGGGGGACTAACAAGGGATACGATCCCCTGCAATTTCTAGAGCGTGTCTGGCGCCTTCAACCCATACAACCAACTCGGAGCCATCACCAATGGAATCATTTGAAGGCCCTAAGTACATACTACACCGCAGGGAGTTTGGTCATTACAGGTTGTCTGAGTGAGAACGAAGGAGGTGTAATATAGGTTTGCGAGAAAGGGAGTCGAGATTGGGTGATGTATGAACAAACAGGTTACAGGATCCTATATACTATGTAGTGGCATCGCGAAGTCACTTCACAGGTCTGGACTCTGCACAGTGGCGGCCATCAGTAAACCGATGAGCCACCGATATTCCCATATTTTGTACGCTGAAATGCTCTTTCCTATACATGACGATATATATTACTTTGTATCGTAATGTACAGGAAAGAAGCATTGGGCTTACAAAATACTACAAAATCTACTAATATCCTAATATCTAAGTCTCACCGGTTTACTGATGCCGTGTAATGGATTCCATTCGCGAACCCAAGGAAGCGTCACGTGCGCGCGCGCGTAGATTCCACACGTCACGCGTCCACAATTGCAACTTCCATCATTGTGCCCTTGATTGAGCCACATCAAAAATCTAGATCGATGCTCCGCCACGCCACACTGGCCGACCAGATATAAGGGAAGCAGACTCAGTCGTTGTTTCTTAATTCTTTCCGCCTTTCCCACTTCAGTAGCTATACGAACAGACTCGTCATGTCACCTGGTGACGCACAACCGGGCCAGCCAAGCTCATCATCTACTCCGCCGCGTCCCAATGTACCAGCTCATGATGCTACTAGCTCAATGAAAACCACCCCAAACAGCCGCGGTGCTGCTACTGTCAGTGAACACATTGGCCTGGTCGGTGTCGAGTGAGATTCTTTCTTGTTGTATTTAAGTGGAACCTTAGTATCGTTCATGCAGGATCGAAAAAATCCGCCCATGGGTTCAGCATGACATCGAGCGAGCTGAGCCGTGCCGTGTAGATGCGATGCTGCAAGTCCTCCTGCAGCGCGTTTCTCTCGATGCCGAGACTGAACAGCCCGACCTCCTGGGAAGGTGTCTCAAGGCCGTTCTACCGGTATGCAATGGGGCCGCTGGTAAAAAACCCGATGGTTATCTACATTCTTCCGGCATCAAGGACGCCCTCGACACATAGTGAGTACTCTTTCGCTCATCGGGTGTCGTCACGCGCTCATAACGATTGCAAGTGTGTTGAAAGGAGTCGAAGAAGACTTCTACGAGCCTTTCGTCAAAGCCACCAACATCGCGCTGGCTTTTCTTGAGGATGTCAAGGTCGACGGAATGCGTGGTGCTTCGCGCGAGCCACAAATTATCTTTCAGAAGAATGATAAGAATATGACCCAGTCCCACCAGAACACGACAGCGAGACGAAAGCCCGATGTAGTCATCCTTCCTTTGCAAAGCTCACTCAATGCCTTCCCAGCTGACCATAAGTTAATGGGGGACGGGGAGCATAGTGTCGAGAATGCACCGAGAAAGCCGGCAGAGCAACTCCTTTGGAAAGATGCGCTAGCTGTGGTCGAGTTCAAGAGAAAGAAAAAAATACTTCCTGAGCCCCGCTCTGCGTATAAAGTGAAGGAATATATCGCTACAAAGCCAGAATATCTGCGAGTGGAGACTGGTGCAACTGACGGTCCTGCAGTGTCAAGCGCTTCGCAAACCCAAGCAAAACGACCTGTGGCCGCTGCCCCACGTAAGTAATCAATTCGACTTGCAGAGATTAAACTAAATCAGCCCAGCTACGCGCCGGTCAGGACGTCTTGCTGCGAATTCCCAGCCTACGACCAGCAACTCCAGCTCCAAGCGCAAGGCAGAGGAACCTTTGCAGTCCTCTGGCAAGCGAGCCAAGGTTGGCGAGACGGACTCCAAGCTAGATGTGACTGTCCAGACAGGACTATACGCTGCCGAAATGTTTGCAGCAAACGTTGCAGTCAAACATATCCTCAATCTTATTGTCGTCGGTCGGTTTATTTTTTGATCTGTCCGATGTCCGCACTCTTACCATGGATTTTGCAGATGACATTGTCTGGGTCTGGTATTATGATCGGCAGGGAATTATTCAATGCTCGGGCATCAACTTCAACTGACGATCTCCCACGATTCATGGTGCTGTTATATGCGTTGCAACGATTCGACCTCGGCGACTTGGGGTCGAAACACGAAGTTCAGAGAAGTCGACGAAGGAAATTCTCACGCGTTCAAATTTGGAGACGTGGATCTTCTGCTTCACACCAGCGACGAAGCAAGAGTCAATCACTACGGACTGAAAGGACGCGCCACAAACGTGATCCCTGTCACTAGTGAATATCTCGCTAATGAATACCCTGAGGTCCAGAAAGACGGGATGGTGGCCAAGATCTTCTGGGGAGAGGAGCAACGGACTAGCGAGCCGGACATCTTAAAAGTGGTTGAAGAGATCGCCAAGAAGGAAAAGACCGTGGAAGGGCATGTTCCTCACTTACTTTGGCACCACGAATTCAAGAATCCCACATCCGCAGTCCGGAAGGCCCTCGGCATTGCAGAACCGACCAAGGGCAGTCGCGTACTCTACATCCTCGTATTCCGCAGGTTCCTGCCCATCACAGACCTCGAAGGCGAAGAATTTTTCAACGTGTGGCGTCAATGCATCTTATGTATGTGACTCGTTTCATTTATGTGGATTCACCTTGACAATATGCAGGCCATCTTGCTCTCTGGAAGGGAGGAGTCCATCACCGGGACGTCAGCCCTCCCAACATGATGTTTTACAAGACCGACGAAGGTGTCCTTATGGGCGTCTTAAATGACTTTGATCTAGCATCGTTGGCGACTACAAAGGGTCGTCTGGGCAACGAGCGCACGGGCACAGTGCCGTTCATGGCGCTCGAACTTCTCACCCCAGCGGGTCAACGAGGCGAAGTTGAACACCTAGTATCGTCATGACCTGGAGTCCTTCATGTGGGTTCTCGTCTGGGTTTGTTTGCGTTACAGAAAGGGAGTTCTCCTACCACCAGGGACTCGCCCTTTCGATGCATGGGCAACTACAGGCGCCGTGACATGTAGCAAGGAGAAGTACTATTTTTTGGGTCATTTTTCGGAATACCGAACCTCGGACATTGACTCACGTATTTGGGATCTGGTGTCGGACTGTTTCGACGTGCTTGACGTGGACGCCTACAACAGACGACGACAATCGAGGTTAGCAGCAGACGGGCAGACCAATGCCGAGGAATCAGAATCAGATATGGATGAGTTTCTACACAGATTTACAAGTACCAAAAGCTGGATTAGCCTCAGCGAGTGTTTATCATGATCTTTACATTTATATGTTAAGAATACGGTCTTCTGTGTTTTGATACTGATCAGCTTGGTTACAAGCAGTGACCTGCACTGACATGAAAAGTGACTCCGAGAAGTACAACGAGAGATCTACACCACACATATAGCTAATGACCCTACCGGTACGGTATATACCTACAAAATTCTTGGCTGTACCCTTGAATAATGCAGTCCATCTCACTCGGATACACGCGCGTCCCCCACATCTCCTCATTGGGAATCCAGTACGACTCAGTAATAGTCTCTGGATTGGCCGGGAACTGGTACCCAGCCCTGAGCTCAGCCAGATCCGTCCCAGTTGCGCGTACAGGCTGACGCTGTCTTCTACCACATCGCCCAGATTCGCTCCAACCTCCTACCCTTTGCTAGAGTAAAGAAGTTTGCACTGTGGACTTGTTCGTAAAATAGTACACCCGTATCTGAGAATCCGCCCGGAGTATGCATGCAGAGACACACTTGCCTCAGCGAGGTCGCCCCAGGCAACAGCTGCAACAGTGAAGGTGAGGCTAGGGGTCGCTCCCATGGTCAAACTGCCATCCGAGTACGAGACAGAGTTTGCATCGGTCAAGGCGAGGTCGTGACTGCGGTTGTCATGTGCACGTAAGTGCGCCATTGAGCATTATTCTCGCCGACGACCGAGGCCATAAAGGCGGATCCGAGGGCAAGAATTGGTTTCGACATCGTGAGGCTCTGTAACAAGAAACCGAGCACATGGGAGTAAGATCACTCGATGTGTCCTGACATTAACGACATGAGAGTCGAAGTGGAAGCTCTGGGGGATAATACTAGAAAATTAGCAGGCTTTTGTGTTCCAAAATAAGCGCTGCTCTCGAGAAGATGCCAACGCAACATCGTAACGAACTCCGGAAAAAACAGGGGTGAGCACAAGCAGCTCAAAGACTCGGCATCGTACGAGACTTGATCAACGAAGAGAACTGCCTCGATCTTACTCGTGCAATGGGCTTGTTATGGGCTGCACGTAGCGCGCCCGTGGCCATTGGTGGGCGCGATAATAGCAGAATTAGGTTTATGATCAAGAATTCCATTCTGTGCCAATGGTTAGAGAAGAGCGTGGTACTATTGGAGAAACAAGTCAGAGAACAAAGAACAACCTTAAGTTACGCAAAGGACTGACGTACGATATGAACACCTGAATTGCTAGACCTCCCCGAACTCACGAAACAAGCCAGTTGCTGCATGGCGATTGGCTCAAGAAACCTGTCAACATTGCGATATGTACCAAATCTGCGGTCGCACTGGTACCATGCCCGTAGTCGAATCTCAGGCAGGCACCTGACCCAGATACAGAAGCTAGACAGGATATCTGACGGATTAAAGCAGATGACCGGCATCATGACATATATGTTGGACGTACGAAGGGTGTCGTGATTTTACTATCATCAGCTCACAGAGAAGACCTCAGCGCTACCAGGTTTAGTTTCGAACTCACTGAGGTGACTGAGCACGGAGTTACGAATTGTTTGACGGTCCCTATCAGCTGCCGGAGAATTAACCACCGAGCTCGGAACTTCCTTTGCCTGGTTTACCTTGTGCACCTTCTACACCATACGGTTCATCCGGCGTCTTGGCCACCAATACAACTGTAGTACTTCTCGTCTTCTGACGTATCCTGAAGCCGCTCAATCAAGGGCACAATGATGGAAGTTGCAATTGTAGACGCGTGACGTGTGGAATCTGCGCGCGCGCGCACGTGACGCTTCCTTGGGTTCGCGAATGGAATCCATTACACTGTGCACTGAGAACTTGAGGAGGTGACGGCACAGAAGAGGGCTGATGCTGACAAGGCGAGAGCAGCTGTTTACATAGCGAGGATGAAGGTCGGCGAAGGTGAGATAAGGCTCGAGAAAGAGAAAGGAAAGACAGAGGCAGACGATGAAGACGATGAAGCTGGAGCACAAGAGCCATGGTCCATCCAACGTTATTAATCATGAGCATACCTACCCCCTCGCACTACAGCTGTGTTATAACTACATCAATCGAAGGAAGACTTTCATGTACTCATACTCATAGCATCACTAGAACTCCCTTTCTCCCAAACCTCTATTACACCTCCTCCACTCCCATTCAGACCACCAATAATAACCAAACCCCCTGTAGAAATAATCGCATTAACCTTGTTCACTCCAGTCGTTGCTTTAGTCCACTTCAGAATCATATCTAACTTTCCATCCGCAGTCGAGGCACGAATTTCATGGAGCGCGACTCTTCCCATTAATGTGGATGTCAAAAGTGTTCGAGGTCCGAGGAATGTCCTGGAAATTGGTTTGGTGAACTCGCATGGCGCGGTACAGTAGAGACACATACAGAGCAGCGATAGGGCCATTCCCAACGTCAGCCGTGAAGGTTTCATCTTGCTTCAATCCTTCCCATTTTCGTCGTTTCTTTTTAACAGACGTGCCAGATGTGGCCCCTGATATTTTCTCTCCGCCTGTGCCAATCCATACCCGTCCATCAGCAGTTCCCGCAGCCAAGATCCCAGATGGGGAAATGGCAGAGGACAATATGAACGGCGGAGACATTGAAACCCCCGAAGATGGAGGAGATGTCCCTGACATAGGAACGTTAGAGATGAGTGACAACCAACGCACACCATCGCCGAAGGTCGACCTACCTAAATCAAACCGTGACAATACGGTCCTTTGGTGAAAGTCGTAATGCAGCAGACTAGAATCGTAGCCGCCGCTGACAAGTTCACTTGGACGATCGGGAATGAACTTTACAGTTCCACAGATCTGCATCACCATGAGCAATGCATACACCTGAACAAAGAACGATACAGACATTGTCATGACTCGTCCTCATGCGGGTTACTTTTTTGGTAGAAAGATCGATGACGCCGACTGTACCAGAGTCCAGACAAAATGCCAATTGATTAGTTTTTTCGATTGAGCGAGAGCTGGCTAGTCATGATCAGTCAGAAACATAAATAATGATGTTATCCCCTCTACCTCGTTCAGCACGTCGTCATTGTCAGCACCAAGCTCCAACAGTCAAGGTCGCGTCAGCTTTCGCAAGGATCATCTTCTCCGTATCCATAGTAAAACGTAGAGCCTATACAAGGTGAAGTTCATCAGACACAAGCAGTATCACACTCGTGGAGACGTACATAATGATCGGACGCGACCCATATGTCCCCGAGGCCACCTGCATTGTGCGGCATGCACACAACAGACGATACTTCTCCCATACCTCTGATAGCCTTCACGACCTTCAAATTCTCTTGAAGATATACGCGAACCGAACCATCATCTGTACAGAGGAGTCTACATGACATGCCATGACATCTGATGGTAACCCGTACCTGAGCCCGCAAAGAAATGGTCCGACGATCCTTTGGCCAGACATGAAATCGGTGCAGGTGTTTGCAGTGTTTGTCGAAAAGTGTACGGTGTCTCCTCCATGAACGTGAACAAACTCCGAGTCGTCCGGATTCAATCTGGATTGGTCAAAATCTTCCTCTTTAGAGCATGTGCCGATAATCGGCCAGGTTGCAACTGGCCGCTTAGACTCGTCCAGCAGACTTTCAAGTTGGAATGTTAGAAACGGAACCTGAACGACTAGTCACCTCAACCTCTCAGATAGATATGGCGACCACAAGTGCCACTCTAGGTGCTCCAAAGTCGATTGACGACCTCAAGCGACTACTTCGCGATGATTTCAAGGTTAAAGTTGCAGGTCGGTTCGGTTGCAAGATGTGATCACTCGATGTTCATAGCCACTTTCGTTTCTCCACAGGCATCGATGGTGCACCCCTACCTTCTGACAGTTGAATGAGTCAGTTGCTGATTTCCGTCTCAAGTGGATGGTGTCCTCAGAGGAAAGTTCATGGTAGGTTTTTTTTGTCGAGCCCATCCTCATCGATATTTGATTTGTTCCCCGCAGTCCAAAGACAAGTTTCTAGGTGCAGTTACCTCCGAAGGGTTTGGCTTCTGCAGCGTGATTTTGTACGTCCCATTACACCTCCGATTCGCTTTCATGACACAAGTTATGTTACAGTGGCTGGGACATGCACGATACAGTCTACCCTCGGGAACTGGCCATATCAAATAGACAGAATGGTTACCGCGACATGGTGGCTTCGATAGACTTATCGACGTATCGTCGCATACCTTGGGAGAACAACGTACCCTTTTTCCTTGTCTCATTCTTTGATCCGACGACTTCAGTGCCCATCTGTGCGGATCCTAGAGGCGTTCTGCGCAAAGTCGTTGACAATGTGGCTGCTGATGGCATGACATGCATTGCTGGTGTGGAGTTCGAGGTGAGCGGTTTCAAATTGCCATGCAGGGCTCTGAATATTAGTGAGGCTTTTTAGTACTTCAACTTCAAAGGTGCGTTCCGTGAAAGTTCGCATCTCGGAATATAATTCAAAATATCTTGTCCAGAAACTCCAGAATCGGCGGCTCAAAAACAGTTCACTCAGTTGCAGCCACTAACCCCAGGAAGTAAGCAAAAGCACCCGTCTGTTGCTTAATATCTGATGAAAGATCACTACAGTGCATGGATATAGCTTACTACGCACTCAGCTGAACCAAGAATACTTTCATGCGCTGTTCGACGAGAGTCTGAAGTTTGGCATAGACATTGAAGGGCATCGTACGATGATTTATCCATTCTAACAGCGATGAAAGCTGACTCCTGTGCAGACACCGAAACGGGTCCCGGCGTCCTCGAGACTGCGCTCGCCTATACATCGGCTGTGAGAATGGCTGACAATGCTATCCTGTACAAGTTCTTGGCAAAGAGCGTAGGACTCAAGCATGGAGTCCTCCCCAGTTTTATGGCGAAGCCATGGGGGAATGTGAGTTGTATTTTAGTGGAATGTTATAGAATCTCAAGGAAATATTCCTTCAGCTACCAGGTTGCAGCGGGTATGCATCGCTATCTCATTTTGCGTCTAAGCCTCATCTGACATTAGCTCAGCCATATACATGTTTCACTTAAAGATGAAGAAGGTCGCAATGTGTTTTCACTTTCAGATGTGGACCGTGATCGCGGACGAGCTACTGCAGCGTTCGAGGACACAAGATACCTAAGTCAAATCGGGGAGTATTTTTTGGCCGGTGTGTTGGATGGCCTTCCTGATGGTATGATTCATGTTCCATTGATACGTGTATGTTAACGCTCATTTAATGATGCAGTGATGCCTATGGTAAGTGCCCCACTCTCATCAATTTGATTCCCATCTGAACACCTGGGAGCTTGTCCCTACAATCAATGGCTACAAACGTCTTGTGGCCGGTGAAGCTTTCTGGGCTCCTAATGCAGTCACATACGGGTACGATTCTCGTGCGGCTTCCGTCCGCATAATCTCGCCGCCGTCCGTTCCGCCATCTGCAACAAGGCTTGAAGTTCGCGTGCCCGGTGCGGACATGAATCCCTACTTTGCCTTGAGTGCCATTTTCCAGCTGGGCATGCGGGGTATTGCCAAACAACTCAAGCTTACGATACCTCCCATCTCCACTTACCAGAGCGACCCGGCCAGGAAGAAGGAGGTGAGCCGGCAGATGATGGTGCGGCATTGCGTCACTAACTATTTGTGACTAGGTTGTTATGCTTCCTTGTTCATTAGAGGAAGCGACAGAAGCAATGATGAGACCTACCAGTGTTGCACGCGAAGTATTTGGAGATGATTTTGTTGACCACTTCGGGGCAACGAGGCAGCATGAAGTGAGACTCTGGAATGCAGCCGTGACGAACTGGGAAGGTAAGCGATGCATACTGTACTTTTCACTCCATGCATTGATCGGGCCTTGCAGTGGAAAGATATCTTGAACTTGCATAGGACATAATAAGACCCTCCGTGGACGTATATAATCGTCCCTGTGCAAACCATCGAGTTCCTTGATTGCGAATGGTCCGGAACTACGTCAAATACACTGTTTGGTTGTATCAGTTTTGATTTGTTGCACGTGAGACCATGTGATATCCATCGCAGGTACTTATTTGGCTTGGCATGCCCTCCGAATCAAATGAAATTCGGAATAATCTTCGGGCGCATCGTCCCAGTGGAGCGTTCTATCACCGCCATCAAGGCGCGAAGTTCATGACAGACGGGCGGCGCCCCACCATGAACTCTCGGATCTGTATTTACGTCACATCCTTCCAGATTATGAGCGGCTGCGTCTCGTGGTCTCATGACAAAGACTCAAGCGCTTCAGCTCCAGCCTGGAATTGGTGCTATTGTTGCGCCCTCATCTTGTTCGGTTCCTAGCCCATTTATAAGAGGTAAGGCTACATGCCTAGCGCGCGAACTTTTCTGCTCCCCCACTGAATGCAGACAGTGTACTCGGCTGACGCTGTGACAGCGGCAAGGAGTCTGCAGACTTACACGGTGCGTCTCTTTCTTGTGGACAAGAGGGCCTTTGATAACAATAGATGATTCGTGTGCCACCAGTACATATACAGTGCGTGTCATTTGAATCAGTTCTTCCTTGTCCTAACGCGGCTCAGCTTCGGCAGCTACATTTTGGGTGGGCTTGTTCCGATGTGTTTCCTGCTGCTATTGAACTCGCTTGTCCAGACCTATGATTATGCTTGTTCACTTCACCAGGAGGTAAGGCATTTATTCAGGATAAGCTTCTTTTTTTATATTTGATGATAACATATTATTCCAAGTTGGGGTTCCTGCTTCGATCGCGCTGGACCAAGGTAAAAGGCCTTTATATCGTTACGCGATATACATCCTTTTCTCCTTTTCGCGGGACATCTATACTGTGCGTTCGCTTCCAGTACACACCGCTCATCAGCTGAGGAATCGATGGTCGTATTTCAGTGAACTTTGTCCCCAACGAGAACCCTAATGTACGTGAACGCGTGGTGGACTTACTGACTGATAAACGACGCTTACCTCATGATTTCGCAAGAAATGCCAAACGTGGAACAATATTTGCTCATGTACGTGCATGATGCATACATGCATGCACGTCCTTACCGAGTGCTTCCTTTCCCTCTTACAGGTTTCAGCCTAATATCAGTCATTTGCTCTGAATGTATCTCTCCTTCCCCCTGACAAATGTCCGTACCTGATCCGATTCATCTAGGCTTTTTCATCATTAGAACATATGCACTGTGGAATAACAACAAAATCGTGCTCGGAGCCATGCTGACCGCGTTTTTCGTGAGTCCCATGCCCTCACCGCACCCTAAGCTTGTGGTAGATGCATCAATCAGGCTGTCATCGTAGCATCCGTCGGCGTTCTATTTGCCACTACTGCCAACGCACCATGTACGCGCTCTCAACTTCTCCTTGTTCCATCACCCCTCACAGTGTCACCCTCTTCACTTTCACAGTTATGGTCAGCCCGATCCCAGGCATCACAGGCTGCTACCAGTCCTCGGGGAGCGTTGAGCTCTTCATACCATTTGTTCTCTTGTTCACCCTCGAACTAGGTATGTTGCCGGGGGCATAAATATATACAGACGCCCGCTGACCCACGTTCTTCCCAGGGCTCATATCCCTTACGCTCGTACGCGCTATACAGAGCTGGCGGACCGCCAATAACCTTCTGTACGACGTCCTGCTGAAGCATAACATATTCTACTATGCATGCGGTCTATGTGAGTCAGCACACGCACGGTTTTTCCATGCTCATCGAGGCTCATTCTCGTCCCGAAAGTTTTCTCGGCTGCAAATGTTCTCATGTCGCTGTTACTCCATGTGAGTGCACTGCCCTCCTCTCTGAAGCTGAGCCGTTGACATTCCTTACGCTCAGTACGCTTACAATGCCATGTTGCAAGAGTGCGCGCCTTCAAATCATACTGCACTTTCATACTAACAACAACCCCCCTCACTACAAAATCCAGTTTCCAGCTCATCATCCTCGCGATCCTTGCTACACGCATGCACCTCCATCTGTGGCATGTCGACCGGCGCCTACATAGCTCTGACGGTCTCATGCTCATTCCTCTATCTGACGTGTCAACTGCGAGCCGCACTGCTGAAGGCGCTTAGCTTGCTTGTTCGGCGTCGTGAGTGGAGTGGAATTTGAACAGTGCGAGGGAGACCGGTGACCCTGCTTCATAGGCGCAAGGTTTTATTTGGATCGCATGTACTGGACGGGAGTCGGTGAGGGTATGGTGGGGTGAGCTGGTCATATTCAATATTCAGGATCCACGCGCTTGGGGAATGCAGTTCCTGCTGTGTCACGAGATAGGGTGCTACGTTTGGACTTGGACGTGTTTAACGCCGATAGTCAAGCTCGCAAACTGATGGGGCGGAATAAGTGCATCACTGATCAGATTTTGGTGACAGCTGCAAGACTATGGAACCAATTATAGGTACACCAGTCTAGCATCAGTAGTCAACCATTGTATTGCAGGCTCAGGGATAATTTTTGTACAGCATACCAAGGCCACAGGCTGCGGCTGGATGCTACACGCGAAGTCGTCAGATGGTCTCAAGAGTGCATTGATCACCAAGATAGGATGACGCACGAAATTGATCATACACCAATATGCACGAACACGATGCGCTGGTCCAAGGGTATGTCCGTGTCACAAGCTAAGGACTGGACCGCTCGGTGCAGTGCTCGGGCAGCTCTTTTTGAATCCATTGTGCTATCCCCGCAAAAGTTCTTGTAGAATTCTTCCACCATGCGTCGCACAGTAGCATCATTACCCTCCATAATGTCCCAATGACGCTCTTCACCCCAACAAATTGTAGGCCTGCCGCCAGGTGTATCACTTCGTCGGGTGTTGTAGAATCGCCGACTGCGGTCTCACAGGCGGACAAGAATGCGAATTCATGCCGAGACAGATATGTCTGTGTGATATCGAGGAGTGAAAGCGGTTGGTCACGCATGAGAAAGGCCGACTTGAAGGGTTCTTCGAGATTTTGTGTCCCGTGACACGCAAAATGGAGCCAGTGATTATCCTGCAATGTATGCAAGACTCTCGATTTTATCGATTCAGTGCTCGTAACCTTGGTGAAGAAAACTATTGGGGGAGGTGGTAGAAGACTGTGCACTAATTCCAGCTCAGGCTCGACAGCTTCCAAAGGATGTGAATGTCCTGGAGGGTGGTTCTGACCAATGGCAGCAAAAGAGATGGACGGGAATCCGTCATTGCGTTTGCGAGCTCTGATCAGTGCGGTAAGGGATGGGGTATATGAAGAAACATATAGCTGCGAAAGGGACTTTCCACCGCGCTTGTATTCTCCAGCAGCGTGCAACGGCAAGAAATTGAATATAGTAGTTTGGCACCACCATATTCGGGAACCTCGTCGTGCAAATCTACCCAGGATTTCAACGACAGGGCGGACTACATACTCCCACAAATCCCGCAAAGCTTTTATCAGCCCTGGTTGGGTCCCTTTGGGACCGACCTCCGTTTCAACTGTCTCGCGGAGTACGTTCACCAATCGCACGAGATATTCTAAACTGGTAGGAAGTCGAATGCTAATCGGAGGCTGCTCGTGCGGGATAATGATGGCATCGCAAGACGACTTGCTTGCAACGAGCACGATGATAGGTCCGTCACGAGCTGCAACTTGGAGATCCGAGCACAAGGGGGGAAGTAGGAAGCGATCAAACCCCTCGAACTTCCGAATACCTTCCACGGATTTATTCCAGTTCTTCATTATATGTCTGTAGCGGGCATCTTCTGCTTCTACGTCGACTCTTGGGGTCCCTTCTGGATGATTCACAGCAGATTTATCAAGGAGGGAGCTAAGGTCTCGGAATTTCTTCATCAAAGCTTCTGCATGATCGCCACGTTCCTTGAGGCTGTCAAGAGGCGTGTGGAGTCGTGCCATCTGGGTCCAAATGAGAGTCCTGCCTTGTTCCAGCAACTCTACAGCGCGGCACACATCACCACGACGAAGAGCACATGATGCGGCATCAACCGCAAGCGTGCGTGGGAAGACCTTCATAGTATCATGGCGAGATGTCACCGAAGCGGTGGCAGACATGTAAGTGTCCAAAAGTTGTATAGAAGTTGCATAAGCCTCCAGTTCCGTGCAATGTGTATGTTGATTAGCATGGTGAAGCCAGTATAGACTTGCACGCAGGCGAAGTAGAAAACCTCCAGAGACAACATTTGATGCTGCCTCGAGATGACGCATGGCGGCATTCAGACTATCAGTATCTTCGCCTTGAAGTTCGCCAGTGCTGTCAAGTCCTGATCGATGGAACAGCAGATAGACGTCAGCTAGTGACCAATGGACGATTAAGTGACGGGGATCATGTTGCGTCAACAGAGTCAATGCACAGCGGATATTTTCTAATGACTCGTTAAGGTCTTTGTTATTGCCTCGGTGCTCGAAGCGGGTGGAGAGTACAATGGAAAGGTTGCGCAACGAATGGCATCGGTCTGGGTGACCAACCGGCCGTAAACTCAGCGCTTCTCTGTGAAGCGCGATAGCCTCATCCAAGTCTAGGTCATTGCCTCGGTGCTCGAAGCGGGTGGTGAGTTGAGCTGCAAGGTTATTCAATGACCCAGACCGATCTGGGTGACCGACCGGGCGCAACGCCAGCGCTTCCCTGTGAAGTGGGATAGCCTCATCCAAGTCTTGGTCATTGCCTCGGCGCTCAAAGCGGGTGCAGAGCAGACTTGAAAGGTTATTCAATAACCCACACCGATCTGCATGGCCAACCGGGCACAAAGCCAGCGCTTCCCTCTGAAGCAGGAGAGCCTCGTCTAAATCTTGGTCATTGGCTCGGTGCTTGAAACGGGTAGAGAGTTGATTTGCAAGGTGATTTAATGATATGGAGCGACGTGAGTGGCCGACCGAGAGCAAAGCTAGCGCTTCCCTGTGAAGTGGGATCGCCTCATCTAAGTCTTGGTCATTGCCTCGGTGCTCGAAGCGGGTGGAAAGGTGATGTGCAAGGTTATCCAATGATATGGGCCGGTGTGGGTGACCCACCGAGAGCAAAGCCAGCGCTTCCTTGTCAAGCACAATAGCCTCATCCAAGTCTTGGTCATTGCCTCGGTGCTTGAAGCGGGTGGAAAGTCGACCTGCGAGGTTATTTAATGACCCAGACCGAAGTGGGTGACCGACCACGAACAAAGCCAGCGCTTCCCTCTGAAGCGCGATACTCTCATCCAAGTCTTGGACATTGCCTCGGTGCGTGAAGTGGATGGAGAGTAGACTTGCAAGGTTATTTAATGACGAGGACCGAAGTGGGTGACCGACCGGGAGCAAGGCCAGCGCTTCCCTTTGAAGCGGGAGAGCCTCGCCCAAGTCTTGGACATTGCCTCGGTGCTCGAAACGGGTGGAGAGTTGATTTGCAAGGTTATTTAATAACCTGGACTGAAATATGTGACCGACCGGGAGCAAGGCCAGCGCCATCCTCTGAAGCGGGATAGCCTCATCCAAGTCTTGGTCGTTGCCTCGCTGCTGGTAGCGGAGGAAGAGTTGATGTGCAAGGTTATGGAATGACATGAAGCGACGTGGGTGACCGACCGGAAACAAAGCCAGTGCTCCCCTCTGATGGACGATAGCCTCATCCAAGTCTTGGTCATTGCCTCGGTGCTGGAAGCGGGTAGAGAGCACAGTAGCGAGGTTATTCAATAACTCAAACCGAGATGGGTGACCGACCGGGCGCAAAGCCAGCGCTTCTCTCTGAAGCACCAGAGCCTCATCTAAGTCTTGATCATTGCCCCGGTGCTCGAAGCGGGCAGAGAGTCCAGCCACAAGGTTATCTAATGATGTGCACCGATCTGGGTGACCAACTGGGAGCAAAGCCAGTGCCTCTCTGTGAAGTGGGATAGCCTCATCTAAGTCTGAATCATTGCCTCGGTGCTCGAAGCGGATGTATACTTTAGTCGCAAGGCTAAACAATGTCCCAGCCCGATCTGGGTGACCGACTGGCTGTAAATCCAGCACTTGCCTGAGAAGCGCAACGGCCTCGTCGAGGTCTTGACTATTGCCTCGACGCTGGAAGCGAGTGGACAGCAATGTACCCAGATTGCACATCAATTGCCCTCGCTGATCATGTGCTGTGCTGTAGTATCCTAGCGCATCATAATGAAGGGATATCAATTCATCCACGGCATGGGGATCATCCGTGTGAAAACACAACTCTGTTCGACGAGCAAGTTCATTCGGGGACCACGGAAGCGTGGATGGAATGGGCCCCTCCGCCGTGGGTGTATCTGCATCAGTGCTTCTGGCCAAAGCAGAGATCTCGATTGCAAGTAGAGCTGCTCTGTATATGTGGCTGTCGGCAAGGGAGGCATCGCGAACTTCATTCAACAACTCTCCAGCTGCATCAGCATCCGCTTGAAATCCCCGTTTCACAAAGCGAGACAGCAGAGCAATTGCAAGATGGAGCTGGGTGACGGGTCGGTCCGGATGACCAGTGGGGCGTATATTAAGGGCTTCTTCAAAGAGGGAGATGGGGATGTTAAGGCCGAGGTAGGTTCCATTAGCCTGGCAACTGACGAACATCGCGGTAGCTAGATTGGACAGTGTCGCAGGGTGGTAGGGATGATTCATCAGGGCAGAGAATTAGAGGCGCGTTCGAAGTATGTTACGGATTGATCGAGATCCCTACTGTTCTGCGTCATGCGGTATCGTGCGAGAAAACGATGTCCGACATCCGTCTGTAGTATTAGCGTTTGCATATCGCTGGACGTGAGCTGCACGTTGCAAGCTCTCAGGCCACCAGAATATCAGAATGCGTTGACCACTTACGGTAGTAAGGGGGCGAAGAACTGTGGCTTCGTGTTCATCAGAACGTCGTCGCTCCACCGTCATGAACAGGGAAGTACACGAGGATACAACTTGCCCTGCTTTTGGTTGAAATAGGATGGCTGGGTTATCTCGTCAACACCCGTCACGAGCCATTCACACCAGAAGTTACTAACGATGTGACTTTTCACTGCGATCCAGTAATTCTCCAACTGAGACCTCAAATGTGCGGAGGAGTTCTCCATGACCGAGCATGGGACTCAATTCAAACGGGGCATACACACTGATACGAACTTTAGAAGATGGCTCGAATGGCCTAGGATCTTTCTCAACATTTGCAGGAAAGACGGGATGAAGGACGTTGAACCTACAGATGTATGAGCTCGTTCCATTGGACGACAGCCTGGTTTATGTGTGCAGGTTTGTTGCTTGTCTGCCATTCAACACCATCAGCCTTCACTGTGACATGGAAGCCAACGGGAATGCGTTGGAGACCAAGTGTGAGATCAGTCGCGCGAATGGCTTGGGGAAAACTGTCAATATGTGCTGAATGAAGCATACATGGCACATACCAGTAATGGCGATTCCACTAACGTGGGTATCTCCCTGGTTCTGAGAACTTTCTGGGTGGCTTAGTTCCTCTGCCGGGGGTGGAAGGCAATGATCGAGGGGATCAAGTACGAAGCTTGACATTTGGCTGAGGGATGGATATAACTTGTAATCTAACGCTTGAGAGTGGGATGCTGTTAAAGATCACGATTCACAAAACACTGCAGGCATATGTGCGCAATGCGATGTGCAGCAATGACGTATTGGAACGTCCTGGAGTTGTAGTCAATCAGAAATGATTCGCAGTATATCAAGCCATCCATAATTAATTGATTGTTATAGGGTGCCACGCGTCGTAGTCACGTGGAGGACCTCTAGTATTGCCCAGGGGACCCCAGAGCACCTGATACGACTCACAAGCCTCGACTTCTCAACGAACAAGCTCACTGATCAGCTTAGTGTAAGCAACCATGGCGGACCCTACAAAGGCGGAATCAGAGCAGATCTTCAAAGTGCTCAGATTGCAGAAAGGCAACAAGGTCAGTTCGTTTAAATCTACCCGGCGTAGTTGCTCACTTCCGAGACTGCAGATGTGCTTTGATTGTCAGGCTCGGAATCCGACCTGGTCTAGTGTGACATTTGGGGTTTATATCTGCCTAGACTGCTCTAGCGTTCATCGGAACATGGGCGTTCACATAACTTTTGTCCGGTGTGTGGTTCTTTTTATGAAAACCAATGTCCTCGTGCGTTCTGATCGTCGGGAACGGTATGCCAGATCTACGAATCTCGACAGCTGGCAGCTAAACCAGCTTCGTACCATGAAAGTCGGCGGCAACACGTCAGCGACCGAGTTTTTCACGCGACATGGCGCTACGGCCCTTCTCAATGATTCAGACACTAAGAAGAAGTACTCGTCTCGTGCTGCTGAGCTATACAAGGAAGAACTTGCGAGACGAGTGAAGGAAGATATCGCAAAGTGAGTTGTTAGGACATCCGTGCGGAAATTAGTCTAAATGTTTATCCTAGATTCCCTACACGTATCGTGGTTGATGGTGTCGATGCCTCTCCTGCGAGTGCTGAAGCTGCGCCGGCAGAGGAGGATTTCTTCTCTTCATGGGAAAAACCCGCTACCTCCAAAACACCTTCTTCAGCTCCCATAGCTCCCCCTATGATTGGGCGGCTAGCATCGACCGGCTCGACCGTCTCTCGAACAGCCACGTCTAGTTCTATACGATCGAACTCTAGCACCTCTACAAATGGCGCCGCTAAGCTCGGCGCAACGCGTTTAACATCATCCACTTCTGCGATCGGTTCATCGGCGACCGCTACATCCCAGAAGAAATCCAAGCTTGGTGGCCTCGGTGCAAAGAAAGCAGCCGCGCCTATAGATTTCGCAGAAGCGGAGCGTAAAGCTGCAGAGGAATCTGAGCGTATCAAACAACTTGGATATGACAGACAACGTGAGGAGGAGGAAGAGCGCGCGCAGAAAGAGGCAGAAAAGGTGGCTGCATCACAGGCGAAGGTCAAGGCTGCCGATAATACCATCCAAGCGAGCACGATGCCGGGCAAAGTTGACTTGCAGAAGGGCAACAGCCAAGATCTTGAGAGGCTGGGTATGGGCTTCCGCAAGCTTGGCTTTGGTGGAGTTCCAACTGCATCACCTTCATCCACTGCGCGATCAAGGTATATCTCAATTTCAACCAGGACTCAATGGAATTGATCATTGTATAATCGCACAGTCCTGCTAATGATGACGCACCAACCACTGCACGAGACAAGTTTGGGAGCCAAAAAGCTATCTCCTCCGACATGTACTTCGGCCGAAAGGATTACGACCCTACTTTTGTCTCCGAGTCTCAATCTCGTTTACAAAACTTCCAAGGCGCCACATCTATCTCCTCTAACCAATACTTTGGCCGCGAAGAAGAAGATGAGTTCGAGCGTGCTAGTTCAGATGGCGGGTTGTTGGGCGATGGCAGTCTCTCGAATCTCGAAGTTGCTGCGAGAGATGCCATATCAAGAGTCATGGCGAATCCTGATGTCCAGAACGTCGGGGAGAGCATTCGGACCGGTGCATTGAAAGTCAGTATCTTATCCCTCTCCTTGCGGGGCTAATGCTTACTGTGCAACTTAGCTTTCGGATTATCTGGCGCAGATGTCTCAGCATTAAGTTGGGCGATGTGCCATATACCCTCTCCGATACATCTCGGGTTCTTTTGTTATCTTTTCATACACGCGCTTGTAGTTACTTTTGGGAATGGGCTACCAGAATTGTGTGGTCAAGTTTCATAAGCCACGTGGTTTTCAGCGGTGTTGTTTGGCAAGAGCCTCTGAAGTAAACAAAAGTCTAAGATCGAGAATGTGCATCCAGGCTAATGAGCCACCATGATTAGATTCATCCTCGTGCAGGCAGGTGCACTATTCAGCATGAAAGACTGCATGCTCAAATGATCGCGCTCAGAACCGTCAAGGGAAGACACGGTTGTCGAAGTGGTATGTCCCGTACGACGACGACGAGAAGGTGCGATTGGCGCAATTGTGAACTTCTATGCCATTGACATGTATTCAGGTCAGGCTCCGAGGTGAGGTGCACAGACTAGTCGCTCCGCGCGACCAGAAGCATCAGTCGAACTTTGTTGAGGTGAGGACGGAATGACGTGTCACGCATTTTCTATTTCTTATGACGTTGAGCAGTTCAAGAATTACAAGATCGTGTACAGGCGATATGCCGGTCTATTCTTTTGCGTGTGCGTTGATGCTAACGACAACTGAGCTGGCATACCTAGAGGCTATTCACCTCTTTGTCGAGATCCTTGGTGGGAGACTCATTTGCATCCCTACGGGACCGAGCTTACTCGCTGGCATTGATTCAGACTCATTCTTCGACAACGTATGCGAGCTGGATCTTGTCTTCAATTTCTACAAAGTGCGGTTTTGTCTATCCCTGTCGTGCATTCTTTCTAATGGAAGAATGTAAGGTGTACGCAATTTTAGACGAGATATTTTTGGCTGGCGAGATTGAGGAAACCAGCAAGGATGTGGTACTATCGAGGTTAGAGGAACTTGAGAAACTTGAGTGATAGGCTTTGGATCGTAGTTTGTGAGTCCACTGTATGATACGCCCTGCGATTGATTCTCATGATCACAGCTCTCTTATTATAACAGGGACTTTATAGTAGCACGATGTGTTTGACTCGTGACTTGCCTTGCTCCACATGAATGAATTCGGTACTTGTCATGCTCAGGTGGGCTCCATTGTACAGCCATCTTCATCTGTGGTTATTCTTTCGAACGATGTATCAAATGGTGGCCTGCCAATGCAGCTCATCCTCGTGTATGAATGAGGGCGTTACCTATTCTTCTCCATCACAAAATATTAATGGATGTGCGTATGCGTGCACGGCTTGTCTTCGCTGCCATTGCCTCATTTTGTTCACGTCAGACTGCAATGGAAGACGATGATAAATTATGCTCCAACCTTCGGGCTAATATTGACCATTGCAGGAAGCTAACCTATGCAGCGTGCGACTTCTATCTTTATCGCTTTTGGAAATTGCCATGATCGCTCAACGCTACCCATTGGAACTGACTTCTGCGATGCACATGACGTATGGCCTGCGCCTAAATGGGTTCCGGTCGCAAGCGAGATGGAGACGAGTGTCGTTTTTCACCACTTGGAGTACTCGGTGGCGCTTGTTGTACTCGGACAGACACGTGAGAATAGACTCGCAACTTTGAGGCTGTCCTTCCAAGGTTCGTGCGTCCGACAATTGGAAGGATTTAGTTTTGTCCAGGGTTTCTTACTAAACCAAATAACCGCCTGCTCTTACACCTAGGACAAGGCGAAGCATTGATGTACAGCCGCGCATCCTCTTCCTTGATGTAGGGTGACATACTCGTTCTTGACCTTGTAGGTACACGCCGGACGCCAAAGAAACGCCGAATTGGGAACGAATCCGATGGCCACACAGTCTCGACGTCACATCCAAACCGTATGATGTCATCACTTCCCAACGTCATAGGCCAACGACTACACTTTCCTTTTTTGTACCCCGTCTCTGAGGAGTATAAGTAGGGCGCGTTTGAACGACCCATCCTACAATCAACTTTCTTCCAACCTTCTATCTACCAACGCACTATCACTATCACTTTCATATTAAACATGTCTGCCCAAGAGCCCAGGTAAGCGTTCAGCTCGCCCGCTCTCTCGATGCCCAGAACTAATGCGTCGTCCTCCAGCAAGACTTCTGGTCAATTCCACTCTCTCAAGGGTACCGCTATGGAGACAGTACGAGTACAATACCCCATGCTGCCATTTTGCTGACTTTCCTCTCTAGATCGGCGACGTGACGGGGATGAAGTCTTGGTCACAGTCTGGCAAGGAGGAGCATGCTAAGGGGGAGGGCGAGTACAACGCCGCCCAGGCCAAGGGATACGCGGAGGGCGTTATTGACAGAGCCGCCGGTTACAAGGACTCAGTCGCCGGCGCCGTGACTGGCGATAAGACTCAGCAAGCCACTGGTAGGTGATATTCAACAGAAACCACGGGCCGTGCGTCTGACGATTTGTTACTCAGGAAACGCCAGGAACGAGAAGGGTCAGACGCAGCAAGAGATCAACAAGCCCACATGAGTTTCAAGCGTCTGCGTCGTCTCTGTGTCGTAGATGATTGGTACCTACCTCCCCGACTTCAAGCGGATATGTATCATTTCCAGTTAGACCGACCCAAATAATAGCGCCTATCAGTCCGATTTCAGTTTGTTACACTTGAGAATCATTTCTACTAATACATTTCGCGTGCGAGTCGTGCCCAATCCTACTGAATGCTCGCCGCTACTTCTCCAACGCAGCCCAATCGACGGGCTGTTTCAAAACTGGGATCAAGCGTCCTTCTTCACTCTCTAGATCTGTTCCCATGTCCGTCATATACTCCCACCTTGCAGTCTCTGGAAGGCTCATCAAGATGCTTTCAATGCGTGCAGAAGGCGTTTTCAACCCGAACTTGGTACCTCTGTCGTACACAAGGTTGAATTCGACATAACGCCCCCTGCGCAACAGCTGCCAGCGTCTGTGTTGGTCTGTGCTGGGCATCGACATCCTACGCTCAAGAATGGGCAAGTAGGAGGGAATGAACGAATTCCCCAAGGCTTTTATGAAGTCAAAGATCTCCTCTGCTGATCGAGGTCGTTCAACGTCATCTGAGAGCCGAGCATGCTTCTCAGTGCTGAGATCATCAAAGAAGAGACCTCCAACTCCCCTAGTTTCTTGGCGGTGGACGATATAAAAATATTCGTCACACCACTTCTTGAACGCAGGGTATAGTTCGCTGCCATGCTGGTTGCAGGCATTTTGCAACGTCCTATGGAAGTGACGTGCGTCTTCCTCGTAGAGGTACGATGGCGTGAGATCACTGCCCCCTCCGAACCACCATGCAACAACCTTTCCAGTTCCATCACTCTCTGCGACTTTCTCCGTGATCTCGAAGTAACGATAATTGGCGTGCACAGTGGGAGCATGAGGATTGCGAGGATGCACAACGAGGCTTATTCCAGCTGCAAAAAAGGGAAGACTGGTCTTCTCGTCGTAGGGGATGTTGGAGTGGTCTGCACGCATTTCTTTGATTGCGGCAGGGGGAAGCATGCCGTGGACGACAGATATATTAACACCAGCCTTCTCTAGGATCGTCTGCGGGCCAGGTGATGCATCTGTGGGAGGGGGGGAGAAGAAAACGCCCGATACGCCCTTCCCGCCTTGTGCCCGTAACCAAGAGTCGCGTTTGAATGATGGAGCATTGGGATCGAGTTTTTCAAAGGACTGTGATGATCTCTTCTTGGAGGCCGAAGATGTAGTCTTCGAAACGCTGGCGCATGGTAGGGGTCTCCATCTTGATTTATGCACTTCAAATTTCTGTAGTAGCTGTATATGAGAGATGTTATCTAGTAACTTCTGATGATCAGAACCAACTTGATCGGCAAATCCAATCGTGTCAATGGGGAGACTGACCCCCTGATAGGGGGTTGCTAAAGGATAATTTCGATAAAGCCACGTGACTATCTGATGAGGCGTTGCAGCCTCCCTCATTTCGTACCACCGTCTGCTCGCCGTCCATCTTTTGTAACCCTAAGCTTAAGTAGATTCTTCTTGTTTTTGTACAACATGGACGCTCGTCTCCGCCGCGTGAATAAAGAAATCGTTGGTAGGCATTTATTAATATTGCTTTTGGCATCGTTCACTCTCTCACTACCCCTGGTTAGACTGCAAGAACGACAAATCTTCAAACATCAAAATTGACTTAATAGATTCTTCGCCATTTCACCTGAAGGGATCTTTCCCAGGTCCTCAGGACACGCCTTATGAAGGTGGCCACTTCGAGGTGGTGCGCATCCCTGGTTTCCTGTGTAGCCTAATCAGAAGAATCAATCAACATAACAGGATATTGTCATCCCCGACTCGTATCCGTTCCAACCTGTCAAGATGAAATTCATCACGAAAGTGTATCACCCAAACATATCATCGGCGTCTGGAGCTATCTGTCTTGATATCCTCAAGGACGCGTGGTCTCCTGTCCTAACTCTCAAATCAACGCTGATCTCGCTTCAATCACTGCTGTGTTCTCCTGAGCCTAATGATCCGCAAGATGCAGAGGTTGCAAAGCACTACACGACCAGCAAGCGGAGTTTCGACGAGACAGCAAGGTACTGGACGCAGATATATGCAGGAGGGCCTACAGTCAAGAAGGTGGAGGTGAAGGAGCCACAGAGAGATGAGATCGCCATAGCAGGTCTTGAGAAAGCCCACGTAGATCAGTTTGAGGGTCTTGGTTTTGAGCGCTCAAAAGTCGTACGTCTCGGAAAAGCTTTTATTTTGATTCATGACAGTGCTGATACTTAACCCAGATTGACGTCCTTCGGAGATTGAACTACCGTGGCGCGAACGTTGCCAATATCTCGGAAGACAGGGTTGTAGAAGAGCTTTTGAAATGACATTTGTCGACATACCCCGCACGCGATTTCTGATGTTGATTCTTGTACCTTTTCGCTGTGAATGCCATCCATTACTTGATTTTCTGTTTCCAGTACTCCTCGGACCGACTTATGAGCTCTTATAAGTTCAGGTTTATGGAAATGCCGTTGCCCTCTCCGGGTTCCTTTCGTCATTCCACCTTCTGTTCTTCCCCTTGATAGCCCATGACCAGCCTCGTGGGTCTGTTTATAGTCACCCTGCCCTGTCGGTCCATTCCGAATGTGCAGGGGTGATATCATAGGATATCATCCACGATATGATCTCGCTACTTTTCTCTCGTGAAGGGTGTAAAGTGCCGCCGATTCCTCATAACGACGTCATGATAATCACATCTTCCATTTCGAAAATTTCGCCCTTGGAACAGCCTTCGGACTTTGGCAGACTTTGGCTTACAGCAATAAGTTGGCTTGGAACCCCGTTGATCCTTACCAATGACTGCCCCTGGACGGCGTCCAATAACATCCAGTAACCGATCTTCTTGTCCGCGGCCTGGGATTTCACATGTTCCCATTCCGGAGATGCCAGACTGACGCTTTGAACTGCACCCCACAGCCTCTGCCTAATTCGCGATTTTCTTAGGCCTCCCCTGTTGTCCATCTCTAGCAGTGGACGCGGCGACTATGCCTCCCGTTAAAGACTCGGCCGTGGCAGTCATCAATAACGATTGTCGGAGATCCTTGTATACTCCATTCAAATCAATACTTGAAACCACCGCTCCTAGCGCACCAAGTTCCCCCGAGTTCCGAAACAATCGAAATTTGATGCGGTGAGAAGCCTCTGAGAACGGAAGGTCATTTACAAGCTCTTGACTCTACAAATTAGAGACTATTATGGAACGGTGATCGTACCGAAGACTCGAATCAGAAGATGAATCAGAGAAATGGCCGGATGCGTCAAGGTGCCTTCCATGAGCTCCCATGCTCCTCATCTTGATACTATGACAGAATAGTGGATACAATTGATCCGTGACGAGCCGAGGTCCTCCGAGGCCATGCAGGGATGGAGGAGTTGGATGCCCGTATCAGGAATGTGGGGGATATATTATGAAAAGCCTAACGGCTCGGAGATATGATGTATGCCTTGTGGTGAATATGTGTAGTCCGATGAAATAGTATCAGCGCTTGTTACTAGAAAACGAGGGGGGAATGACAGAAACATACTCTTGTCAATGGGTTGACGTGCGTTGTGGTAGAATAGGGATAATACGAGTACAATTGGTGAACATCAAATACAACGGCAGGGCCTGACCTCCGACCTACTGTATTGGCTATGAACCAAATGAAGGCGTGACAAATTTGAATGAAGATGACACCCATAAAATTTGGACTCATAGAATACAGTAGCACCGGAGGGGCACGGCAAACCATCGCACTCATAGAAAACACCAATTGCCAAGGAACTGGGCACAGGTGAATGAGCAAGTTACTCGGGCAAGTAATGGGGGGGCGGTGGAATAGCATCACTCCAGCATCAGAAGTTCTTATAGGCGGGATATAACAGCTCAATATCTCGTGGGCGCAGTGGCTATCCGAACTTGCGTTCCTCCCATCGTCACGAACAATTACTTTACACAACACACAAGTGTCAGCTGACGCTATCCCGGAAAGATCGAGATTACACTAGCTAGACGCATAAGGAAAACGAACGGCAGGATGGATATTAGCCCGTCAACAATTTGAGTTTGCGATATTAAGACGAAGTGCTGTCCCTTAACGGCACAGCCGATAGCCAGCGATAGCCTCGCTGACACGTTTATGGCGAATACGAAGGCCGCCCAACCGATATAAAACAAAAGAAAACTCAGGGCCACTGCTGACACTAGTTCTCTTTTGTTGATTTAGTCCCAGCTGCTAACCTAGCGCTAGTCTCCCCGAGTATGGCCTAGACAGGGACTGGACGAAGAAGAATAGTCGATCATTCTATACGAAAGGACGTATCGGATAGACATTACATGAGAAAGAGGTCCTTGTTTGCCAATATAATTGCATGCTAATATCAGCCTAGCTGTGGTAGCAGCATTGCATGAGATAGTCAATCGGACACCTCATGGCAACGGCGAATACTGGGTTGAACACGTTGCTCACCGAATGTAGTACCTTCATAGCTAGAATCGCCAGGGTCATGCCAAAATTCACAGTACTGGCCCCACGCAGTGAGCCCACACAAGATATCACAGGCACATTATACCTGATAGTTGGACGAGTGACTCTCAAACGCCTTTTTCTTTGTCTATGGATGCGCTCAATAATTCCGTCGGAGGGACGCTCAAAAAAAAAAACTTTCTGACGCACAGAAGCCGCTTGGCGCGAAACATGTGGAGCTTTTCAGTATCTTTCCCGCTTGTCGAAGCAATCCGGTGCGCCAGGTAGCCGGTGCAAAGTGAGGTAAGATTGTGCAGATCTTGGATGACACAGCGGAACTAGCCGTTGCAAAAAGGTCGAGCTGGATCCGGCATACGGGAAGATCATAGTACAGAACGTCTATGCGACGCCTCTGTTCATTGCGATGAAGACAAATATACATAATGCGCAGACGCCCCCTGGAGGGACGCAGTTCGTCAGACAAATAAATGTTATCGCGGACACAAAAATTCTGAAAATAATTGCCAACGTGAATTCATCACCCGTATATCGATGCGGAGAACACGGCGTACCCAATCATCCTTATCATTTGGTCACGGCCCGGCACTGTGGCACATCTAAATGGCGTTATACGCACTGGTCTCGCAAGTATCTGCGTTCAAGGACATCTTCATCCGGATATACTCGACATCTCCCTTGTAGAAAGGGTCACCAAATTCGACCATCCCACGCTTCTTATACCAGGCACTGCTCAATGTCCGAGCATCACACCAAATGACGCTTGCACCCAGCGTCGATCGAGCTACTTCAACTACATGTTGAAGTAACTTGGTCCCTATGCCCTGATTCTGATGCATCGTATCAGCAGGCGAATTTACGAAAGCGTGCTGACTTTCTCTGGGACGGGCTATCATCCCCAGATTCTACAAGGTGGAGTTCCGGCAACGGATCGTCAAATAACGAGATGACGGCAATGGGCTTTTCGTACTGTGAAACGAAGGCTCCGAAATGAAGGCCCTTGTCATCTTCAGCGAGAAGGACATCTGCAAATGAACGGCTAGGCCACAAAACCGACTGACGGAGCTCCAAGGTAGCATCCGCGTCAATGGGCGTGATACGAAGGACCAAGTGGGGTTTCCCTAATGCCGTTACCGGATGAGATCCTGCTTCCTGTGAAGAACCCCAGAAAATCACCTTCACGTTCTATTTCTCTGGACATGTCAGTGGATAACACCGAGTCGGTGTGGTGTATAAGGAACGCGTGTTAGTTGCGTTCCGCCAAAAAATAGTATGTACCTTATAACGCATGAGATCGAAGTAGCCATTGGAACCGCCAGCTGACCAATACTATCCAAAAACGTCCATTATGAGATTTTGATTGTCAGAAACCTTAGAAGTAGAACTTTGGTAGAACTGAGGTTCTCCGATGCCTTTGAGATAAGGTGAGCCATCGAATCTAGCTATGATACGTGACCACCTAAACTCCATTCAAAACTTTCAGAACCGCATACTATGTGATTCTGATACTAGTAGGAAATTAAAACTGTGTTTGAGATAAGGTGAGCCACGAATTTTATGACTTAACCTCCAATTGAAGGTCGTTGAAGGTCTTAGATTGTGTCTGTATGTAGGGCCGCCGCCTTTAGGTTCCATGAAAAAATCGAAGGGCCTACTTAATGGATTTTCTGCTTTAGTACTGCGAACATCGATCCAAACACTACTTTACGTGCTTAACCATGCAACTTGTATGCATTCGACAATGTACTAGTAGGTTCTCACCCTAAATATCATGCATGTGTTTACTCAGAAGGTGTGTCCCCTGGATCGAGTGCGCACACAACTTGAAGCCAACTTAACTCCCGTCCACCCGGCCTAAAGCTGCATCATGCTCTATTTCGACGTGATGACCCCTGCAGGGTTCATTGACTTCCTCCCCTTTTTTTCTAAACTCACGTATTGCGTCATTTTTCTCCTTGCCCCGATCTCCCTTTGCGCGCGCCCTTGGACCGTTATGAACCGCAGAAACCACACAAAAACAAGATGACGCAGTTTTATTCAAACTAGTGTGCCTCCAGCCACAATGTACCCTTCTCCCTTATGGTTTGAAACACGAGAAGTTTCCAGAAATGCAGGCGCCCGCCGCAAGTGCGGCGTAATGATTGTACACTCGTGGCGTTCATAGTCAACCTTACCATTTATCGGCGTGGTACGCCAGAAGCCTTTACCCGTCAAATCGGGTGTCCCCTCCCGCGGGAAAGTTCTGCCCCACAGACTGTGGAGTGCGCCAGGGCTCAGCATCGCTGCGGCTATTCTAGTAAAATGTTAGTCGTTCATGTAAGTACTTAGCTGAAACCACACGACAAAGTTCAAAATTGTACTAGGCATTTTTTTTGGGCTCCGTGGCTCCATGATTATGCTAGTATTTGTACGAGATCCCGACTTGCCTCATGTTGCTTCAAAGGATATTACTAGTTAGACTCCACCAACTCGGCTCCAACTGTCAGATTTCGGACTGGGATTTTCTTTGGCTTGATTCACTTTGCCTGAGGGGTGTCCCCTCGCATCCTCATCCTTCAACAAATTCCCTAGATCTCTCCAGCTGCCATTGTATTCATTTTCGAGCATCGCTGCACTTTCCTGGCGGCATAAGCTAACTCGGCGTCTTACGCCTGAAACATCCATGAGCATTTCAACGTCCTACTCTTCAGCTTTCGATGCATTTGCAACTGTGGGCGAGTTCCCAAAGATATCAATCCAAATATCTATGCTGAACAATTTTCAGTGGTGATGTCTTCCGCATATGTTCCATGCTCTATTGTGGTATCTATGTTGTGTCGGGCCGTATGACTTCACCACCTTGCGTCGGTGCCTCCTTCTGCGCCTCTATATCGTGTTATACTTTCCGCTCTCCGCTACACTGTGCTTTCTCCCTCTCCAAGACAACGCTTTTGCGCGCCTCCAGGCCCCCTTCGTAGCCAAACCAACGCTTTCGAGGACAATGTGGACCGCGGAGCAATAAAATTATAAGTTGGAAGCCCTGTAGCGCCAGCATAAGCAGTGAACACGCTCTCCATCCGTGTTGCACGAAAACTTGGGTGCCGACAGACGTGCCCATCACCTGTCCGATGAACACCTGGGTGTCTGGCTTAACAACACTGCAATTGATAGCTGACAACGGAACTCACTGATAGAATGAGGATGGCGTTCAAGCGCGCACGAGCTGCGGAAGATATGCTGTGATATTATTTCTGTGAGTCAGCAGTGATTTTCTTTATAGAGGACATGGATGTTGACCTCAGGACCCGAGTCGACAGGGAGACTTGCTGAGACTGACGCGCAACATCAAGTCCGAAGCATGCGATGATGACAGCTGCAACGTTGATCCCACCTGCTGCAGTCTGCACAGCTTGGGAAACTAGAAGCAAACTAGTGGCTACCAAAGTCGCATACCAAGGAACCAGCCTATCAATGAGGCGTCCTGCGAAAGGTCCGACGAGCACGCCTAGCATGCCAACGAGACCAAAGAGACCAATTACGAGACTGAAGATTATCTTCAGTTCAGGCGGCCAAAAGTCAGAGGATACGTGCGTACGTGGAGTAGTAGTAGGGCGGACCCCCGAGAAGGAAGGTGAGAGTGACCCAGAAACTCGTGAAGCATGCGCTGGATGCAATATTTATAATGGCCACCTGTATGACAAGTGGCTCCGTTATTGCATACTTGGCCATCGAAAAAAGGATTTTGAAGTATGTCAAGTCGTGATTTTTGGCAGGATAGTCGGGAAGAACGAGGTAGGCGCCGATTAGAACGAGTGATTGAACACCAATTGACATATAGTAGACTACACGCCAGGTTGTAAAATTGCCTATGACGCCAGCCAAGACACGAGCGATCAGGATGCCTAGCATGAGACCCGAGAGCACCACGGACAATGCTGACGCTCTGCGATCAGGTGCAGCCAGATCTGCAGCTAGAGGCATCAAGATCTGGGGAGTGACAGTTGCAACGCCAACCAAGAACGACAAGGCCTCGAAGACGCGGAGATTTTTGGTGACGGCTAATCCTATTGTGAGAGTAGTAGATGACGCGACCAGCAGTAACACGAGTTGTCTGCGTCGAACAAGGTCGCCGAGGGGGGATATCAGAAGTAATCCCACCAAATACCTGAGCCACGAATGATAATAAGTCGTGAGTGTCCCATCAGAAACCGATAAGTTTATTTACCCTGCTTGAGTGAGGGTAGGGATACTGATATCACAATCACACTTAGCCAGATTGGACGAAATGGACGAAATGGACGAAATGACACACCGTGACACCTCAGTCGTATGTTACATTGAACGATTTAGAAAACTCGACTATGCACAATTATCAGTTCATGATCAGAAACACGCCCAGCCAACCGCTCTCAGCAGCCACATACTCAACAGCGGTTGACAATAGTACAAGTTACCGACGACTGTCTCGCCATTAGCATCCGTTCACCATCTACCGAGAAATCCGTACTGAATGTGCTAGCAAACCCGAAGGAGGCGTTGAGCAAGATGCCAAAGTGAAAAGGTTTGGTGGGATTGTATTGGAGTCTCTTCGGGATCGGTACAAGACCAAAGTCTTTTGTGGGCCAAATCTCTTCTGTGGATGCTGCAGCCTTCTCAATAGTCGCTTCAGGAGACTCGAGCGTCCCTAGCTTCTCAGTACTGGAGGGAGACATTTGAAGACAAACCTCGAACAACTGGGCAATCGATGAGGGAGAATACGCCCTTTCATCATGGACGTTCTTAATTCACCGGCTGCGATTTTCGAAACGTTTCCGAGTCAGCAACTTACTGAGACGGAAGTCCGCAATCATGATGCCCACCAGCGCACATCTATTCTCACGAATTATATTTACCTCCACAATATTTATGTGTGGATGGCTGAGAAAGATCTATGTGAGTGAATCTCATATCTGTGTCAACAGCACGAGAGGAACAGCATTGAGATTGAACTCTTCTCGCTTCAGATTATCGCAGCGGCCACATTTTCGTCGAAGCTGCAAGTAAGTAATACTTATGACCTGTTACTCCTTCAAGTTGTACGCTCCAGCTGTAACTCTTGTAAAAGACACGATGCTGGTCATACTGCTTACATGTACAATCTATTCATGCACAACCGTGAAGTGTGCAGGTGTGATATTTTGCGAAACTCCGCAAGTTCGAATTCGTCGATTCGCCGAAGGCAATGGTCTACCGGTCAAAGGTTGGCTAGGGTCCAGGCATCATGCATCATGCATTATGGACCGACCGTGACGGCCCGCGATCGATTTCGAATGCATAATCATTGCAAAGCAGCTTTCACCAAGGAATCTTCTGAAAACTGCACAAAACTTGTTGTCCTTAGAGGAGCTATGCGAAGCAGAAAAGAGGTTTTCTTGGACCCAACGTTAACAAGGGGACAGGTCTAAGGAAAAAGTTTCTCTAAAACGCTCAATCATGACGGCCCGCCTACCCATTCTCCCACGCCACACCACGCCTACTTCCTGCTCCAACCCAACTCTAACCAACCCGCTGACATTTGTGCAACGCCCATCATAGCCCATTATGCGGCAGTTGTTCCGTGTCCCTAGCGATGTCATTGTCCGGTGATTTATTTAAAAGTTCGACAAGGCCGTAGAGGTGCACCGCGCATAAGTTTGAACAAACCACTGGAGAATGGATTCGCCCAGCAACCTCCCTCAGCCTCACGAAGATCCTGTCAAGCGCATATGGAAAAAACGGACAGTGAGGTAGGATGAATTATTCTATACCGTGACATCGAGGGCCTTTCGCTTTTTATTACTGCCTTGGTACACCCTTACCCTATCAAGCTCAAGAGCAGCTGCTTCTTTGAACAAAGCTTGAAGCTTAGTGAATTATTTGAATTTGACAGACGAGGTTTGTAGTGTCGACACTTGATCACCGATGTACAGCTCGCCCATATTCAAGCCCTCGCAAATGCTACGCTGTACGATCACCATGTAACCATCTATACAGCAATCAAGAAGTTTGGTTTTCATTCCCGCCGAGAAGCTCATTCTATAGGCTACAGGAACAAAAGTACCAGCTCAACGACGACTCGTGCAGCGCTGCCGCCATGTGATTTCACTCTTCCTTAGCGCGCCTCGGGCCCCCTCACTGGACGTCTAGAAGCAAACTCAAAGTGAATGCTACGCCCCCGAGTAGATTGTCGCTTATCCGTTCACCTGGTGCGCCGGCCCTGTCAAAGATCTCGAGCGACGTTCAACTTCTACGACAATCTCCGAAGACTACTTACATGCTCTCTGCCAACATCAGCTGGTGTCTGAATTAGGTGTGGGAGATAGAGAGGGAGAGGGAGGGTTTGATGATTTTCAGGTGCGAGTTTGGCACAATGGGCAGTAGGATTGGTATTGATGGGGAGAGGGATCTGTCCAACGGGTTCGACAATGTGACGTCCGGTTTGTTGTCGACTAAAATCTTGAAAGCACACGCTCAAAATTCCCGTTCACGACAATTTGTTTCTGGAGCTGCGCTTTTGAAATCATGCAGAATCATACTAGTACAACTTGGATATTGGTGACTGCTATTTTTTATCCCAAGTACAAGTGAGTAATAGGTCAAGATGTGCGACGATAGTTCTCAATGAGCAGCGAGTCACTGGCCGGGTCCAGGGATGCCCGTGAAGGCTATATCGAATAGTGATAGTGGCGAATAATGGGTAATTTTCCATGTAAGGGATGTAATCGATTACATTATCTGTATGCAGTTGGTCAACTGGTGATAAGCATGATCAAGTGATGCAGCCTCTAAGCAAGCAGCTAATCAGCGTTTGTTCTATATGAGCGTGTATCAATTTTAGGCCTGAGCCATTTTCGGACTAGCGGAGCTTTTCATCGTCTTTTCCTTCGGCATCCCTCCGAGTCTTTTCGCTGTACAATACAGCCAGGTCGCCGCCTCCTGCATTCTCGAGGTCGCCGCTCACGGTTGGTTTGGACTGCTTAGACGGCAGCTTCTGCCAGAATCCCAGTCCACCTTCATAACCAAACCACCGATTCTTGGGACAGTGGGGACCTCTAAGGATAAGCACCGCGAGCTGGAAGGCATACATGGCCATGAATAGCGCAGCATTTGCACGCCAGCCATATCCGACGAAAACGTCAGTACCGACGGATGTCCCTGTAATCTGACCGAGAAAAACCTGCGAGAGTTTATTGTCTCATCAGGCCATTCCATAACAGAAGGTGTGGATTGACGCACTGATATGATCAACAGCGAGTTTAAACGCGAGCGTGCAGTATCGGAAATGCTGGTTTGTTTTGATCAGTATCACAGAACCGCAAACCACATAAATTTGTACCTGAACATCAGCGTAGACAGTGATACAGATTGTGTTTGGCGGAACACGTCTAATCCGAAGCAAGAGATGATGATCGCGGCAACATTTATGCCTCCTGCCCCAGTTTGTACTGCTTGAAACACCAAAAGAAGTACACTTGAAACTATAGCGGACCACCACGGCACAAGCCGATCGATGAGACGGCCAACGAATGGTACCACAATTACACCCATCATTCCAACGAGGCCAAACAACCCGATGATCACGCTAACACAATTTAGTCAGTGAATGAATAGGCAACAAGACAGTTGTCACTGACGTGGAGTAGTCATATGGCGGTTCGCCGAGTAGGAACGTGAGGGTCACCCACCAATTGGTGTAGCACGCACTACCGGCCCAGTTTGCTAGCATGATTTGGGAGACGAGAGGTTCGGTGACAACGTATTTCGCCATGGAACGAAATATCCCGAGGTAGGATAAGTCACGGTTCTTCACCGGGTAGTCCGGAAGCAAGAGATAGGCACCACACAGGACGATACTCTGGAGGCCGATAGACATACAGTACACCATACGCCAACTTGTGAAATTGGCCACTATGCCAGACAGTACGCGCGCGAGGAGGATACCAAGCAAAAAACCTGACAGAACAACTGAGATAGCTGATCCACGACGAGCGGGAGGAGCGAGGTCAGCTGCTAGTGGCATGAGAATTTGGGGGGTGACAGACGTCAACCCAATCAGAAAGGAGATGACCTCGAACACCAAAAGGTTGTTTGTAATGGCGAGTCCTATGGTTAAGGTAGTTGAAAACACAACCAAGAGCAATATCAACTGGCGCCGGCGAAGCATGTCACCGAGTGGTGTTATGAGTAGGAGGCCGATACCAAACCTTGTCCGTCGTTAACACTAGCCCTTCATAAGCATTTGGGGAACTTTACCCGGCTTGAACTAGTGTTGGGATCCTGTGCGACTATTAGCTTATTTCCGACAGATTTTCCAACATCCACACCTCGCCACTTCGTCATACGTGACATGGAAAGAGGCAGATAATTGAACTTTGGGACATACATGTTAAGACAACAAACAGAAATTACGAAGCTGCTTACTTAGAATTGGCTGACAATAATAAAGGTTGGCAACAACTGCGCCGAGATCAACCAGGTATCTATGAAACGTCCTGGTTCAGGCCTCACCTAAGGTACTACCCATGCCAAAAGATACGTTGAGCAACATTCCGAAGTGGAAAGGCCTTCCAGGGTCGTAACGGAGTCGTCTCGGAATAGGAAGGCATTGGAAGTCTTTCGAGAATGTCAAATCCGCCTGCGCTAGGACAAGCGATGGCGGGATAGGCTGAGTGACTCCTGAAATGTCACTTGTTTCAGCGAGAGAGGTCATGTCTAACGCACCAGAGGGAACGTACCAGTATTCTGTAAGACTGTACCGCTGCTATATATACACTCACTTATTCGAAAAAGACCATAATGTTGGTATTTATAACAGAGTCATGGCGTTGGTCACCACCAAAGAGCCCACACTCATACAGAGCGGAAGTCCGCATGACGGAAGCACCATTGAGTATATGGTAATACTAGAGCTCGCGCTGTTATCAAGCGCGATGTGCGTGATAATTTAAAGCGACATGGGACCATTGAGATCTGATGGGAGACAAGCTGACTGAACATGCAAAAACGCCATTGAACGCTTCTTCAAGTTCTTGACAAGAAAAGAAGTCTTGAGGCAATCTCGAAGGATCATGGAGCACCCGGCGGGAGACAGTTAAAGCAGGCGACACAGCTACGCACAACCAAATTACCTCGAATTACGTACGAAGGATTTGTACTTACGATCTGAACGAAGCCGCTGAGCCGGAGCGCGTTCAGAGATCTCGATGACTCAGATGAGTCTTCAAACTTTGTATGATATCAACAATCATCTTTTTTTTTTTGGCAACAAGATACAATGGGCAATTTTCTAACTAAGAATGATCTGTATGAAGTCGGAGTCTGGTGCTGGGTGTTATACATGATCAAGTGATGCAGCCTCGAAGCAAGCAACGAATGGCGTTCTTTTATCGTATCAAATTTTGGCCTGAGACTAGCGGAGCTCCTGGCCCCCTTTTCCTTCGTCATCTCTCTTCTCGCTGTACACTACAGCCAGATGAGCGCCTCCTGAGTTCTCAGGGTCATCCTTGGCGATCGGCTGCTTAGATGGCAGCTTCTGCCAAAATTCTAATCCACCTCCATAACCAAACCACCGATTCCCGGGACAATGAGGGCCTCTAAGGAGAAGCACCGTGAGCTGCAAGGCATACATAGCCATGAACAGCGCAGCATTTGCACGCCAGCCATATCCGACGAAAACATCAGTACCAACAGATGTCCCTAAAATCTGACCGAGAAACATCTGCGAGAGTTCGTTGTCACATCAAGGTCGATGCATAACAACAAATGTGAATGGACGCACTGATATACTCATCAGCGCGTTCAAACGTGAGCGCGCAGTCTCTGAAACGCTGGTTCATTCTTCAAGATCAGTATGATAGAACCGCAAATCAGGTGAAGTCGTGCCTGAAGATCAATGTAGCCAATGATAAACCTTGTGTTTGGCGGAACATGTCTAATCCGAAGCAAGAGATGACAACTGCGGCAACGTTTATGCCTCCTGCCCCAGTTTGTACTGCTTGGAATACCAAAAGAAGTGCAGTTGAAACAACAGCGGACCACCACGGCACAAGCCGATCGATAAGACGGCCAACGAATGGTACCACAATTACACCCATCATTCCAACGAGGCCAAACAACCCGATGATCACGCTAACCCAATGTCGTTAGTGAATGAATAAGCAACAAGACAGTATCACTGACGTGGAGTAGTCATATGGCGGTCCGCCCAGTAGGAACGTGAGGGTTACCCACCAATTGGTGTAGCACGCGCTGGCGGCCAAGGTCGTTAGAAGGATTTGGCTTACAAGAGGTTCGGTGACAGCGTATTTCGCCATGGAACGGAATATTCCAAGGTAGGATAAATCATGGGTTTTCGCCGGGTAGTCCGGAAGCAACAGATAGGCACCACCCAGGACGATACTCTGGAGGCCGATAGACGTACAATACACCATACGCCAACTTGTGAAATTGGCCACTACGCCAGAAAATATGCGCGCGAGGAGGATGCCAAGTAGATTGCCTGACAGAATAATTGAGATAGCTGATCCACAACCAGCGGGAGGAGCGAGATCAGCTACGAGTGGAATGAGCATTTGGGGAGTGACGGATGTCAACCCGATCAAAAAGGAGGTGACCTCGAACACCAAAATGTCGTTTGCGATGACTAGTCCTATAGTCAAGATAGTTGAAAGCATAATCAAGAACAATATCAACTGGCGTCGGCGAAGCATGTCACCGAGTGGTGATATGAATAGGAGGCCGATACCAAACCTTGCCCATCATTAACAGTAGGCCTTTGTATGGAGTTTGGAACCTTACCCAGCTTGGACCAGCGTTGGAATTCTGCAAGAACATTAGCTTCACCAATCTCGGTGATATTTTTCGGGCATTCACACCTCGCCACATCGTCATAATCGACATGGAAAGCAGCCGATAATTGGACTTTGGGACACGATTAATCAAGGCAATACACAAAAATCGCGACGCTGACTTACTTAGAATCGGTTGACAATAGTACAGGTTAGCGACAACTGTGTCGAATCTGATAAGGTACCTGTGGACAACGTCTTCGTATTCAAGGCTCACCCAAAGTACAGCCAATGCTAAAAGATACATTGAGCAACATTCCGAAGTGGAAAGGCTTATCAGGGTCATAACGGAGCCTTCTTGGAATAGGAAGGCATCGGAAGTCTTTCGAGAATGTCCGCTCCGTCTGTGCTGTGGCAAGCGATGACGGAGGAGAATGAGTCGTTGAAACGACATCTGTTTCAGCGGGAGATGTCATGATTTACACAGTAGAGTGAACGTACCAGTATTCTGCAAGACCTGACTACTAATATATATCAACTTACCTGTTCGAAGAAGCTCATGATATTTTGAGCAAATTCAACAAATTTGTGATGTTGGGGACCACCTAAAAGCCCACAACTCATAGCGAAAGTGAGCATGACGGAACAGCAGTTGAGTAATACCAGAGCTCGTGCTGCTATCAGGTGCTGCGTGCTTGATCATTACGTGCACGATAATCTAAAGCAGCACACTTCTTGACATGAAAGGCAAACAAACGAAGGTCTCAATGGAAGGAGAGTAAGCACAAAAGTCGACGCACAAACGAATCTAAGTCACCTTGAATTACGTATACAGGGAGACCTCTATAGCGGACCGTAGCCACCTGTGATGTCAATATTACATAGGAGAGTTAGTGTGCGAAAGTCTGGATCATGATTGGCAGGTTGATCCTCGAAGTGAGGAGGATTTTCAATTGAATTGCTAAGATCCGTGCAGACATCAGATTTGCGACCGGCTTGCCACATTCGGATGTCTGTCTTCTTGATCAGTTGATAGACGTTCCCATTTGCAATTAATTCCTCTAACGAGACTAAGGGCAACCTGCTAGCCATATCATGCAATCAATTGAAGACTTTTGTCCACGAAGACGTTCCCACCACCTGACCGACAAAAAGTGAGAAAACATGTTACTTGTGTCGAGGAGAATCGTTTTTACGCACAACATTGATCATACGGGCACGGCGTCCAGGCGCATCGGATCCACAGATGTGGCACGGCGGAAGGTTAAAGTTAAAGTCGCGATCACTGATTGGTGTTACCTGACATTCAGTACAAATCGCCTCAAAATCGCTCCAAGTTGTGCCTGCAAAAAGCACCGAGGTCAGATCAGAAGACAGAAACCACAACGAAACCATGCCCCTTGAAGTCTAGACTGCTTACAACACAGCGTCGCGCAAGGAATGTCTATTAATTATGCGCTCTACCAAGGGGTCGAGGAATATTCGAAGTGTGGCGAGGAGCTTAATCACCCGACGGCAGCTGCATGCGAGTAACATCTTTGAGACAGTGAGACTTGTTGTGAGAATGTTCAACATCGTACCACCTACACTGAATAATATAATTTTGATGAGGCCAACCTGGATGTGCTTCTGTCGTAAATATGATAGAGAACCAGGGACAGACAATCTAGAAGTTTTCGAATGGGGGCAAAGCAAAATAATGTAGCCCGGTGTCCATATAGTAATGAAGGACCCGCCAGTCCGTGAAGTGGCCGATTACTCCCGACATGAGGCTGCATTGTACAACGAAGACCGCGATTGTACTATTCTCAGCGAAGCAAGATATGCTGTAAAGTGGAGGAGAATACGTATTTTATGATGTGACATTGACTCACCGACTAAAATCGTTGCAAGCCCCTATTTTCGACTAAGGTCCTGAGCGGAAACGAACTCTAACACAATATAGTCATACCTCAGCGCAGCTTGAAAAACTTCATGGATTCGATTAGAATCATAGTCAGAATTTTTCAACATTGTACATAATTGAGTGGCAGCAATGCAGAAGACGGTAATGAATGCACTTCGATGCGTCGGGGTAGTTTGACCCGAAAGAACTGCGATCGTAAAGAAGCGTAAGCGCCATATTCAAACGAAGAAATCCCGCTGGTCAGCTGCTCGGCAGTAGCGAAGGTTTGCAAGCGTGGAAACGCAACCAATCTCGATTTATGGCGGTAAATCCGCTCTCGCAGATGCGCAGTGCGCCAAGGTCCTTCAACTTCTTTTCTGGTTATAAATATGGAATATGGGCATCGTATGAGGCCGTCTTGTGTACTGTGAATACACTCACCAGCTTTCACTGGGGGGTGATTACGCAATCGTTTTGACGCGATTTACTCACAAGGAATGCGGAACCAAGACTGGACGCTGATTACTGGTAACGTTAAGGTTCAGCAAGGAGTTTGGTTCAAGCGACTCCATTAGACAAACTTGTTCAGTGATCAGAATGCGGCATCATGAAAGACATGCTTACCACGCGATTATCATAATCCATGTGATTTACATACACGTGAATGAAGGAACCCGAATAGCAAGATAAAGCGAACGCTACCAATGATAATAGTATCAATGAATGAAGAGAGCAGCCCGGATGAAGTATCTTGGTCATCGCATCAAGCTCTCCCATATTCAGATTTGCTAGTCTCCTTCACCGCCTCCCTACCTGCGTTCCGAAACGCTAAAAGTGCATCCCACGCACTTCCAGACGTTATGCTATTCATCGCTAGCGCAACCCCTTCTTTGAAGTCCGAAGCTAAACCTGCAACAACCAGAAGCGCCGATGCATTCAACAATACAAAGTGCAGGACGGGCGTCAACGACTCTGGTATGTCATTACCCGAGTTGAGGAGCGCCTTGAATGTCGCCGCATTCTCTGTCGGCGTTCCGCCAGCTACGGATGTGAGTGGATGGACGCTCAGGCCAAACAGCTCTGGGTGCAATTTGATTTCCGTAATTTTGCCATCCTCCAATTGCCACGCGTATGTGTAGCCTGCACAGCTGATTTCATCAAGTCCTTCAGCTCCGCACACCACGAGAGCGCGCTCGACGCCGCCGTCACGCAGGGACTGGGCGAAGGTAGGACCGAGTTCGCGCTCAGCCACACCTAAAACCATGCCTCGTGGACGTGCAGGGTTGATAAGGGGTCCAAGGACATTGAAGAGCGTTCTGAAGGGTAAGGTCTTTCGGTATGGTGCAAGTATAGCGAGTGCCGGATGATAATGAGGTGCAAGGATGAAGGTGAACGGCACCTTAGATATGGGAAGGGGAGTGCCTGATGAAGGGGGGGTAAATAAACAGTCGAGCGATTGTAGAAGATCCGCCGATCCAGATGAAGATGTGGAAGCCCTGCTTCCATGCTTGTTGTTTGACTCATTAGCCAAGTTACTGCAGCAGAGCAAAAAATCCTACCTTGATCACTCGAGCACCTGCGCCTGCAGCAACGACGGCTGCTGTGGTACTGACGTTGAATGTGTTGTGACCATCTCCTCCAGTTCCAACGATATCGACAACAAAATCTGTGTCTCCATCTTCGATGGCTGCGTGTAACGCGCGCGCCCTTAGAACTTCAGCAGCCGCCGCGAGGGATTCTGGGCGTCTTTCCACTCTTCCTATGTGAAGGGCAGCGAGGAATGCACCAATTTGTGCCGGAAGAGCAGCATCGGGTGTGAAAAGGTGATGAAGTGCAAGTTTAAGGTCTTCCGGTGTGAAATACTCGGGAGTCTTGACGAGCTTCCCCAGTAGGATTTTGAAGGAATCGGGAGTATACTCCGCCATGAGTATTCAAGAGAAAGACGATTTCTGTTGCAAGGGCACGTCAAGTACGCATCTTTTGTAATGTGCTGAGCCCAAGTTTGATGATGTGGCACTGTACATGTACACTTAACACTGGTAGTTGGAGTGTAACAAGTGACTTGAAACGTTCAAAGATCAGATCTGCGGCACTGGTACTGCACCGAGTCTGCAGACTAAGTTATTTGAGAGATCCCGGCCACTAATCTAGACTACAGCAACGCATCTTCACTAGTACCGAGGGCTATCACACTCTGCAATTATCCAGATTGAAAACCAGGATATCCTCTGCACCAATTTTCACTAGTTCGTCCATGGTAGTCGCAATGCTCTTCTTCTCAACCATACTACTGACCGCAACCCAACCTTCTTCCTCGAGAGGACTGATCGTAGGCGCTCTTCTTCCAGGAGTGATAGCTGTTGCCTGAGGTATGGACTCCTTACGGATGTTATATTCGCAGACAACATATTTTCCGGCAGCTAAGACTCCGGCTATCCGGCTGGCGATGAGATCAATCAAGGGTGCATGATGGGCGCGATGAGGAACGTTTGATTTTATGAGTACTGCCTCTGTCTGCAGCACTGTCGCGATAGCGCGTAGACCGGCTGCTCGCATCGTGTCTCCAGACTCTGAAATATTGTCAGATCTCTCTTCGCCCAACCTTGGAAGACAACATACCAACAAGATCGACTATCAACGTTCAAGATGTGAGCATCATTTCAATCCGTCATTCTGGCAGGCGGCTCACCTATGCCGTCCGCGAGTCCGAGAGCGCAGGCTGCCTCTACACTTCCTCCTACATATTGGATCTTCGTTTTGTTATCACCAGTAAGGTTCAGTTGCTCATCGATCTTGTCAAAGTACGCCCCCGCAAGGACTTCGAAACTTGTGACAACGCGTTTTCCAGCAAGATCTTCGACTGACTTGTACGGCCCGTTTTCTGGAGTTTGGACTTGCAAGGCGCATTTTCCAAACCCGAGGCGATAGACTTCGGTGACCTGATCTTGCATTTTGGCCTCGATGATGACATCGTGGCCCGTAATGCCAAGGTCGACATTACCATTTCCAACGAACGATGGTATGTCCGCTGCTGGAAGAAATACACTACATCCGCGTCAGAGGAGTGGGATTTAGATCGAAGCCGGAAATCTTACAGAGCTACTGGGTGATTCCTCACTATACACACATCAAGCCTGTTGGGTCTCCGGAATCGTATATCGGCACCTGTAACCTAGTTTGGCACATCGCTCGCAAATCTAAAGCAGGACGCACCGGAGAGTAACTGGAGGCACTTTTCGTGTAACCGACCTACCCTTAGTGGGTTAGTCCTAATGGATCGTGACAAAATGGCTGAATCGAACCTTTCTTTGGAATCGCGAACAGAAGTCGATTGTTGAGCTGGTCCTTGTCTGATATGTAGTCAGTTTGGGATATATTTGCGGAGAAAGTAACTCACACGTATCAAATTGTACTGCTTGCAGATCTGCACTGATCATTTTTGAGGTCGAGTGACAGCACGCGCTAGATATGTACTACAGATGTAGTGACACATAGATTATCTATCATTATCGATGGCCATCATGTAGATAAGAAAGAGACGCACCATGTGTGTCTGCAGACTCGTTGCCGCTGCGAGAGCGTCAGCTGAATGTTCCATCTTCATTGTTAGAACTCAGACAGAGGGTTTATTGTGCAAAGGAATGAGGTGGGAACCGAGAAAGATGAAAGCTCAACAGGTTCGCCATCGCAGGGTGAAGCTGACGCGATCGAGCCTTGCCATGAGGCAACGGGAAGCAGCTTTGCCGTTCGTCTTCTGAAAGTCAGCGATAGGAATCCGAATACGAGCCTATTACGATGTTTGTGATTGTAATCCAACAGTTGTCTGCATATCATGATGCGAGTAACGCCGCAAAGACTGAAATGAAGAGATTTGAAATAGATAAAATCGTTAGCAAGGCGAACATTCTTTGCAGATCGTAAAGTTTGGCACCGAAAGGACTTACTACCGAGCTTGCCGTACCATGTATAGCTAGGGTGATGTGAGGTCGATAGAGACTAGACCATTCTCCTCAAGTTTGGCGAGATCGATCTTCATCACTTCAACTAGAAGCCGCCATATTGCTGGAGATCTCGAAAGCTTACCCCATTGGTGAGTACTGAGTCTTCTTACTCCAAGCTCCACGGTGCCTGGGGTGACCAGTTCTTCCTTGTAGCCTCCTGAGTCCGAGTTATGGGTTTGCTTTCGCCAGAAAAGTTCATGGCATAATTATGTATCTTGTCGATGACATGCGTAAGAGAATTGTAAGAAGTACAAGGGCATTGCATACTTTGTACGATGCGGTGCAATACCCAACCACCGTCCATTTTTATATTTCAGAAGGCTGAAAGTGTGTCGAATAGTGGGACAACTGGATGACTGAGCTCCTGCGAGCTCTGGAGTTCTGCAGATGGGTGGTATGGCGCGTGCTCCACTCTCACAGATTTGGATTCTATGTGAGGAGACCACACGCCGTAATCGTCGTTGCATCCTGGCATATACACGTTGGATGAGGCCGAGCAAAGCAAAACCAACCTTGAAGTGCTCTGAGGTGGTCGAAGCAACCTATCTCTGGACCCTATGACCTCGATCACTTCGCCAGGACCTCCGACACCTCTGGCTGACAATGACGGTACACCAGCCAAACCTCCCTACAACAATATTGTCTAAACCGTATGTGAATATGACCAGCAGGGGGCCATTCAATACACCAGCTGACCTGACGACTACTCCCAAAATAATGACTGGGTTTTTATAACGCTGAACCACCACGTACTCAAACGTTGAGGATCAGATCTGCAGATGTCCATCGTGGCCCAGCCATTGATCTAAAGCAACGAATCTATACTGAAGCTGATGCCATCATACTCTGCAATTATCTAGATTGAAAACCAGTATATCCTCCGCACCAATCTTCACCAGTTCATCCATGGCAGGTTGCAATGTTCTTCTTCTCAACCATACTACTGACCGCAACCCAACCTTCTTCCTCGAGAGGACTGATCGTAGGCGCTCTTCGTCCGGGAGTGATAACTGTTGCTTGAGGTAGAGAATCTCTACGGATGTTATATTCGCAGACAACATATTTTCCGGCAGCTATAACTCCGGCTATTCGGCTAGGAGATGAGATCGATCAAGGGTGCATGATGGGCGCGATGAGGAACGTTTGATTTTATGAGTACTGCTTCTGTCTGCAGTACTGTCGCGACAGCGTGCAAACCGACTGCTCGCATTGTATCTCCGGACTCTGAAATATTGTCAGATCTTTCCACGTCCGCATGAGACGAAAACATACCAACGAGATCAACTGTTCAACGTTCAAGATGTAAACATCATGCAATTTGCCATTCCGACAGGCAGCTTACCTATACCATCCGCGAGTCCGAGAGCACAAGCTGCCTCTACACTTCCTCCTACATATTGGATCTTCGTTTTGTTATCACCAGTGAGGTTCAATTGCTCATCGATCTTGGCAAAGTACGCCCCCGCAAGGATTTCAAAACTTGTAACAACGCGTTTCCCAGCAAGATCTTCAACTGATTTAAACGGCCCATTCTCTGGCGTTTGAACTTGCAAAGCGCACTTTCCAAACCCGAGACGATGAATTTCGGTGACCTGATCTTGCATCTCGGCCTCAAGGATGACATCGTGGCCCGTAATTCCAAGGTCAACGTCGCCGTTTCCAACGAATGATGGTATATCCGCTGCTGGAAGGAATACGCTGCATCCGGGTCAGAGCGATGAGATGTAGATCGTAGCCGGAGTTTTACAGAGCTATTGGGTGATTCATCACTAGGCAAACGTCAAGCCTGTTGGGTCTTCGGAATTGTATGTCGGCGCCTGAATGCTAGTTGGCATATCGCTCGCGCATCTAAGGGAGGACGCACCGGATAGTAACTCGAGACATTTTTCGTGCAATCGTCCTATGGTGGGTTTAGTGCTAACAAACCGTCACCAAAATGAATTTGACCTTTCTTCGGGATCGCGAACAGAAGTCGACCATTGAGCAGATCCTTGTCTGATTTTCCGGTCAGTTGAGAAGATGTTTGGCGCAGAAGGTACTTACGCATGTCGGACTGTACTTGCAAATGATCTGCGGTGATCGCTTTTCGAGGTCAAGTTTATCTAACGACTTGATTACCAAAAGTAGCGCCTTGTATGTGGGAAAATATAACTGCCGCCCACTTGAATTACGCGGCCTGGGAGTTGGACTGGACTGTCCGTCTCTAATAACTCTTTCGACCACACCCTCAAGCCCACTTTCCCCGCATTAATGCTTATGCCAGACATGGACACCCTCTGCCCATCCTCAGGAGAGGCGCTTCAATCCGTACACCGAAAATGGTGGTACAATCCTTGCTATTGCCGGTGCAGATTTCAGTGTTATTGCTGGCGACACAAGGCAGAGCGAGGGTTACTCAATCCAGACGCGATACGCACCAAAGGTCTTCCGATTGTACGCGCGTCATTACCCATTGTCTCGTCTCCTTCTCTAACATTTTCATTCAAGGACTGATCGCGCGGTACTGGCTGTAAATGGCTTCGCGGCAGATGGCAATATGTTTGTAAAGAAAGTAAAACAACGTCTAGAGGTTCGTGTTCCTCGATCTCAATCCCCTCTCCACGCTTATGTGGCAACCTAGTGGTACCGTCACGCTCATGCAAAAGATATGCCTCTACGAGCAATTGCAAGATTGATTCAGACGATGCTTTACGCACGTCGGTTCTTTCCTTACTACGTGTATAATATCCTGGGTGGTATTGAGGAGGATGGTCCGTCGTCTTCATAATCCATATTCTGGTTTATTTATGGAGCTTCTCAGGTACTGGTGCCGTGTATTCGTTTGACCCCGTGGGCTCGTATGAACGAGAGGCATGCCGTGCTGCAGGCGCTGCTCAGTCATTAGTCCAACCATTCTTGGACAACCAGGTAAGCTCAGAGTCTTCACTGTTCTTTTCCATCGCACCTGCCATCTTCCCCCTTGCATCGTCTGATCACCCCTTAGATCTACTTCAAGAACCAACTAGCGGCACAAGGGACCTCACATCCGGCTCATCTACCCTTAGAGACCGTCTTGTCAATAGTTATCGACTCCTTCACGAGCGCAACTGAGCGCCACATCGAAGTAAGCTACAAATTTCGGTAATCTAATCTCATTTAACAATACGCAGGTTGGTGACGGCCTTGAAATCTACATCGCTCTCGCCAAAGGACGTAATCTGCAGGGAACGGAAAGCATCAGGGGTCTACAGGAGTTGACTGTGGCAGAGGAAGGCGAACGCTTGTTCGTGATGAGGAGGGATCTGAAGAAAGATTAAATCGCTTGTATTCTGGACAGATTTTCTCTTGCTGAATACATTTCTCTATGCCATTGTCGCAGCCTGTTGAACAGAAAAGGTGTAATATATTATTTCAATATCTAAGACTACAAGTGATTGCCGCTGCGTGGCTCGTCTTGTCCAAGAGGATCCCATCCTTTTATATACGAAGTTGTAGTGAGATTATCGTTCATCTTGTCCTCCGAAGACATCTTGCAGATTTGGAAATGGCTGTATTAAATTTGATCAACGAAACGGAAGTTGGGAGAACAACTCAAGCGTGAGGCATCGGCTACCATTGAAAGCTACACGTAAGACACAGGGGGAATTGGACGCGGTCGAACTCGCACGCAACACGTTAACAGGGGTGAACGTTTGAACTCGAAATAAATGCGAGGCCCGGCCAACACCACACGTGTACACCGTACATCATGATTCATATTATGATTTACACTACTCGGGGGGCGGACTTCCGTCTCATTTACATATAAAGAAAATAACAGCGAGTCGCTGACTCGCTGGCACTGCCAGGCAGCAATGAATCGAAGACAAGTTTGCTGGACATTGTGGCCGGTTAAAAGGTCATGACAGGGCAGCTGTGTTTCCCTTCCTCGACTGCCCAGTCGCTTGAGTGTTGTGCCCTACGCTTATATATGCCTTCCTCCAGCACTGAAAAGGTAGCAGCACCCGAGTCTCTTGAAGCAACTACAGAAGATTCTGTAGTGTCCGCAGAAGAGATTTGGCCCACAAAAGACTTTGGTCTTGTACCGATCCCGAAGAGACTCCAATACAATCCCACCAAACCTTTTCACTTTGGCATCTTGCTCAACGTCTCCTTTGGGTTTGCTAGCACATTCGGTACTGATTTCTCGGCAGATGGTGAACGGATGCTAACGGCAAGACAGTCGTCGGTAACTTGTACTATTGTCAACCGCTGTCGAGTACGTGGCTACTGAGAGCGGTTGGCTGCGCGTGTTTCTGATCATTGAACTGATAATTGTTCATAGTCGAGTTTTCTAAATCGTTCAATGTAACATACGACGAGGTTTCACGGTGTGTCATTTCGTCCATTTCGTCCAATCTGGCTAAGTGTGATTGTGATATCAGTATCCCTACCCTCACTCAAGCAGGGTAAATAAACTTATCGGTTTCTGATGGGACACTCACGACTTATTATCATTCGTGGCTCAGGTATTTGGTGGGATTACTTCTGATATCCCCCCTCGGCGACCTTGTTCGACGCAGACAACTTGTGTTACTGCTGGTTGCGTCATCTACTACTCTCACAATAGGATTAGCCGTCACCAAAAATCTCCGCGTCTTCGAGACATTATCTTTCTTGGTTGGCGTTACAACTGTCACTGCCCAGATCTTGATGCCTCTAGCTGCAGATCTGGCTGCACCTGATCGCAGAGCGTCAGCATTGTCCGTGGTGCTCTCGGGTCTCATGCTAGGCATCCTGATCGCTCGTGTCTTGGCTGGCGTCATAGGCAATTTTACAACCTGGCGTGTAGTCTACTATATGTCAATTGGTGTTCAATCACTCGTTCTCATCGGCGCCTACCTCGTTCTTCCCGACTATCCTGCTAAAAACCGCGACTTGACATACTTCAAAATCCTTTTTTCGATGGCCAAGTATGCAGTAACGGAGCCACTTGTCATACAGGTGGCCATTATAAATATTGCATCCAGCGCATGCTTTGCAGGTTTCTGGGTCACTCTCACCTTCCTTCTCGGAGGTCCGCCCTACTACTACTCCACGTACGCACGTATCCTCTGACTTTTGGCCGCCTGAACTGAAGATAATCTTCAGTCTCGTAATTGGTCTCTTTGGCCTCGTTGGCGTGCTAGGCGTGCTCGTCGGACCTTTCGTAGGACGTCTCATTGATAGGCTGGTTCCTTGGTATGCGACTTTGGTAGCCACTAGCTTGCTTCTAGTTTCCCAAGCAGTACAGACTGCAGCAGGTGGAATCAACATCGCAGCTATCGTCATCGCATGCTTCGGACTGGACTTTGCGCGTCAGTCCCAACAAGTCTCCCTGTCGACTCAGGTCCTGAGGTCAATATCCTCGCCCTCCATAAAGAAAACCACTGCTGACTCACGGAACAATATCACAGCATATCTTCCACAGCTCGTGCGCGTTTGAACGCTATTCTCGTTCTATCAGTGAGTTCCGCTGTGAGCTATCAATTGCAGTGTTGTTAAGCCAGACATCCAAGGTGTTCATCGGACAGGTGATGGGCACGTCTGTTGGCACCCAAGTTTTCGTGCGACACGGATGGAGAGCATGTTCATTGTTGATGCTGGCGCTACATGGCTTCCAAATTATAATTTTATTGCTCCGCGGTCCACATTGTCCTCGAAAGCGTTGGTTTGGTTACGAAGGGGGATTCGAGGCGCGCAACCACGTTGTCTTGGAGAAGGAGAAAGCACAGTGTAGCGGGGAGCGGGAAGTAAAACACGATCCAGAGGCGCAGAAGGAAGTACTGATGCAAAGTGGTGAAGTTCTGCGACCCGACACAGCATAGATACCGAAGTAGAGCAGGGAATTCCTGAAGTATGCGCTTCGATTTCATGGAACCTAAAGGCTGCCTCCTATGGACACGGCCTACGACCTTCTACGACGTTCAATTGGAAGCTAACTCATAAAATCCGCAACTCACCTTATCTCACACATGAACCACTCGGCGAAACGTACCGCCCCGCATAGGTTGTTGGAGCACGCAGCTAGGCGGCACAACCAAGTACCGCTATAGCATCCGATTAGGTATGTATTCACTGGAGAAATATAACCCGTGCTTGCCTCCGGATGGTCCCGCACGTGCTCAATATGTTATTGTCCCTGCTCGATGGCATCCACAGACTGAAATCATTGCGGCCGATGTGCAGAAACAAGTTCGAGCAATGTTGTGCAGCAAAAGACTCCAAGGGTATCCGCTCTATGATTAGCGCTCACTTTTTTTTAGGACAGACTCGGCTTTATATTTTGCGCGTGTAGGACTGATGCCGCTGCGGCATTTATAGAATCATCCCTCAAGATGACGCAGGCTGATCTGATACCAGGGAAAGTGATGTGGAGTTTATTATATTGTGGAGGGCGGGGGCTTGGCAATATGTTGTACGAGGTCGTAAGAGAGATTCTCAAAGCAAAGTATATTAACGGCTTTCATGAGACGTATGACAGGTGATAGATGGGCTTGCGGACGACAAGGTCCGAGTTCAAGCTAAGCTTATATTATGTGGATGGATAGAATACAAACGGAAACCCCACGCTGAAGTTTTGGAAGTAGTGTTCCCGACGACCAACACGGTATTTCCTTTGTGGCTTTTGTACCTGCACACATGGAAGATTTTTCCACATTGGTTCCATGACGACATGTATGACAGCCGCCCGTATAATCAGCACTCGGGCACTGCAAAGGAAGTAATCAAGTGCAACGCCCACGTACTGCACCGTGGGACAAGGCAATCACGATAATACTGTTGGCGTCCGTGCACAGTTCAACTTGTCCGTGAGTCTGGGTAGGAGACCGCAGAACCATCAGATGTTACCTAGCTACACATCGAAGCCTGAGAATGAACATTGATTTCGTTTTGGACTAGAGACGGAGATGAAGACCCGCAGTGAGTAAAACACGAAGAGGTCATGCACGAAAAGAGTGTTCAGCACCCAGAACACAACTGACGTTGACTGCGTTTCCCTTGATGAATGAACACTGTGCAACGTTCCAGGAAGAGAAGACCTAATTATACAGAGTGGAAACAAAGACTGATACCAAACAAGAGCAAACTAACCAACTTCCTTCTCATCACCCAGTTTGACTGCCGTCGTTCGTAACGCTCTCTCCCCACCCTCGTGGCCCTCACGTAGCCCTTGTCCTTCGTCCCTTCTTACCCGGAAAGCCCTAAACACTGGAAAACGACTCACCATCCGAAATTCTTAATCATGATGTTCCCTTCGTTACTTTTGCTGCTGGCGGCCTCTGCGCTCAGCCAAGATATCGTTTACAACGCAGCTCATAATGTCACCGCCATTACCGGCACCTGGAGCTCTGGTAGCCAGAGCGTGATCACTGGATCCGTGAGTGGGATGTTAGCCACAGTTTACTTTTTTGACTTATGTTGCTGTGGCGTAAAGGGCTTTGCTACGCCTTCACAAGAGGCGTTTACATACCCAGCGACAACAGGGATGTCATATTCTTTGTAAGCACATATATATGCTCTCGCTTTCGATTTCTAACTTGGATCGAATTACAGCACAGACTGATGGTTTCTACGAGATTGCGCGCTACCGTATGACAAGCAATGGTCTGCTTTTTGTGCTATATTTCCTATTTCATGCAGCTGAAGATTCTAAACATGATAGGCTCTGTGCCAACCTGCATCACTGGCGTCATGAACTGGTCTCACGGCACATACGTGCTCGCCTCCAACGGTTCCATCGTCATGACGCCATTCGGTGACGGCTACCAACAAATACAAGATCCCTGCGCTGCCATATCCAACTTTATAGAAAACTACAACTATACCGAGCTCTACGTTCTCTGGAACATATACCAGGACCCAGTCAAGGGGTACACTCTCCAGCTCTATCAGTACGACGGTTCCCCTCTGCCACCCCAATACCTCGTCTCTACCTCCCCTAATATGCTCCCAACTCAAGCCCTTCGCAATGTCACGTCAACCACAACGACAACCGCTACCGTTCAAAATGCAGCAGTCCTCAATGCTAATGGTGGAGAGCGCAGATGGGGAGGAGCGAGTCTCACAGGGCTGCTTACGGTGATTTCAGGTCTTGGACTAGCGTCTCTACTACTATAGAATGGGACAAGACGATAGTCTATACCTTTACTACCGTCGTATTTCTTATACTTATCATCAACGTACATCGTACGCGCTTTTTTGCATCGGACCCTTTGGACACATACCTACCTGCATCGTCGAGGATCCTTCTGTCGATGCGATATGGATACCCTATGATCGACTGCAGCACACATTCGTTTGATATGGGTTCTTGTCCTTTGTTTTAGTATTATATCCGCCGGCTTGGATAATGAAGAATTACACGTCACAGGTTAGAGTGCGTGGTGTGATGTGGTACAATGTGCTGTACGGCCTGTACCCTGAACGTCATGGGTGCTAGCTCTTGCCTTATCGATTCAAATTGTTTCTCAAATTTGCTTGCAGAACGCGATTGCATGCGCCTTCGTTGCTCCAACTCCGCGGAAAGTGGCCGCAGCACCTCAACGTCGCAGCGGCTGCGCTTTCGAAATTCGCTCAATCCCCTCGGCGCAGTTAGCTCAAAACGGCACCTTCTTCGCTCGATAAGGCAACTTGTAAAGTATGGGCGGGGCGATCTTCGCATAAGGAAATCGCCAAGCCTTAGAAGCGCAAAACCATTCAATCCTTCACAAGCCGGATCTTACAGTTCTAAAGCTGAAGACGTGGTGAACTGACGATATTCCGCTACTTAGGTATCGGACTGTGTTGAACCAACGGTTCTGGTTGAAGTGGCTTCAGAGTCCAGAGCCGCTTCAACGATTCTGGCCGATTACTTAATCGTTCCATCCTCAGGCTATCGACTTGCGGTGCGAGACTCGTTTTACTCCTGGTCTCCCACTAATGGACTTTTTTTAAAAAGGAACGACTATCATCTATACATCTGGCTAGGGTTAACTAATGAAGGGCGCGTGCCCTGAAACAAAGTAGCGGACGTTGCCACGTAAGGGCTCTCCCGGTTATCAAATATTCACCACTATCATCAACAGGTGGTCCTCAACTCGCCGATTTTCCTCCCGGAGGTCTAGGTGGTTGGAGCGCGGTGAGTCTAAACTCTCTCTTTTTTTGGTTCTTCTTATCGTATCGCACAGCTCAGTGGCGGTACATGGATCACTGGAGTCTGGCAGTGATATAGAGATTGATGCGCTGATGCATCGTTCTCGCTATATCGAGGTCTATGTTATCTAGAAGATATACTTATCAGAACCCAATAGAGGGGTACACTCCCCACCTGTACCAGTCAGACTCTTCTCCGGCGCCACCGCACTACCTCGTCTCTACCTCACCTAATACTCCCAACTCAGGCCCTCGAAACGACACGCCACCCACAACCGCACTTTTTTTTTTACATCGGACGCTTTGGACACATAAGGGATCCCTTTTCGATGTGTTATAGGATACCCTGTGATCGACTGCAACATACGCTCCGAGTCGTTTGATATAGATACCCTGTGATCGACTGCAGCACACCCTCGTTTGATATAGGTTCTAGTCCTTTGTCTTTAAGCGTTTTCCTGCTTATCACAATACCCGCCGGCCCGTTAGATACACGTCACAGGCTGCGACAGGAAGAGTGCGGTGCAGGTACATGAACATGTGCTGTACCCTGTGACTGGACGATAGCTCATCCCTAATAGCCTGCAATGTTTCTCGAATATGGTTGACTCATTGATTGCTCCACCTACGGCCCACTATCGCACCGCTCGATTTCCAAAGCGCACTCGATCGCTCGGCTCCACCTCTCTACTTTTGCGCGCAGCGGCATCTTCCTCTTTCGTTGTAAGGTTTAACTGCAAGCGATCTTCGTATAAGATATAAGGAAATCGCCAGGTCAGTTTCGAAGACGGACGCAAATAACAATAACCGACGAACCTTGACGCAGTCAACATCAACACCAGTATACGGACAAAAAGCGAGTTGTTATAATGCAATAACACTGCTAATAATAACACGTTAATAGCATGTTAATCATAGATGCATCATGATTGCCGTGCGTGGGGGGCCTGGGGGTTCACCACTTGAAGATGCCAATTAATACCAAGACCCCCATAAGCATTTCTTGCTAGTTGTCTTCTGACCTTCTGTTCTCGCAGATCATTCAACACCGAATCCTCGGACCTTGGGTCTTGCATCGGAACTTTGCCACCTTGACTCGTGAGCACTCGTGACGATTTTTTTTTGTTTTTTGTTTTTTGTTCCTGCGCCATCTCGCATTCTTCAAGCAGACATGTATTTTTTTCTGAACCCGTTCGAATCGGTTTGAACGCCGATGCGAAATTCAGCTTCGGCTGCTCATTTATTTGATTATTCTCAAAACGTGTGCAGGGGATACCGGTTGTTCGTTGTCGAATGGGGTGGGTGGCTCCTTGTCTTTGTTGTCATTTTCCAATGCTGTCATGTATTACAGGTAGACCAAGGATATCTCTGTCATTGCTGCTGCTGACGAGGTTGGCTGTATTGCATTTTTTGTCCCATGTGATATCCCTTCCAACGCTACCCGGCCCCTGTCGGCTCCTACTGCTACACACCACCTGCTGTCTTTCAGCGTGTCTCACCGTTGCCTGTGACCTGTGCATTCGTCCCTCTTGTTCAATGGTTTCTATCACCCTCTGTAGATCAACGATATCACAGCAGTTACTGCTGACGCACGCATGACAGGAGTAGACTCGCATGCGCATTACAGTTACAGATGCCCAAACATTGTTCACACACACTTTTGCGAATCTTCATGAAACGTTGTGACTAATGGGGATGAGTGCGTACATTGCGGGTAGTGCTAAAGACAATAGATACTTGTCGTGCAATGTACATGCTGGTCACATGACTGGATAGTCAAACGCGAAAGCAAAGAGGTGGTGAATAGATTTTCCCCGGGGTTCGATCCACCATTAATATTACCTCCCGGTTCGCCGAAGCGTCTAGACACCGATCTACGAGTCGGGAAGAGTCTAAATTGTTGTTCTTATCGTACGGTACATGGCCAATCGTTAGATGATTATTTGACGAGAATCGATAGATAAATGGCAGAGAATCGAGATTGATGATTAATGGATTTCTCGAATGATGTAGAAGGGGGTTTCCTGTCCTGGCTGTACGATATATTCACGGACATTATGCATGTGCTTGGGTTCGCCGAATTTTATCCGTGATTGAATCTAGGTGGTCGGAGTGAGTTTAAAGTCTCCTTGTTCGTCCTTCTTATCATCCAGCTCAGTGGCGGTACACGGATCTGATGGTATTTCTCGAAAGTTGTAGAAGCAGGTTTCCTGTCCTGGTTGCGCGATACATCCACCGTTTTTCTCGGGTTCGCAGATTTTCCGTGATTGGAGTGAGTCGAAAGTTCTTTATCCGTTCTCTTTATCGTCCAGCTCGGTAGCGGTACACGGATCTGATGATATTTCTCGAAAGTTGTAGAAGTAGGTTTCCTGTCCTGGTTGCGCGATACATCCACCGTTTTTCTCGGGTTCGCCGATTATCTGTGATCGGATGTGTCGAAAGTGCTTTATCCGTTCTCTTTATCGTCCAGCTCGGTAGCGGTACACGGATCTGATGGTATTTCTCGAAAGTTGTAGAAGTAAGTTTCCTGTCCTGGTTGCGCGATGCATCCACCGTTTTTCTCGGGTTCGCCGATTATCTGTGATCGGATGTGTCGAAAGTGCTTTATCCGTTTTCTTTAACGTCCAGCTCGGTAGGGGTACACGGACTGGCAATGAAGATCGAGATTGAAGGTAGAAGGATGTCGGGAGATTAATGTTTTTTTTGCACAGGCTGTACGATATTCACCGAATTTCATCCGGGGCTCGGTCGTCAGAGTGAGTCTAAACTCTCTCTTTATCGTCCAGCTCAGTGGCAGTACATCGAGGACTGGTAATGATCGAGATCGAGATTGATGGTCTTTTCTTGAAAGTTGTAGAAGGTTTCCTGTCCTGGCTGCACGATACATCCACCGTTTTTCTCGGTATCGCCGAATTTTATCCGTGGTCGGTCGATCTAGAGGTTGGAGTGAGTTTAAAGTCTCTCTCGTTATCGTCCAGCTCAGTGGCGGTACAAGGATCACCGGTAGTATCGGAATTGATGGTAGTTCTCGAAAGTTGGTTTCCTGTCCTGGGTGCGCGACATGCTCGGGTTCGTCGAATTTTACCAAGTGGTCGGAGTGAGTCTCGTTATCGTCCAGCTCGATGGCATATCGCTATCTTCGGGTTCGCAGAGGATCATCCGGATAGTGGTCTCTCTTCAATGTGCGGTATTTCGAAGATTATCTTGGGTTTCGTCTATACGCCGGTCTGGTCTAAAGTCTCTCTATAGTTATCGTCCAGCTTTGTTCTCGAATGGTGTAGAAAGAAGTCTGGAATATTTCCTATCCTGTGACGCAGCGGAAGACCATGTATTTGAGATTTGAATGACACGTGAAATGGAATTACAAAGATGAGTAGAAGGGACACACGATGAGCGGGCCAAGAGTGATGATGGTGGTAAGACCAATAGCGGTCGGTTCGATGCGAGTGCAACGTTCGTTTCCGGAATGGGTGATGTCACTTTGAGATGTGGCACTTTTTATTATTAATTTGATTATTTAATAATTTGAAATTACCGGTTCGGAACCTCGGAATCCCTTTGTCAAATGCAAAGTACAAATTCACACGCCAGTGAATGCCGAGAGGCACTTAAAGTTCTTCTCTGCCCCTTCTTTCCCTGTCCCCGACTCCCCCACACACAACAATGATGAACTCTTTATCAGAGTTAAACACTTCTTCACCCGCTATGATGTTCCTCTCCGCTTTCAGTCCTTCTACTCCAATCCTACCATCCCCTGACGCAGAAGGTCAAATCATCCGTGGTTATCAACTAGGTCCATTCATCGGTCACGGCGGTTTCTCTGCAATAAGACGTGCATCATCATCTTCAGGTGATGTCGTCGCCGTAAAAATCGTCCGCCGTTCAGACTTGGACAAACAAGCAGACCCTTCTTTAGCTAGAAGGCGACTCAATCATGAAGCCGAAGTTTGGGCTTCTTTATGTCACGAACATACCCTCCCCCTCTTTTTTGCAGAACACACCCCCTTTGCAGATTTCTTCTTCACTCTCCTATGTCCCGCTGGTTCCTTATACGATATTCTCATAAGAGACGGCCGTCCCGCTTTACCTCACGACGACGTAGGCATGATGTTCCGCCAAATCGTAACAGGCGTACGTTACCTCCACGAAATCGCAGGCTACGTACACAGGGATATCAAACTCGAAAACGTCCTCGTAGACGAAATGGGCGTATGCAGAATTTGCGATTTCGGCATGACCCGCAAAATTGGCCAAGTAGACGATGATGAAACAGATGACCATTCCGTTCACCGCCACCGCTCTACTTCTTATACTTCTAGGCCTCCAAAACCTAACTTGTCTACACACCAGTCCATTCTGCGGCCTAGGCGTCATCGTATATCAACCCCTGTCGGTGCTGACCTCCCTCCAGTACATCCTTCTCATGTATTCCAACAAGGCTCCCTACCCTATGCATCTCCCGAACTTCTTCAACCACAAGCATCACGCTTCAACGGTGCTAATCCAGCCCAAGACATATGGGCCCTAGGCGTCCTCCTCTACGCACTCCTCACAGGACGTCTCCCTTTCTCAGACTCTTTCGAGCCCCGCCTTCAAATGAAAATCCTACACGGTATGTTCACACATCTTTGACTTCCCGTTTGCTAATACCCTTTCTTTACAGGCGTCTATGATATGCCTTCAGGTATCAGTCGTGGAGCAGAACACGTCCTCAAGGGATGCTTGGAGCGAAGCGTCAGGAAGAGGTGGACGATCGCTATGGTAGATGAGATGGCTTGGGGCGTTGGGTGGCGTGGTGACGAGGACACGGCTGGTGCAGAAAAAGATGAATATCAGTTTGTAGATTATCCCCGCCGATCTCATTCATCATCTCCCTCTCACTGGCGTGACCACCCAAACCCATCACATCACGAAGAAGAATTCACCCCAAAGACGCTCCAAACGATCCCTCTCCCGCGCATCAATCTCAACCGCCAGTTCCTTCTCAACACGGTGTACGAGCAGAAGCATCAGCCGTCCTCCACAAGTCCAGGTCCGATACCCAATGTCCCCCACGTATGATGAACACAGTCATTCAGTGGTCAGCGCTTCTCCGCCGACTCTTGATATCGGAGGCCCGAATCTTCTTGATATCGGTGACACTTCTCTGGGTTTGGGTCTCAATCTCATTCCTTCGCCAGAGCCTGAGCGAGGGAGGAGACAAAAGAAGGGATGCACGTCTTTCTTGGGGACGTCTTCTAGCTCGGGATATGCAAGACTCGATGCGGATGGGGATGTTGAAGTGTTGGTATTGGGCGACCGTACCGACGCCAAACCTAGTGCCATCGAGCGCTTAAAAGTCATCCAAGAATTCCAATCCCAATCTCAACCTCAGCTGGTGCACAAGAAAAAGAGAGCTGAGAGTACGCCTCCTGCTTCTGGAGTTTGGCCACGCCGATCCATTCATTTCAAAGAAGAAGCTGCTGTGGATTCTTACCGTGCTGCGGACGGAGTTGGAGTGCGCGGGTTTCTTAGAGAACCTAGCGCCACTCCTATAGCTACTACGCCTATAGGCGGGACGAGGAGCCAGAGCGTTGATCATGGGCATGATCATCGCGCTTTCCGCCGTCAGTAACTGTGTCGCCCACCTCGCCCACCCCGCCCCACATTCTTCCATTTCCCCCATATTGGATTTTTACATAAAAAGTTCAAGGACAAGGATTTGTAAGTTGCTGATCGAACGATTACTTGCTGTTTTATCTTGCTCGTTTTTGTTTTTTTTGGTGTGTTTTGTGTTGGCTCATGATTCGGTTGTATTTTTATCATGTGGACTTTGGGAATATACTCCCCGTCTCTTTCTTTTCGCTTCGTTTTCGTTGTGTTATGTTCTGTTCTGACTCCCCCCCTCCATACCCTTCCGTCCTCGTCGTTTCGTTCTCTGTCACATGTCCCCATTCCATTCCTCTTCCTCTTCCCCTTCCCCTTCCCGTCCTCTCCATCCTGTCTTATGATTGACGAATTCTGGAAACCTTTGTTTTTGGTAGCGCAGCGCTTGGGCTTGGGCTTGATGTTACTTATACCCTCGACGGCAACATTTTATATATATATCACGCATATGCCCAACTTACTTACTCCCAGATTTGTACTACTTGCTTGTTTTTTTATCTTTATGAATCTCAGCGCCTCATTCACTATATTTGTTTGTTTGAGCGCGGGTGGATGGGTGACTGGTAAGACGAGTGGTTGAACGGACAGTCGTAGTAAATAAGACAGAGCAAGGGTCAAATAACCATATCCATCAGAGCATGTCCACTAGCAGTAACGACCACATCATCCGCTGCTACTTTCTGAGCTCTCCGCTCATCAGCTCTAGCCTGAAGAGCTTCTACTTCGTTTTGTAGTCTTGCCTAAAGTCCAGGAGAACTTGATTAGAGGCACAGAGGTAAATTAGGATACGACGTACTACTTTGGTCTCTAGGTCTGTTTTGTTGAAATTTTCGTATATGCTTTTTGGGGGTGGTGGTTTGTTGTTGCCTGTGTAAGCGATGAGCATGAGCATGAGGGGAGGGGGGTTGTTAGCACTTACCGAAAGCTGCTTGTCTGAATACTTCTTCCATTAACTCGTGATTCCGACGGTATCGAGCGATAGCTAACGTCCGGGTTGATAATAATTCTGATTCATCTGTAAAACAAAACAATCAATACGAGTTCATAACTAGGGTAGACTCAAGACTCACCTGCTGATTCGTCATCGTCTAAACGCGGAGGACCAGGTCTTTGCTGATCCAGCCCATAATCGATCCATCAGCACGTTCCCCAAACCAAAGCCGAGACCAAAACTAAGGCGTACTCACACCAACCCCAACGCCTGCACTCCCATCTCTTGGCCTCTCACGCTCCCTCCTCCTCTCCAGAGCTTCCATGTTATTGTTCTGCTGCGCTATCATCGCTTGTGGAGTCATGCCTACCATCCCCTGTGGGTTCATTCCTACCATCCCTTGGGGAATGCCCACCATACCCTGTTGGCCCATACCCATGCCCTGTTGGGGCATCCCTACCATGCCCTGTTGGCCCATACCCCCCATGCCCTGTTGGCCCATGCCCATCCCCTGTTGGGGCATGCCTCCCATCGCCTGTTGAGGCATCCCACCCTGACCTTGATGAGACATCCCGCCTTGCCCTTGCCCTTGATGCGGACCTACAGGATGCGCCCCCGGAAATGCTTTCTGACCCATTTTATCGCCCATGACGTATATCGGAGGATCTGTGATTTGACGCAGGGGGTAGTGTCTTATGGGGGTGTTTAAGAGGGATGGGATGATTTCTGGTGTGCGGTGCGGTCCAATCACAGGCATATAGAAAACGCAGGGATGAGGATGAGGATGAGGACGAGGGAACTTGAGATACACGTAAAGAACTCACGGATAGGAGGCACGCGTGAATAATGAACGAGGACTAGTTGTGGATGACCGCCTTTATGGAGGCGATAACGTCTTCGCATACGCCATGCAGCTGTGTCTTGGCTGTTGGGTATGAACCCGAATTTGACTTCTGTTACTTCGAGTTCCTGGGGAGGTTATTAGGTTCATATATCGATTGTGAGAGAAGGTGGGAGTGAAAACGCACCCGTGTACCGCGCTGAACAGGCATATTATACCGATTTTCTTGATCTTGCCATCGAATACCGTCGTTCAGAGGTTGAGACGGGTTTGGCATGAACAACAAGTATATCTGACCCTCTATACGTGTCATTAAATATCAGCTCGCATATAAAGTCAGAAAGTGACCTCATACCCTGTGGTTTATCGATAAAAGTCCAGTTGTAGGGCAAGTTTTGAGAGGTTGAAATGGCGCGGAGAAGCATGTTGGCGGCTGTTTCTAGGGAGACGTTTGGGTGAAGCCCAAAGTCTTCGGGGTATTTGAGGATGGGGGATTCTTGTTGCATTTGTTGGAAGGACATTTTGTAGCTGGTTTGGGGGGTATTGAACTTGACAGTTACTTGCCGAGGCGTTGTTTGGTTTCAAAGCTGTTGCCAAACAAATGCGTAGCCGCCGGCCCGGGGTGGTTGAAGATTTGGTCTTCCTGTCGTCTTCTCCACTATCTACGACGTCGAGTACATATCGGCTGCTTAGCGCTCAATGTTGATCGCATGCAGCCTAGGATGGTGGTATTCGACATCGTATTTCTACTGTCTCGCGCTGCTCTCTATATCACATAGATTTTTCATCAGTCCGAGTATCCTGAAGTTTGGCGGTCGATGTTGGTCGGACAACGGTCCTTCTCGCTAATGATTGTTTTAAGCAAAGTAATCATCGATGCGAAGGATGCTTTGCGGCCTAGACGACAAGATATACATGCACAGCGGTAAATATACCTTTTTATTCCAGCCCACGTATATCTCACCGATTTTCTGTGGATCGTGCAAAGCTGTCGCTTTCTCCAGCTTCTCAAAGTCTTGTGAGTGAACACTATGCTACTAGCAGCCTCAACAAAGTGCGGACTTTCTCCTCAAGGCTCTTTACTATGCGAGAGGGGGTTACGCTCGCTGGTAGGATGATTGTCTATTTCGAAAAATGAGTTGCGACATCGATGCAGGATGCCAGGAAGTTCAACTTGCTTATTGCCGACGTCATTCAAATTGTAAAATAGTGACGTCCGTGTAATGGCGCTTAATTGCATAGCATACATTGCCTTTGTGTTCGCTCGAGTCTCGCGCCCCCGACAACCCAGCAAACCCAATCCTAGATCCACTCATCTACCGTCGCTCACAGCGGAAGCTCGACACTAGTCGATAGTAAATTATGACAGTACACAGACCATAACCACAAGTTCAAGATCATCCAAAGCCACCAAACCCAGATCGAGCAGCAGAGGCTGCATTGACCAAGCTCACTTCGCACAGTGCAAACTCCAACAACGCCGAACTAGCCAGGCGACAAGGTATCATGCCATATCATTCGCAGATGACACGTTGGATGGAGGGATGAACTCGAGACTTGACACGGGAGCGTCAGAGCCGTGTACGTGCTCGTTAATTTGCCAGAGCTGGAGGTGCATGCGCAAGGCAAGAATCGCCAGGATGATAAACTGGAAACTGTGTATGGGTGTGTTGTGAGTAGGAATGTGCAGAAGGATTTTGGGAGTACGTACTCTTGGAACATGGCATGGTACTGGTACTGGATTTGAGAAATATCAATTACTCAGTAATACAGGGCTTGAGTCGTTCACGCACATGGACCGTAAATGATGTAACGACGTTCGCGCCTGAGAAAACTTTCCGAACAAGGACCATCATTGATGAGCACGGAAATTGTCTAATAACATATGTATGTTCTGACTCACACAAACCGCATGCATAGTAGAATATATTATGCTTGACCAGAATGGCGTACAGAGGACTGTCGGCCGTCCGCCAGCTCTGTATAGCACGTATGAGCGTGAGGGAGATGAGTCCTGGAAAGAGCATCAGGAGTCAGCGTGCGTCGGTGTATATGCCTGATCCCGGCAACACACCTAGTTCAAACTGAAACAAGAGAATATATGGGATGGAGAGCCTGCCATTTAAAAAGCAACCTGTCATGCCCGGGATCACGCCAGTCGCATCTATGAAAGTGGAGAGAGATGTGTGAATGGCGTTAGGGCGAAAGCGGGGACTGCGTACATGGTGCAATGACATCATTAGAAAGGGAAGTCACGATAGATGCTACAAAGGTAGCCTAACCAATAAATCTATCACGAGCTTGAGGGTGCGGTGAGGGCATGAAACTCACAAAAAAGGCAGTCAGCATGGCCGCGAGCACATATCTATTGTTGTTCCAGAGCGCATATGTTCTGAGGATGAAAAAGGCTGGACGAATGCGATCAGGAACGCGCATACTATATCGCGGTGAAAGTAGACATACATTCGGAGCAAGTGACTGATAATATGCCGAAAGCTGTGAAAGCGCAGCGCAGTGTTCAGCAATTTGTGACGTGCATACATTATGTACTATGCACGTGCCTACATCAATAAAGCCCAAGATCTGGCATTTCTAGCGATGTCACGCAGTAAGCAGTCAGCAAGTCCACTGTACGTTCACATACATTAAAGTCCCCGGTCGGGGTGAAGTTCTCTGAAAACTACATGTCAATTCATGGCGATGCATGCTGGAGCTGAACGCACGATATAGATTTATGACGAGGAGAAAAAAGGGCATGATTCGTGTAACGATATAAAGGCTCTTTATCCTGGTCCAGCGCGATCCGAGGAGGAACGTCCACTTATATCGTCATCAGTACCAAAACGAAGCCATATATGATGAACAAGTGTAACACCTCTTCGACAAATGAACAAGCATAATCATAGGTCTGGACAAGTGACTTTAACAGCAGACAGAAACATATCAAGACAAGCCCACCCAGAATGTGGCCATCGACGCTGAGCTGCGTTAGGACAAAGGAGCGGTTCAGACAGAGTACGCACTGCATATATACTGGTGACATGGATCATCAGTGTATATTTTATATTGACAGAAAAGAGACGCACTGTGTAAGTCCGCATGCTCTTCGCCACTGTGGCATCATGATCAGCCAAATACCCTGTCTGCATTCGGTCGAGAGGCTTTGTTGAGGGAGGGATTGTGCATCATGCATCTTCTTATATGAATGAGCTGGTAACCTGTCAAGATTCCGAAAGATGCGCATTGGCGCCAATGGCCATTACCAAAGGCTTAACTTCTGATCGTGATGGAGCGTTTGATCGGCTGACAGAAGTTGAAGCATACCGTGGACGGAGTGCAACCTGACGAAAGCTATGGAGAATTTGCCCACCTTCAAGTTATGCCACGAGAAAATAGTAATGTTCTGAAAGAAAATACCTGATTTCTCAGATGGCAAGTCGATAATCTAGACTGGTATTAATCTCTTCGAGTATCATGATCACGGTGTGATTTACGCTACCAAGACAGCATTGTGTAATGTGTGAACGAAGATGGTCGTTCCTGTACATCAGCAAAACACTTTTTTTCCCACCACCAAAAAATGGCTCGCCACAGCTTGGTCCCCTCTGCACAGCTCTGTACAGGACATTGTAGTTTACTGATGTAAGTAAGCGCTTTGGTCTTGCCGCATGATTATGCCCATTAATCATTGCTTTATGGCCAAAGATAAAATATATATGGACTAATACAGGCACAGCAGCACAACCATATTTTGGTTCTAGCCCACGCATATCTCACTCGAACACATCAAAGGGCAACTTCCAACCATTGCTCGGGTTGACCACTCTGCGGAGGGTGCAAAGCTGCCGCTTCCTCCAGCTTCTCAAAGTCCTCTAGCGGGATTTCAAACACTAGAAGGCGTAAGTGAATACTACTGTCAGCACCAGGGAGGTTTAGACTTTCTCACCATGTTCTCTACAATCCGGGAGGCCGTTACGCTCTTGGGCAGGACGATGGTCTATTTCGAAAGGTGAGTTATGACGTAGCGATACATGAAGTTTAACATACACCGCGCTGGACGCTCTAGGAGATAATGACCTGAGCGGGTGTGATCCCGAGTTTGGATGCAATGTCCTTTACCTATCACAGACTGTTTAGACGACGGTTTCCAGTTCTCGGGATGTAAAATGGTACCTCAGGGACAGCGAGAGACTTCCCGACTTGAATGTTGCTACCAAGGAGAGAGAGTACGCCTCAAGAAGAAGCCCGTTCTCCTTCGACCACTACGAATCCCTAGTCAGTTCGAGCACACTACCCACGGCGCCAGAAACATACCTTCAACAGCTCGGGTTGAGGGTTCCAGAAGAAGCTAAGCTCGACCTGATTAACAGCTGGCTGGTACTTCAGTTTGTTCGCGGCCAGATTCTGGATCCTGTGTTGGAAAAAAAGTTGTTATTAGGTTCATATATTGATTGGGAGGGAAGGTGAGAGGGAAAACGCACCCGTGTACCGCGCTGAACAGGCATATTATACCGATTTTCTTGATCTTGCCATCGAATACCGTCGTTCAGAGGTTGAGACGGGTTTGGCATGAACAACAAGTATATCTGACCCTCTATACGTGTCATTGAATATAATCTCGCATATAAAGTCGGAAAGTGACCTCATACCTTGAGGTTTATCGATAAAAGTCCAGTTGTAGGGCAAGTTTTGAGAGGTTGAGATGGCGCGGAGAAGCATGTTAGCGGCTGTTTCTAGGGAGACGTTTGGGTGAAGCCCAAAGTCTTCGGAGTATTTGAGGATGGGGGATTCTTGTTGCATTTGTTGGAAGGACATTCTGGAACTGGTTTTGGGGTATTGAACTTGACAGTTGCTCAATTGCCGAGGCGTTGTTTGGTTTCAAAGCTGTTGCCAAACAACTTGAAATGTATAGCCGCCGGATGGGGGTTCTTCCACTATCTGCGACGTTGAATACATATCAGCCATTCAATGCTGATCGCATGCACTGAGTCTAGGATGGTTGGTATTCGATATCATATTTCTACTGCCTCGCGCTGCTCTCTATATCACATAGATTTTTCATCAGTCCGAGTATCTTGAAGTTTGGCGGTCGATGTTGGTCGGACAACGGTCCTTCTCGCTAATGATTGTTTTAAGCAAAGTAATCATCGATGCGAAGGATGCTTTGCGGCCTGGACGACAAGATATACATGCACAGCGGTAACAACACCTTTTTATTCCAGCCCACGTATATCTCACCGCCCGTCGAAGGCAACTTCCAGCCCGTGCTCGGGTTGACCATTTTCTGTGGATGGTGCAAAGCTGCCGCTTTCTCCAGCTTCTCAAAGTCTTGTGAGTGAACACTATGCTACTAGCAGCCTCAACAAAGTTTGGGCTTTCTCCTCAAGGTTCTTTACTTTGCGAGAGGGGGTCACGCTCGCTGGTAGGACAATTGTCTATTTCGAAAAATGAGTTGCGACATATTGATGTAGGATGCCAGGAAGTTCGACGTGCTTATTGCCGACGTCATTCAAATTGTAAAATAGTGACGTCCATGTAATGGCGCTTAATTGCATAGCATACATTGCCTTTGTGTTCGCTCGAGTCTCGCGCCCCCGACAACCCAGCAAACCCAATCCTAGATCCACTCATCTACCGTCGCTCACAGCGGAAGCTCGACACTAATCGATAGTAAATTATGACAGTACACAGACCATAACCACAAGTTCAAGATCATCCAAAGCCACCAAACCCAGATCGAGCAGCAGAGGCTGCATTGACCAAGCTCACCTCGCACAGTGCAAACTCCAACAACGCCGAACTAGCCAAGCGACAAGGCATCATGCCATATCACTCGCAAATGACACGTTGGGCAGAGGAATGCACTCGAGATTTGACACGGGAGCGTCAGAGCCGTGTACGTGCTCGTTGATCTGCCAGAGCTGGAGGTGCATGTGCAAGGCAAGAATCGCCAGGATGATAAACTGGAAACTGTATGGGTGTGTGTTGTGAGTAGGAATGTGCAGAAGGATTTTGGGAGTACGTACTCTTGGAACATGGCATGGTACTGGTACTGGATTTGAGAAATATCAATTACTCAGTAATACAGGGCTTGAGACGTTCACGCACATGGACCATAAATGATGTAACGACGTTCACGCCTGAGAACACTTTCCGAACAAGGACCATCATTGATGAGCACGGAAATTGTCCAATAATATATGTATGTCCTGACTCACACAAACCGCATGCATAGTAGAATATATTATGCTTGACCAGAATGGCGTACAGAGGGCTGTTGGCCGTCCGCCAGCTCTGTATAGCACGTATGAGGGTGAGGAAGATGAGTCCTGGGAAGAGCATCGGGAGTCAGCGTGCGTCGGTGTATATGCCTGATCCCAGCAACACACCCAGTTCAAACTGAAACAAGAGAATATATGGGATGGAGAGCCTGCCATTTAACAAGCAACCTGTCATGCCCGGGATCGCGCCGGTCGCATCTGTGAAAGTAGTGAGAGATGTGTGAATGGGGTTGGGGTGGGAGGGGGGGACTGCGTACATGGTGCGGTATCATCATGGACAACAAGGGAAGTCACGATAGATGCTACAAAGGTAGCCTAACCAATACATCTATCACGAGCTTGAGGGTGCGGTGAGGGCATGAAACTCACAAAAAAGGCAGTCAGCATGGCTGCGAGCACAATTCTATTGTTGTTCCAGAGCGCATATGTTCTGAGGATGAAAAAGGCTGGACGAATGCGATCAGGAACGCGCGTACTATATCGTGGTGAAAGTAGACATACATTCGGAGCAAGTCACTGATATTATGCCCAAAGCTGTGAGAGCCCAGCGCTCAGCAATTGTGACGTGCATACATTATGTACTATGCACGTGCCTAAATCAATAAAGCCCAAGATCCGGCATTTCTAGCGATGTCACGTAGTAAGCAGTCAGCAAGTCCACTGTATGTTCACATACATTAAAGTCCTCGGTCGGGGTGAAGTTCTCTGAAAACTACATGTCAATTCATGACAATGCATGCTGGAGCTGAACGCACGATATAGATTTATGACGAGGAGAAAAAAGGGCATGATTCGTGTAACGATATAAAGGCTCTTTATCCTGGTCCAGCGCGATCCGAGGAGGAACGTCCACTTATATCATGACATCAGTATCAAAACGAAGGCTATGATGAACAAGTGTAACACCTCTTCGACAAGTGAACAAGCATAATCATAGGTCTGTACAAGTGACTTTAACAGCAGACAGAAACATATCGAGACAAGCCCACCCAGAATGTGGCCATCGACGCTGAGCTGCGTTAGGACAAAGGAGCGGTTTAGACAGAGTACGCACTGCATATGCACTGGTGACATGGATCATCGGTGTATATTTTATATTGACAGGAAAGAGACGTACTGTGTAAGTCCGCATGCTCTTCGCCACTGTGGCATCATGATCAGCCAAATACCCTGCCTGCATTTGGTCGAGAGGCTTTGTGGCGGGAGGGATGCACATCATGCATCTTCTTATACGAATGAGCTGGTAAACTATCAAGGTTCCGAAAGATGCGCATTGGCGCCATTGCCAAGGGCTTAACTTCTGATCGTGATGGAGCGTTTGATCGGCTGACAGAAGTTGAAGCAATTAGCATACCGTGGACGGAGTGCAACTTAACGAAAGCTTATATGGAGAATCTGCCCACCTTCAAGTTATGCCACAAGAAAATAGTAATGTTCTGAAAGCAAATAACTGATTTCTTAGATGGCGAGTCGATAATAGACTAGTATTAATCTGTCCCGAGTATCATGATAACCGTGTAATTTACGCTACCAAGACAACATTGTGCAATACTATTGGTTACCACTCGCTCGTGCAGCACCACATTTCGTGCAGTCACGCAAATGTCACGGAAAGTCACGGAGTAGTCACACTATCCGATTTCGCAGTCCGCTCGACACGCTGTGGATTAGATATTAGGAAGATATTTACGAGTGTACCAGTGGCTAGTATGTAGTAATCTAATTGAATATGTATTGCGAGTTGCCGGAGTAATGAAAAGGGAGACTATTAGGATGCCCAGACAGCAATGGCTGTGATGATGTAGATATGACAGGCATCAGTGAACCGGTGGACAAATTAGAAAGACATATATAACAATATATTGTACATAACGACCAGCATCAGCATAATTCTGCTATGGATCATCACATGGTCTTGTTTGACCTTATAAAGGAAAGGAGAGTTCCTGATTTTCTTACACAAGTTTGGGATCAGGAAGAGACACTCACACGACTCAAACTCAAACTTAAAGGAAAGGCGGAGCAGAAGTTAATGATGAGCCTAGAGAGGCGACAGCTAGCAAGTTGGAAGGGCGTATTGATCACTTCGAAGCTAAGAGTAAACATCAGTAACGTGCAGAGAAAGACAAGGTGTCCGTCAAGTGAGTGAGAGTGAATTTAAGTCCTGCAAAGCTAATAGTCAAGCTAGAAGAATCATAGCTGTCAGAAGTAACCTGTCACGAATCCCAAATACGAACCATTTTTCATTTCTCGGTTTTCCTTCGGCTACTTCTAGTACCCGAGCCGGTCACGTGACTTCTCGTCATAGGTCACCCGTTGCTTCTCCGATTGGCTCCCCTACTCCACGGGCTAGAACAATCTCGCTTCCTAAAGAAGAACCGGTCAGATCTTGGGTTTCTATTTAGTAACCGTCTTACTCAGTTGCTTATATATCATGATGTCATACTTACTCATCCGCAGTATTGTACGACTCTGTTCTCATTGGCTGATTTCTTTTGTACCCAGATATCTCCAACTCAATGTTATGTATAAGAGTAGGGTAGTTAGCGTAAGAGCTCCTTAGACTTAACCTCTTTGTTCTACTGTTGTAGTGACCTAGACGTCAACGCTCAATCTATCCTGTTGCTCATTGTCATCTCAGACCGAGTCCTAGTGGTTGTGCACTCACCTTCAACATTATTGTTGGACGTTGGTCATAACATTAGGTTAAGTCTATCTTACCACTCCGACTCAAACTTTGTCTTGGACGTCACCGTTCTCGACGAACTTCATCGTGCTATTCTGCTCGAGAATATTCTCGCGGATTACATTTTGTGTTCACTCATCATTTCCCTGATGCGCTTTAGTATATCAATTTCTTTATGTTAGTCTTTTAGTAGAAGTGGACCAGGCCCTCGTCTTACATGAGCTGCCAGTTCATAAGGATCAGTGACTTTAGGTCCTGTTTCCATACATCTGCAGTTAGGCCCAAAACCCTGCCAACTGTACGCTACAAATATCTGCTTTCTTACGTAACAGAACGGCACTCGCGGGTCTTACAAACCCTAGTACATTACGATAGGAACCTAGGGTGCTAAAAGTAGACCCAAAGTTCACCGCGTCTTTCGTGAACTCCTCTCGAGTTCTTTTAGGTTGCCGAACCGCTACACGTGTTGCATTCGCACCTCTGTCATCATTGCCCCGCTGTACAGATCCCGTCTAGTCGCGGCTAGAGAACTCCACCTCCACACTGTTTCCTGTCTGGATACCTCTTGCAGATTCTTCCATGTCCGAGAATCTAGGAGAGCCTGGGACGCACGTTTCCGAAGATACGGAAATAGCGATAGCACCGGCAGTCGTGCCGCCAGCAGATGTTCCGGACAGAGCGAGCATCCTCTCCCCAATGCCGTTGGCATGGCACAACCCATTGGGCCCAGCACCTGCAGGATCATCCACCACCCCAACCGCAGGCCCTTCTGTACCCTTCGGCATCTCAGGGCCCAGGGAGACTACCATCACCCACAAGAGCATTTCGGACGCAATCCAAGCCGTCGTCGAACAAGAAAGAAGGTACACCAGGCAGTTCATAGACGATCTGCAGAAGGAGATCAACGAGCTGCAAGCAGGCCTGGTGCACACGGACAACGAGATCGACTACCTGAAGATCAGGACGAGAGATCTGGAGAACTCCTTGACTGTGGCGGAGAGCCACATCTCGGTTTTGCAGAACTCACCTATGATGAGGATCCCAGGCGCTACATCTGGGACCTCAGGTTCTGATCTGAAGATGGCAAAACCAATGGACTTCACGGGCGAAAAGAACTCCATTGACATCGATACCTTCCTCACCCAGCTCGCTATATATTTCACCGGTTATCCAGGAGCGACAGAGCAGCAGAAATGCACCTGCCTCGTTTCTTTTTGTCGCGGAGCAGCAGCCAAATGGGCGGAAAGCATTACCCCCATGGCGCTCAGCGGTCATCCCAGGTCCTATGACAGCATCGTCAAGGACATGAGGGTCATGTGGACCGTCGTCAATAAGGAGGAGAAGGCAGCAAGAGAGTTGGAAACTCTCCGACAAGGCACTCGTACCATCGGAGAGTATATCTCCCTTTTCCGTCAGAAGCTCGCCTTCTGTCATTTCTCCAACTATGAACTGATGTGCAAACTCCGTCATGGATTGGACCAGCGAGTCAAGAACTACCTGGCTAACATCCATCCCAACAGGAAAGACACCCTGGAGGGATTGATCAGGGAGGCGCTCCTAGTCGGGCAGAACCTCAAGGAGCTTGACGACGAGAGGAAGATGAGCTTCACACAGCGACAACCTTGGCGAGGCTCCGCTGTTCCACCTGCACCAGCTGGAGCACCCAAGACCACGTCTCAGGGAGGAAACACCATGGACATTGACGCAAACAGAGCAGGAGGCAGACCCCGGCCTCAAGGACAATAGGGAGTACCATTCAAGTGCTATCGCTGCAGAGAAGAAGGGCATATGGCCCGTAACTGCACAGGAAAGCCACTCGACACCAAGGGCAAAGGACCAGCTGTCCGCGCCGGCAAGGTGGAAGAAGTTCCAGTGGTGAAAGCACTCACCCTGGAAGATATTAACTGCATCATCAACGAGAGGATCTGCCTCTCCAGTATGTACAACCCAGCGAAGAAGGAGGAAAAGAAGGATTTTTAGGGAGATCGAAGTCGACTGCAGACTTAGATCAGAGAAATCGTTTTTCCATTCTCGGTGACTCAGCAATTATGTTTGCAGAAGTATCAGAAGTTTGTTCTGGGAATAAACGAGACCATTTCTACTTGCCAGTTATGTTGGAAGGGAAACACAAGAAAGCAGCTGTCAATGCTCTAGTGGATTGTGGAGCAACGAACCTTTTCCTCAGCAAAAAATTCGTAGAAAAAAATCAAGTTCAGATTAAGCAGTTGTTGCAACCAATGTCGATCCGCAACATTGACGAAACAGACAATTCCGCCGGACCAATTACGCATTACGCAGACTTAAGGCTTACCATAGGGGATCATAAGGAGGAAGTAGCCTTTCTGGTCACAGACCTAGGATCCGATGATGTTATCATTGGGATAGATTGGCTACAATTCCACAACCCCAGTATCGATTGGAATGCAGGGAAGGTGGCATTAGACCGTTGCCCGGTTAAATGCCAGGAAGCCAAGGTCAAGGACAAAAAGACCAAGGCAAAGAAGTGAACAGCCATGAACTGTTCGATCCTTCCGGTGTTGCCTGATTTGATACCGGCAGAAGATGACGAAGATGAGGATATCGAGGAAGCCTCTATCCATCATTGGGTTCAGTCGAACAGCCTCAGCTCTAAAATGCACAGACATGTGGGTACTATACCTGCCAAGCTTGAGGATGAAGAACAATCGGACCTTGCTACTACTGTTGGTCAGAAGGTGCAGATCAAGAAAGTCGAGGATGAGGATTCATCACAGAACGTGTGGATCAGGTACAAGAGCTCTGTAGCATCAGAGTTAGCGCAGCAGGAGGAGAAGAAGAAGGAAAAGAAGCCTGTAGAAGAAATGGTGCTGGACTGGCTCCATGACTACCTTAAAGTCTTCTCCGAAGAAGAATCTACTTGATTCCCCGAGTCTAAGAAGTGGGATCACAAGGTAGACCTCAAGGATCCTACTAACCTTCCCCCCAATGCAAAGGCATATCCCCTGTCCCCCGCCGAAAATGACACATGTGAGAAGTGGTTGAAGCAGGAATATGATTTGGGACGACTGAGGGATAGCGAATCCCCAGTAGCAGCTCCTTTCTTCTTTGTTGCTAAGAAGGACAGAAAGCTCAGACCCGTCATGGACTATCGGAGGTTGAATGAGAAAACCATCCGAAATGCATACCCTCTCCCTCGCTCTCAGGATCTTATCGATTGTCTCTCCGGTGCGAAGTTTTTTTCAAAAATGGATGTTTGATGGGGCTATAACAATATCAGAATGAGAGAAGGGGACCAGTGGAAGGCCGCCTTCAAAACTCCCTTTGGACATCACGAACCAGTCGTAATGTACTTCAGCATGACAAACTCCCCAGCTACCTTCCAAACTATGATGGACCAAATCTTCCAAGATCTAAAGGAAGGCAAGGTCGTTGTAGTCTACATCGACGACATCTTGGTCTTCACCAACGGTGATGTAGAGAAACATCGGAAGGTGGTGCGCAAGGTACTACAAAGGTTGCAGGACAATGATCTTTATCTCAAACCGGAAAAGTGTTCCTTTGAGAAGAAGGAAGTGGAATTTCTCGGTTTGATCGTCAAGGATGGACACGTCTCTATGGATCCGGTCAAGGTTGAAGGAGTTCAGGAATGGCCCACTCCTACCTGTGTCAAGGACATTCAACGATTCATGGGATTTGCGAACTTTTATCGTCGATTCATTCTCGGTTTCTCGAACATTGCCAGACCCATGAATGAACTCATCAGGAAGGATGTACCATGGGAATGGATGGACAAACAAGAGAAGGCTTTCAAAATGCTGAAGGACAGTTTCACTTTCGCACCAGTGCTAGTCATGCCAGATGTGAATAAAAAACAGAAGATCGAGAGTGATGCATCTGACTATGCCACTGGTGGTGTACTTTCTCAGTTGGAAGAAGACGGACTATGGCACCCAGTGGCCTTTTTCAGCAAATCAATGCAAGATGCAGAGCGTAATTACGATATTCACGACAAAGAACTTTTAGCCATCATCCGCACATTGGAGGAGTGGAGGCATTATGTGCAAGGCACACCTCATCCGGTAGAGATCTGGACGGACCATAAAAACCTTGAGTACTTCATGACGAGCCAGAAGTTAACTCGCAGACAGGCAAGATGGTCCTTGTTCCTTGCAGAGTACAACTTCACTCTGCAACACAAACCGGGAAAGGTTAATGACACTGCCGACGCTCTGTCCAGGAGGCCAGACCACAGAGGGGGGGTAGAAAACGACAATTCCAATCGCGTGCTTTTGAAACCCGAGTTTTTTCATATCAAAGCCACAAAAAGAGGTCAGATTCTGATAGAAGGAGAGCATTCGCTGTTGAAGCATATCAGAAACTGTACCGATTTAGATCCGGAAGTCCGAAATGCTATCGAAACTCTGAAGAAGGCCCCCGTGCAGTTGAGAAGGGGATTGGAAGAGTGGAATACGGAGGATGGACTTATTCTGTTCAGAGGATTGGTCTACGTTCCCAATAATAAGGAAATTCATCGCTCAGTGCTAGAGATCTTCCATGACTCGCCTGCAGCAGGACACATGGGACGTGCCAAGACTCTTGAACTTGTCTTGCGGAACTATTGGTGGCCCCAGATGCAGAAGTGGGTCAATGACTACGTAGATGGATGTGATCGATGCAAGCAAACAAAGGTGCTACCATCAAAACCCCATGGACCTTTGAAGCCGAACGAGGTTCCAGAAGGGCCATGGCAGACCATTAGCTGTGACCTCATCACCGATCTACCCACCTCCCAGGGCAAAGACAGTATCTTGGTAGTTGTTGATTCTAAGGGAGTCGCGGACTTATTTCTCAATCATGTGTGGAAGTTACATGGAATGCCGAAGAAGGTGATCTCGGATAGGGGAACACAGTTTGTGTCCAAATTCATGCAGGAAGTCTCGAAACGACTAGGAACCAAGTGGTCCATGTCAACAGCATATCACCCACAAACTGACGGACAAACGGAACGAGTCAATCAAGAAGTTGAACAGTACCTACGACTCTTCACATCCTACTGTCAGAATGATTGGGTTTCTTGGCTTCCAATTGCTGAATTCACACATAACAACTCAGTAACCGTCACTGGACACTCCCCATTCAAATGTGTCTATGGCTATAATCCCGAGTTTACGATTTCCCCTAATTCTTCCCACACGATTCCCCATGCCGACCAGAGAGTAGCTGAGATGAAGGAGGCACAAGAAGAGATGAAAGCAATGCTGGAAATAGCGAACAATTGAATGAAGCGCTTTTACAATCATAAGGTAAAAGACACACCAGAATTCAAACCAGGCGACAAGGTATGGTTAGACGCGACAAACATCAAACAATGCCGTCCGAGCCAAAAATTGTCCGACCGCCATCTTGGACCATTCGAAATCGAAGAGAAGACTGGCGAGCTAAACTACAAGTTGAAGCTCCCGGTTAAATATCGCATCCACCCAGTTTTCCATGTATCGTTACTCACCCCACATCAAACCTCTCAACTCGTTGATCGCCCGCCTCTAACGCGTCCGCCGCTGGAGATTGTTGATCAAGTCCCAGAATATGAAGCAGAGCAAATATTGCAAAGCCGCCTATACAGGCGCAAGTTGCAGTATTTAGTAAAATGGAAAGGATATGCAGAAGCAGAAGCAACATGGCAGTCAGAAGAAGATGTGAAGAACGCGCCACTCATAGTAGCCGATTTTTATGCAGAAAACCCTAATGCGGTTAAATCGGCGCAAATCTCCGCTTCAATTCTAACCACCCCTGATTTCCTCGAATGGAGACAGAACAATATACGACCCTCTTACATTCGCGAGGACGCTCATCCTAGAAAGGGGGTAATGTCACGAATCCCAAATACGAACCATTTTTCATTTCTCGGTTTTCCTTCGGCTACTTCTAGTACCCGAGCCGGTCACGTGACTTCTCATCATAGGTCACCCGTTGCTTCTCCGATTGGCTCCCCTACTCCACGGGCTAGAACAATCTCGCTTCCTAAAGAAGAACCGGTCGGATCTTGGGTTTCTATTTAGTAACCGTCTTACTCAGTTGCTTATATATCATGATGTCATACTTACTCATCCGCAGTATTGTACGACTCTGTTCTCATTGGCTGATTTCTTTTGTACCCAGATATCTCCAACTCAATGTTATGTATAAGAGTAGGGTAGTTAGCGCAAGAGCTCCTTAGACTTAACCTCTTTGTTCTACTGTTGTAGTGACCTAGACGTCAACGCTCAATCTATCCTGTTGCTCATTGTCATCTCAGACCGAGTCCTAGTGGTTGTGCACTCACCTTCAACATTATTGTTGGACGTCGGTCATAACATAACCTTGGATATTTTGAAGCTAAGAGTGAGCATCAGCATCTTCCAAAGAACGGCTGCTTGTCCAACAAATGAGTGAAAGCAATTATAACTACTGCTTTAAGTATTTACGCCATCTACTTGAAATGCTTGATGTCTGTCAGTCTTAGGACAATTTTCTGACTAACAATGAAGGACAGCATCTTCCGGAGAACGGCGATGTGTTCAATTGGTGAGCAAGAGTAAATATACCTGCTGCTTTGAATTTTGACGCTATCTACTTTATAATATCTAATGATTGTCCACTATATTTCAGTTGGGAATCTGTGCGAAAAAGCCATACCTTGCCAGCAATCGGGATGTGTTTGCCAAGTGAACTTATAAGAGATTTAAGTGTTCAAGCTTGATTCCTATCAATTATGGGACAGTTTTCCACATCAGAGCAAAAGCCAGTAGCTTCCAGGCAATAGTCGTGCGTCCTCCGAGTGACTGATGGCACATGTATGTAATGCTCTCGATTTTTTTGCCATCTCTTTCAGATGCCTAATGACCGCCTGCTGTGCCTCACTTACCATTCGACAAGCATACGGCACATTGCCCCGTGGATCAGCGCAATCGCATGTCTTCGTGCACCGCAAGAGAACTTCTTGATGGGGGTGTTTAGGACCTTGGTGGTTTAGGTTCTTGATCCAGTGACAAGGGACTTCGAAGCTAATGTGTCTGTCAATTTTCCGAGATCGCCACAACCACAACACATTTCCTCACAAGTAACCGACGATGCATGTGTGTGTTGTTTCTGACTTTTCCGCCATCTCTTTCAGATGTCTAAATGACTGTCTGCTGTGCCTCACTTACCATTCGACAAGCATACGGTACATTGCCCTGTGGATCAGCGCAATTGCATGCCTTCGCGCACCGCAAGAGAACTTCTTGATGGAGGCGTTTTGGGCCTTGGTGGTTTAGGTTCTTAATCCAGTGACAAGGGACTTCGAAGTTAATGCATCTGTTGATTGTGTGAGATGACCATGATCACAACGCATTTCCTACAGGCAGACTGTTGAAACCAAGTAGGCGGATCCACGATTTGGGGCTGAAGTTGTGCTGTCAGCGATTGGACTAAGAATTGCAGACACCCTCATGAACACATTGTATTTCCTGCATTCAGCTTTTTGAAACCAAGCAGATGGATGCACAATTCGAGGCTTAGCTCGTGTTATCAGCAAAAAGACTAGAAGCTGCAAACCTTGCCGTAGTCGTGTTGCATTTCCGACATTCAACATTTTGAAACCAAGCAAGTGGATGCACAACTCAAGGTTTAACTTGTGCTATCAGCGAAAAGACTAGAAACTGCAGACATTGCCACAGTTGCTTTGTATTTCCTACAAAGTTCAGCCTTTTGAAACCAAGCGGGTGGATCCAGGATGACTGTTGCCCTTGTTAAGCCATTTGTGAGGTCCGAAGTTGCCACTCATAAGAGGGTGTATGGCACCAAACAAGGTTTCATGGAATCATTATGACATTGAAAGTAAACTACTCAGTAAAATTACTTGGTAAGGGTGCCGGTGATTGAAAACAGTGCAATAGACTATGATATGTACTTAAGGTGAATCGAAAGCGGTGTCGTCACAACGTGTTCTCTGCCTTGCGAGAGCATTTACTGACATGTTAGCCTTTGCCGTGTCGCTAAGCTCATTATGGTGATTCCTTCCGAAAACTTTCCTAAAAAAGAAAACAAGAGTTCAGCTGAGGCTGGTCAGCAATGTAAATGATGCACCTAGTCCACCACTCGAGGAGCCTGTCAACCCTGTGGCAGGCTTCACGGCTGGGAGGCCGTTCAAAGAAGTCCACAATGGTTTGCCAGAATTGAACATAATCAAAGTCCCCATCAACGGACCTCCAAGACGTAACAGAAGAAAGTGTGAATCGCACCTGCCATGAAGTGGTCATCATTTATCACCACTCCAACTAAAGGTATGACTTACTTGACATGTGATGTATGCGATTGAACGAGGTGTGACTTTTCTCATCTTGATGATTTGCACTACGTGTTTCTTGACTTTGATTCTGGAGGAAGACTTCTTAGCACATCTATTGTTTCGGATGACGTCTGCACCATTGCCATTGCCTTCGACGTCCTTTGCTGATGAGGGTGATGTGAATACAGCTTTGTAAGCCTAACAAGAACAAGTGAGCTTGCTGTCAGGCCACGAGTCCAGTGCGACAAACCTGAAGAAGGATTTTGCCCTTAAACAAGCCCTCCTCTAGATCATCCAGATTGGTGGCATACTTGTCATACAAGTAGGCTGGAAAAAAGAGGTCTGTAACAACATAGCCCTCTGAACGATCTCGAATGCCTGCCCTTACACTGGTGAACAATGAGCGTTTCTCTGCTGAATCAGGGTGCACGACTTACGCCGGGTTGTTCCAATCAATCTCGGCTGGGCAGAGCAACCTGTCGCACGCATTGTTAGTGAATCCACGAGAATGTTTATCCTCAGGGTCGACCGGGGGATCAGGCTTGAATTCATGATTGATCCATTCAGAAATGAGAGTCTTGAGCTTGGAGGTATCGTCTCCTTGAGCACCATCAGCGCCCTGCCGAAGCTAATAAAGACTCAGACAGAAACAAGCGTCATTGACGTTGGTAAAGTGTACCGTTTTTATCATGTGCGAATACTTGTCGTAATCCAACTCGCAGCCCTTCTTATGAAACCAAGGTAAAGTTTGCGTAAGGGCGACGTACCCTATTTGCATTCGATCTTGTCTACATAAGCTGGTTAGTATCACGCATGATCCAAAAGCGAAAAACTTACTCCAGAGTAGCATCCTCATCCTGTTGCTCTTCGTCACACCTTCTGTTGTTTTTGGCGACGAGGTCCTCAACGTTGTCGAACAGAGTGACAACGCGTCTGAGCGCTTGTCCTTGAGACATATAGTAGTTTGTTTGCCTGATAGGTGGTGAGAAAAGCTCAATGCAAGCAAAGGGGTTTATACTTTTCTTTTACTGCCCGCCCTGCTGTGAGAGTCTCGAGCTGCTCCTCAAGTTGAGCAATTCTCCTTTTCTGCCGAGCCTGCACAGAAGTTGTGGCTTCAGACTGCTGTTGAAGACTGCCCTCGTCCTGTCGGTCCTTGGGGTGCGATGGGCTGCCTGCATCCTGCTGGTCCTCGACGTGCGATGTGCTGCCCTCGATGAGTGACATAGAGCCAGGGAGATGAGATGATGCAGAGAAGACAGAGTGAAGCAGCCAATGGAGGAAGAGAAGGGGCAAGATGAGGGACATAATCAGCCAGGTCGTACCTTATATGCTCGTCAGCACTAGCGCTAGTTTCCTAAAAAAGCATGTCTCTGCCAGGATTACCGTAAGAGATTGAGTAACTTGAACGAATGCCTATCTGGGAAAATGTCAAGGTCAGGGATAGCCGGTCCTTCTGAAAATAGAAAATAGGCCTGGTATAGTCTGCAAGACTGGATGGACGTGCAGTGGTTGCACTGGAGTTTCAGTTAGCGGGTGCACAGAAGGGCATTCTCCACGACGGGGGATAGAACTAGCTCCCGGTGCGTTATGTTAGCTGCAGGTCTACTAAAAGGCGTACCGCAGAAAGAATTCAGTATCTGTCGTCTCCACGCAAGGCGCCTTCCCTGAAGCCGCCCTTGGGAGTATATCGCCCACTGTATGACGTACTTCTTTAGCTGCACACAAATGGGAAAATCAGTCAGATAAACTTGAACACCAGGTCTAGCAAAAATGGGCGAACTCCGAGCTGAATTTAGTCCTGCGAGATTAGACGTGAACCCGAGCCGTCACTGTAAACCTGGATCTGGTCTGACTGTTAGGTGAACGTGTTCATTCTTTGCTTCATTGCGGTTGTCGGCAATGTGGGTCTTGTAAGGACATTTGGATTATGGTGAGCAGCGTGCTGGTATGAGTGTTTCGATCTGGTGTAGGATGATGGCAAAAGAACGAGTGAGGCGGTGCAGTGATGAGCAGTGGGAGGAGACATAGCATCTAGCTGCGCGTCTGACTGGTTGAGTCGGTACCACCTACTAGTCACAACACTGTGATGACATTGGCCGAGTATGCATGGTCGAATAGGCTAAACATGGTGCAATTGGTTTAATTTGGAGACCAGGAAACTGAAGCGGAGCTTCTTCAGTCTTTGAAAGAGGAGATATATGTGACAACTCACAATCAGTCGGCGATATTGCAGATTCGGAGACTTCCGAGTCGCCGTCAAAGTGTTTGCATGAATCGGTAGGACTGGTAAAGCAAGAGATATTTTAACTGATGCTGGTCCCACTGATCAACAAAAGAGCCTGAACCGTATATGTAAATATATGCTGCCCGAAGCATATATTCATATATATATCGCAATGTAAGACCTTGTGTACAAGTTGCGCATGTCTTAAAAGCTAAATCACAGCACACATGCTCATGTAAGCTTCACAAGGCCTTGCATGCTTCGGGCTCTTTTGTTGATGGGCAGATGCAGTGCTCGTCAGTAATGCAGGAATCTGTCTGAGTCCATTCACTGAGTTCTTGATGATGCCCCATGTTATATCATGATGGGAACGTACCCGACAAGTAAACTTGGATGGCTCCTTTTACATGCATATGGTCTGACTAGGGGAGATTATCGAGGAATAAGATTGCTGATCTGACCGTAGTAACTATCCAAGTAACGCTAATGTACATTGTAAATGTAGAAAGTAGCGTACAATAACATCACGACTAGGCTGATCACTTACATATGTCTCTCAATGTAGCCAAGACACATAGAGTGTACTCCTTCCACCGAGCCAACAGCTCTGGGTACAGGACAATCTGCGTATCTATGTAATCACTGAATGAGTCATACACAGGTTTGAAATCTGTGACACCAAACTTGAATTCCTGCCCTGTCGAACACTCCTGCAGGGCGCACTTCACAGCTGCAGACGCTGTACAAAACAAGCTCTTGAGAGTTGGATCTGTTACATATGGGAGGTAGTCCAGTTCCGTGATGATGTAACAAACAACGTCTAAGACAACATAGCTTTCGAACACCCACAACCTGCCATGTTTGTCCTCCCTGAAAATAAATTTTGGGGGGAATGAAGCAATGAGGTTTCGTGCCGTCTGGATCCAGTGCTTGCGTTCGGAGATACACGACCAAATGGAGGGACGTAGACTGCACCCCCGCTAGACCAGTACACGCGCGACCTTCTTAGAGGTCGCCATGATGTGAGTAGACGGCAGTTGGTTCAACAATTTATAGAACGTCTGGGTGTTTTTTTCTGCCAACTTCGTCCCAGAATCTTTGGTGAATGTCAGCTATTGTCTTTGAAGGGAGTACTACCTACCATAGTGGGATGCAGCATCGATTAGCACCTGCTGAATGCCTTGTTTTTTTTCCCACTCGGACAAGAAGGGAGTGATATTCACTGCGTCCTTAATGAGGGTTTCTTGCACGTCCTTGAATATTCTTTGGTGAGTTTCATTATCGTTGTCATATACCGAGGGTCCAATGGGCTGTAGTGTAGACTGTGAAGGCTCAGCCCGAGTATCTGGAGTATCCTAGGAGTTGGTTAGTAATTGACTATTTGACCAACAAGCAACGATCAGCCCCACCTTGGTGATTGCAGCAAAACACCTCAGCTTCGACTGAGACACACCGGCATATGGATGGAATTGCAGTTCCGATGATTTTGAGGGGCGAGCTCGTGACCTACTGGACTTCAGATGGGTCGGAAGAGAGGAAGGTTCACCGACGGGTAACAGAGGTTTGAGAGGCTCTAGCTCTCTGAGACGTAGTATCTCATCGAGACGAAATGGCTCATCAAAAGGTACCGGTTCTCCTAGAGATGGGATGTCATCTGCTCCGGGAGGTAAAGTAGACATGCCGTCGATGCACACCATGATATCATGTGGCTGATGGTCATCCAAGTTGTTGAAGCAGGAAGCAAAGGATGGATCATATGAGGCCGTAGAGTCGATATAAGGTGTATTGATGTTTTCGGATGGGCCGCTGTGAGCATCGTACAGATGGAACGAGTTGGAAAAAAGAGATGGGTGGGAGGAAAATGGCGCTGGTGATCCGTCGCCAGACCTGACAGTGATGGAAGGGTGACGGCCTTCTGCCGCAGGTTGCATACTAGTAGTGATGAAGTTGTTATTTGCAAACAGGGGGTAATTATAAAAAGATGACAACGGCTGGTTGTCAGCACGAGAACTGGCGGTATAACTTTGATCATGGTAATTGGAAAAGGATGGGGGCAGACACTGTGGCCAATCATCAGAACCGCCGCTGGGATTCAAACTCTCAGCCTGGGCCATTGGTGCATCAAAACAATTGCCAGACTCACCCGAATACATAGTCACAGCGGCAGTGTGGTGTTGGGTGTTAGATCAGTTCTTAGATACTAATAAGTTTTATAATTGCACTGATCTGGAGAACCCTCAGATCTAGTAAATAAGTTTAATAAAATTGTCTACCAAAAACCGCATTGCCGGAGCCATGAGGCATGGGCACTACATTACAGATCCCTAATTTGGCTTTCAGCACTGGTATGATTTAATAACCTCTTTTAGCTGACCTTTGAATAAGATCATTCTCGAGATCATTCTCGCTGCCTCGCAGATAGGGGGCGGCTTGCCATTTTGCATAGTATTGCAATGAGGCCGCAAACCGCATCAGATCGAGACGGAACGACCTGGTAGTAATCGATTAATCCCATGTGTAAAAAGACACATTCAATGAAATATATCGCTAATCTGTCCACCAGTTCTCTGATGGCTGAATGCCGGCCCGGGACTGGAAGTGCTTGAACCTGCCCATCTTCAACAACAAGCACCCGATCGCATATCTTCATCACAGGCGCCTTATGTGTCACCATGATAGTAGTCTTCCCAACCTTGGCAGCACGTATTGTCTCCAATATAGCCATCTGGTTCGCACCATCCAGCACTGAGGTACATTCATCTAGAATGAGAACCTTGGCTGGGCGTGCGAGTGTGTGAATGATTTGACTAGAGATGCGTTCTCCCCGATGAGGGTGTCGAGCCAATGGAGACGGTGAACACGACGAGGTTGAGGACTTGGCACATTTGGAGGTATGTGTATGTGCCCTTGGCGATGAGGACAGTGCCGACGTAGAAGAGAAGCGCTTCGGCTAAGTAGATGAGAGCACTGGCTACACCATAAGAACACCCCTCGACGAATGCACCGTGTACACCAGTGGAAAGACACTGTGAAGCAGCCTTGTCAAATTGAGCCTGAAGAACAGGTTCAAGAGGCATAGCGCGAATACCACGGACCTTGAGAATCGACTAGAGAACAAATCAGAATGTCACTCATAACAATAGCAAAGATAAAACTCACCTCGTAGTACACCCTCGCAACCTCCTCACGAGCCCTCTTATTGCGCACCTCGCACTTGGCCATCAAACCCGTCTGCAGACCCATAACTCCAACAAAAACAGGCCCAACAAGCATCAACTGCCACCCCCAAGCCATAGCCCAGACAAGTCTAACAGTCATCATCGTGCCAACAGCAACGATCTGGCCTAACACCACAGCGATCAGCGTACGTGCATCATCCCCATCTTTCACGATGACTTGGGTAAGCTTGGCTGCACCGTTCTCAGGATGGTCAAACCAGCTCTTGTCCTGGCTGAGAACATGGCTGAAAGCAATGTCGCAGAAACGAGTGACCCAGCGCATGGCGCTGATTTCCATAACGAAGAATTTGGAACTGAGGAGAAGCCCGTCGAGGGCTGCGATGCGGAGTATGAGTCCACCATAGCTGTTGACCATGCTTGCGTCTGAGCCGCCTGCGGAGACTAGGACGATGAGTGGCAAAAGGAGGAATGAGAATATGGGTGTCATCGCTCCACTTAGGAGGCAGATGATGAGCCCGATCAGTAGGAATAGGCGGTGGAGGTACATTCGTCTTCGTAAGTTCCGCGACGACATTGAGCATCCAGTTTCCAAGTGTCACAGTAACAGGGCGCATACCGCCCAGCATGGGTGCCATGCTCATGTGTCATTCGTGAACTGGGAGCTCATCCTCATCATCATTCTCCACTGCGAGGATCTCTGCAACTGTGTCATATCCAGGAAGCTCGTCTTCAACGTCAAGCCCCCCAGTACGAAGCATCTGGGCAAACTCACCATCCGCTTGCAGGAGGTCCAATCGGAACCCTTGCTCGACAAAAGAGCCTTCCCACATGACGTAGACAAAGTCTTGTTCTTCAATTGAGGCGATGTCATGTGTGATGATGATGGTGGTGCGGTTTTGGCGCCATCGGCAAATAGCGGCCATGATAAGTGCGTGAGTTGGGGGTCTAAGGCTGATGTTGCTCCATCTGAAACAAGATTACAAGATTAGGGTAAGAGATTACAAGATCAGGGTAAGAGATTACAAGATCAGGGTAAGAGATTACAAGATTAGGATAAGAGATTACAAGATTAGGGTAAGAATGTGAGAGGGAGACAGGAACTTACTGAGAATCAAGACGTCGGGTCACGTATCCGCGCCCATGCGATTGCAAATCTCTGGCATTGTCCACCGCTCAACTGGATGCCTTCTGCATCAGTGCCGCTTAATAGCATCTCATAGCTTTGATCTAAACCTAGCACCCAAGACTCGAGCATCACAACTCTGCATGCTTCTTCTACTTTGCCTCTACTAATGTCCTCTATATGTTTGCCTTTGCCTATGGTGCCGAGGGCTACATTCTCGCGAAGGCTTCCGGGGAAGATCGGCACAGACCGAGGTGGGTTTGGAGTCAATGGGAAAGTGATGCAAGGGGCTGATGGGTCAGAAGTGGTCAAACCGCAACTAGTAAATACCATACAATGACAGTACAAGTACACCACGCACCCGCCAGTACTGTGTGATGCGTGACCCGACTCGCGCGACACTATGTAGCTCATCATCAATGCATCATCGACGACAATGAGGGCATGAGGAGTCAGAACAATAGAGTAGGGCTCTACTGAAGGTACCACATGGATGACTTTTGGTTATCATTCTGAGATTTTTGAACATACCATGACTTTTGGGTTATCATGTAGATTTTTTATACAAAATGATTCAATTTATTATTGTCTCCTCTGGGCCGTCATACTGATGTGTATTGCTTGGAAAATTAGATGTCTGACAACAATTCAATAATCAATTGGCGTTTGTGAACGTTGAAGTTGGTGTAAAGCAGTAGATTTTATGGCTCGAAAATTAGATTCTTAGTTTGCAACGCAAATTTATGTGTCTCATTTTGTCCAGCCGAACCCCTCATACTAGTTGTACCGTTAAAGTTGTGAATCGGAGGTTTCATGTACAAAAAGTAGGTGAAGGAACAGCTATTTTCGTTCGTCTATAGTGACTCATATAGTGACTAGTAGGTGAATTCAAGTCTTGTAGTAATTTACACTACCGTGACTTTTCCTCCATTACTGGTGCGACTGTGCCTTTCCTTCGTTGTTCTTCGCCATACTCAATAATATCAAGGACAGACTGCCACTCGGTGCCTGATTTTTCCTGGCAGATGCGCTTGATGGTTGGAGTATGACTCAGAGATATTGCGATGTTCTCCTTGTCAGTGTCGACACCATCGCGACTGTCGATCGTCCTCTTGCAAGTCTGACGAGTAGCAGTAGCAGTACAAGAAGCTCGAGCTCGTACGACATGATAGCCTCTGGGGCCGACTTCAGGTTTCTAACTTCAAGATCAGTACGACAAAATCAAGAATGCGGATGCAGACACCCACTGTTTTTAATGCTCGGACAGGCCTTTGATTTTTCAATATCTCATCCAAACACAACTAAAACATACATGAGCATGTTCCAAGCAAAGTGTTTCAGTGATAGCTTACTTCTCAATACTTCGGAAGCTGCACGAGCACAGCTAGTACCTCCACAATATTAGAGTCCGAGTCAGGTGCGAGACTGGGAGAGATCTCCCCCAGGTTAGTAGGAATCATGACAGTGGCTGATGCAGACGGTTTATGCCACGACACGTCAGTACTACTAGTGGGGTCAAGTACCATGGAGGGTTGACTCGGAGCATCAGCCTGAGTATTCGAGTCAGGACTTCCAGTGGGAGATGACAGGGTAGCTGCCGGTGACTCGTGGGTTGTGAAAGGGTCTGTTACAGGTACGTCGTCGCCACTGCCAGTGGTTTCAGATGAAGAAAATTCAGACGCTTGATCATGAGCATATTCAAACATAGCTGCTATGTTGAAGCCAGTTGTGATCCAACAGTTTAGTTTAAGCCTGGTCCTGACTGGTGAGTTCTTATAGTTGTTTGTAACTGCTGGTAACCAACTACGTATGGTAGGGCAGAGCATGCATGTCATACCAAATAGCTGATGCGTGCATGCATATGTTAATGACATGGTCGCAGAAGATGCAGTACTGTACCAATTATGGTATGTGCTAGATTTCAAATGATTATAAGTTTACTTTCTCCGAGGGATGCAATTACCAGTTTTGGTATGTGCTGGGTTCTAAGTTTACTTTCTCCGAGCACAATGCAGTTACCAGTTTAGGTATGTGCCAGGGTGCTAAGTTACGAAGCATATGTTACTAGTGATGATATGGGCTGGGTTTCAACAGGGTTCTCCGAAGTCGTGCCTTCTTCTGGATGCCTCATCACACAGGAATATTCATTCCTGGCTTGCGGGCTCCATGAGTTAACAGCTTTTCCGATGTGAGAGTGCTATTGGTTCAGGGAGAATCTTCAGCAATGGTTCCTTTCAAACTCCGATGGCCTATTTACCAATCATGAAGTTACCCACCATGAAAATAGTACCTCCTTTGTGCCTTCAGACAGTAATGTTAAACCCAGTGTCCTGCATTGATGAACTTCAAACTGAAGCTTCATACCTTACTAAGCCACCATCTACACCTCCTCGACACCCTCACCATTCCTCCTTTGTTGGGAGTCCTAGTACGTCCAGCTGCCGTTCAAGCTCTCCCCCAAGCTCTCCGAGTCTCTCGTCTGTATCTGTGACAGGATCAGGTAGTGATGATTCATGATATATTATTGGTCATCAGATAGACTCAAATATAAAAATGACAGCAACCAGCACTACCCCAGATGCAGAATTTCCGTGCACACCTAATTCCAACCGTTCCAGCGGTGTATGCCATATCACTTACACCTCTGTTGAGGCTGGATCACTGACTCCAAATCCTTCTCCTGAGAACCAACACAGCGATGCTTCCCGTCCCCATTACTCCAGCTCATCTGAAGAGGAACATATTTTTGATGGATTGTTAGACAACCTCAACTGTGACCAGGGTACATCAAAAAGTGTCGAGCAGAAGGTAAGTCCTAATTTTCATACATATATTATAGCTCTCATGATATGTGCTACATTTCTAGGTGATGGAGGCATACTTGAGGCATATAGGACAACTTAGTGCGAGCTCTTTCCACTGCATTATTCGCTACCTGGAAGCAGTTCATGAACGCCAACGTATGCACTACTACATGTCATGCTGGGATGTCATAGTAGTCCAAAGGTGGGAAGCTGTCGCTCTTTCTGCGCGTGATAAATCGAAAACGGACTTCCTTGCAGTAGAGCAGGAATTGCAGTTTGTTCTGGACATTCTGTCTCAACACCTGTCATTACCTCGTGAAACTACCGTGGATAGCCAAAATCTCGCTGCCGCCCACGACAATGACAGGATATCCATCTTGCGGACTGACGCTGTACTCACCACTCTGAAGGGTCATGCTGATCCTATGGATGACTGGTACGTTCTACTTCAAGTGTTATGTTTTATATCTCATGTCAGTTACACATTTCCAGAGATTATCATGATTACAAGTTCAATGTTTCGTTCACATGGAATAAATCAGTTGCTTGTACCAAGCTTGTATTGCATCTGATAGTGTACACATTACATTCCAATCTGCCCTCGCAATACTGTACTGGTACTATGATATTTATGTCTTCGTTACCAGAGAAACATGTGATGCTGGACGGCACGCTCAGACCTTTTCGTTCTGTCACCTTGAGTGACTTCAGCAACGTATTTCCGTACTGCTGCTCGGACTCGAGGTGCCTTAGCTGGTAGCCTGTTCTCAATCAATCACGAATTCCTTGCCAAAGAGCTGGGGCTCACTCGCCAAAAACGGCCAAGGTGCTTCTTTTCTACGTTGGCCCTGTGGTCATCGCCAAGGGCACATATGCATACCTTGAGATGTGCCAAGTCCTCACCCTCGTCATTTTCACCATCTCCATTGGCTCCCAACTCATCTTCACTTAGCGAATCGCCAAGTCCATCGTCGCCACACATAATCTGCACCAGTTCATCAAGCTGGACACCATCTCTGCCTGAGAGTTGACGGTGATCACGTTGTCGTGGTCAGCCAAAGCCCAACCTCTTCGACGCCAGCAAAACATCACCTAGTACGACAAGGACAATGGAATGAGCGATGCCAATTGTTCAAGCAGTGAGCGGTGAGAGTGGGTCTGGTGTCTTCTCGACACCGGGTTTTACTTCTCCTATGCCCAACGCCTTTGGTATGATTCCTGGCTTTTTGAACGGTGGTCAAGCTGGCACATGATGCAGAACGGACGGCCTTTGTTGGATGCAGAAATGAACAAGAGGCTACCTCTTCCCAGTCATAGAAGAGAATGATCTACAGTCTATCCTCTGGTCAGAGACCAACTGCTGGTTAGTGACCATTTTCCGAGCTGGACCTTCTGATATGAAGCTAATAACTAGTCCAGGAATCGATTCCCGCCAATCTGCTCATAAGAACAATGGGTATTTTGCAAGTCCCTGCACCGGTTGTTGTACTTACCACGTGGATGTCACCTAGTTTTCCTTCACCAGCGATAATGGCACAAATTCCTGCTAATGGGTTATGGAAGTGGCCAGAACTTGTGGCAGCAATGGCCTCCAGTCCCCTGTCCCCTGAGTGGTCGACAACCTTGACAGCACTGTGTGACTATCTTGTATCGCATTAACAAGTCGAGGCTGGGCATGCATGGTAATTGGCAATCTTTGCACTTCTCTTCCTGTGCTAAGATGATCTGTCAGTTACTTGCTCTCTCCTCAGACTTCTCTAATAGGAGGTGTTGGGAGTCCATTGGGTCGGATTGTGCTCATTGGTTCACGGAATCCGCATGCGTGGCCCGCTTTCTATAAGGATACCAACCCAATCATTCCCTCTGAAATTGCTGAGTTCGCCTTTTCACTGAAGAATATCCTGAAAGGACAAGAACCATACAATCATTGTTGCAGCAACTGCCTATACACTGTACCAGCGAGTGTATACCATTCCCGGACCATCCTTTCCTGCACCAACTGTGTACGTTTGACTCAGCCTGGCTCGTCTTCTCTGTGAGACTATGTCATACCTAGCTGGTTCAGGACATTGACTTTTTTTTCTTTGGACAGGGGCAACTTCCTGAAAATAGCGCCTCCTTGAAGCTACTGTTTGCAATAATCTTTGGCATTGTCGCAGCTGTGAAAGTCATGGCCGCGCAATGCAACCACCCCATACGAAGTGGATTCCTTCAGGCATTGCATTCGCTATCGGCTTTCTCAACTCCCCATCGTTCTCTTTGGCATGTTTGATTGGCGGTGTCATCGAATTCATCTATCACAAGCTCATTGCAAAGTCTGGAGGCTGTCTTGGAGCATTATGTATCACACGAAGTATGATTCTATCCCTGGTATAGCCAGTGGCAAGAGCAAGGACACATTGCAGACAATGATGGAGGGATCACTATCGTCGAGTCTCATGCTTGCTAACAGTGTTTTCGAACATGAGTTCTCTCCTTGCTATCCCAGTGACCTGGTCACATCTACTAATCTATCCTCTCGGGGCTGTGGAAGTCTTTGGTACGATACCATGACTGATCGTGTTCACACTGCAAGCTCTGCGGATCGTGAATATTGCCTTACTACCGTCTGGAAGCTGAATCCATTTTTGAGTGTCTGGTTTGCTGTCTTCTGCATGTTTTCACACCCGTTGGCTGTCAGGTCATCTACACTCACCCTTGGCTTGTGCCCATATCTCATGACAGTTCTTGTCCCTGCTTTGGAATGGCAGAAGCTGCTTTCCTGTGTTCTCAGGCTAACATTGGCATTGCTCGTATATGCGACATCAGTCCTCACGTTGAGAAAAACACATAACTGCACGGAATGCAAAGGCTCTAATACTTGGAGCCGTGCTTGCATGTGGTGAAGGCATGACTCAGTGATTCTTGGGGATATAAAGACGAGGAAGAGCTTGTCAAAGGTGAAACACAGAGGCGTTACGTGCAAGGCATCCGCTATGACGAGAGCTAGGCACCGCTGAGAATGGCCACCAGGACCAGCGCGTGACAGACATCATCAGTAAGGAAACTGAGCTAATCGATTATATAAGCAATACCTCATGTTTGAATCAGTTTAACTTTGCCGCATGTCAGTCCCCTGGAAGATCTAGTAGACTCGCCACAGTGACTCAAAGTGCAGCACAATGCGCTGTTCCGAAATTCTTTGGACCGCTTTTCTCTTGTTTCTTCTAATGGTGGCCTGCAACGCTCCAGGGTGCTCTTGGGAAAGGCCAACAGACAATTGCGGACTCACCAGGCATCGCGCATCTTGTCACTTCTACAAGAGAGCTAGCTCTCTCGCAAGCCAGAGGAGACAAAACCGTGCAAAAGAGGCGGTCCTTTCGAATTTGGGTCCAAGGCCTCAGCACAAAGCAGTGAGTAGCTTTAAGTTTGCTTTGAAATAGAATATTCAATTAGTGTAAATGTCAGGGAATCTCCGCTGTCCGATATGTGAGAGACTGTCCAAGTCTCAAACCAATTGCCTCTTGCAGACTTCTCATGCCAACATCTATGGCTCACGAATTAGGTAGTACCTCTAGTCTTACAGAATCGCAACAACCCCTCAATGCGAAGAAGCAACAAAACAATGAATTTGATGTTGAGATGGGCAGCAATTCTGGAACCATGTGGGACTATACTAATTCAGGTTTGTGCCTCATTCCAAGTTCTGACGTATTCACAAACTGCTCGAATTTTTCAGAGGAAACCGCACTTCCAAGGGGACGAATTCCCAGAGCTCTCGATGATATCGAGCCTTCGCACGATGATCTTAATCATTCCGATAATATCAGCATCGCATCAGCTCAAGTGGCTTTATTACCTCCCTGGTCCAGAATTCAACGTGTTCTGTTAACTCTAAGAGACACTCTCCAGACCGCCTACAACTCATTTGGGCTGTGCCGACTATACCCACGTCGGCCTTCCTTTGAGCCAGATCGGTTCATTCCATCTTCGCAACTCGCAAAAACTTCTCCAACAGCTGTCCAAGGAGCCGATCCTGCACCAAATGTCTTTCCGCCGCCCTACCCCTTTCCCAACATGACAATCTATCGTCTCATGTCCTGGATGAATTCCAGTAGTCATTTGATATCCGAAATCAAAGTCTCGCACCTCGTCAGAGATGTAATGCTGGCAGATGATTTTGACTGCAAGCATCTGAAGAACTTCTCGGTGAGGCGGAGCTTGCGAGAACTGGACAAGGATGACAAGGGAAGAAAGGTTACCTTTCCAGATGACTGGATTGAGACCGCCATCAGCATTGACATTCCAACAAAGTCAAAGGAGGACGGCCCTCAGCCTTATGTTATTCATGGATTCCATTACCACCCTATTGTCGAAGTCATACACACGGCATTCGCAGATGTCCAAGCACGGGCCTTCCATCTCTTACCTTTCCAACGCTTGTGGAAAGATCCTTTGGATGGCCACCAAGAACAGATTTTTGATGAGCTCTATACCTCTGACGCATGGCTGGAAGCCCAGGACGGTCTTCAGAGGCTTCCGAAAGAGCCTGGGTGCTCACTGGAACGTGTCATCGCAGGTCTGATATTTTTTTCTGATGCCACGCATTTGGCAAACTTTGGGACTGCGAAGGCTTGGCCACTGTATCTGTATTTCGGAAATCTGACAAAATACGCGCGATCATCACCCCAATCGGGAGCGTGTCACCTGGTAGGATTTTTACCTTCAGTAAGTCCTATTGAATGCCACATTTCCGTCTACTGCTGTTGACAATGACAGCTTCCTGACAGCGTCAAGGACATTCTGAGTAGCCTAGCTGGTATATCGAAAACAGGCATGGCATCCCTTCATACACACTGCCACAGGGAGCTGTTTCATTCCTGCTGGCAAATCCTGTTGGATGAAGACTTTATATCTGCATATCACCATGGTATTGTTTTGAAGTGTACTGACAGAGTAACACGGAGGGTCTTTCCCCGAATCTTCACCTATTCTGCCAATTACCCTGAGAAGTACATTCTTTTGCGATTTTTTTCAAGAAAGTCAAATTACTCATCAATTTACAGGGTATTAATTGCTACTATCAAGGATATGGGCTTGTGTCCGTGCCCTCGCTGTCTCACACCGAAGAACTTGTTTAGTTCTCTTGGACTCATGAGGGACATGAAGAGCCGTTTAACCAACCTTCGAGTGTACGCTATGACGAAGGTTACCAAAGCCCGTGATTTTATCTACAGATGCAGAAACACTGTAGATGGTGTAAAGGTAGAACATACTCTTGGAGAAGGCTCATGGGTGCCTATTCTCGTACGTGAAACTGTTTTCTTATCATTTTATGGTTAACTTATATATTTAATTGTAGAATCAATTCGCTGCGAAGCTTGGACCTCTCGGTCTCGATCCATTTCAGATGCTTGTCATCGACTTCATGCATGAGTGCAAATTAGGTACCTGGAAGGGGTTATTTACACACCTTATTAGGCTCCTCTATGCCCTTCCTCAGGGTAGTGAGCTTGTCGCGACCCTTGACAGCAGGTACGAGGAGTTCTTAAGGAGTGCTATTGCCTGCTAACAAGCCGTCACAGTCAACTCTCAATCTTGCTCTAGGTTTCGACAGGTCCCAGCTTTTGGTAACGGTGTCATCAGCAAATTTTCAAACAATACATCCGAGATGAAAAGGTTAGCAGCGCGTGATTTCGAAGATATTTTACAGGTTTTTTTTTCAATTTATTTGTTTTCTGCATTTGACCCGCTGACAGCTCTCATTGTTAGTGTGCCATCCCCGTGTTTGAGGGATTGTTCCCCACCAACCATGATGCGGTTGTGCAGTCGCTTCTCTATTGATTCGCACAATGGCATGCACTTGCCAAGCTCAGACTTCACTCAGACTCTATGGTCACTTTTCTTGCTGAAACGTTCAAGAAGCTGTCACAGAAGTTATGGAAGTTTTGAAGCTTTACCTGCACTGCATTCAACACTCTGGAATTACCCAAAGAGAGTGCAGCTCGGCAACGGAAGGCAGCCAAACACTCTGAAACAAATGGTACCCCTCCAGAATCGAGTGGGCCGAGGATCAAAATGTTCAATCTGGGCACCTATAAGTTCCATGCGATGGGTGATTATGTGACATCCATCAGGCTCTTCGGGACCACCGACTCTTTCACTACTCAAATTGTACGTACCATCTGCGTTCATAGTTTTTACCTGAAGTTAAGTTTGGTCAGGGAGAGCTTGCTCACAGGGCCCTCGGGGCATTTTATCTGCTGACCAGGAAGATAAACACCCCAGAGCAGTTAGCTAAGCATGAGCATAGGTGCTGTGTACTACGATGGGTGGCAGAAGTCGGTATATCCTCCTCTGGCAATCAATCACAGGCTGACGCCCCCCCCACCAATGTCCTCTGAACGGCACCACTGCATCACAACTAACCGGAACAACCCCATAAAGCTTTTCACATTTCTCTGGGAACACAACGGGGATCCGGCTGTTAAGGTAGAAGCTGCATTTCATTTGAGACGCACCAATATACTCACAATGGTTGCCAGAATTTCTCACCAAGACTTAAGGACCATATCCTCTATCAACTACGGGAGCTAGACATTAGCTATTGCGACCACGTCTTCACGGATGTGGAACACAACTCTGTCATTATTCCTGATAATACAATCTACTTGGTGCAGACCATGCAAGTGCACTACATGACCTACGACTTGCGGCGTGAATACGACACCATCAACCCCAGAACCCACGGGGATATCATGGTGTTGTCAGGGGAGATAACACCTAGTCACCCGTACTGGTACGCCCGTGTATTGGGTGTGTTTCATATGGAGGTTTGGCTTAATATTGGGGGTCAACCCCTAAAGCGGCACCTCGAGGTGCTCTGGGTCAGGTGGTTAGCTGCCTTGCAGAACTATAAATCTGGCATAAATCATGCTCGTCTCCCAAAAATCATGTTTGTGGAGTCAGACCCAGATGCATTCGGGTTCCTTGATCCAGGACAGGTAATCCGAGGAGCTCATTTGATTCCTGCTTTTGCCTCAGGACGTGGTGTAAACTCACTTCGCTATGGGAAATCACTGGCGTGTCCTGGAGGGCAGCTGGATGACTGGCAAGAGCACTATGTTGGCATGTAAGTGCAAACATCCATTTTCGCATTGCATTAATCTCAAGCTTTGTGCACTGCGCAAAAGATTTGTTGACAGAGATATGTTCATGCGCTATACTCATCTTGGCATTGGACATTCAGCAATGGTATGGAAAATCACAAGGGACTGCTCTGAGTCGGCGGCACAGACCAATGCCATGGACATTACAAATATCAGTAACAATGAGGATGCGGATCATGAAGTGGTTGACAATGGCGATGAGGAATGCGACGATGAACAGGAGGACAGTGATGAAGAATGTGATGATGATGATGAGGAATTGGATGACAGCCTTGGGGATGAGGATGGTGAAGGATATGGCGATGATGATGGTGATGATGAGGACGAGTTTGATGTCTCTTTCTAACTTACAGCTCCAAATACCTGTATCACTTCAATTCCACTATCTATAAATTCTTTGAGCCTTTATCAGGTACTACCAATATTGATATCGCAAATTTTGTTTGTGTTTATCGATACGGTGAGTCGTGTGAGGTCTGACGTGGTCACTGAGCTCTATCTCTCATGATTACCTTTGTTCTGCCTCAAAGGACTTTCAAGTTTCACTGGGGCTAACAACTGACACATGTGGTTGGAAGGTCCAAGTTGACACGTACTCGAGCAGAAGGAGCGGTTGTACTAAGTTAAAGTCGCATAGTTGGAAACATAAAGGGAAAACAAGAAGACTTAACAAGGTTACGACAAGTACCCTACTGTCCCTTGCGGGCTGCAATGGTCCAATATCACAACATTGTCACAAAGCACCCATTCTAATCCAATATGATGATCAGTGCCAGACGAACCTTAGGTCAGAAAGTCTTGAAATGTGTTGTAATTCAAAACATAAATAACGCCAAATGGGAACGCTCAACAAGGTTAATATAAGTATCCTACTTGTGCCTTACTGGCTGTAATGGTGCAACGTCATGACCAGGTCATGAACTCTCATGCAAATCTAGGATGGATGACAAATGCTAATTGCGCTTTCCACGATAAAGTCTTGAATTGTCTTGTAGGTCAAAACATCAATAAGGTATATGGGATTGCTCAATAGGTGGGACCTAATTATGCTATCACACCTGGCCGGTCATGATGGTGCAACATCGTGACCGCATCACGAACTGCTCATTGTCATTCTACATTTGTTGACCTGTGCCAGAGGAACCTTCTCACAAGAAGGTCTTGAATAGCATTGTAACTCAACACATAAATAAGGTAAATTCACAATGCACAAAACAATTGGATAAAGTATACTACCACCCCTCACCGGCTGCAAAGGAGGAGTGTCACAGCATTGTTGCTAAATCTAATGGTATTCTAGATCTGTTGACAAGTACCAAAGGCACTTTCCACGAGAAGGTCTTGAATAACATTGTGATTCAAAAATAAAATAACACAAAATGATAAAGCTCAAAACAATTGACACAGGTATGCTACCACCTCTCACTGGCTACGAAGGAGGAATGTCATAGCATTGTTATAGACTGTCCATGTTAAACTCAATTTGTGGGCATCGATGGGTATGTATGTACAACTCAATTTGCTCACAGTATAAATGCTAATATTTAGCAAAAGCAGAATTACATCATTCTATACTTCCCACGGCCACGATACCAAGGACTCATCAATTCTCTGATGGGAGCGGTTGTTGAGAGTACAGCGGGGCCAACATGATGTAGGTGGTTCGGATAAGGAATGGAGAGAGATCCTTGCATTTGCGGAAAAAATGGTGGCTGCGGGTAGAACATATTGTTGGCTGCCATGGGGAGAGGAGTACTTGCTGAAGGTGTTGAGTTTTCATTCGAAGTTGGGTTGGCAACGGCAACGGCAACAGGCCTGCCAATGCGTCGTTTTGAACCATATAGCGCCGAAAATCGAGGATTATCGCCAGTATTTGAGCACGGAGTTTTCGAGGATGTAGAGGGGTTGCTGAATCCGAGTTATGGTGGCACCAGTCCACCAGTACTTTTTCTTGGGATTCATTGAGGAATGAGCGTCGAGTACGGTGTTTGCCTGCCGCACAATCTCACAGTCTGTGGGGGTACCTGAAGGAAAATTGACTTGCGATAAAATTATTGAGGGAGTGCTTACATTGTGAGCTATGGTAGCACTGCGAAAACTGCCATGAACACCAGCCAAGGTATCCTGGATGGCGGCTTGAATGCGAGCCTCTTTGGTGGGATCTCGGGGACCTTTCCGCTTCCCACCGACTCGAGTGCGCGCCATCCGTGCGGCAAGTAGACGCGTCCAGACGCGTTGCCACCAACGCGTCTGAGTTGAAACTCCGCTACGGCATCGGACGGCAGGTGACAATGGAAGTGACAAAAGCCTTTGTCACAAGCAAACATTTATCTCTCTTGTTTCTTGTCCGAATGCATCCGTCTAAGCTCGTAAGATGTTCTTGTGTGTTATTATTTCAAATGGACATAGTAGTTTTAAGATTTGTAGTAGGAAAAGTGTGGTTTTGGAGGATGCACGAAATGTGGTACTGCACGAGTGAGTGGTAACCAATAGTATGCGAACGAAGATACCACAAGGACCAACTTATGTAAGTAAGCGCTTTGGTCTTGCCGCATGATTATGCCCATCAATCATTGCTTTATGGCCAAAGATAAAATGTACATGGACTAATTCAGGCACAGCAGCAAAAACATATTTTGATTCCAGCCCACACATATCTCACTCGAACACATCAAAGGGCAACTTCCAACCATTGCTCGGGTTGACCACTCTCTGCGGAGGGTGCAAAGCTGCCGCTTCCTCCAGCTTCTCAAAGTCCTCTTGCGGAATTTCAAACACTAGAAGGCGTAAGTGAATACTACTGTTAGCACCAGGGAGGTTTAGACTTTCTCACCATCGAGGTTCTCTACAATCCGCGAGGCCGTTACGCTCTTGGGCAGGACAATGGTCTATTCCGAAAGGTGAGTTACGATGTAATGATGCATGAAGTTCGACATACACCGCGCTGGACGCTCCAGGAGATAATGACCTGAGCAGGGGTGATCCCGAGTTTGGATGCAATGTCCTTTACCTATCACAGACTGTTTAGACGACGGTCTCCAGTTCTTGGGATGCAAAATGGTACCTCAGGGACAGCGAGAGACTTCCCGACTTGCGTGTTGCTACCAAGGGGAGAGTACGCCTCGAGAAGAAGCCCGTTCTCCTTCGACCACTACGAATCCCTAGTCAGTTCGAGCACACTACCCACGGCGTCAGAAACATACCTTCAACAGCTCGGGTTGAGGGTTCCAGAAGTTAAGCTCGACCTGATTAACAGCTGGCTGGTACTTCAGTTTGTTCGCGGTCAGATTCTGGATCCTGTGTTGGAAACAAAGTTGTCAGTATGGTTGGCTATCAAGACTATAAACCATTCAAACCTTCTGATATTGAAGCTACGGGTGAAATGTCAGCGTCAGTCCGACTTGCTAAAAATAGAGCTCACTTGCTGATACCGATGTTCCTGATTTTGCCCTTGTCGACAAGCTCTTCGAGCTTCTGCCACGTAGGATATGGATCAGCAGTAAGATCCTCATCCAGGACATTAGCGCCCTCCTTCTTGAACGCGATAGGCCTTGTTGCAAATTAGAAAACATGATCAAGTGGGTGAATAACCGTCGCACCAATGGATCAAGTACAAGTCGAGATAGTCGGTGCCAAGCATAGAAAGCGACTGGTCCAGCGCGGGTTCAATGTCCTCGGGTGCGTGGAAAGTGTTCCAAAGCTGTTGGCAGTCAGTGAGAAGTCAAACTAATTGAACAAAAGGTACCACCTTCGACGTGAGCCAGAGCTCTTCACGAGGTACAGAGCTCGCTTTAAGAGCTTGACCAACTTCTTCCTCATTCTGCCTTTATCGTAAAAACGGTTAGTCACGAGAAGGTGGAGTTACGCACGCGATAAATCCAGGCTCCATCGATGTGTCTGTAACCGGCCTTCAAAGCGGTCTGAAAGCATGTGAGCAAGGATATTTGAACGAGTGCAAGATACGTACCGTCACGGCGCTGCCAACTTCACCCTTGCCGGCCTGCCATACACCTGTACGATCAAGAATGAGATTATCTCCAACTTCGATAACGATTTACCCGTGCCGTACCCAACGCAACTGATGGAATCTTATCACCAGATGGTAAAGTGTAGTGAGAAGGAAGCTTTGCCAGCGTCGAAGAGTTTCGCTGAGGTCCATGGCAAGCAGCCCAGAATCCCCTGGACCTGATTATGCGCGGGAGGGAAGCGCACATTATGATTACAATGACAGCAATGCCCAGGAGAGAAAATCTCCTTTTGCGAGGTTCCTTGCGTTGGAAAGAGTCGTGCTCGCCAGCGCCCTTGTCAAATGTGGGGAGTTGTTGGTATCCCTGTGAGAACAACATGGTCACGGTTGAGAGCAAAGACTGCTCAGTGTTCAGGAGTTTACTTAAGTGATGAGTAAGGCGGCCCGGCGGTGCGTCATGTTACACCCATTTTTGTCCCACGGTTGTTACTTGCACCATGAACTTTGCTACAACAGTTCTTTCTATATCTTAAGTGGCAGCGGAGCTCCTTCATGGAGCACTGAGGAATTTGGTGGCTGATGTGGGTGTCTGATGAAATGGATGTCACGTGGTTCATTGAGAATCGATTGGTAGTCATCTCATCAAACGCCCCAAACTTGAGCTTGAAGCTTGAAGCGTCCCATGGCATGGTCGGCATAGGCCAAAATGGAGGGCTGGCCAGCGGACTTCAAAGGACACTTGTTTTTGCTCACCGTGCAGCGCGTCCGTACATCTCACTCAGTAGGTTTTCCAGCCGTCTGGATGCGAAACTTAAAGTGTCATTTGCAGCGAGGGAGCCAAATCACACCGAGACTGATAGATGTACGCCTTTGTAGTGAGCCGCAAAACGTCTCCATCCTTGAATGCACACGCTCGGATTACGTGCGTTACATCGTTTCGCGGGAATGGAGCTGTTTTCTGAATGAACACCTACTAGATTTCGTTGAGTTCGGGCCCGGGAGTACTTAAAAACTGAACCCACATAATAACATTCGTACGTTCATCCTTCAATCGATGGGACTTCGCTAAGATAGCTAAATCATAGAACGGAACTGGTTGCGATTTTCATGAACAACGACATGCGCCTGCAACGTAAGTTTTAACCTTAAGTTGACCTTACCGTATTACAGCACGTGTCACGTATGAAGGGATGAAAAAAAGCACATACTGTGCCTTGTGCTGTGCAATATACGACTATCATGAGGAAAGGGTAGGGAAATGGCTCATTGAGAAGTGGCAGATGCGCCTATTTTTACCCATCATAATCAGAGGATTGCAGTTAGCCTCCTGGTAATGTGAGAACCCCCATTTCGACATCAAGCGGATGAACTAAAGATTGGTTTTAGGAGGGAAGGTGCTGCAGCGCCCGAACGAGTGGGGATTTTCAAAATCATTATCAATGTCAGGTCAACAGTGCACAAGGGTACATCACTGTAATTCCTTCAAATACATCCACGTAATTGTCATACTTGCGAAGCTCGCTGGTGGAGACACCTACGCCTCCTGGATTACTTCCCGTCCTTGTGTCCATGATATGCAAGCTACTCACAAACCTCCAGGTGCACGCGTGACGGTGCATGCGCAGGCCATGCATGCATGAACGGTCTGTAACATCTTCACTGCTTACAAGCCTTGGCCAATTGGTGCAGCGACCAAGAGTCTCGGCCAGCAGAGACAAACCTTGTTGATCGTTTTTGGTGGTTGGCATTGCTGGTGCATTCAAATATAGATTCAGGTTTGACAGTTCGAAGGTCCGTCGAGACACATCATTTCAAAATCATTCGCAAAAGCGACAGGATCAAACCCGTCGAACTGTCAACCACGTGCTTCGGCTTCGCTGAGCACCCGAAGGTGTACGTGACCGAACTGCATACCACGACACCGCGGATCCCCTCGGCGGCTTCATATACTATTACTGTTTGGTCAGTCTTTGAGCGCTCTTTGACCGAACTAGGTTTTTATATCGGCAGCAAGAAATGGCCAAACCTTACAATGGCTTATCCCCGTTCGCTGCATTTCCCCTGCACAACATACATGTGTCTGGGGTTCGGGTTCATGTCACTTACTTTCCAGAACTCAAACGGCACAGCATCAGTTCCTATCAGATCTTGTTGTATGACCAGACTTGAGTGCTTCAGAGGGCTTCTGCCCGAAACGATTCCCACGTTGTGTCCGGAGGTTTGATATAAGAAGGTGCACGATATGTTATTCCTTGCGCTCAAAATCCATTTTCTGCCTCTCGAATGAATGGACAAGATGGTGTATTCGGCTGACGATATTGCAGCAGCGAGGAGCTTGCAGACACACACGATGCGTCTCTTTCTTGTCAGTTCGACAGCCATTAGTAATAGTGTACCATCCATGCGCTGCCAGTATCTATACAGTGCGTACTGTGACTGTCTGAACTACTTCTCCCTTGTTCTAATACAGCTCAGCTTCGATGGCAACATTCTGGGTGAGCTTGTCCTGATAGATTTCCGACTGTTGTTAAACTCCATTGCCCAGACCTACGATTACGTTTGTTCGCTTCATCAGGAGGTAATACACTTATTCAACCTCATTTTGAAATTCATGATAATCATCTATTCAAAGTGGATGTTCCTGCTTCTGTCACGCTGGTCCAGAGTAAAAGGCTTTTATGTTGCTGCACGATACGTGCCTTTTCTCCTCTTCACCGCGAATCTATATCGTGCGTTCAGCTCCAGTACACATCGCTATCAATTGACTTGACATGGTTCAGTGAACTTCATCCCGAACAAGAGCACAGATGTATGTGAACGCGCGGTGGAATTTCTGATCGATGAACGACGCTTACTGCAAACTTCGCCAGGAATGCCAGACATTGAACACTGCTTGTGCATGTACGTGCATGGCACATACATATTTGCACATCCTTGCCGAGTGCTGTCCATTCCTCTCACAGGTTTCAGCATGATATCAGCCGTTAGCTCTGAATGTATCTCTTCTTCCTCCGCGACATATCTGCGTTTCTGATCCCATTCATTCAATCTTTTTCGTCCTCAGAACATGTGCACTATGAAGCAACAATAAATTCGTAGTAGTACCCACGCTAACAGCCTTTTTCGTGAGTCCCACCGTAAGGTCTTTAAGTAATATTAATTCTCAGATTCTTCCTTAACCTGAGACTACGCGATCACACAAGGTGTTCCAATCGCTGCGGGAAGTCATCCAGTATGGGTGGTGAGATCTTGAGAGTGAATGTATACGTACGTTAATTATGGGCTGCTATGTTTCCTGCGGAAACGTAGCCGCACAAAATTATCGGACGTGGTCTGTATATATTGGTGCATGACCTTGCACAATGCACTACCAAATGTAGACACTCCCGCTCACTGTGGACAACAGTGAACTAAACGCTCGCTTTCCAGGCAGACCATGCACAATATTTAGATAGACTACTCCAATTGATAGATAAACCTCTAGCAGCGCGTCTCAACCCTTGAATTTTTGACAAAGTCCTGCCAGTGCACTATCAACAATCTACAAGTTTTGTTTTTCCCGTTTGAATTAGCATGCGTCCCAGGTCATGGCAACCGTAGAACCAATGATATCAAGTCGATATTAGTCACTACCGAATGGCAGCAGATAGCGGCCTCCATATGCATGTTCTTATCCATGACTGTGTATTCATCTCCCACTCATCCAAGGTTGAGTTCTCAACCTTCAACATATGCAACACTGGTATGTGCGGCCCGTGGGACCAGGAAAATGCATTGCATCCCATGTCAATGTGCACATGTCCCAGGACAATCAGGACTATATATATATATCACCTGCGCTTCACGATCTAGCGGTTCCCTCCATCGTTGCCCACGATGTACACCACATCTTCTCTCTTCTTGCATACGCTAGCCCAGGTCGGCATCACCCATGCATTCGTTAACTGGGGCTCGGATCACCCTGCGCTCCTGGAAGATCTCGAGCGTCAACGCGTCGATCATGGTGATACCGTGGTCGAGATAATCACTTGTCCCAATGAAATGGTTGCGTTAAGCGCAGCGCAGACATTTGTGCAGGTCACGAACAGGCCCGCTGCAGTCATTGTGCATGTTGACGTCGGAACCCAGGTTAGTGTCATACTTGTGGCTTTGCAGAGAAATTGACTTCGAACACCTTGTGATAGGCCCTGGCTGGTGCCGTCCACAATGCGAGCAGAGGCAAAGTTCCTATCCTGGTGTTTGCTGGTGCATCCCCTTCTACTGTGGAAGGAGAATTGAAGGGGTCAAGGAACGAGTGGATTCATTGGATGCAAGGTCAGATATCTATATTTTGATCGGTCGGAGATAAATCTGAGATTCTTTATGCGTAGATGTACCTGACCAACCTGCAATTGTCAGGCAATACATGCGCTTTACTGCACAGATCAACACACCCGAAAATGTCCCTCATCTTGTCAGACGTGCCCTCCAAATGTGAGCTTACTATCCTTCAAAGTCAAACTTGGCTGAGACGTGCACCCCAGTGCTACAAGTGAACCAAAAGGACCTGTATATCTCTGGGCACGCAGAGAAGTAATGGAAAAGGAGATCGATGAATCCCTATTCAACGCTCCAGCATCTCTCTACAGATGGCCTTCGATCGAGCCAACCGCGCTCTCTTCCTCAGGTAAAGTACCATAGTAACTGCCAGTGGCACCACTACTGCTTTCGCTCACTGCGCTCGCCCAGCCGTGAACATGATCGGCGATGCCCTGGCTCAGGCAAGCAACCCGCTTATCATCACCTCATACATTGGGCGGAATCCCGCAGCCATCACCGCCCTCGAGATGCTTTCCCGGCTCATGGCTATCCCTATATTTGTGACCTGCCCTAGTGCAACCAACATATCTCTTTCACACCCCTTCTTCGTCGGTGTCTCCTTCCTTGCGCCTGGTACGCACACCCCGCTGCTCCGCACAGCCGACGTAGTCCTCGTCATCGACGCAGAAGTCCCGTGGATCCCAATGAACAAGAACAAACAAGGCAACTTCGAACGCCCAAGCGACGACGCCCGGATCTTCGTCATTGACTCCGGCGACCCCCTCAAAGAAAGCATCGGCAATGAACACGTCGCCAGCGTCGCAGAGCTCGTCTGCCGCGCCAGCGCAGAGGTCATGCTCTACCAACTCCTGAACTCTGGGCGCACAGGTGCCGCGACAGGGTTCTACGCGCGCTCTAAGAGCATACAGGGGGTGCACGACGCGTTTATTACGGCCATGCGTAGGGAAGAGACGCTCACTTCCGAGCCGAACGCGCCGTATGCGCCCGCGCGTATCTTCGGCGCACTGCGCACGGCGGTAGAGAATAAGGTCCCGCACCCTGCAAGCACGCTCTACCTCAACGAAGCCATCAGTAACTACCCGCTTACGTGGACACACCTGCACCCCGACATGCCTGCGGGCATGTTGGGCTCTGGCGGCTCGTCGCTCGGGTGGGCGCTTGGTGGGAGCGTCGGTGCAGTCCTAGGAGGCGTGAGCGCGGGTAAAGGTGCTGGGAAAGTGGGGTATGAACTAGTAGTGAACGTGGTGGGTGACGGTACGTTCTTGTTTGGAGTGCCTGGGAGTGCATTCTGGATGGCGAGGCGGTATGAAACAGTGAGTGCTACTTGTTGATTGTTCGAGTGGGTGCTGAGGATACTTGGGTTACAAGCCCTTCCTGACTATCGTTTTGAACAACGGAGGCTGGAAATCACCAAAGCTCTCTATGCTAGGCGTGCACCCTGAGGGACACGGTTCCAAGGTCATGGGCAACCAGCTCACCGTGGGCTTTGGACCCGCCATGCCCGACTATGTAGGTATCGCGGTAGCTGCGACTGGGGGATGGGCGTGGGGAAAACGCATCGCTGCGGGTGATCCCCTGGGGGAAACGATGGCAGAGGCTGTGCGGATCGTGGTGGAGGAACGGCGGTGTGCGATTGTGGAGTGTGTATTAGAATGTATTTGAGAGGCGAGGATGTAGAGGGTGCGCTGGTTGGTATTGAATCTGCCCTGTAGAATTAGTTGCAATGGTTGTTCGCTGATACCCCTAGATTATTTGTATGGATGACATGGATATACTGGGCGCTGGCTGTCCCTGGGATTGTTAAATGGTGTGCGTTCCTAACCTCACTAGATTCGCCATCTGGATGTGACATCGCGGCAACGCCGTTCAGCGCCATTAAAACTGCTTGTAACTGCAGTGAAAAAAGTCACTGTAAAAGTCATTGAATTGTCAACCAAACCTCCATTATTTATGTCGACCATCGACAGTAAATTTAAATAACTTGGCTCCTATCTGGTATTCGCAGAATAAACATTGCGGCAACGCCATTCAGTGTCATCGAGTATAAATTGACTACATAGTTTCAAACTGTATGCAACCCCAGTAAAAATGGGAGGGCCTATAGAAGTCATCCATTTCAAACAATAAATCGCCGAAAGTTGGCGTTCGTCGGATAAGGGTCCACAAAAAACCAAAAACAACAATATCAATCAATTTGGAGGAGGCAGAGGGAAATTTTGGGGGAAAAGGTTATCATATATCGGACAGAGCCGCTTCGAAGAACCTATCGCTAGTCGTCAAACCCACTCTACTAGTAGTTCATGGTGCTCGGTACTCACTACGGAGAGGCTGTGAAAGTGCTACATCTTGAGGAGCCTCTGCAAATACCAATGCCATTCCGCTGCGCGCACAGAAATCAAAAGTCCATCCAAGCTCGGTATAAGGGAGCAAGAAACTCACGTGTATAGGTGCCAATCGATATGACTTCAGAAATCATCAACATTATCGGGGATGAGCCATCAAAGCCAACACTCACCAGTGTAACAACCAGGGCCCAGGATTATCCGTGATGAAGCGGATGGTCACATAGTCACCAGCAAAACCAGTAGTCACGGTATCGCGCATGACGGGGTTGACATAGTTGTAGCTGCTACTTCCGGCACTTCTTATGACAGCAAAACTGTGCTGTGAACCAGTTAGTGGTTGACGGTATGTACATCGATGACATGTCAAGGCGTACACCATGTAGATGAAATGGATGCTGTCAAAGTTTCAGTCTATTGTCGATCGAGCACATAAGGTACAGGAAATGAAAAGAACTTACAGGGCGCCCATCGGCATTGTCAGGGTTCCAGGAAATCTCGATAACCTTGTTCCGCGGTAGAATATACACGGAACCATTGGGTGCCAGATTCGAAGCCGTCATATCACCGCTCAATAACTGTAGTAGTACAGGGACACTAGGAGAAGTGTACTGAACCCCATTGATGAGGAAGTTGTAACTGGTCTCATTTTTCCCAAGGATCAGATCAAGCTTTACGTCTGCACCATTTTCCTGAAGCAAACGAGATGGAGGCGGATACAAGGGGTGTAGGTCAGTCTCTTTCAGAGGGGCCAGGTTTGGAGTCGTTCTGTTTTTCGGGTCCACGTCGGGAGAGCCTGTGTATCGTAAGATGGCCGTAGAGTTCGTACCTGTGTTCGGATCCGCATGCACCCAATAGTTGTCGACGGGCCTGTTCGTCTCGAGAATGAAAGAATACCGCTGTGCAGCATAGATCTGAATAGAGTCTACCACGACCGGCTCGACGTATTGGCCATCAACCTCAATTATGGTGAGCTTGTGGTGATCGATAGAGAAAATATAGTTGGGCTTGCACGCCATGTTCAGTAAACGGAAACGATATCGCTTGAACGGCTGAACGTCGATGACGGCGTAAGGAGAATCCGGTCCTCCCTGATAGCTCCCGACACCGTTGATAAGCACGGAGTCGGGAGTCACCTGTCTTTGGACTTGAGGAGATGGTACGTGATACCTGCAAAGTGAGCCGATTCAATCTCAGGAAAAGCCTCAAGGTCGGCTCGGCTTACCAGTCCATCAACGTGATAATAGTAGATTCTTCGCTTAGGTGTCAGAAGCGCAAATTCGTTTCGGCAGGCTGACTGACTGACCATTATCAATATCGTAAGAGAAACGGTATGGATCGTCGGGGTCGTAGATGATCATTGGACCTCGTAGACCGTCGCAGTATTGGACCTGTAGTCCACTCAGTCACCGATACGTGAATAAATCGAGGCACAAACTCCATAATGAGAGTGGTACCAGTATGTTCCTACTTGGTCACCAGCATTGAACTCGTACAGAAAAGAATGCCCTGGAGCGAGCGGGCATTGCGTAACGAATGCTGTGCCGTCCATCTGGTTACTGTGTCGTTGGAATATTCCATGCCAGTGCTTTCCGGGACAGGACATCATTGCAGGCTCCAATGCTTTAATAAATTGGTGCTTACGATGCTGGTGCCTATGAGCATCGTGTCGTCATTTAAATAGTTTGTGACGTTAATCTTGAACGTATCACCCTTAAAGACACATAAGATCACCGAGATTTTGCATATGCAAAGTAAATGTCACCTTCTGACCCGTGATAATGGGCCCGGGAAGAGTGCCACCAGCAAGAACCGCCCTGCAATGACCTCAGCGATCAAACAGGGTGAAATATAGGAAACACTGACGCCTTGGTGAATCCGTCTGGAGATACTTGAGCATTGGCCACAACAAGGTCAGCTACTGGGCCAATAGTGACGGCGTAACTCTGAAGGCTTGCCAGAAAGCACAGGAACATATAGTGTTGGAACATGGCCCAACGCTCCAGCTGATCGGAGGATGCTGGTGAACGAAATGCAGCTCATCCTTTGGCTTAAGTAGTGCTCTTTGGATCGTCTTTTGGATATGAACCTTGATTGGCTTCTCTTACGTGGCCGAGGATCAAAGTCGTCGACTGTGAGGCAATGGTGATACCATCGCAGTAGTTTCCCACCTGTAGATCACCGCCAATCAACTTGAATGTACGGACTTGCAGAATGAAAAACAAAAACTAATTGCCTTTCAAAGATCGGATTCGGACTCGGAATATGATGCTGACCCTCAACGGTACAAGTTCTCATATTGTGCGAGTTCCTTAACGCTGGCTAGCGTTCACAAGTTACCCGTCAATTCGCTAAGTGCCAGAAAAGGTTTTATTTTCTTCGGAATATGTCTTGCAACGAGAATGAAGAATGAGCATAAGGAGGTGGAGAAGCAACGCAAATCACCTACATGCACATTCTTCGGCTGATATTTCAAACGTGATGACAGATTTGAATCATGCCGGCCCCCGGGGCAGACGGACGGTCGACTTAGTACATTAGTTTACACGACTGCGAGTAACCGCCGCGAGGCGTGGAACATCGCTTATCATGAGAAGATGCGTTGGATGTACACATTGCAAACTGATCTGGGAGAAGTTTAATGATATCTCGAGCAAGCAACACTAATACGTGCTGACTAAGCTATCGAAAGGATCAATGAAGGATTCGAAGGTGCAAGAGACTATACTTACTACCAGCCGCAGTACTTGCAAGAGCCAGGAAACCTTTACTTGCTGGAAGGAACCCAGATGCGGACGGCATGTCTAGTCCATGCCCGGTCGTCGATACAATATGTCAAGGGAATGTGAGACCGAACCTTCAAGGATAGCTTTGTCACTCTATGCGAAAACCTGTTTCGGACCGCGGTGTTGAATACGCAGGGATCAGGCAGGGAACATACCGACCTCCTGTGGATAGAAGTCTCCCCAGGGGAGTGACAAGGAAGCTCACTACATGTGAGTGATGCCAGTTCGGGGTCATCCACCTATAGTACAATAACCGCATAATATTCATGGAAACGCATCTAGGTTCTGTTTTATGAGGATTAGCAGAGATCGTGGTATCTACCTCGGATGATACATTGATGAGATGGTGCTTCTACGCTTGTCCTGGCTGCTGGCCGTTCGGTGTATCTTGGGTTTTTGCTTTGGGGGTTTTTGGGCTGATCAGTGATGCTGCCCTCCCTCGCTTTGCGTTTAACTTTGCAGGTATCCTCCAAATTACCTTCAATATCCCGCTCTCTATCCAATCTCGCCTTCTCGTGGAAGACAAATTCTTCATCGTACTCCACGTCGTTTTTCCCCTGCACGGCTGTTTCAACTTGTTTGACGGTGCCCTTCTTTTTTTTGGGTGCTATAATTGGGTTCACACCAAGTTCACTCTACCGAATTTGTCATTCACGCGTGCCCCAGGCGTTCACCATGGGGCCCTGGTAACCATACTCCCGGCAGATCTTACTTCAATCATCAAATATCAATCACAGACGCTGCTCAAGAATCTGACTAGGCACGCTGGATAGGAGGTACGAGAAGTTAGAACTAGAATCGACCAATTGCACCGTAACACCGACCAATCACATTGTACCATCGACCAATCCAACTGTACCATAGACTAATCTCACTTATCATCAACCATTCACCCCATATCACCAACCAATCACCACATATCGCCAACCAATCACCCCATATCACCAACCTGTCATCCTGGTACACCCGCCGAGCAGCCATCTCCGCCATCTACATTGCTGCTGATCATCGCTGATCAATTGACTTCCCAACGCACAGCTTCTGTATCGTTGGATTCGTTTTCAGAGGACGCGGAGCACGCAGCAAAGGTTCTCGATGAGATGGTGCGCGAGTTAATACCGATACATATTCTAATAATAGTTGGACAGCTCGAATGCAAATAGAAATGCATGACGTGATTCTATAGCTATAAGCGAGCATACCACAAGCCAGTTGAAGCCACACGTGACACAACTCACCAGAAGTCCCTGCCACTCATCCTGCTTAGCAGTATCCAAAACACCGATGCATCAACGGCATGATACATTTATTGTACATAGGCGTTTTTGTGTTGGATTTCGTCAGAGTTGCACTACGCAGTACGCATATTTCTCGCATTCTTGTGACTTTTAGCCCAATGACCGGACAGGGAGTGAAAAGGCACGCATGAAACGAGGCTATCGACTCCTAGACCGAGGACTTGCGAGGAGAAAGTGGCGCATTGGATTAAGCGTTAAGGGGTATCCGTCAGTAGCCTGGATGGAACGGGTGAGTATCATCTCTTTGGTGGCATTTACCATTGATATCGTCTATCTCTGACATTTCTGATGGAATGTACCCTTGTTACGAGACCTTCGACGAGCCATTACACTCCGTGGGCCCGGGCCGGCGAGGTGGGTATGCCGACGATCATTGAAATTGAGACTGCAGGCTTTTCGATGATCACATTGTCCTTAGCCCTGTATCAGATTGATGAACTACATGATTTCATCGATTTCGGAAATCCTCAAATTGATGCAAGTGTAGCAAGAACATCTCGAGAAGGGTATCGGAACGAAGTTACCGCACGGACAGTTCTTCGATCTTTGGCGGTGTTCAAACATTCTGCGTATGTCATTGTTTCGCAATTTCGATTGACTTCCTCTTTCTTCATGCGAAAATACTGACTTTGGTCAATCAAGGTAGAAACGGACACTACGATGCTCATTTCGGTCATAAAAGCTCTCAGTGGTGGTATATCTAGCACGGACTCATATCCACTGCAGACCTCAGATTCTTGTGCTGGGACCACGCCTGGTCCTTAACGTTCGAGAATTCACGGCCGAGAAAATTTTTCAAACAAGAAATATCCTCGTGCTTAACGACGAATGCATGTCCCGGCTCACACATACAATATACCAGGACAGCATACAGAGGGCCGTTCGCCAGCTCTGAAGGGCATGTATGAACGTAAGTCCTGGAGAGCGTCGGTCAATGTGCGTATGTGCATATGGGATGCAGAGGTCAACACTGATCGAGCATCCTGTAGTGCTCGGGATCGCGCTGGTTGCATCTGCCTCGTTAGCGGTAAAGCCAGTACCTATGGATGCTAGAGGCGGGCATGAGGGCATGGGGCTCACAAGAAAGCCAGTCGGCATGGCTGCGAGCACAAATTAATTGTTGTTCCAGAGCACATGTTCTGAGGACGAAAAAGGTCCCCAACATTGTTGGTGTGCGATCCCAGTCAAACTCCAATCTAGATTCGCCGGCTGGCTGTGCCAACGCAGCATTCACTACATATTTACTGCAGTAAAAAATGGGAGGGTCTGTAAAAGTCGCAATCAAGCCTCTATCTCTATCTCTAACAATAAATTTAACAGCGACTTTTCATATCGTCGTGATCTCGCCAGACTACCAATACCACGGAACCCGCACCAAGCTGCACCAACTCTGTTTTGCTGATAGCAGCCGCATCACTCCCGACATCGCTGTATGCTACTGAGCCATGGCCGATTCCAATGGCGGGTCCCAGTTTGGGGCCCTTGGTCTTTCCGAACGGCAACGAAGCCTGTCTGGCAAGCTGTCAGATGCTCAGAGCTGGATGGTACGATACAATGCAGTTCCACGCTTCGGACGCCATCCTGACGCCGTTTTATGCCGGCTGCTATCTCGTGCTGATGCTAACTCAGCGATGGTCGAACCCCTGTCCTGTCTCACCATTGCATGCCGACGTTCGTTCTGGAGTCCTGTCCACAAGGCCCATGCTGCGCGGAATTGTGATGGTCGAGGAGTAGGAAACAGCTGGCCCTGGGCGGACTGTGCCGCGGACAGCGGCGCAGCAAACAAACTGGTGCTGAAGATTAACGCAGGGACTGTTCCGTCAGTCTCACATCGTAAACTAATCTCGTACGCAGTGTTATCTCTGTTAGCCCGATCGGTCGGCTGGTCAGACATAATTAGTACTTACATGCGTGAAACATCTCGACCGAGGCGTCGAGGAAGCCAGCGCAAAGCTGCTTGACAGCATTCAGATGGTAAAAGTACATCTCAGCCCGTAATGGTCGCTCCAAGGGATCTCGACAGATTCCTCGCCCGGCCTGGGCATCTCGATACGACCAGGGCGGAGGACTTCCATCTCCTCAGCATTCAAGCCCATCATGGCAACCTTGTCCAACCTGGCCGGTCCCAGTCCGTCCTGCCGTTCCACGCCGACACCCCACGTAGCTCCACCAGGGCCTGCCCTCCCGTGTAACGCGACCCACGCATCCACCAGGTCGTTCTCGTCGACCAGCCCTTCGTCCTTGGGGCTGATAGCGTTGAAGTCGCCGGCAATGATGCCGCCACCGCACCCGGGCTCGCGCAGGACGTCGGCCAGCATCTTTATCTGCTGGGCGCGGTAAGGTAGCGTATCCCCGAGCGAGTCGAGGTGCACGTTGACGAGACGGAAAACCGTGCCCGGCGCAGTTGGGGGGATGATGTCCACGTAAAGCCCATCCCTCCCGTACTTGCTCGGGAGGGTCACGCGGGAGACGCACCCGAGCATGAACTTCCCCCACCCCTCGATCCCGTCGCCTTCCTTCTGCGAATCCAGGTCGGAAGCAAAGCGCACGCTGGACAGCAGCGTCATGGTCGCAAAGGGCACGCCCTCAAACGACGTTTGGTCCTCGGCGTCGGTCACCAGAAGGGCGGCACGCACTCTGGCATCGTCCAGGAGAGAGGCCCGGACGTCAGGCGTAACTTCTTGGAGGAAGATAATGTCCGGATATTTCGGACCCTCGAGGATATGGCTGAGGATGAGTCTGGCGCGTGAGACGGGCCGCGAGGAGAAGGCGTCGATGTTCCATGATACGAGAGAAAGCCTCTGCGTCCGGGAGGTGTCGATGTTCCGTGATGTGAGAGAATGCCTCTGCACCACTTGGCTCTGTGCGTTTCTCGAGGGTATGGGTGCCCACGTTCGGGCGGAGTGGTTGAAGGCAGAAAGAGTACGCAAGAGTCTGCTGGTGACCATGGCGGGGTGTTGGTAGACTCGTGACCAGCCCCCCTATGAGGTAAGCCATCGATAGAGGAACTGGTAAAACTGGCTTTGAATTTGGATGCTGAGCGGATTCCCAGGGTAACGTGACCTTTAGCGAATGAAAAAACCAGGTTTTTTCAAGCTGTAGCATAGAATACAAAATAAACAATATAATTTTCACTATTGACGCGACGCGACGTGATCTACACTTGCAAAATCAATGGACCAATCCTCCATCATCCAAGCCTTTCGCGATGGCCTCTATCTCTATCTCTAACAATAAATTGCTCGCAAGTTTAAAGTAGCTTCTATCTGGTGTTCGTCAAAATAAATGAAACGAAGCGTCTACAACCAATAATATCAATTAGTTTGGAGGAGGCAGAGGGAAATTTTGTTGGGGAAGGCTATCGTATATCGAACAGAGCCGTTTTGAAGAATCTATCGCTGGTTGTTAGACCCGGTCTAGTTCGAACGTAGTGCTCGGTAGTACTCACTACTAACAGGCTGCGAAGCGGCCCAATCTTGAGGAGCCTCTGCGAATACCAAAGCCATTCCACTGTGCCCATACGATATACATTCAAGTCTGTTCAAGTTCAGCGAAAGGAGCAAGAAACTCACGTATATAGATGCCAATCGATATGACTTCAAAAGTCATCAACATCACTGATGATGACCCATCCAGGATGATACTCACCAGTGCAACAACCAGGGCCCAGGATTATCCGTGATGAAGCGGATAGTCACATAATCACCAGCAACGCCAGTGGTCACGGTATCGCGCATGACGGGATTGACATAGTTATAGCTGCTGTTTCCGGCGCTTCTGATGACGGCGAAACTGTGCTGTGAACCAGTTATTGGTTGATGGGATGTACATAGATGAAGTGTCAAGACGTACCCCATGCAGATGGAATGGATGCTGTCAAAGGTTCAGTCTATTGTCGAAGAGGGCATACAAGTACAGTAAATTTCGAAAAGAACTCACAGGGCGGCCTGGACAATTATCAGGGTTCCAGGAAATCTCGATAACCTTGTTTCGCGGTAGAGTATACACGGAACCATTGGGTGCCAGATCCGAAGCCGCCACACCACCACTCAGTAACTGTAGTAGCACAGGGACACTGGGAGAATTGTACTGAACCCCATTGATGAGGAAGTTGTAACTCGTCCCATTTTTCCCGAGGATCAAATCAAGCTTCACGTCTGCATCTTCCTGAAGCAAATTAGATGGAGATGGATACAAGGGGTGTAGGTCAGTCTCTTTCAAAGGGGCCAGTTTTGGAGTCGTCCTGTTCTTCGGGGCCACGTCGGGAGAGCCTGCGTATCGTAAGATGGCCGTGGAGTTCGTACCTGTGTTCGGATCCGCATGCACCCAATAGTTGTCGACATGCTTGTTCGTCTCGAGAATGAAAGAATACCGCTGTGCAGCGTAGATCTGGATAGAGTCGACCACGACCGGCTCGACGTACTGACCATCAACTTCGATTATGGTGAGCTTATGGTGATCGATAGAGAAAATATAGTTGGGCTTGCACGCCATGTTCAGTAAACGGAAACGATACCGCTTGAGTGGCTGAACGTCGATGACGGCGTGAGGAGGATCCGGTCCTCCCTGATAGCTCCCGATACCGTTGATAAGCACGGAGTCGGGAGCCACCTGTCTCTGGACTTGAGGGGATGGTACGTGATACCTGTAGAGCGAGTTAGTTCAATCTCAGGGAAAGCTTCATCGGCTCTGCTCACCAGTCCATCAAAGTAATAATGGTAGATTCTTCGCTTAGGTGTCAGCAGCACTTTCATTTCTACAGGCTGACTGACTGACCGTTATCAATATCGTAAGAGAAACGGTATGGATCGTCGGGGTCGTAGATGATCATTGGGCCTCGTAGACCGTCGCAGTATTGGACCTGAGGTCTGCTCAGTCACAAATACTTGGATAAATCGAAGCACGAACTCCATAATGAGAGTGGTACCAGTATGTTCCTACTTGATCACCAGCGTTGAACTCGTACAGAAAAGAATGCCCTGGAGCGAGTGGGCATTGCGTAACAAATGCGGTACCGTCCATTTGGTTAGTGTGGCTTTGGTATAGTCCATGCCAGTGCTTTTCGGGACACATCATTGGAGGCTCCCGTGGTTTGATAAATTGGGACGTACGATGCTGGTACCCAAGAGCATAGTATCGTCAGTTAAATAGTTCGTGACGTTGATCTTGAACGTATCACCCTTAAAGACACATAACATGAAATCACCGAGTGTACACATGCAAAGTAAATGTCACCTTCTGACCCGTGATAACGGGCCCGGGGAGAGTGCCGCCAGCAAGCACCGCCCTGCAATGACCTCAGCGATCAAACAGAGTGAAATATGGCGAAAACTTACGACTTCATGAACCCGTCTGGAGATACTTGAGCATTGGCCACAACAAGGTCACTAACTGGGCCAATAGTGACGGCATAGCTCTGAAGGCTTGCAAGAAAGCACAGAAATACATAGTGTTGGAGCATGACCCGATGTTCAAGCCGATCGAAGAATGATGATGAGAGAAATGCAGCTCATCCTTTGGCTTAAGTAGTGCTCTTTGGATCGCCTTTTGGATTCGGACCTTGTTCTGCTTCTATTACGTGGCCGAGGATCGAAGTCGTCGACTGTGAGGGAATGGTGGTACCATTGCAGCAGCTTCCCACCTGTAGATCACCGCCAATTAAGTTGAACGTATGTACTTGTAGAACGAAAAACACACATTAATTGCCTTTAGAAGTTCGGAATCAGAATCAGATATGATACTGCTTAATGGTACAGTCCTTAGATTGTCTGTCTTGCAACGAAAAAAAAAGTTAGCATAAGGAGGAGGAGAAGCAACGCAAACCACCTGAATAATGCTTCGACTGATACTTCAGACGTGGCGTAGCGGCGATGAGTTACGAAGTAATTACCCAATGACTGATGATACATTTGAGTCTGTCATATGTGCAAAAGGTCGACTTACATTGGTTTCCAAGAGTGCGAATAACAGCCGCGAGGCCACGTCACTTAGCATGAGAAGACACGCATTGCAAACTGATCCGGGAGAAGTTTAATGATATTTCGGCACTTCAAAGAACCATACCATCATCCACCCGTATGTCATTGCCAGGATTTGATTCGTCGGGACACATTCCAGCGGCCTCTCGTAGCCATCGAGTGCCTTATATTAAATGAAAGTCGATCGAGCGATGGTCGAAGGTGTGAATATTCGAATAATGATGGCCACAGATCGAATCAGAGGTCTGCAACCTTTCGGAGGGGCTACTGTCATTCCGGGTGATCCGCAAAGGGAAGGCTGCATGCGAAATGGAGGCTATACTAGGTCATAAGTATTCCTATAGAGCCAGGGAGGAAATATTGTAGAACGTGATGTAGGAATGCATGCTTCTGTGGAACAATGGAGCAAGGGTGCAAACGACCACTAGGCTCCACTAGGATTGCCGACACGACCCGCAGTGCAAGATCTGCCCGGTCATGGGAATGCTACAATATGTCAAGGGAATGTTACATTAACTCGGGACAAGGCCTTGGAGGATGGCTCTGTCTCTACGGAAACCTGGTTTGGACCGTGGTCACGGTGTTGAATGGCCAAGGAACAGGAAGGGAACATACCGACGTCACGTGGATAGAAAGTATTTGATGATCATTGTGCATATGTGCGATGACGACAATTACTGAAACATGCAGAGAGTCGGCGCGAGTCGCAGGGAAACTGCTTCCTGCAGGAGAGACTCTCAAGCGTGCGCGTCATGGTGAAGCGTGCTCTGCGTCGTGGGAGACCCCGAAAACCTTGTGCTGATCTTGGCCTAGTTCATTGTTATGTAATTCATGGCTCTCATCTTGCCCTCATCCTTGCCCAATGACCGGGCAGAGAGTGCAAATTGGCGATGCTATCGATCCCTGCACCGCGAGGAGATTTACCATTGATATTGTTCATCTCTGACTTTTCTGGTGGAATGTAACGTTGTTAGAGACCTTTAACGAGCTATTACGCTCCATAGGCCGGGCCAGTGAGGTGAAGGCACTGCCGATGATCATTGGAATTTGAGACTGTAGGCTTTTCGATGATCACATCGCGCTTAGGCCTGTACTACACGATTTCACCGATTTCGGGAATCATTAACTGATGATGATGCAAGTGTAACAAGAACATCTCGAGAGGGCCATCGGAACTAAGTTGCCGAAACCACTAACAGCTCTTCGATCTTTGGCGGTGTTCAAACCTTATGTTACTGCTCTGCAGTCTGATCATCAACTTATCTTCTTTCATTCACTCGAGGGCCCCTGAATACGAGTCCTCTTTCTACTTAAATACTGACTTTGGTCAACTAGGGCAGGACTGGATATCACTCCTACGATGGCTCATTTCGTCCATAAATTTAGCTCCGAATGGTGGTATATCTAGCACGAACACCATCGTCATACGTTGGAGAGGGTCCGCCTCGAGACTTGGTGCTACAACTTCGGCTTCCAATTGCCTGATTATTCTCTACTCTAAGCAGCTCTACTTATGCTACTTCAAGCTCCGATCCGGCCAAATCCGCGTGCTACTCAACTGGGAAATGCCCCTGTGACTCAGGCACCCTACTACAAATACCCCCCACAAAAATGTGACACCCCAGGGTCGCGGCGTCAGAATGAAGATGTGGTCCGTGCTCGCAAAGGTGTTTCTGCTTCCTTCCCTCTGATGTCTTCTTCCCTTTCTACAACTTCATATGGCTCGTCACCCCTCTGTTTCCTGTTCTTTCTTTCTTTGTTCCTTCTCCATCTCTTCCAGCAATGTGCCCGTGCATGGTAGGAATAACCTTAACCGTTGGGCATGATACCAGCCTGCCATCGGGAATCCTTCTAGCGTTTCCAGTGTGTATGAGTTTGTGCACCATGACATTACTCGTCTTGGCGCTGACCATTGAGGTATGATTTTTCTTGACGACCTGAAGTTTCCGTCGACCTCACTTGCATAGACCTGTACTAGTTGGCCTGGGTTGAACACAACGTGTCCTGTATGGGAGGATAGGACTCGTTTGTCAAATGCTGCCTTGTGCTTGAGGGAGTCTGTGATGCAATTGGCTAGAGCGTCCAGCTGTTGTTGAGCCATGTACGCGGAGTGAACATGTATGTCTGGTGGTGAGAGGTCGTTAGCAGTGATGGGTAAAGGCGTTCGTGGGGTGTTGACGATGAGTCCAAGAAGGAGTTCCCTTGGGGAGAATTGGTATGCGGGGAGCACTCGTCCATTGAGGTGCTCGATTGCTTTGTCGAAGTGGTCAGACCATGTTCTGGGAATGGACTGCGGTTCCATGTTTACATAGTCGTCCTCTCCCAGGTGTGGTGCGCACATATATTTCAGCCACGTTAACAGGATTCGGTTGGTTCCTTCTACCAATCCATTGATCCATGGCGTGTACGCTGCTGTGACATGATGCTTGACGTCATTTGTTTCGCACCAGTTGCCCATGTCCGAGTTGTTGAAGTGTTTCCCACTGTCTGTCATCAGCGTCTCTGGAGCTTGGAAGTTGTGTCGAATGCTCTCAAGTCCCGTTAGTGTGGTCTTTGCTGTGCCGTGTACTTTGAGCTTGAATCCCCAGATGTACTGCGAATAGGTGTCGATGATCAGAAGGATGTTGTGAAATCCTCCTTTTGCTTTGGGCATGGCGAGATAATCGGCGACAAGTAGTTCGAACGGGTGTCGGCGGATAATGGGCTCGAGAAGTGAGTTGAGATGTGTAGCACCAAAGCTCTTGCACTGCCCACACTCTGTTATGGCGTTGGTGATGGATTGGTCAAGACATGGACTGTATATTTGGTCAACCAGTTGAAGTTTGACCAAGTCCCTTCCCCAGTGCCCTTTCGTTGAGTGCTCTTCCCTCATGAGCTCTATAGCCTCCTCTTGCGTGACGCATTCTAACTTCCCATGTACTTGTGTTGACGAGTTGTTTGGGACCCGCCACAGTTTATCTTCTGCAATGAAGAAGTGTTGGGCTCGATGGCGAGTGCGCTGTTTCTCCCTGACTGACTTGTCTGAGTCTAGGTTGTGGATTGAATCAATAACTTCTAGAAACAATGGTTCATTAGCGAAGCATTGGCGTAAGGGTTCTGATACTGGGGACGATACTGATTGCATTGCAGTTTCGACTGCGAAGAGGTCTTGTATGATCCCTCGTGACTCCTCCCAGTCTTCATTGACTGTCCAGTCACTGCCGTCGCCTGTAGCGTGTTCTCTTGTCATGAACCCACAACTTAGGCCATCCACTGCCGTGTTTGAGATTCCAGGTCGATGTCTTATGTCCACTATGTGGTATGCAAGTATGCCATCCCTCCAGCGTGTGTGTGCCATACTCAACTTAGGGTTAAGGAGTGTGTCACATAGGGCTTGACAATCGGTTTCGATTTCTACTGGTGTTCCCCATATTACATCTGAAAACTGATCTAAGGCGTATTTTAGCGCTGCGAACTCTAGGATGAATGGCTTGTACTTCTCTTCGGTAGATGAGGTGCATTTTGATGCAAAGGCTATGGGATGCATGGCGGTAACGACTTTGCCTGACAGTAGTGTGGATGTGTGTTTCTGGGTGAGTACCGCTCCAAACCCATCTTGGGAGCCATCTGTCGTGACGATGAATGGTGACCCGTCGAATCTTGGTCCTTTGAGGACAGGTTCAGATACCAGGGCTTGCTTCAGGTCCATGAACACTTCCGTGTGTCGCGGCCCCCAATGTGGTCGTAACTGTGCGTGATGAAGGTGCTGTCTATACTTGTGCTTCCCGATGTGTTGTCCTCCTGGGGGAGTACCCAACTTTCGGATTAGGTCGGTCAAGGGTGCAGCTCTCCGCGTGTAGTCTTTCACCAATGATCTGAAATATCCTGTGAGTCCTAAGAACTGCATTGGATCATGAGTGGAATTGGGTACTGCCCAGTCAACAACTGCTGAAATCTTGGATAGATCCGGTTTGATGCCTTCATGTCCTACACGAGCTCCTGCGAATATGACTTTGGTCATGAACAATTGTGTTTTTGAAGGCAATAGGGACAAGCGCATGTCTCATACTCATTCGAAGAATGTGCGTAGGCAAGCTAGTTTTTCTTCGAATATGTTACCTGCCATTCCTGTATCGTCAACATATAGTTCAAAGAGCAAACCGATTAAGTCTTTTAGGGCGATGGTGGCCGTGTCTCTGAAGTTTGTTGGTGCACCTGTCAGGCTGAATGGCATTCGACAATAGCAGTCATACCCTCGTCCTTCTGTGTAAAACGCTAAGTAAGGTTGAGATTCTGGGTCTACTGGAATTGCATAGAAACTGGCTGTGAAATCAATGATACTTATCCACCTGTGGCCACTTAGACACTGCTGCTTAGTTCTGATGTCTCCTTGCGGTACTGGGGGGACTTGACTAGCGTGGTTGACTTCTGTGAAGTTTTGACATATGCACCATTTTGGCATGGAGTTCTTCTGGTCTTTTTCACTGTTGCTGTTCGGCGGACATGCTGGGAGGTCGTTTCTGGTAGGTAGCCCATGCTTGCTGCATTGGTTGTTGACGCAGTGCAGTAGTTCCTCTAATGGCAGTCCATCCACCCTGTGTGCCTTCTGTGCTAGTACCGTAGGGCTTGCAGCCTTGACTTCTTCTGGCTTGATTCGACGGATGATACCCGCCTTCTCGAGCTCGTTGAGTCTTTCATAGAGGAATTCCCGCTGCGGCGGCGTTAACGGTCGTTGATTAACCTTTGTCCTGAACATGGCTCCCTCAGGAAAGTGCAGCTTGAATGTCTTGAAGTCCACCGGGTATACTTCGCTGACGCTAAGGGCAAATGTGTCAGCAAATTCTTTGCAGAGAGTACGCACCTGTGATCTTTGGTCATCTGAGAGATCCTCGCCGATTTTTATCACTCTCATTATTTCCGCTACTCACACTGGATTGAACGGGTTGGTATGTCGAGAATAAACACTGGGCGTGATTGAGGCTGTCGGGAATTCAGGTACTTCGCCCAACATTTCATGCTCGAGTCGGTTCAAAACTGGCCATATGGGCATATTGGCATTTCTGACCTTGGTTTCGGTTGCTGTGAAGGAGACAGGTGAGCATGGTGATAACGGTGCTTGTTCTGTTACCAGTGAAACTATTGGCCATTGGTCTGCCTGTACTACATGTGCTCCTGCTCTTGCCAGGCCTTCTGTGCGCAGCTCCAGCTGGTCCTTTGTGACTCGCACATCAACTTCGAACACGTAATGTTCGGTGTTTGGTATTGACTGTCCGTGTTTTTCCTGTGAACTGGAATCAGCAATTTCATCTGGGGGTATAGTAACAATTAGAAATATCAGTGCAAATGGAAGGTCATCTCCGCCATTGTCATGTACAGCTAATTCTGGTGGTGTTCGGGTTTTTGGTATTGGCGCTGCTGTCGTTCCGTAGATGTTGTACATTATGATAGGTGAGGGTTGGTACAGTATTGTTATGGCATCTTGAGCGTAGTCATGCTTGGCTCCTAGTTGTTCCAGTAAGGGCTTGCCAATTAGCATTGACCATGCTCCTCCACTGTCAAACACTTTGAAGGATGTGCGAATCTTGACCTTGTTCCATTGGAAGGTCCCCTGCCAGAGTCCATGTGATGGTACTATTGATCTGTCTGCCATTCGGAGGCTTTGGTTCGACCGTATGAGCCTCTTTAAGTTGCGCTCCACCTTATGGAACACCTTCAGGTCAATGACGTTTACCATGGCTCCATCATCCACGTTCACTTGGAAACATGATGTTTTTCCGCCAGGCCCGTATAGGATAGCTTGCGTAGTGAATGGTACACTTTCTGTGACCTCTTCTAAGTCGTCAGAAATACTGTACAGATCAACAATTTCTGGTTTGGTCACACCCAAATAACAGTCAGCAGTGTCTGTCATTTCTACTATGAACGTATCACTTAGCGAAAAGTCCATAATGAAGTCTGAACTTGTGTTGGTATCTGAAGAATCGAGTATTATGGTGGGAGGCACTGGTTCATCAAGGTTCGACACGGACTCCAGTTTGACAGCAGATGGTAACGAGGAAGCAGAAGAAGTAAAACGAGAAGCGGGAACAAATTCTAACGAGTCATGTACAGCGGGCAAATTGGAACTAGAAACAATGGAAGCGGCCAGTGGCAAGACAATCTCAATTTCCAAGGTGGGGACAACAAACTCGCTGTCTGACATCTGGTCCTCTGTGCTTAATTCTGTTGGCAGAGGCAGGGCTGGTGTGTTGACCAGGGATGATCCCAGGCTTGATAACCATGGAGATGTTGGTAGCGTTGGCGGCAGCCTGGGTGAATAACTAGACAGTTCGGGAGATGTGGAACCTTCGTGGGATGTTTGGGCTGTGCTGTGACTAGCCAGGACTTCGATATCCGTCGCTTGGATTTCCTGAATACGGGCTGTGGGAAGCTCCCCTACTGTTGCGGCCCATACACGTTTCCCGACGAGTCATATTGGTTGTACTGCCATGGTTGGGGCGCGAAGTACTGAGGGTAGTATTGCTGCATTGGCATTTGGCCCATCTGTGGTGTCGCGGGTGCTACGTACTGAATGTTCAATGGCGTTGATGGCATTTGGGGTGGTGCGAGCGATCATGTTACGAGTCGTGATACCATTTTCCTCCAGCGTGTTTCCTGCTGGGGAACTGGTGGGTTCTGACATTTGTGTGCCTGGTGGCTGGGTACTTTTGCCAGTCCACAGTTAAAGCATTCCCGTGAGCCTAAGGGCGCTGTTCCAGGTTTGAGCGGATAAGGTTTCGCAGTGTGGGGAATGTCCCCACTGTAGGCCCGTATCCCGCATATTTCCCATGCCTTCCCACCATTTTCCCGCACGTTCCGCCACCCATCCGCATCTTCCCCGACCCGTCCGCTATGCGGAACCCAGTGGAACCCAGCATAACAATTGCGTACCACACACATTATATTCCTTCAGCCTTCGGAACATCCTCCTCCGTCCTGTCCATGTCCTTCCATCCTCGCTGGTGAGTACTAGCTACGTTCCCCGTGTCACTAACATGTTCCTATCTCATTTCCCATGTGTTACGGTACTTATACGGATCCTTCCGCTACTTGGGACCAATTCCTTATCTCACAACCTCACCCGGTTGTAGCATATCGCATTTCGGAACCCCTTCCTATATAGGTAGCAATAGATGGGATCTTAGTTTTTTTACCTTCTGATAGACTCGACTCCACTTCCACTTACAGAGTACTTCCCAGTACTCCACTCACTGTTTAAAATATCTTCCCGAATCTATTCCTGATCACATTGCATCATTCCCGCCCCTGTGAGTTCCGCTCGAAACGCCTGACATCAGATCCGACGACTTGGAGCAAGTACCAGACACAAGCCTGGTCCGACTTTGCCCAATCATCCTCCTGCAGGCTCGTAGTTTCTTTTCCCTCCATTTGTTCCCCATTAGTTCCGTTTGTTCCCCATTTGTCCTGTTTGCTCCGCGTTAGTTCCGTTAGTTTCCCATAGTTCCGCTCGTCATGCGCTGAGTTCCGCTCGTCGGGAACCCTCCGCATCTTTGTGTTCCCAGTCCTAGTAAGGACCGGAACCCTTCGGGTCGCTAGACAGAGTCTAGTCTTTGTTTCCTTGCACTTATTTGAGGACTCGCTACCCAGTAGCAATCCCCTCGGGACGAGTATAAGCCTCGCACCCTTGTTAGACTTCTGATTCACACAGAGTCTATTTTCCTCACCCACAGCGGTGTTTGGAGTGGCATCTGCTCCGTTCTGCGTGTTCCATTCTTGGATCTGCTGGGCATAGGCTTGTCTTCCTGTGTCAGAGTCTGGGTGCTGTGTCAAGACTGCGTATTGTGCTGCTGCTCATGCACAATCTGCTCCTGAGGCCCCCCTTCCACGCGATGGTGTTTGCAGGTATCCTCCCCGAAAACCGTAGAAAAGGTTTGTTCTGGGTACTGGCACTGTCCCGCTAAACGGGTTCTGGGGGGTTTGGGGGGCTGGTGCTGCTGGGAGTGGTTGTGCGTGCGTTGGGGCTGGTGGTATTGTCTGGTATGGAGGTGCCGGCTGTGGTGGGATGGTTGGGTTAGGAATATAACGAGGTCCATAGCAATAGGTGGCTGGGAGGGAGAATGAAGGTTGCGTAGCTTGGGATGATGATGGATCTGTTGTTTTGCGGGTGCTCGACGTCTGGTTCTGTAGTTTGTCAACATCTTCTTGGAGTTTTCGATCATTTGCAATGCGTTGCTTTGCCCTCATGAGCTGGGATGCAGAGGTTTTTGCCACGTCAGCCTCAAATTCCGCCCATGTAGTATAGTGATCTGCAAGGAAGTCCCGCAAAACTTCAAGTGTGTTTTCCAGAACTACATCTAGGAAGTGGCAGTGTGCATCACCAAACCCTTGTGCCATTTGCGCGACCTGCTTGGCCCACTTTACATGGCCCCAGTCCCACCCTCTGTCCTTCTCAATCATGACTCCAATGTCCTCCTCCTTCAGTATGACAGACTTGAGATGTTCCTTCTTCTGGGTGACTGTGAGCTTCGCATGGACTGGTGGAGGCCACCGTATCTTGAATGCTGCTAAAAATGTTACCCAGGTTGCCTTATCCATTGCTTGTAAGCTCGTGAACCATTCTTCTGCCGGGCTCGCTGCTGCACACTGCAGTTCAAACCAGGCGATCTTATCTGCATCTGAGTATGAAGGCGGCAATGATAGTTGATATTTTCTTATCCAATTGATAGGTTCTTCCTCCTTTTCGTAGTCACCGTGAAAACTTGGTTGGGGGACTACTGCGGAAGTGCTGGTTGCCATGATGGGAGGTGCGGATGGAACCGGCGTAACCTGTTGCTGCTGCATGTGACGCGGAAATGCCTTGGCTAAGGCAGCTCTGTGCTGTATGAACTGTAGGTTGGCCTGCAATACTTGTGGTTTTGGCATTTTGGGCGATGAGATGGCAATGTCACAGAAAAATTGTGGTACTAAGGGAGGTGGGGATAGCTTAGTGTCTGAGGCAACGCACCTGAGTGCTGGTGGACTTTGAATTTTCTGAATATTTCGCAGGCAACAGAGGTCATCAATGGTAATGGCCGTGGTGAATCTTGCTCTAGTCACCAGGTGGAGAGGGTCCGCCTCGAGACTTGGTGCTACAACTTCGGCTTCCAATTGCCTGATTATTCTCTACTCTAAGCGGCTCTACTTATGCTACTTCAAGCTCCGATCCGGCCAAATCCGCGTGCTACTCAACTGGGAAATGCCCCTGTGACTCAGGCACCCTACTACAACGTTCACCTGGCACCAACTTCACCGTTGGCTCACATCCATCCTCTAATAGTATGACCGTGGTCTCATGATCCCAGTTGGTGGCCGTCGATCCATGCGAATCGTATTGGCAGCTATCTTATAAGTCGTGGAGAACCAGCCGGATGATGACAATGATGTGTACAATCTAACCTTGACTGTGGTTTCGTAGTTACTGCCTGTACCGGGGTGATATACGATTGGGGTGAGCAACATTGTGTTCGAGAACCGCTAATATTCTTATGGTAATTCCAGCGCTGACACTCGCACATGAGGTAAGTTGTTGCCATTAATACCATCTCGCTAAGAATGATTTTATAGGTCGAACTGGTCTGGGTGAGCCGAGTCCCACATCAGAAGAACAACTTGAAAATACAATTAATTCGTGACAAATGCAACACCGGTCACTCGTGACCATTCTGTATCTCATTGTATGTATTTTGCGTTATAAGTGTAGTTGACAAGCTATGCTGACTTAAAAATATCCCAGGCGCGCTATCTTGAAATAGTATATGCTGTGTATGTTTGGAAGGCTAAGCAATGAACGACGTCGAATGAGCCGCAACAATGCATCACACCATATGGCTCTCAGATGAAATGACAGGCAAAGGGATACACTCGAGAGTTGACTCTCGGGGAGCGTCAAAGTCGGGGGATACGTGCTTGCCGATCTGAAAGAGGTGGAGGTGCATGCGCAAGGCAAGGATCGCGAGGATGATAAGCTGGAGACTATATGAGGGTGTGTATGTTGTGAGTAGGAAGATGCAGAAGGATTTGGGAGTGCGTACTCTTGGAACATGGCATCGTATTGGTACTGGATGTGCGAAATATCAATTACTCAGTAATAAAGGGCTTGAATAGCTCACTTACATGGAGGAGCACCGACGCAAGGACGTTCACGGCTGAGAAAACTTTCCGAACAAAAAACATCCTCGATGAGCACTGAAAGATGCCTAACGACGAATGTATATCCCAAACTCACCTATACCACATGCATAGTAGAATATGTTATGTTTCACCAGGACAGCGTACAGAGGGCTGTTGAGCCGCCAGCTCCGAATGGCACATATGAGCGTAAGAGACATGAGTCCTGGAGAGCGTCGGTCAGCGGGCATATGGGCATATGAAGGCTCCCAGAGAACAGACCCAGTTCAAACAGAAACAAGAGAAGAAATGGGATGAAGAGGTCGACACTGACCAAGCAACCTGCGATGCTCGGGATCCCGTTGGTCACATCTGCAGCATTAGCGGTAAAGCCGGTGCAGAAGGATGTTATGAAGAGAGCCTGACTGATGCATCTATCACGAGTTTGGGGTGCGGCGAGGGCATGGGACTCACAAGAAAGCCAGTCAGCATGACTGCGAGCACAATTTTATTGTTGTTCCAGAGCGCGTACGTTCTGAGGACGAAAAAGACTGGACGAGTGTGATCAGGAACGTGCGTGTGTCACGGGGGAAGGAGAGATACATTCAGAGCAATTGATTGATATTATGCCGACGGCTGTGAAAGGGCAGCGCAGCGCTTAGCAAGGGCGTGCATGCAGTACGTACTATACACGTACATAATTCAACATTGACCAAGGTCTGGCATGTCTGGTGATGTCACGCAGTGAGCGGTCAGTAAGTCCACTGAATGTTCACATACACTGAGGTTTTCGATCGGGGTGAAGTTCACTGAAAAACCAGATGTCAATTCATAGTGATATGTGCTGGAGTCGAACGCACGATATAGATTCGTAGCGAGGAGGAGACAGGGCATGATTCGTGTAACGATATAAAGGGTCTTTACCGTGGTCCAGCGCGATCCGAGGAGGAATGTCCACTTTGAACCACATATGATCATCAATATCAGAATGATGAACAAATACAATACCTCTTCGTGAAGTGAACAAGCATAATCATAAGTCTGGATAGGCGCTTTAACTGGCAGCAAACGGAAACATCTAGGGACAAGCCCACCCAAAATGTGGTTATCGACGCTGAGCCGCGTTAATAACATGAAAGAAGCAGTTGGTACAGTACATACTGCATATGTACTGGCGTCATATGGATAATCTATTATCATCAAAGGCTCTCGTATCGACAAGAAGGATACGCACTTTGTAGCTTTGGAAACTCCTCGCGGCTGCGATATCATCAGAATACTCTGTCTGCATGGTGTCGGAAGGTAGAAAATGGGTTTTGCGCCCTCCACCTTATCTCTTATGAATATTTACAAAGCTGGTAACCACTGCATCAAGATGGCGTGATGTGACCACCAGGGTGGCACCAGGATCCGCCATTGCCGCAGGCTTGGCAAGTTGGCAGTGATGGTGATCGAAGCGTTTGACTGGCTGACAGAAGTTAATGCCCCACAGCATACCGTAATGGGAGGGGCGCGACCTGACGAAAGCTATAGTAGACCGAGGACATTGGCAAGGGCCCGCCACCTTATGATGCCAGTAAATAGCCATGTTCTACCCCTCTACCCCGAAGCCTATGGCTTCAGAGTCAGCCAAGTCGATAACTTAGTAGTATTAGTCTGTTTGCATACCATGCCCATGGTGTGAATATTGACGGCGCCGATATTCGAAATGAAGAATATAAATAGCTTAGCAAGGCGCCTAACTTTGACTGACCTGTATGAGCGAAACGGGCGGTGAATCGATGACTACATAGTAGTACATAGTAAGTGCTAGACGATACGCGGAGGGACCGAGCGCACCGCACGTGGGAGACCCCGAAAACCCTTTGCTGATCTTGGCCATCGATAGTTCACTCATTCAATGGCCCTCATCACAATTTCAGGCTACCCCTCCTCTGGAAAATCAACCCGCGCAGCCCAGATCCACGACTACTTCTCCTCCTCACTCCAATCCTCAAGCCCCCAGCTCAAAGTCAAAGTCATCTCAGACGATGACCTGACCATCGACCGCGCGTCATATGATGGTCTGTCCTAATCGTCTTTCTTCCTTCGTGGCTTATACACTGACCCTCGCAAACTAGACAGCCTTCAAGAAAAAACTGCCCGCGCGACTCTCTTCACCGCGATCACAAGACACATCGCCAGAGACACGATCCTCGTCGTAGACGGGATGAACTACATTAAGGGGTTTAGATACCAGTTATATTGCAAGGCGCGAGAGGCAGGCGTCAGGGTCGCTACGGTGGGTAATGCTCACGATGTTCACCTTGCACAACTGACACAATTGAGAAAAGTAGGTCTATGTACTCGCTACGCCTGATCAATGTCGGAAATGGAATGATGAACGAATAGATGGAAAGAGATATAAACCCGAAACGTGCGTCTTCCCCCTCTCCCCCTTCCCTCATCCCCAACCCTACACAACAGCCTCGACGCCCTCATACAGCGCTTTGAAGAGCCCTCCTCCATGGTTCGCTGGGACGCCCCCCTTTTCACCATCGCCTGGGATGACACATCCCCGCCACTCGAACGCATATCAGACGCAGTAACAACTGGAATCGTAAAGCCTCCAAACGTAGGCACCCAAATAACACCCAAAGCACCCACCGACGCACTCCGCACTCTTGAGCATACGACAAACGCGTTGGTTTCGGCGTTGATGACTGCCCAGGCTGCTGGCCCGCTTGGGGGAGCTATCGTGCTTACCCTTGATGCGGTCGAGCCTAATTCGAATGCTGGTGCTGATGGGAGCTCGGTGCTCCGCATCCGCTTAACTCTCCCGCACCGCGCGCTGACGCTCTCAGAGCTGCAGCGGCTGAAACGGCAATTCGTGGCGGCGCGCCGGAAAGCGGTGACTTTGGGAAGCACCGAGAAGGGGAGGGTGGAATGGGGGGAGGAGGGCGTCGGACGGGCGTTTGCAGAGTTTTTGGAGGAAGGCTTGGGTGTCGGGAGGTGACTTGCGCGCTATTCGAAGTAAGAGGCATTTAGGATTAGTGTACTTAGTACAGGACGTGTGATTCATGGTATACTACAGCAAACTACGTGTCGCAATATTCGTGCTCGATCGCATTTCGAATGTGAACAGTCCTAGCGCTCAGAGATTATTGAATGATTCCATCGATATATATCTGAATCCTGATATTCAGCACCCATCTTGCATTTGCATTGTCGATAATGCAGCAACCCATGTAACCAATCTATATGCGAACATCTCTGTTGATGTATATCAAAAGGAAACAACTGTACAGACAGGTTGACAACCAGGAAATTAATATTGCTATGTAGTACGCCAACATGAGATATGATAGCAGTCGCACGATGCCTGGCTATAGCCTATAAGTCATGTGCCTGAATCATCCGGGTGTGCTCCACTGAAGTCGTGTAGCACAAGACGAGGACGAGAGAGAACTGCTCTCCCCAGGGAATGAGGCTTCGCCAAAGGTGGAAAAGTCTTCGAAGAGCCAATTTGACTGGGAGGAAGAAAAAAATGGCTCGAACTTATCCGAAGCGATACGTGTACGACAACTCTTATAATGAACCAGAGGTATACTCGTTACTAGCAAGAATGCGCCACTTATGTGGGTAGTAGAGACAACCTGTGAGACAGACAGTAAGTTCAAGTTGATGAAAACAAAGAGGCAAGTGATAGAATCAGTGGTGCAAATATTTGGCTGTATGCTCTACCGTTCGTCAACGCTTATAGCTACGACTGGGGCGGCAAGCGAAATCATCATGAAAAAAGCGTGGGAAAGTTACACACCTTCTACATAGATTTCGACCTACGTCCTAACAGACGAAGCCCACCTAATCGGATTGGTTCTACGACTGTGCGAGAGAACATCGGAGTAAGATATAATGATAGTCCAATGCGGATGGGTAAAAGCGCCTATACAGAGAGCATTCAGCACGGCCGACTATAGTAAAGACGGAAAATAAAAATTACCTTGACTGCACCATAAGCTAACACAGCGTTTGCGACGTCCCCTGCTAGCTTCCCACCCAACTGGCTCGTCTGGGTCTGATCGACAAGCTGGCCTTTTTCAAAGCCAAAGACACCATATCGACGTCCGACACGACCAGCCCACTGCTCGCCTTCATCAACCCAAGTTCTCAGCCGGGCATTCACCCAAGACCGATCATCATGGGCAGAGCCATCTCGGTCGAGAGCAATAGCATCGACGACGCGTTCACCAGCACCAAGACTACGCGCCGTGTAAAAAATCCCTACGGTGGGAACGATGGCAGTTAATTCATGAAGGATGGCAAATGAGAATATGAGAGAGGGTAATGGTGCTCCCGTCCTCGCAGAAATCGCGGTGAGAGCATTGCGGTAAGGTGCAAATCGTCCACCAGAGTTCGACATGCAAAATTTTATAGGTAGGATGTGGCTTAGATAATCAAGCCGATTATGTTTTATGTGGCTGTGCAGCCTGCCCTGGGCGACAAGTCACTCTGGCCAAGAGCTGCTTGACTCTGACACGCTGCTTCTTTCTTTCAAGGCCTCCCACAGGAGACTACCTAGTCGCCTCCCAGTACAAACAGTTTGCTGGTCGACCAGTATACGGTTGGACAGGGAAGTGGCTACATTCGCATATCTAGACCATTTTGCAGGCGGGATGGTTGACACGCTTGCTTGAAGCTGCGGTCACAACAAGTTGGATTGCCTAGTGCTTAGATCGTCAATCAAAGCGCTTATGATAACAGCCTCATGTGTTGGGCGTCTAATGATAGGTTAAATTCTATGAAGCAGTATAGAAACACCCCAGTACACGCACTCCGCAGTTAGAGCAAGACAAACCACAAACCCTCTCTACCAAGTACTTCCACATCGAGCGTGCTCGAGTCAATACCATCATCCATGGCACAGCTCATTCCAAGCACTACACCCGTTCGAACGTTTGATCATACAAGCTCTGCATGCACACTCGCAGTTTTCCCCAATAGACATCGTATGGTCACAGGCTCGGATGACAAGTCGCTTCGTCTATGGGACTTGGAAACAGGTCTAGTGTTGAAGAAAATGGTGGGGCATAACAGTAGTCTGCGGCGATTGGCGGTATCACGGGATGGGCGGTTAATAGCAAGTGGCGATGAGAGTGGAGAGCTCATCGTATGGCAAGGAGAAACTGGGGCATCACTTACCCATACGATCAAAGCCCACCCCAGTCATATCTTATCGTTGGACTTTTCTCCAGATGGAACAAAGCTGGCGAGTGGCTCATTCGACGGAAGGATGATGAAGCTGTGGAGCACGACAACATGGCAGCTACAAGGAAATCCAATCACTTGTGGTTCCCGTGTCTACTGCATTCGGTATTCGCCATCTGGGCAACATCCTGCCGTCGGGACAGACGAGAATATTGAAATCTATGATCTAGACATGAGGTAGTGTGTCAAAGTTCAGGGCTCACACCGGAATCAACTTCTCGCTTGCGTGGACGCCCGATGGCACACGCCCTCTCTCAGGGGGGGGGCCACTTCTGATCATACCATACGGGAGTGGGATACATCCACCTAGAAACAGGTCGGTGATCCCTGGAAGGGCCATATACTACATCAGCAACAGCGGCTGAGCGCTGAAATTTCATGTAGTTTACATAAGTGTTAGATCTCAATAGAAATCAATTCAGTTCACCTGAGACTATACCAAATGTCAGAGATCGATATCGCTGAACGATTTCGAATTCGACGGGTCCAAACTCTGAGGTAGTTATATCATTTACATTACCACGAATGCTTCTGGCACACTCGTCGCTTCCGCATCTATTGTCAAACATGTCTGTCTTTGGCTCTCCGGTCGACAAACCATCGCCATCTTCCAGCATGTCGACTCAGCGCGTTGTGTGGCCTTCTTCATGGATGGCAAGCACATCATCTGCACAGGTTGATAATGAGAAGATCTTAGAGCGGGCAGTACCCGAGGATGCTTTTGCGAAGAATGTTTTTGCGAAGGATGCTTCCAAGGATGCTTCTGCGAAGAGTATTTTTGCGAAGGATGCTTTTGCGAAGGATGCTTCCAAGGATGCTTCTGCGAAGAGTATTTTTGCGAAGGATGCTTTTGCGAAGGATGCTTCCAAGGATGCTTCTGCGAAGAGTATTTTTGCGAAGGATGCTTTTGCGAAGGATGCTTCCAAGGATGCTTCTGCGAAGAGTATTTTTGTGAAGGATGCTTTTGCGAAGGATGTTTCCAAGGATGCTTCTGCGAAGAGTATTTTTGTGAAGGATGCTTTTGCGAAGGATGCTCCCAAGGATGCTTTTGCGAAGGATGTTTCCAAGGATGCTTCTGCGAAGAGTATTTTTGTGAAGGATGCTTTTGCGAAGGATGCTCCCAAGGATGCTTTTGCGAAGGATGCTTCCAAGGATGCTTTTGCGAAGGGTGCTTTTGCGAAGGATCCTTTTGCAAAGGATGCTCCCGAGGAACTAGCATCAAAGGTGCTTTCTCATTGATATCTCGCCTCGTCGTTATCTCATCTCGTGTCTTTTGAATTCCAAGGCTCAAGGCTCTGATTTAAAGGCATGTTTCAACCCTTGACTCTGATACTTGCCGCGATTCGAACTTGTTCATGCTGCAGATCATCGAGATCACAACGAACATCCGCAATGCATACATCACAGGGGACTTATCTTCGGCTGAATACCTACTCACGCAAGAGATCGACACCGACGCCAACAACTATACCTCCTATGCTAACCGTTCATTTATTATGGCACGCAAACTCCACTGGGACCGCGCACTTCATGATGCAAATAAGGTCAGTACACTGGCCCTTTATACCCCCTTTAAAATATGCTTACTTTGATCGTGATATAGTCCCTCAGCATTCGGCTCTCGTTGACAGGCTATATCTCCAAGGGCATCGCCCTCTACGGGAAACAGCAGGTCCTGGACGCGATGAAAGTATTTGACCTCGCGTTCACGTTCGCAGACGGAAATCTAAAGACTATTCATTTACTTTTCTTGATCAAGGCAGGTAATCTTTTTCAATTCATACACCATGCTTCATAATTGTTTTCAGGCTATCGCATTGTTCAATGCAAATAACCATGAAGAGGCAATGCTGCTCGTCGAAAAGCTAGTCGCCCGTCCCAATGCCGATCCTATTGCTTCTCGTGTCGTAGAAGTAAGCATCATGCACTCGATCAAGCCTGGGTTTCTGTGTTCACTGGCGCTTCGCACACCAGGCGTATTTGCGAGTTCAGCTGGGAACCATTGCCATGAATGGCGCCCTTTACAAAGAAGCTGCCAATCACTTCACTACCGCTGTCAATGCTGGTGCTTTCTTTTTTCAATTGGGCATTCATTCTATGTACGAGGAGTTTATCGTGGTATGTTAATATGACACGACCGAAAATCCTTGGCATCCTCAACTACATGTTTGTGCAGCTTTTCGGCTGGGACCTCAAGTCTTTGTGGCAAATTGCAAACCAGCAACGGTGCTATGCACTACTTCGAGCAGGTCAATTTGGGGCAGCCCTCGAATCATACCGATACATGATGGATGCAAGTGATGAACCCATGAAGGCCAACTTCCTTGCTTGGATCCCTGGCAAGTCTTCAGTGATGGCACCCGTGTTACAATCCTCACTCATATTTCCCTCAGGTCTCAATGAAGAATGAAGCGCACTCCACGCTGCTAACGGAGAAGATGCCAACGGAGAAGATGCCCCCGCAGCGAGCAGTTCGATATGCATTTCGAAACAGAGGTCTTTGCGCCGTTTTGATTGGTACCTCAATACTCCATATCGCCCTTTGCCTCTATCTCCTGATTGCCTGATCGAGTTTGAGTGCTTCGAAATCTCAAATTTGAATGCCTCGGACATATCGTGCAGGTTATGGAGCGGCAGGGTGATATGACGTAGGCAGATCTGGGGGTGTGGCTGATCCATTCGCGAGGTTGACTGACACGATGATTACAGGACTGAGACTCCGCTGGACGCAGTGGTTTGATTGAATTCACAGGCGATGGAGCCGACTTCCGCCGGGCTGCTTATCGATATCATACAGAAGATATGGAGAACGTAACGGTCGATCGGAGCACCAGGATGACTTTGCAGAAAGCGATTCGGAGATGAAAGATAAGTTTCGTAAGATTCATCCGGTTCATCGCTGGTGAAGAAAGCGTGGTTTAGTGCAGTCAGTGTTAGTGATATGAGTTCTGGTGGAGATGTCTGATGTCATTAGATTTGCCATCAGAAGAGTAAGTTAGCTTATCAAAGGAATGCAAGTCGGAGGCAGACGCGGGAGCCGGGAAACCGGCCCCCGGCCCAAGGCGTTGGTAAGGATGATGGTTGGTGAGCCCTGCTGTTATGTGCGTGATCAAGATTCTGAGTTGTCTCAATCTGGAATGCACCACAGCACTGAGGCCTGAGCGAATCATGAGAGCCATCTATTTCCCTACACAGCCAACACGCAAACGCGTGGCGTAAGTACGCAAAATGAATAGCAAAGCGTCAGAAGCCCACTGCATTTTACTCAAGCACTCCTTAATCCAGTCCGATCTCTCCATTGCTGATATTTTTTGATCACATCTGGGGTGATTTGCTTTTGTATGGCACCTGCTGCTGCAACAAAGGCACTTTGGGGGACCTGCGGAGACCTCTGAGGAAAGTTCACAAAACAAGGACTTTGAAGAGCTTACGAATGGGGCGTTGATATCTTTCTGCATAGTCAGTAGAGCAGCCTCCTGACACAGTGCGCTGATTTCTGCGCCGCTGCACCCGTCGGTCTGAACATAACATTACACACTGCTCAGATGCAATACGGACTGTACACACCATGGTTGCTACTGCACGAAGATCCAAGCCAGGTTCGACACTCATCTTCCTTGTCCTGATCTTCAAGATTTCTTCGCGCCCGTCTTGGTCAGGAGGTCCAACGTACAAAATGCGATCTAGTCGTCCGGGACGCATAAGAGCTGAATCCTGAAGATGTGTTATGAGATAAATATAACAATGATAGTCAGAGTATGTAGACTTGCAATGACGTCGGGGCGATTTGTGGCTGCAATGACGGTCACGCCTACAAGCTCTTGAACACCATCCATTTCGTTCAGGAGGCTGGTCAGAACCCCCTCGTGAGATGACCCATTTCCAGTATCAGAATCTGATGAGCGTGATGTTCCAAGGGCATCAATTTCATCCTGGGATTTGTCAGCGACAACTTCTTCACAGTAGGACGGCGCTTACGAAAAAAATTATCGATGGCGAAGCAGCTCTGGCCTTGCTAAATATATCTCGCACAGCTTTTTCCGACTCTCCAACATATTTATTTAGAAGCTAATTGGGAACAGCATATCGTGAGCATATTGCATGAACGCAGAACCAAAATTCAAACCTCAGGACCTTTCACAGCAACAAAGTTAACCCCGCTTTCCGTTGCACAAGCTCGCGCCAGAACAGTTTTACTGCACCCTGGGGGTCCATACAATAGCAAGCCCTTGGGTGGTCGGACACCTAGTCGCTGAAATGCCTCTGGGTGCAATAATGGCCACTCGACGGCTTCCCGAAGTTTCTGTATGACATGAGCTTGCCCACCTATATCGTCGAACCGAACGGGTGGCGTCTCAACGAATACTGAGCGCATCGCGGACGGCCGCACGGTAGGAAGCGCATCTGAAAGATCCGATGGTGTTAATTTCAGAGTCATTGTAGTAGCTGCTGGATCAGCAAGGGATCCCGGCGGAATGTGGATCATCCATCGTTTGATGGCAAGGGTCCCAGCCTCTCGAACTACGGCACTGAGATCCGCACCAACATATCCATGAGCGCGGCTGGCGATAGAGCGGAGTTCTGCGTCTGTTATACAATGGGGAGTTTTGGAGAGGAGGACGTTCAGAATGGAGTGGCGTGCGTCTGCGTCCGGTACGCCTGAGAATAATAACCGTCGGCTTAAGTTCGGTATAACTCTCCAGGTTGCCGCTCACCTATCTCAAATTCCCGATCTAATCTCCCAGGTCTTCGTAGCGCCGGGTCGATGGCGTTCGGCCGATTCGTTGTGCCGATGATGACGACCCTATCCTCACCATTCGTGCTCGCGTTATTTATACCATCCAGTATGGTCAAAAGTGTCGCGACCACTCGTTTCTCAACCTCGCCGCCTGCGCCCTCTTCCCGCCTTGGAACAAGAGCGTCAACTTCGTCCAAGATAACGATACACGGGCTCTTGACTCGTGCTTCCTTGAATACATCTCTGAGCTTTGACTCCGTTTCTCCATGGTAGGCTGAAGATAGCTCAGGGCCGTTGATGACGAGCACCGATGAATTGGTAGATGAGGCAATAGCACGCGCAAGGTGTGTTTTTCCTGTACCAGGCGGGCCATGCAACAATATGCCCCGAGGCGGTTTGAGACCTGAGTGAATAATAGATGTTACAATCAGAACTTGTATAAGGGGTTTAGCTTTTGCCCATGCCCACCGAAGTATCCAAAGAGCTCTGGTCTCGTGAGTGGTATCTCGAGAAGATCTCGTATCTGAGTGATTGTCTTGTCAAGTCCTCCGACAGTGGCGTATGCGTCAGAAATTGATGTATGTGGTAGTGTTTCGACGTCAGACTAGATAGTCATCCATTTGTGTCATGTTTCTCAAAGAATATCAGAAAGCACACCTTTTTCGTGAGGCCGATGTCATTATCAGTCACGTCTTCCAGTATGGAAACAATCGTATCCCACCCTGCTGTCCAAAGTAATGGCCTATCCTGAATTGCAAGCGAGTTGAAGGCGCGTGTTATGGAACCGCTTGGTGCCGAGTGGTGCGTTGACACAGATTCAATGGAGAATCTTCGAATTTCGCCTTGATATGGGACTTCGACAATCTGAGTAGAAAGAATATGTTTGAGGTTGACTGCAAAGAAATTCCGCGCGTTGGTGCTGTCAGCGACACTCTAAGCCGCATAGAATTGACATACTAAGGTATTCTCGCAGTATTAGAGTGAGCCAATCCCTGCGCTTTCCTTTTCCTTGTGAATTGGCCACATCTTGCGATGTTGGTGCTTTTATGGAAATTTCTCTCAGGCGGATGGTGCCAGCCTCTTCAACATCACGCAGGGTTGGCAGACCTGGAGGGAGCCTGCCAGTGCCTTGATCGGATAGATCAAATACTTGTACCTTTGTGCCTTCCTTGAGGCGCGCCGTAAGGAAAAGCGAGGACGAAATCAAAATGGCTGAAAGTAAGTTGATGTGACCGCAAGGTCAAAGTTAGCCAGGGACCTATATGTCACCTAATACTGTACATACCATCTTGCGGAACATCCAGAGAAGGCCACAGTGTCCCAATTGCAAAATCCTGCTATCAACGATGATTTGCAGTAATTGAAGTTGCGATAGGGTGATCGAACGAACTGTGAGAGAGACACTGGCATGCACGATATGATTCTCACCTTCTTCGTGTTTCCGTCATCTACCTCTGATAAGGCGACCACATCGCCGGAGCGCAATTGTGAGGCTTTCAGGGTACTTGCGTGCACGATAACGCGCCGGATGGCGCGTATCCCCATCTCACTTGCAGCAGGTTCATCACGCTGAACTGTCAACTTAGGCATCGAAATGGATGCAGACATCTTCTTTCGCATGAACGATGCTCTGGAGCCTTCAATTCAATTGCGATTTGTTTCAAGTTCAGAGATGGGATGAGGGATGAAGAATATGGTTACCGCCTGGAAGTAATCGGTTCTCAGTGGAAGACCGGAGGTAAGCATCTGATTGACCACAGCTCACCAGAGTGAATACAGTTCTGGAAATATCCAACGAAGATCGGGGCGTTCGAGCGAGCTTCGCGCTGTTCCATTCTAATCTAAAAAGGGTAAATAAAAGGTAGAAATATTTAAGTAAAAGGTAAATAGTTTTGGGTTGACTTTGGGTGCAAAATAGGATTCAGATGACTGAACGTCACAAGAAAATCTTCCTAGAATATTTATCTTACACAAGCCTTGATCGTAACGATAATCTTCCAAGTCCTGCTGTCGACGTGGTTTTAATATCAGTTAATATCCGCTTAGAAACTCTTAGAAACATCTCCTCGGGAAACGCCGGTCCTTCTCCATCACTTAGCTACACTTAGCTACTTGAAAGATTATCTCAGATAACAACTGATCTTACGGACAGCCCTGCTGTCGGTGTAAGTAATTAATGCAAGGCATTTAATATGTTCAGTTTTAGCTCTCACCGTGATGCGCCTAGCAGTCGGTTTTCACTTGCAGCGATTGCTATGCTTCAAGACTATTAATTCTTTGTTTACTCAGCCAACTCTCATTAGGCATCACGAAACTACTGTGCCTCGATTGGATACACAGGCCATGACTTCCCATTTTCACTGATAGCAGTTCTTAAGAATAATGAGATGTTGCCATTTTTTGGGGCTGTCCGAGATTATAGGATCATGTCGAGGCATGAAGTTCGTAATCATGTAGCCTTTCTTCGACTACTTACCACTCAAGGCCGCCACGCGGCGTGCGTCAGCTCTTCGACTTCAGAGAAGTCGAACCATGATGCACGATGTACGACACAGCACAGTACCCTCAGTAAGATAAAAAAATCCTCAGCAAGCTGTATACGCTGCCACGAGGCTCGAGTCCGAGAATGAGGGAAAATGTACATCACATGCGCCGTCCTGACACAACCTGCGGCTGTCCTGCACCATATTTTTAACTGCACCAGCAGAAAAAAAATACACCTACTAGCTGAAGTCGATCGAAGTTGTTGTCGTGACTGTACATGTTTTCAAGGCACCGTGATTGAGCTTTTAACAAAGAGCCGTAATCGGATTTGTTCTCGGCGGCCTCGGAAACAAAAATATGAATCCCATCAGGCCTGCCGCTCCTGCGTGGTGCATGTGTAAGTACATCGACATCTAATAGGATCTTGACGGTGGACAACCAAAAATCAACTATTGTTCTTTCCGCAATTCGTAGAGTTCGCCATATCTGACGTATCATAAACATACTACATAGCATCACTGGATTGGACTTCGGTTGATACTTCTCGCACAATCTGTGGGTCATAAGACGTAAACGCGCCATTTCTGCTCATATCATGGTACATATGATATCTCGTATCCTAGACTTCAATAGCTTCAATCTTGATCGACCTGACGATATCCAAGGTTAGTGTCAATTAACGCACTCCTTGTGTACCCTCGTATGCACCAATTTGCCACTCCGAAACACCGGTACTAAGCCAATAGCTCCCAGTTCAATTTTGTCAATTGATTTTCATTAGCAGCTTTTTTGGCGCCATTGACTCGACATCACATCGTGCCCGTCCAAACTACAATTGTCTACGGAGAAGGAAGCATTGCATTCAATGAACGTGTTCGTCATACGGCGCCTAGTCTTGAGGAAGTTCTTTGATTCTATATACGCGAGTTAGGAACCAAGGAAGTGATGGACCGTCGATGAAGCTAGGGATAAGCCGAGCAACTAATAATAAGACAATGGCATGATTGATCGCAAGTTGATCGTAAGAGATTTGATTCCGCTCGTGCAGGCAGTCACGTCAATGATGAAATTTATGGTATCTTTGGTTGGTGGCCTTCCAAGCAATCCGCCTTTGTGAGCTACCTTGGAGCCTGTCACACAAAACAACGTACTCGCGTCTGTATTGTGGCGTACTTAAGGCAGCACTTGCCAACGGTCACATTCTTCAATCTGCCGCCCAGGAACTAGGAACTGCATTGCCGTGAGGGCTTGGGAAGGCGATCCTACATGCCTTACTTCGGCGGCATGTTCCCAAGTCGTGATCTTGCTAACAAGGGCCGACACTATCACGAATATACGCCAAGCCACAATAGGTCAGACAGTGTGAATCTTACCCTTCTATTGCGCTTCGGATGTCATCTTGCTGGGCGTCCCGGTGAACGGTAATCACCACATGCTAAATCGGATGTGCATCCTGGTAAAGCACTCGAGCCCGTTGATTTGCTTCTGTTACTGTACCCATGGTAAATAAACAGTTTTGCATCCAAGGCAGCTGAAGACATTTACGCAGATTAGTTACACTTTGGATTACTTCTGATAAAGAATTATCACGCACAGCCACATGACAACCTCGTCCAAATCAAGCTGTTATGAACCAAGAACCAAGGAATCCTAGAAAGAACATCGCACATCATCCCTCCGACCCATCACACCAAAAACCACGATATACAGGATGGGATGCTGGCATGTGGAGATCTTGCTGACAGTGATCGCACATACAAACCCTACTAGAACCTTTATGGGCTATTTATTCAACTCCTCTCTTTCTTGGTATCCCTACTCGGAAACGTATAAAACCGGGCAAGTCAAACAGCAGGAGGACTACATCTAGTCCACCGACATCAGTACTCTCGTCTGGTTGCATCTCAATCATATACCAGCCTGTATAACCACCATGTGCAGACAAGTAGCGTGAGTCACTGACCGTGTCTGCGGAAAGTGCTCGCTCACAACATCCTGTGCAGTGAAGGAACACTCTGGCTAAAGTGTGGGGTATGAAGACAATACTCTGGGTTTGGGAAGCTCCTGATGAAATTCACAGCACTTTCAACGGCATCTCGTTATTGCCATCGTAGATTGCAATTCCACACGCTGCGAGCGCAGTTACAGACACCCACCAAATTGTCGGCAACCAAACTGTACCAAAGTAGGTCATGCGTAACATCGCTCCATGGCCTATGGTTAACGTCTTCCAAGAACTTCGGACCCGAAATACAGCGTTCGATCGACGATGTTGACGAGATATGTTTCCAGTGTCGTACAGCACTGACTCGCAGGCGTGGTTGACAAGTCTCGGGGCACCATCCGTCCTTGGAGGGCGGGCAAAAGATCTTTCCTTCACATTGATACTCTCACATAATTCGTATTAGCATTACATTGCACCATACTTGTAAAATATGCATGTCATACCTTCCGCTCGGGATGAAAATCTCCGCTCCCGAAGGCATTCGGGTTATACACCACTACAACCCGTATGTAGAAGAAGCAGGCGAGAGCCAAAACAATGGCAACCCATCAAAAGAGGCCATAAGCCAAGGTCCCATGACTCCAAGAAGGCACAGCTCCTGCGTCACCCTGAGCATGCCGTTATCGTGATAAAAATGCACAGTACGGTCCTTCTACCAACCCCATGCGAACAAGGCAAGCTTCAATCGGCAATTTTGCCTCGGCTTCTAGGCAGTTATCTTTCTCTGAGCTCACAATCGATTTGACGTGCTCCAACAGCGAGCGTTAACAGCAACAGCATTCCAGGACCTTGGCATGCTGTCGCGCTCTAGAATAATATGCGGAACCAAGAGTGAGGTATGATATATGATAGGCATATGCTTGTTCCTCGACCGGCGACCAATTACCGCAGTTATAGGATATCAGACTGTTCAGACCCATCGACGAGTACTGGATCATCGAGACCCATCTAGACAGGAAATGACTGAAGCAAGGCTAGCGCATGTTATGGAGTCGAAAGAAGCTCACGTCGACAACAGGAAGACTGTCAATAGAAACACGACTGAAACTCATGGATGAAGGCAGACCACGTGCCTTCAATTTTAGAACACAATGAAATTCGTACCTTTGTCAAAGTATTAACAAAGCTCCGCTGGATTCGCGGCGCCCAAGGCGTTGGGCATTCATTTTTTCCCTAGGCACACAAATAACAGGGGTATCGTGATTACCCCCTTGGTGCAGAGACTACTAGAAAGTTGAGATGTTCTCAACGTAGTAGACTACTCGTTCTACTCACCAGCAGTACCTTCACGACACTAGGACGCTGAATATGGTCAAATCCACACAGAATATGCATTGTTTTCTGTATGCACACTGAGAAAAATAATAGTCTATTTCTTGTGCATACAGCAAGTTCTGGGACAATATCCTCTCACTTCTATGTACGCGGCTAGTGCGGGTGGTTCTTGTGGTGCTCTGATACGCGCTTAACGGAATATATATTGAGGTCATCAATGGTAACTCACTCAGGTGCACTGAAATATCATGCATCAAAGTTTGAACATGTGTGTGGGTGCAAATTACTCACTCTGGTAGTCGATGGTGTATCCAAAAGTGAAAAGGCCCAAGATGGTCCAAACGAGTGGGGCAGCGGATGCGTTCTTGCCGTTGAAGAATCTAGCCTTTATCCCTCCACCAGCAGCAGTGGCTGCTTGACCCTTGGGCAGTTTTGAGTAGAAGTTGACCAGAGGCGTGAGGCTCGCACCGGAGCCCGACGTCTTAATTACGAATGAACGAAGAAGTCACGCGAGGTAGGGCACTGCTAGAACTAAAGAACGTACCAAAAGTGACGGAGTAGCAATCTTGGGAGGAATGATACCCCCCAATTGACGACGAACGAGTGATACGTGCATGGCGAGAACGAACGAGTGTTGTAGACTGTCGGGCTAGCCCGGACAAACTTGGTTTTCATGTTAAGGTCTATTTGGTTACTGTCACATGACTCGATCACGTGCGTCCGCGTCAAGTAACGTATGCGTCCCAGTTCAACTCAACCGTGACAATACCCATCAGAACCTAAAACAGAATAGACTTCACTAGCGAGACTCCTTGGGGGCGACCCTGATATAGTGCAACGGTACAGCTCCGACGAACTCGTGTCAAACACCTACACGTGGGGGTGGACGCAAGACAATAGGTTTAGACGAGTCCGATTCTGATGCGAACATTTAGTTTCGCCTGGACCATCCACAGCCTCTTGACATAAATCACGGGCCACCCAAGTTCGCACCCGCCCTCAACTTTCCAAATTACTCATCATGCACAGTGAAACATTAACATTGCTATCTACGACATCCGCGCACCTACTGGCTGGACTCTTCGCCTTTACCTACGTTGGCTCTATCTACGCATCTAAGGGTGCCCGTCTTCGCTTCTCCAAGAGGAAGGTCAACCTTCCAGAAGGACAGGCCAGACTCAAATTGCAAAATGAGCGATGGCGAGATGATCCGGACGTTATCAAGGCGCGATTACTTGCCGTTAGCAGCGCCACTTTGATTTGTTGTCTCATCGTATTCATCGTGATGAAAAATTTCAACCGCGATGATGAATTTGTAGGTCGTCGAGTTGCCTCAATGGGGGAACGTCCGTGGCTCATCCCATATACGAAACAGCATAACCTTACCGCAAATGCATGGCTCCACCTTGGATTCACATGGTCGAATGCACTTCCCCTCGTAATAACTCCATTGTTGTTTGTTGGGCCACTCTATGTCCAGTTTCTCGAAAAGTCACTACCCTTCCAAGAGGACTGGGATTTCGAAGATGATGTCCTTTTTCGGTTTTTCTCCATCGTCGGTCTTCGAAACTATTTTGTTGTGAGTGTAAGGCGTTGCAAATGTATTGCTTACAATATAACTTGCATTGTAACAGGCTCCGATCACTGAAGAAATTGTCTTTCGCGCGTGTGTTCTCACTGTCTATCACTTGGCAGGCGCTTCAAGAAAGAAAATGATTTTTCTCAGTCCTTTGGTGTTTGGCGCAGGTATGTGATCAGAGCGATTTTCTTCAGCCATGAAAATTCATCGCCATGTTCTCTTTTCAGCCCACGTACATCACGCTTTCGAAACATACCACAGATACGGCCGTACGGCCACTGCGGCAAAGCGCGCAATTATATCTACTAGTATGCACCATCCCATTTCCACCGAACGGCGCTGTTAAACAACTTACACATAGTTATCCAATTTGCGTATACCAGCGTATTCGGATTTTACTGCTGCTATTTATTCCTTCGCTCCGGGTCATTGCTCCCACCCATTACCGCTCATATGTTCTGCAACATAATGGGTATACCCCGGCCAAGCTATGAAATAAGCTTAATGCCTCATCGAAAGCTATGTAAGTAGCCACCGTTATAAAGTGATCCGTCTAATGACATTCTTTGTCCTGCTTTTAGCCATTTCAACTGCGTATCTTCTCGGCATTATTGGCTTTGCGTTCATGCTCAAGCCTTGGTCATATACGGATGGCAGTTTATACTGGCAGCGAAACTAATCTCTTCGAGCCTTCAACCTGTGCGCGCTTTGTTCGACGGTGATTGCGGACCTCTGTACAGCACAAGCCTAATATGCCTACAACCTACTGGACATACTTTCTGCAGCTCCTGACCGGGTTGCATTGTATCTATATCAATGATCAACGCTGTTTCTTGCGCTTTTCATGAACCATGCGCTGTACATGCCCGAATGTGAGCAAGTAGGAATTTTGACGACATGGATATCTACATTTAACCACGAAGCGTCGCCGGCTCGCGTCCACTGCGTCATGCAGTGCATTGCATTTGCAATTACTTTGCAAGTCTTGCATGTGCATGATCCTGCATAGTGCACACACCCATTAACCAAATCAGGTCGTGCGAGAACACACTGGTATACTTCATATTACCACATAACCTCCTACATAGTCTCCCGCAGGCAGACCCAATATTATGAAGACAGCTGTTCCTTTCCTGGGCTGCTAAAAATACGAGGTCTGACTCGGAGGGTGTGTAGTACATACTACTACTAGTAAGTGTACTAAGTGACTATCTTAAGTATTGGCATAAGAGCTCAAGGTAAAATAGACGCTTCATGTTGACTTCGTGGCCTCAATTTCCTCGCTATTCGCTAGATATTCACGCCAAATTCATCTGGTTATCACTCAGAGATCGTTCAAGGCGATCATTGTCCCCGGCTGCATGTGGTTACCTCAAAGTTGTGATCCATCGCCTCGCGCGCGGAATCGATGCATGTTTACACACCACTTTTTCGGCGGTATGTATACTGAATTGTCTGCACGAAAATTACCAGAATTGACAGGACCACAGGCCTGATCTCCAGCTGAGCAACTTGTCTACTATCTCAGATCTTGCGAACTTGAGCTTGTAGGCGCCTGTAAGCGCGCGTACACCTTTATAGGAAATGCCGCCGGTGTCCACTTTTGTGGGACATATTGAGAACCAGTGTTACGGCCTATATATCAACCTGTTACCTGTCCATCTTACCAACATCTTACGCCGCCCTACATGCCGCACAAACGTGCCAAACGAGCTGTTCGTGAACGAGAGAGATCCCTGAAGTAAATGTTCATTACATATTCCCTTTCCAACTCACTGATGAGTCCCAAAAGAGGTGTCAATCTCCCGCCAAAGCACCTTGGGAATGAGGACACTGTGCCAAAGTCTGCGGCTCGTATTTTGAATGCCGAAAAAATCCGTCACGAATTCAGAGAGAAAAAGCGGAAGATCGATGAGCCCAACGGGGATCAATGTCCTCAGCTGAAGCGAAGACGGCAGGCCAGTGATATGAACGGTCGAAAGGAGGAGATGCTGAAGATCAAGCCCGGAGAAACTATAGCTCGTTTTAATAAGTGGGTATCACAAATATCTGTGCAGCACGTCATTATTAAGCTTGCACGCAGGAGAGTCGAGAGCAGCATGATGCCGCTTATTAGAACAGCAATGCAGCAGTCATCTGCCCAGGTCCGCAGAGTCCAGAAGCACGAATCGGAGGAGGGAGTTGCCAAGCCTGCACAGGACAAGACGATGATTAATAAACGTAGCCACACAGACGTTTCAAACCCATCGGCGCCCGCATCGACCTACACACCTCATCAGCAGCCTCGTGATAAACCTAAGGAGTTCCGTGTCTCTTCAACCTCAGCACCACGCCGTCTTAACGATATTGCACAAGAACCTCCGCAGTTTGGCAAACTGCCCCGGGGTGCCCGATCTGGCAAGGACTCTTCGAAAGCAAAAGTCGCTGGGATACTCAGCATGGCACAAAAGGCGATGATGGAAGAAGAAAGAGAAAACGTCATTAAGCGTTACCGGGAACTGAAAGCCAAGAAATTGCGTTGTGATGATAACGGCGCAGTGGGCGAGTGAGGCTAAGTCGATCGCGGTTTTCATCGACTACGTTTCCGAACGGGTGCAGCAATTTTCCCTGTCGTTATCGTCTCCGTTGAGTTTACCCTGACATGGGTTTGATCTCTACGTTGACGCTTCCTCTACAGTCCGTTCCTCCGATGAATGCTCGATTTCATCCCTTCTTTATCGTAAGGAGGCAATACAAAATTTGTTTTGCTGCAAGTACGACGCTGCTACCCATTCAATACCACCCGGGCTGTCCTCGGATTATTATCTCACCGCTTGCTCATAACGAGCCACCACTCGAAAGAAAGTCATTTCCCTTACCCAGATGGCGGAGGTCTAAACTCCCGAACCCCTCGGATGATCCTATTTAACCCACTTTCCGCCATACACGGTCCCGATTGCTCCTCCCTGACTCTACTGCCGTTTCGGGCTACATAGGCGGCGGTTCACTATCGTCCTGAGAAAATGGGGATTTTTTTTTATCGTTGTTCAATCAATCTACTTTTGTCGTGCCTCGTTATGGTGGACCTCGGAGAGGCGCTTGATGGCCTGGTAGGCGCCGTGGCGTTGTCAAGATAGTGGGGTATAGGGTATTCGAAGCTCGGACTGATCAACGTTATTGCTTCTCCATGTGACTCGATTATCTTGGCTCACCGATACCCCCCTTGCACCTGGGCATTGGTCAAGTCGGCACTGCGGCAACTCATGCCCACGAAGCACGGCCTCAGCCATGATTCTACCTACCTGCCGCGATGCCTACGTGCGATCACATCTTGCGCTGAGGCCGAAATTACGAGCTTCTTTTCCACCATGCTTAAAAAGAAATTTATCCGGTATATTCGGGGGAGCCCACGAAAGCGGTGATCTGACGTTCTACGCTGGAATACTTATAATGCGCATTCGATCAATTGCCTGTAGTTGCCTGCTGAAACCTCTTTCTTCCCATTCTACCACGACACCTGTTGGTGGTAAACTACCTTCCTTCATGGAGGATGCGGAGAAGCAAGTCGACTGCTCTTCATATCGCGGGCCGAGCATCGAGACGGGCGCATATGAAAATCTCAATCGTCACAGTGCTTTGCAACCTCCTAATGCACTGTTACTGCCCACAGACACGAAAAGCCCAGATGGAGGATGGTCTGGTTGGCTGGTTGTTTTTGGCGCATTCCTCGCACTTTTCTGTTCGTTTGGTCAAATGAACGCTTTCGGAACATACCAGTCGTGGTATTCGGATCATCAGCTTTCTAATCATTCGCAATTCAGTATTTCTTGGATTGGATCCCTTCAGCTATGTACTTTTTTCTTCATGGTAAGCTATATATTCCTTGTCAAAGGTAGGTTTCACTCAATATCACACGAGACTAGGGAGGACCTGTAGGACGCATTTTTGACGCCTACGGACCGACACCCGTGATGATCTTTGGGACACTGCTACTAGCGTTCAGCACATTGATGACCAGCATCTCCATGGAGTATTATGAATTCTTATTGTTCCAAGGATTCTTCTTTGGCCTTAGTGTTGCGTCGCTGTAAGTCCCTTGCTGAGCGCTGTGCGTCTACTTCTAATTTTACTCTATAGTTTCTATCCCTCTTTGGCTGCGGTTTCAACTTACTTTGATAAGTACCGTGCATCGGCTCTTGGCGTTGTGGCCGCCGGCTCTGGTCTTGGTGAGCGGTCCCCTATCGTGTGTGCGGTCCGACTGAGGTCGTCTAGGTGGCGTCGTTTATCCCATCATGCTTCGCCAACTCTTCGTGCGCGTTACTTATCCATGGGCAGTTAGAGCATCAGCGCTACTTTCTGTGGCATGTTGCATCGTGTCGCTATTTACCGTAAGGCAAAAGGGTGGTAAGAAATGCCCAGGACGGATAGGTGTCAAGACGTTCAAGGATGCGTCCTTCTTGCTTCTTGTTACTGGATCCTTCTTCATCTGCCTCGGTAAGACGACGAAGTCATTTCATGGGGTTATAGTTGACAAAGGCGACGAAGGCTTGTTCACTCCATTCTTCTACATCGTGAGTTACGCCGAGGATCGAGCACTCGTTTCTGAGCAAACTGCATTTTACGTCCTGTCAGTAATGAATGCTGGGGGTATATTCGGCCGTATCGTTCCCGCGATCCTCTCTGACAAGATAGGACGCTTCAACCTCCTTATTCCCGCCGCCTTCTTGGCGGGTCTATCTTGCCTCGTTTTTTGGATGCTTGCGAAGACCATGATCGCTGTGATGACCTTTGCGGCGGTCTATGGTTTTCTATCCGGCGCATTCATATCTGTCATTACACCGTGCGTCGCGCAGATATCAGATATCAACGAGATTGGGTCTCGAATGGGAGCATTGTATACGCTTATCTCTCTCCCGTAAGGTTACGGCTGGACTTGTTTGACATGTGCTCACCGTAGTTCTTTCAGCTCTCTTGTTGGCGGACCCATTGCAGGAGCTCTTATTCAGGACCAGAGAGGTTCTTACACCGCAATGATTGGGGTGTCGGGATCAACCATCATCTTTGGGTCCTTGTTCATCCTAGTTTGCAGATTCAAGATGAACCGAAACATCTGTGCAAGAGTGTAGCGAGTTGGATGCCTCCTCATGCACCCCTCGTATCCTTATTCTCTAAGTTTTACGACTGGGAAAATTGCACCAATGACGGCTTCAATTTTTGGTGGATTTATTGTATTTTTATCCTACAAGTCGTTGCGGAATGCACAAGCGCTACTATAGTCATGACATCCAATGAATTTGATGTCTTTGGTCTCTGTGATTGGAGCAAGTCTGTCTGGGAGTAACAGTGTGAACGCTGAGAAACCTGGGTAAGATGTTGCGAGCACCGTGTGCCTGTGTAACAATCACTGTGTACTTGCTATGTACCGTAGCGCTCCAGGTGGTACGCGACGATGGGTAAAACGGGCATTCGGCGGCCTTATCTGATTTCATTCGTACTTAAGGGTGTTGCATCACACACGCAACCTCCTATAGTCCACAACCATGAACATCCAAAACCCAGACGCCGAACGCGATTATATTCCTATTGCTGACCATGCCCTGTGCGTAGCTCCTTCATTAATCTTGTATCCGTGTTCTCAATCTCTGATTGTGCCAGGATCGGGAATTTGAGGACTGCCGCGCTGGTGAGTTTGCCAGACTGCATTCTGAGCTTTATTGATGTGCACATAGGTCAGTCTTGATGGATCGAGTGAGTAGTTCAAGTTCAAGATGGTCTTTGAATAAGAAGGGTACCCTCTTGAAGTTGGGTTCGGAGTCGGATGGCTTGGACAAGCGCCGAGGCTCCCTCATCCGGAACTTCTGTAATTCCTCCACACGAGTTTCATCTAATGCATATCCTATACAGTCGAGAGTTACTGTGTCCCAAATTTCGACTCCCCGTCCATCTTTGCACGCATCTTGGACAAAAACAAGGTTAGGGCTTTACATAGTATTCAGGAGGGTTCCCTTCATTGTGGATGGGGCTGCAGGGTGGTCATTTCTCCATTACACCGACGGTTCCATTCACCACCAAGCAAAACTACTTGCCAAGCTCGAATGTGCTGCAGACTAAGTGTGTTTATTATCTTATCTATGTGCGAATCATGGCTGAATATGGTCAGGTTTCTTAATGAGAAGGGCGTGGTTAGTGTCACCGGTTAGTCTCCTGCGCCAATTGTGCCAACAATTGCCGGATTTCATTGCATACATTCAGACTTCCTTCCCCGCCAAGAAAACGGCACATCTACCCGTCCGTTACTGTTTTGGCTCGTCAGACGCGTCGAGGTGAGCTGCCTTCCTCCAGAACATTCCACTCGGGCTTTCCATCGCAATCTTTACCCGTTAGGTGATCCGCGGCACCATCCCGCTGCGCATCGAATGTGCGCCCGCTTTTAACTATGCGCAGGACCCCCACGACACCAATATCGTCCCCGACGATACTATCCCGCTCCAATTTTCCAAGCAAAACAAAGTCGTTTTCACTTCGAGGCCCGCCGGCACCTCCCCACCAGGTCTCGGGACTGGCGCGAGCCCGCAGAGCACGTCGCATAGCCCGCTCACGCTCGACTTGCGGTTCGTCTCCGAGTCCTTGCTTGACAATGTCGCTGTGCCTGAGGTGTCCTTGGAGACCCTGGATCTCAGCGCGAAGGGCCATCTAGGTTTGGCCGCAAAGACGGAGCTAACGCTTGTAGAGGGTCAGCGACTGACGTTTGTGTTGCGGATTGCGCCTGAATGTAAAGGTGATGGTGGACCTGGAGTTGATGGAGAGCAAGCAGAGATGTTAGGAGTTAATTTTGAGAGTGGGTACTTCTAGTCATTGCGTATGAGATTGACGGTCATGGTCCGCAGAGTTGATGGCAAGTGCACACAATATGAGGCCAAAGGATGATCCGATCTTGACCAAGGTGCGTTTTTGGTGACTGTTAACTTTGAGCTTGCTGACGCTCGCTTGCATTGTAGGAACTCCTCGAACATCTATTTGTCGTACGTTCCCTTGCCTTATCGTTTAGTTTCTGTTTTCAAATGATCCTTTGCGTTCGCAGTCTACCAATAGTTACTGGAATGCTTGGATCAGGAAATCCACCTACCAGGGCTCGTGGAAGGAGGCTGTGCACCGGAGCGCGTTGGCGTTAAAGTTGCTCATCTATGAACCCACTGGTACGTGTTCCGCCTTGAAGTTCGGACGTCTATCTTTGAGTGCCCGTTCATTTCCGTCTATAGGCGCTATTGTCGCGAGTCCGACATTCAGCTTGCCCGAATACATTGGTGGGACCAGAAATTGGTGTGCTTGTACTTCTTCATACACCTAAATTTCTTCACTAACCTATGATATATATATAGGGACTACCGGTATGCATACATCCAGTGTTGTCCATGATTCCGTAGTTTATGTCGTACCACTCATGCAGGGCCTCCTGGATTCGCGACTCTTCATTCACGCTATACGCTCTGATTAGACTCGGATTCACGCAGGAGGCTAACGGTCTGTCTCTCCCCTGCGTACTGCTATCTTCCGAGCTTACATAATTAACTGACAGCATATATGGAATTCATCTTTGAGCGACTGAAGAACAAGAACCCAGATGGTTCATTGCAGATTATGTGCGTGTTTGATCTCTATCAGATGTATTTGTAGGCTGATTGTCCATGAAGGTACACAATCCATGGTATGTCTGACATGATGGAATTCATAAAGTGGCTCTGATCATCCTTCTGCAGGTGGTAAAGATCTGGAGGAGAAAGAGCTTCTTCATCTTGATGGACACAAAGGTTCTAAACCTGTTCGGTTCGTCGCTGCCTATCATTTGCACAGCACTCGCGATCTGACCAACGCCAAAAGTATCGGCAATGGTGCAGCCGACCATGTCCAATTGGTATGTCTTGCTGGTAGTTGCAGTACACTGGAAGCTGATCTGGCTGACAGGATATCTACGGCGAATTGTAAGTCCCACTTGTGCTCCTTTGTTGGTTTACATTGATCTTGGTAAAGGATGGATTGTATTTATCTTGGACAGAAGGTGTGCTCCTCCTAGACCATTCTAAAAACGACCATCTAATATTACTTACTCTCAGTTCGGTAAACCATTGGTGAGTCTTGCCTAGTGCCCTTTGTGATATCAGCTTCTCAATTACTCTGGAAGTCGTATGACACATGGTGAGTATTCCAACCAGGCCATGGACGGCCATACTGATTAGGCTATACCGATTGAAGGGTATTGGTTCGGGAACTGTAAGTTACTTATTCCGGTTGATGGCTGTACACGACTACTGACTCTACTCTCATTCAGTGTTGACTGTGCGTCTTCTCTGCTCTTTTTTTCGATGCACGCCTAATACTTTGTAGTCGTTGTCGCAAACTACAAGGAACCCGACTTGTGCGCCTCATGTTTCTCCGACTCTTTAATGACTCAACCCGTATTTTAGATCCATATGGTCAGTACGCGTCAGGCAGGTGTGTGTTGAGGCTAAGTGTCAATGTCCATATCACAGGGAAGTCCGGGGCAAGGAGCGCCATTTCACTGTATGTATTCTCACCGCCCCCTGGATACTACGTTGATCCATGCTTCTGTTATTAGTATTCAAAGGTGAGTTTTGACAGTTGCGCTGGACAATGCTGAGATGGCATGTGGAAGATTATGCTTTGGTATGCCGCATTGCTTTGAAATTGACATAGTACCGCTGATCGGATATGCAGGGTTGCAATCGATAGAGGTGCGAGTCCCGAACCACACTACTGTGATCACACGTTGATGAACCTCCCCTCGAACAGGCCTTCGGCTGGCGGACAAGCGCTCTCTTCCTTGTCCACACCGTCTCCAATGGCTTGCCGCACGCGATGATCTTTACGAAGATATCATGCAAAAGGCGTGGAACAAGGACTTGCAGATCTTCGGGCAGAGCTACGAAGAGACTGACGTGCTCGATTCATCCGTGCTCATTATGCCCCTCGTGTTCTTCATGATGCCGGTGTGTACCCATCCTTATACCTGTCCGTTGAGGGGAAGCTAATATATCCGTCAAGTCTGACACACGGTTCGTGAGCACGCTCAAGCAGATTCTGAAGACACCCGAAAGGGGAGGATTGACCTCCAACGTCAGTCCCGTCTCAATTTTGCTACGAACATGCTGACTGTGAACCAGAACCTCGTCTACCGGTACGATGTCAACAAATCTGATGATGGTGTGGGAGGCGAGGAAGGCACGTTCTGTCTCTGTACGCTGTGGTGCGTCGAGGCTTTGACTCGCGCCGGCGAGTTTGAGAGGCCGCTTTTGCAACGTGCGGTAGAGATGTTTGAGGTATGTCCATTTTCCCTGAACGTGCCACGCTAGTGCTAAACAGGATGAAGGACTTCCTGCTGTATTTGAATCACGTGGGCTTGTGCAGTGAGGAGATCTCAGAGTCTGGTGATGCGTATGTGAAATTCATTTTTTCCCTGAGTTGTGGAGGCTGAAATTGTGCTCAAGGCTTGGAAATGCCGTACAGGGGTTCACGTGCGTTCTGGTACATTCATAGAATTTGACTTCTGTTAACATTTCTGTTTAGACATGTCACGCTCATCTCGGCGGCATACAATCTTTCAAGGACCCTGGCAAATCAACGATCGACATAGGCATGTGTAGTTGAAAAAGAGTTACGAATTCACTTCCTGTATAGAATGCCATGTTGTAATTGTAACTGTTCTTTGCCATTGATTCCTCATGGAAGCTCGAGCCAGGAACAGCTATATTCTTCCTTCTATTTGTATAGGGGAAATTTGAAAACCGGACTGAGTCCACAGATCTAGTCCTTTGAGACCTCCTGGCCGGAACTGTTGTCTGTGAGAATGAGAGATTCCAAAATGCATTGAGATACGAATATTAGAGCTAAGCGAAGGAGCGCAGTTATGTAGACTCCAATTATAAGGAACGACAGGGATGGAACAACGAAAACGTGCAAGGCGTGAAGTGAATGCTAATGAACACTTGGTTTAAGGGTAAAGGTGATATCATAGGATATGACACGAGGACTTCTTCCTATACTCCAGCGGCATGCACAATCAGAAAGTTTCCTCTTCATCGACAGGTGCGTTCTCCGGAACTTCGAAACCATCCTGCTCAGGCCGGTGAATTTCAGATAAGCTCGAGAAAAGATGAAGATGAGGATAAAGGTGTTGCCTACCTCTGTCGAGTAGAGGATCTTTTGGATCTCTTTGAGATTATCATCTTCCTTGCCTTGACTCTCCAGTGTCTCCGATTGTTGCTGAACGAGGATCTCGATATCCCGAAGCTGTACAAACGTTAACTTCTGAGTTTAATCTAGAATGGTCTCGACCTACCTTCGCAAAATAAAAGTCCCTCTCCTTCTCTAGGCCTTCCATGTGAGTTGACATTTCGCGGAGTTGGGTTTGCAATGCCTGCATGGCTTCATTAGGTTGCGTTGAACCTGCCCGATGTCCGCTGATAGGAGTCTTTCCACCGGATCGACCACCGACCCCCAGAACGGCACTGGCGCTGCGAGAACCAGTCGAAAGTGGTGCGATGGTCGCTGGGGGTTCAGCTGGTGCACCACGCCTACGTCCCACAGCGTCATAACCCTGTCCGCCGTAATTAGAATCCCAGAATCGCTTCATCCATTGCAAAAACTCTAGATTGTCTCTGATGGGGTCCGCGGTCAGCATCGGAGTAACAACATTGTAGAGTTCATAAATCGACGCACTGCATCTTGCATTTGACAAGCTTCTCGATGGGTATGGGCTGCGTAAGAAGAGTGAAAAGTGAGTTTAATTGACGCGTTAACAGGATGAAAAACACGCCTTATCAATCTTCTTTGCTTTGAAGACGTTCTGCATGACTTTGAAATTGGCGACGAATTCGTACTCGTGCTTTGCGTTCATCTTAACTCGGGCCATTGGAAGATCGCCTGCAAAGAAGCTTTAGAAACCACAAAGAGTCGAGCTCCATAGCGATCTGCTCGACGTGGATGAGGCTCGCACCATAGATGGAGTCAAGGATTTGACAGTAGGCTCCTCCTGTACCACATTGTTCAATCTTTGTGTAGTTAAGCTGCAGAAGCTCGTTCAACCAAGCTAGCAGATCTGAGCGCGAAACGGCCATCATGGTGGAATGCAGAAATGTCCTTGGTTGGAGGAAGCAAAAAGTGTGCAAAGGTTACGAAATCGTCAAAAGACAAAAGCGTATTAGACTGTCCTAAGTAGCGTGTCCTTCCTTCTTTTGCCACCCATCACTCTTGCTCTTGATCACGACTAGCAGGCTCATCCGCTTGGGCGGTCTTGCTTTTCTACTCATTGTCACAGTAGTAGCAGTTCTGAGTCGTTCAGGTGAATTCAAACCCAGTCTTCTTGGTCGTTTTCTGAACTCAGACTCCGGAGCTAGGTCGACATTTCGCCTTGGTCGATCCGAACGACACTATTTTAAATTTTACCATCGTACGTAAAATGTATCGAGGTGGAGCTGGTAAGCTGACATGCATACACGCGACTTCAACGTTTGGCGCGCGATTGGCAGTTGTTCATTTCTGCCATTTGATATCGAAAATGACAACAAAGGCCCTGCCTCCTGAAGCATGCCATCGAATCGTCCATTGGACACGTCGATGCGATCTCACTGCATTGTGCCTGACCTGCAAGTCGCTTCAGAAAGATGCAGAGATCAAGCTATACGAGATTATCATGTCCGGTGACATCTCGGTCACTTTTCGAGCCTGCGAAAGTATCATATCGCAGGAGCGTCTGGGCCCATACGTCCGCTCCTTCTATGTCTACCAAAATTCAAGGCGCACTCAAACAGAGCTGCCTCCTCGCTTCTGGCACATGGTCCAGAAAGCGCTTTCGAAAATGCGTTGTCTGGACATGCTCTACATCGATGATCCAGCCCGTGCTAATACTTGGGTTTTGAGTGATATCCCAAAAATTCCATTTCAGCTCCGAGAAGCAAACTTTCGCCTTCCGTGGAATCAACACCTCGTAAAGTTCCTGGAGAGCCAGAACAAGCTGAGGCAATTCCAAATATCGGGTGGCCTAGATGAAGATGCCCCACAATTTGAAGCTGGTAGCTTGCCTGAGCTGTGCACCTTCGATGGGCAACTCCCTTTAGCCACGCAGCTGCTTTCTCTCCCATGTGGCGTTCACCACCTTCGCATACCTTTGGATAGAGACACTAACAAGAAACTTTTGGATTTTATTCCCCATCTTGCTGTCCTCTCTCCAACCCTTCGCTCACTAAACGTCATTCATGTACCCGAGGAATTGTCAGTGGAAACGATCAAGCTCATATCCTCCGTGTGCCCTGACCTTCATTACCTTGGGATTATTCCATTACCAATGACGTTTCCCCACGTAAGTCAATTTTTTTACCTCTTTCATATAGCTTATCTTTATCATTACCATTAAGCGCAGCGTAATTCATGACGCTCTTTTGGCTATGCATAACCTACGAGATCTCGAGGTCGATGTATCTCGATGGTCACCTCTGCCTAATACAAGCTCCCTGCAACGCATGCTCACGACTGAACTCCACATATACTGCCCTTCTATAGAGCACATCATTCTCCGCACGGGAACCAATCGAACATTGTGGTATTTTGACGGAAATGAGTGGAATGTTCACTCGGAAAACGGGCAGCACTTGCTCATCGATGGATTATGGAAAACTAGATGATGTACTGCAGCATGCTTACAATTGAAATCTACTTACGTGACGAAATAGTGTAATCACCAAGTGAGTTCAAATCACCCTGGTGCTGTTTACATGCATATTTACATGACGCAGCCATGCTGATACACACCCGACGGATGTATTATAGAAACACGCTATGCTTATGTATTCACTTCAACCTAAATTGGTAGGGAGTTGTCACCTCCGAGTCAGAACATTTCTTCATGGGATGCGGCATTTCCAGGGCGCATGAATCGAATTGACTACGAGTACGCAGGAAACAACGTGGCCTGGGCCTAAATCTGTTCAAACCGAGTTAACTTCTGCTGCATCCGTCTAGCCCCCTTATTCCGCCCCTTGATCGCCTTTGTAGATTTGGAACGGGGAATTTATCATATTGAAAGATTCCCGTTTCACGGTCCAGTCAACCTGCATCATGGCTCGGTAATATCCGTGCCAACGCTAAGCCACTGTGGCAATACCGGCGTTCACGAGAATGATATAAACCCAATTGAACTGCAGCAAACAGTCATCCAGAGCAATAAGTGATTTCCTATGCAGTACCAGCGCACCAGTTCTTCTTCATCGATGGCATACTCAGACAGGTCGATCTCATCAAGTTCTTCTACTTCATCTCCTCCTTCTCAGCTTGTTGCATTACCGTCCATGACCCACTCTCTGGCAGCTTTGCCAACCATGTCTGCGGTTCCACAAGACATGCTTCATTATTCGAATTCAGGGTCGCACAGCAGAGCAAAGGCAAGTTCTTGAGATGTGCTTTCTCATAGCGCTCATCTGACACGGTGTCTATAGATGGAATATGCTATGCAAAAGCAGAGGCAACATGCGGCCGTGCATCCCTTTGCAGCGCTCACTGTACGCTTGGTCCACTATTCATCGTCACAGCTTTTAATTCCTGTTCATCAGACACATGACACACGACGCACACCCAGTCCGTCGTGCGAGGACGGGCACATTACCGTCCGAAGACAAAACACTACTAGACGTTAGACCGTGATGACAGAGTAAATCACCAGGTTCAAGCTTTCCACGCCCACGCTGATGATCATGTCGCCTTAGGCACACTCCAACCGTTGATTCGGCCACTTGTTACCACGTCACCACCGCAGGGCGGTATGGCTATGGGACGATACCCAAGGATCTATTATAACACCGGACGTTAATTTTGGGATCTAAGGCTACTTTATAATATATACCATTCACGATCACGGGATAAACCCGGATCCAAAACAAAAGTACTGCGGCTTCATCGTCATATACTTACTAATGTATCTATACTTCATATATATGGATGTTCGTATGAATGGTATCATATATGACAAGCCATCTAGTTTGGGGTTTATGTAACGTTAAACCATAACGTTCATTGCCCGTTGCGATGGAGAAGGCTCTCACTCCACAACCTGGAAGAGGCGATGGCGAAGTCAGCAGACAACGGTGTGCCGGTGAATTGCGATCTCAGCGGCACAAGATTTCATTCGCGAGGCCCTCATATCACGGACGATGAGATGTTGGCAGTGCTTTCATGTTTGTAAGTGAAATCTTTGCCTGACTCTGTCTGACTGCAGTAGTGCCGAGAACCAATAGAATAGTAAGCGGGTCGACGAGGCCTAGTCATGAATCTCATGAATTTCATTCGATCCTGGCCGGGCGCCCATCAGCCCTGGGCGGAACGCCACATCCGATGCCACGGAACAACTATTGGGTCCACTAAACGACAAGAATTTGTAGTCCTGCACAAGTCCTGCAAGCAAACCTGGAACGTGTGGGAGGTATGTATTATGTGCGGTACTGGTCTCGTTGAGCTGCTGACCAAAATATATGACAGTCAATTCGGCTCGATATACATGGTGCGGTGAAAAGGAGGCTGAAGGCGCCCGCCGCAAAATTTATTTAAGCTGGCTGCATGAAGACACGGTTCTATTCGGGCTCGAATCTGGGTATGGAGTTGAGGTGGGGCCATCCGGAGGGACTGGAGCTCCTCGTCTTCGGTCATGCATGACCAACTGAACGTAAGCATGCAAAATTGTAGGGCCAGACTTGGGCCAGTGCAACGCGGTGAGGTATGTGCGGAGGAAATTTAGACCCACAGAAGCAGGGCGGTGTTTGATTGGATCGGAAAGTATCACCGCAGACGCCACAGGGTGAACACCGTGAAACCCTGACGATGATCACTGAAACAGTGAAACCCGCTTTAAGTGATGGCGATCGAGCACATTGGCAAGTGGGGTAGATTGCTTCTTCTCGAATTCGCATCTAGAAGCCTGCGGAAAATCAAGTGCAGGCTGCGGCCACGATCGTAGCAAGCTCCGGGTTCTTTAATGAATGTGACAGTGTGATTAAGATGACTTGGCTACGTGAACCTGCACCTCCCTGCGAGTCAGCGCACAACTGTTGATTGGAAACGTAGAAATTGTTTGCAGTTGTTTTCAGCTGTTTAGCAAGGGCTTTAGAATCAAACAACCACCTCGCAAGAATCCTACTGTTTGGATTTGGCAAGTCTCAGATCATAAGTCCTCTTCCCCTCTTCCATGACCCGATATCAGAATCATTGCGAATAAAATCCTGAGTGTTCACTGTGATGCTCCTCCCTCTCACATTCCCGGCATATGCAAGCATTCAGGTCACCTCATTGGGGTCTAGCGGTTCTCCAATAAACGCTATTGAATCCAACTTTAATTCGGAACAAACAGCTTCGTTTGCATCATGGAGAACCGAGGATGGCTTCCATAATACCGCTGTTGGCAGCTCCACAGGGTCTATCGACGTATTCAGTTTCCACCATCAGACCAATACTCCAACCTTAGACTCACGTGCAAGACCCACCATCACACTACCTTCTGAGCACAATTCACCTACCGCCCCATCTTCACCAGGAAAATCTCCCTCGCACTCTCGCCGGCACTCCCGGTCCCTCCAGTCACCCTCGTCGCTATCATTCAATCAAGCTCTAATCAATGTGTCCGCCAGAACGCGAGTGGTTTCTGGCGTGTCACGCGAACAAGTAGAAGCCCCAAAGAACTACGTTGACTTCGATGATGAACCGGGCCGATTGAAGGACTTACTCAAGAGCAGCAGCAAGTACGACAGGCGCCCGCGGGAGCGCACTCTTGCAGATGCAATACTTCCCAGTTTTGATAGAGGTGTGGTCGTGGAGCAGTCTCATGTTCCAGCCTCTCCAATGCTTCTGCCCACCTCATCGACCTCAACTTTAGGTGCTTCTAGTACAAACAAAAACAAGGATGATCCAAAATCACTGCTTTCAGTGACAAATTCTCCAACGTTTTCCCCGAGATCGGTACCGCCGTCTCCTCGTCAACTGTCCCCTCCCTCCGATGGGAGAATAGCTTTCAAAGCAAGCATCATTCTTGATCCTTGCGGACCTGGGAATGCAGCATCTGCCATGCGGCACATAGAGACGGAGGACCTATTGGTGGTCCTTCAAGAATCAGGGTGCGTTCTATCGCTACTAACCTGTATTTGTATTGCACACTAAGCCTCCCAGTAATTTGTCCGCCTGTGACATGCGAGATAATACGTGTGTGGCAACGTGCAAATGCACGACCACAAGGTCATACCAGGATCAGTTTTGGAAATGGGAGGCTATTCGGATGGTGCCTAGGGGGGACGTGCGTCGCTTTGTTGTTATTTTGTGCTTTTACAAAGTTCATTTTTACACCGATGTAGAAAACATACCTCATTCTGGCGTGCGCATCACCCTCGGAGCCTCCTTTTGCAGAAAAGTTCGGCCTTGTAGATGAGCCTCATGATTCCAAAGCGCGTCTGAATCTGTTTGAGCTTTCTGTGGGGGACCCACATAGTATGCATCCAACAAGGTTCGAGAGGCTCGCCTCCGATGACTGGCAAGTCGATGGGCCGGCCGTTGGAGTAGAGTTGCTGATGAATGATGCTGACGGTAGGATGATTTCACTCTCCTAGTTTCGGTATCATTCACCATTCCTCTTCCTTCAAGGTTCATTGCAGCTAGTGTATATTAATTCAACAAACTACCTTGTCACTCGGTGCTTGACTATCATTCCCGAATATGAAATGCGAGCTCGCGCACGGTCCTTCACCTCTTCTCCAGCTCATTCTCAAGATGGTCACAAGTCGTTGGCGATCCCGAACCCGTTCAAAGCGTTTGGTAGTAAAAGTGCCGAGAGTGTCGCTCTCCTGGGTCAAAGTCATAGTTCTGGAACGGAGCAGGAGAGTCCCTCTACTACAATCTCGACGAGCAGCCTTGGGCGAGTCCGGCTGGAGGAAGAAGAATCCAGTGGTATTGTGGTCTCATCTCCAGGGTTTTTGCTTGAAGGCATTACTGTCCGCTATGCTAGTTTGAATGATAGGATAATAGGGCTCGCGTGGTCAAATACAGAGATCACGGTAAGATCTTGGATCTCATCAAATACGCACACCAAGAGCTGAAGGCTTGCTCAAGGGATTCAGTGGCGGAGAGCAAGAAGGATCCGTCACAACCTTCGACGTTTCTTTCAGGAGCCGGGGTAAGATCCAAGGTGTGCATTTCTTGGATGACGAAACATTCGTGGTACTTAGCGTCAGTGCACTCCGCGATACTCTTCAATCAGCGCTGAAATAGAAATCTGATGCAGGATACCATCTCTCACTACTATTTGCGGCGCGTCGATGCCGACAATAACCCCGCAACCTCCTCTTCCGGAACGTCGATAATTACTCAGTATGTATTTTACTCATAGTTTCGCAGTCAAGAGCTCACTGCAAACATCACAGAGCAATTCAAACAATGTCGACCTCTGTTGGCCCTTCATTGATGCTGTCATGGTCAAGATCATCACCTCACGAAGTCCTTGCGCTCAGGCAGCTTCGATCGGGGCAGAAGGAGATTTTCATCCATACTATTAATCAAGATGTCTCGACCAAGCAGCAGCGTCGAAGATTGTGGAGAGCACAGAGTTCGTCTAGTGATACTATTCCGGGAGGCGCAACATTGATGTCTGTTCTGCCCTTGGAACTTAACTTGGTCTTGCTGGGTTACAGTCGGTGTTGATTGTGCTTTCAATGTTCCGGATCCTGATTTTGGATTTCAGGTGATGGTCACATTCGACAAACGTCATTACCATGCCTTTTGCAGCGAAGGCATCATGCACAATCTGCGCCTCTCTCCGCTTTTTCTTCCGTATCTGGCAGTGATGTGTTCTTTGACAAAATGTCAGACATGAGCTTGCCCTCGTCTATATTGAACATGCACCTTATCCGAAATGACCGCACGGGAGAACGATATATCTTGGGAGGAACGGATGATGGTGGTATTGCTGTCTGGGCACTGGCGTATGTCTATCACCCGCATTAACGCGATATAACTCAGTATTATATTCACCAGATCCCTAAAGCTCCAAGCGCGGTTTACCCCGTTCATCGTACCTCTAACGCGTGTAGCGCAGGTTCTGCAATCCAATGAAAGCGCTGGGCCTTTAGGTGGATCGTTGCTGTGCATCTCGGGAGATGGCACTATTGCCGTTGTATCGATGGAAGGCTTTGAAATGTGGGCTTCAATCAACGAGGCAGGTTATACGACCTAACTGATTTGATCTAGGCTCTACCTTATTCCTGGGGCATCGTCTCCAATAGCCTGCGTCTATGCAGGTGGGGATGACAACAATCGTGCAGTATTGATCTACGCAGATGGGACCGCACGTGTCTGGGACATTGAGTCGGGTGAATTCCTTCGTGCAACGACCGGAGAGAAAGCCAGAGAGCTTGTCGATGCTGGAGGTTGGAACAGCATGTAAGCATCCCTTACCTACTCAGTATAGAGCCTGACGATGTCTCAAGTTCCCTCGACAACTCGGAGGTGACCTCCATCTCCATTTCAACGCTTAGCGGATCTAGTGGGCCTGTTTCACGTATGTTTTCTTTCTATCAACGTTATTTGGGCATCTGACAGTTTAATTGATCTTACGCCCTCAAGTGTGCACCCTGTTGTTGAGTCTAGACCGCTTCCTGAAATACACCTCCGTGAATGTCAAATCATCGGGACATGCGTTGCCATCATCAACTACCCCTTCAAACGCTACACTTGCGCAGCTTCGTGCTGTACTGTCCGTATTGCTGACGCCTGGACTTAGTGCTGACATAGACGAGATCTGCGAAAATAGGCTGGGTACTAGTCCATCATCGAGTACGGTAGGGTTTGCATCGTACGTCAATTGTCATCCTACCTCAGCGCGGAACCATCTAAGCATTGTGTCCAGTGCGCTTGCCGCCACCATCTACCACCATGATCACGCCATCCACGCTTGGACAATGTCAGCAAAAGTATCTGCCGAACGTGTCCTCGCGATCGTCTCAGTCTTGAGGACATTATCCCTTGCCGAAGGTTCGTATATTCCATCCATGCCGTCCCATTCGCCCCTGAATTCGCTTGTCTAGAGCTGTCGCATGACTGCCAAACGGTTTTCACATTCTACTCTACTTCTCTAGCCCACGTCGTGGGTGCGTCATACCAGGCACCGGACGTTGCATATCTGGCTACACAGTGGTTCGACTCGTCTAGTGGGTCATCCATCACTATATAGGGCGACGTTGACTAAAGCGCTTTGGTCTTGCAGATGACGTACGGCAAGCCGCAAAAACCCTTTTTGATGCAGGGATCGTGCGTCTTTCGGACGAGGAGAGCATCGCTCTCGTTGATGCATGGCAACATCACTGTAAGCTGATGCACATCTACATCGTTTTACAATCTGTTTGACATCGATACAGTGCCATGCTTGCAGCCCTCCATCGAGAAGGAATCTGCGAAAGCTTCGCTCGCTTTGTTCATTTGCGGATATATGGCAGCTGAGAAATACAGTCTATTGACTACCAGGTAAACATCTCATCCTCTTCGTGATAGCCACCCATAACCATTCATCATGACGCCCTAGCTCACTCGTCGACATCTCCAAGTCCATCGCGTTATATCTACACGACGAAACATCTGCACACCGTGGTCTAGCCATCGACCTATGCGCACGCGGATTTCAGATATGGCAGCATTACATCGATGCCATGGCAATGCTCCGCGCGTTATATACCCTTGCTACGAATGCACGCAAGGAAGCCATCCCAGCCCAAAACATCGGGCCTCAAGCACGATTTGCAGTCTTACAAATCGCATCGAGCAATACGCCTTTGTTCATGACTACGCTCACACTAGACATTCTCAATCCAAAGACGCTGGACCAGCGGAAAGCAGTGATGCAACTGGTGGCGTTCATGATCAGGAAGGTACGTGTCGGGACTGTAGAATGGTTCATCGGGTTTCTGATGTTTCGTTGTACAATCAGAGACCCCTGATTCTGTACCCGAATCTCCCGAGGTTGATGGAGGCCGTGGTTAAATCACTAGACCCCAATTCGACAGCGAGCCGTGACGCCGTGTTAGACAGCGCCACGGAGATTATCGGCCATGTGGTGAAGACGTGAGCCGACTCTTCTTTTTCGTGCCGTAGGCTTCTGTGCATATGGTGACCTATAATTCGACCAGGTTCCCCACAGTCGACTTCCACATGGCGACTCAACGACTTGCCGTTGGAACGAGCGAAGGCGCTTTCATTATGTATGATCTAAAGACGGCAACACAGCTATATGTGCTCGAAGGACATAAACGGCGACCGGCGGCATGTACATTTTCACCTGACGGACGCCGCCTCGTGACTATGTCCCTTGAGGAGGGCGTTGTACTCGTTTGGAAAGTTGGCTCAAGCTTCACGAGTTTCTTCAACCCAGGGGCTCCACCCAGACAAGGTCATGGTGGTTCTCAGCCATTCAAAACATTGAATTTCAACGTTGGCGACGAAGGTATGTCACGGTGTGTTCTTTTTGTTGCCTTACTCACGCACTTTCTAGCCAATATGACTATCGCGGGCACATTGGAGTGGGTGAGGTTTGAGTGGCCAGCCGAACGCTCCGTCCGTCTTCACATCCGAGAAAGCGTCCTAACGTTTAGTACGTAACCCACGGAATGTCATGATATATTACATTGCAAAACAAGACATCATTGTATATCGATTGTTCGTGAAAAGACCCAAAATCAAGTAGAGTTCCTGGGACGTTCTAATTCTCAAGCCGTCAGATCACATGCATCTGGCCTGAGCGCACACCATTGGGGTTGGAGTGGGATGGGGTTGAGCCCGCGCTGTACCATCCTGTAGCGGACGTCCTGGGTTGTGCATGTGTGATTAGTCATTTGAGGTGTGAACAACTGGAGGAAATACTAACATGCAAGCGAGGCAACGCCTCGGTGACGTTTAACGGGGCGCCGCTGGGCTGCTTAGCGCTCCAGAAAATCTCCGCTGATGATGCAGCACGCGGCCAAATGATAGGGTCCATATTTTGAGGTCCGGACTGCTCGCTCCACAAAAGTTGCTCGCCTGCGAATCAGAAAGCGTCAATTCGGATCATCTCAGGACTGGATCATGCGTGTTTACCTCCGAGAACCAGTTGGTACTGTGCCTCAGTCAAGTTTGCCAAGGGATCAAAGGTGTAGGCCTAAAATGCTGTGAGACGAATGATCATCGGGAACAATCATGAAGCGGTACCTCAGACCAGGTCTTGAAGGGGTCGCACCAGCTATTTCTGTTTTCCCGAGAGATGTCAGTTCAGGTCGAACGAACGATAAGATGAGGACCGACCCAGCAGGGTATGCTCCCACCCATCCACCAGCACCACAGTCCTAGGATGATAAGATAAGGATGTCTCGTCTGTGGGAATAAACCGGCAACTAACCAGGTAGAAGTAGTTGGATGGTGCATGGATGATCCTGAAGCCTCTTTCTGCCACTGCTAGAGCATCCTCGGAAGAAATCCAGACCCTGACGTGTACAGTTGAATCAGCTGAACTTGAGTTTGCTTTCGATATGCTCACATCACGATAGTCTCGTTGGCGAGTGTAAGGTTCCAGTTCAGGACCATTTCTGAGTGACCGTCTCCATTGAAGTGCTGAAATTCACGGAGAAATAGCAGACGCACCTTCCCATACAACCGGCGTCTTTCCCATGGCCATAAGTGCAGCATGAGTAGTCTGCGTAAACGTGTCCAGAGCACCATTCAGCGTCATGCCGGTACTGTTGAGTTGCAGTTGCGTGGGATAGTCCTCGGCGTAACATTCGGTGTTCAATTCGTCACCCCCAGTGCTAAAGTAGTACGAAGGCACGGTCTTTGCGACGTCAACGAGCAACGAAGTAGTGAAGTTCACGACCTCGGGGAGTGCGAAGCGAAGCTGACCAGCAGGTGGCTCGTTGGCGTAGGTTGCCCACGGCGTGGAGTCGAAGCACGCAATGTAATCAGGGTAAGTGGCCGCAATGATAGAAGTGTGGCCGGGCGTGTCGATTTCCTGGTGGAATGATGAGGTTTTCTTTGCGAGAATGACTAATCAATACTGACCATCATAACATCAATACCTCTCTGCGGGATGACCATAAGCGGATAAAGGGGTATGATAAAGGGAAAGACGTACTGCACCAGCATACTGAACGATGTATTGTACATCACTCGCGGTATAAACTTCTGCAGGGGAGTATGCACCGTTGATAGCAAGCTCGGGGTATTGTGCAATTTCGAGCGGGAAACTTTGGCTGTCTGTGATATGCCAGTGGAAAGTGTTGATCTGTCTAACGTGTCAGGAATCACAAGATGACACATCAGGAAAGCACTCGCCTTGACCCAGCTCATCGCGTCCAAAGTCCGCAGAATATCGCTAACGGGGTAGTAGTTCCTCGCGGTATCCAGCGCCAATCCTCGGAAAGGCTATATACATGAGTTTCAAGCAGCTGACATGAAAGATAGCTGCTCACATATGCCGGAGTGTCCGTAATGGCAATTGGGGCGAGCAAGGTGTAGGTTACTCCACCATAGTAGTAGAAAATCTGATTGAAGGTAGTGAGCCCTCTGTACAGGCCCAACGTCGAGTTCGCCGTCAAAGTAGCAGCCGAGCCGTCTGCTGGGATTGTCAGTGCGTACTCCTCGCTACGGGTGCCCAGGGGCTTCACAGCTTCAGAAGCAATAGGCTCCGCAGTAGCCCCACTCGTGAGAGAGAGCGTCAATTTCGAAAGCATCTTCGCGCCAACAAGGGCTGTAGTGTCATTCGCGCCGCGGCCGACGACGAGACGTCCAAGTTGGTCGGTTTCGAGATAGTATTGCGCTTGCGCGACCGCCTCATACAAATCCACTGGGGCGCCTTCAACCTGCACGTCAAAGTAGAACGCAGGGGAGACCTTGAGGGCGGTCATGCCGGTCTCGAGATTGGTTGGGATGGGCCAAAGACCCAGGACACCAGAAGGCAGAAGGCATCCGGCGACAAGCGCCAAGAGGCCAACGCAGCGAGAAGGGGCCATCGTCAATGATATCTTGCGAGTCAAAGACGCAACCGGTCCAACTGCTGCTCCTTATAAAAAGCCCAGAAAAGCCCAGTCGGAGGGGATGATGATCATGTGGATGCTCAGCACACGCGTACGTATCACTAAAATTAATAGGAGCGACTTTAGAATGGCCGTTGTGAGAGCGGCGCGAGGGTAATCTTACATATTAGGAAAGTTACTGTACCTGCTTTGCATAAATTCCACGGTACGTCCAGATGATAGATAGCATTCAAATACTCCATCTATCATGAACTGATAGCTAAACAGTTCATGAACCTGCAGCTGGCAGAAAGGAAATAGGATAAGTTTCATGCCACACGGATGACTTTAACGTCGTAACGAATATCGAATGATCAGGTTGTGGGATGCTTCATCGCGTAAACGCGTCTGTGGCACAGTCGCGCCTCCCGAAAATCATGTGATGAGTCTTTTCGACGCGCTTGCGGCAGGATCTGATCAGTCAAAGAGCCGTGACTGAAAATATCTTGAAGGGCAGCATGGTTTGAGCATGGTGTTTGAATATATTCTGGATCCGCAAGTCACCTCAAAGCCAAGCAGGTACAGCGGTGATACTCAGTACTGCAGCAGCCAACTTGGGGTTGTTGAACACATGGAATACGCTGAAGGAAGAGCGCATTACGCGATTGAAGAGACTACAGATTCCAAACGCGATGACAGCGGCTCAAATCAGCGAGTGAAAATAGGTCGTATTTACGAAAACACTCCCACAATGGCATATGATGATTCCGCATAGACCACATCATTGCTCGCTTTCGCATTTTTGGCCTTGCTTTCTGATCAGTCAGATGTGGTCAGACATAAACTTACTGCGTACATCAGCCTAATCAGTCCGGGACTGATTTGTACTATCACTTGCTGTGACAGAGTAAGTAATTACAACAAGAGTTACAAGATCATACGTGCGAGCGGAACGGGGAAAGCATAAGTAAAATGGTAGGCAGGAAAGTATGCGCTTGGACCATGGGCTTGGATTTTGGCAGCATTTGGTTAGGCATGCAGTTGAGAACGAGAAAGGAGGAGTGTAAACCCTTGTCGGAATCTGTAGAGCTGGGCTCTCAACAAGAGCGTTCGAACAATCTCTAGATGCGGTGTGAGGATGCAGTATACCGACAGAGTATGGATTACTTACTGCAAATGTGACAATATGATGAATGGGTATCAAACTAGATACCCATGTGAATGAACACGATCTCCTGTTCCAGTGGAATCTTGTGCAATGCTGCCACAGCACGTGTGCAGTCCAACCTTCCTGAACCATCAATCAGGTTGCCATAAAAAGCAGACACCATCTGCCGTGCAACATCGTCATCGACAGACCACATTGAACAATTACACTGCGAAATCCTGAATGTTGCATAGCCGCAGCGAGATGGATCGACTCATCGGGACTCTTCTCATCCCCAACGGTAGTGTGGCAGGCTGATAAGAGTGCGAACTCCGGATTCTGCCAGTGAGATTGGATGATGTCCTTTATCGTCAAGGGCCCGTCGCGCATCGCAAAGGAAGACTCAAATGCCTGTCGTTGATTCGGCATTCCGTGGCAGGCCAAGTGAAGTCATTGATTCTGGCTTAATGCATCCAATGCTCCCTCTACTGTTGCATGGCTGTCCGCAAGCGATGTGAAGGGCGCGGTGGTCGCAACGTGCTGAGCGATGCATCGGAGTTCCTTCCCCCTGTCCGGGTTTGTTTGACCAATGGCAACAAAATGTTGCGGGGGTGCATCTTGAGAGACCTGGTGTCTCGCACGAATGTGGGTTGCCAAAGTCGGGGTGTAAGAGGAGATGTAGATGTGAGACAAATTGTCCTTCTGCTTCTCGTAGGGTCCTGCTGCATGTAGAGGAAGCAGCGTGAATTCAGCCGTGGGACACCACCAGATACGCGAGCCAGGGCGAACATTGAACTCCCTGAAAATTTGGACCACAAACTCGACAACATCGCTCCAAAGCTTGCGGAAGATGTTGACAAGCTTGAGTTTGATGATTGGAAGAACCAAATTGCTCAACAAGGGGACAACTCAGAGACTTCGGTCTGCACAATATCGAATAAAATGTGGACAGGATCTTGGTCTTTCGAGATAACCAAGGAATCACAGCTGTACTGGCAAGCGTTGACAATGATGATTGGACCGCTGTCCGGAGGTCGGGGAACAACGGAGGCAGGAGAAACCGAGGAAAATCGGGGAGCATGCGGACGCGTGAGATAGTAGCATCCCATTGCATGATCAGTTGTCGGATTTGCAGGGACTGGTCTTCAGGAGGCTGATCAAATGCGTTACGAAGACCAAAGCTGAGCCGCTTGAACTCTTCCGCCAAGGCTGTCCCGGTGCCACCTGACAGGGAAAGTTCGTCGAGCGGCGTGCGGAAGCGTGCCAACTGATCCAGAAGACTGTACGGCCCTGCTCCACCTGTTCCACAGCAGTTGTCAATGCACCATTATGAACACTGCACGAGAAAGCATCCGTGGCAAGGGAGGAAGTTGCCTCCCGGACCATGTTAAAATGGCGTGAAGGAGATGATAAAAGGGCAACGTGCCGATCGAGAAATTGCGGTCTGATAGGCAACTAATGCAGAATCATGCTTCAGCTTGTCGGCGGAGGTCGCCCATGACTTGGCAGTAGTAAGATCAGTACAAGAGGCTGCTTGCGATAGGTGAGAAGTTTGCGAAAATAACCTAAATGCTTGATCCAGGTCGGACGGGATGCCATGCTACTGGAACCTGTCTTGAAGGCTGATAGCAAGATCGTGGAGAGACATAGATCGAGCAGAATGTCCAGGGGAAAAGAGGAGAAGCGCAGCCTGATGGAGTTCAATGGCCTCATCGAGGTCAGACGGGATGCCACGCTGCTGGAATCTGTATCGAAGGCTGAGGGCAAGAGCGTTGGAGAAGTGGTTCGAAAATAATGACCAGTGGGACAGAGGAGTGGTGCAACTCGATGTAACTCATCAAGGTCTGACAGCAAGATTGTTGAGGGATGAGGATGGACCGGAATGACCCGGGGGACATAGGAATAGTGCACCAGGTCTGACGGGACGCCCCGTCATAAAGACACGTAGAACGATCAGGATGATCAGAGGGACAGCGCTGCTCGAGACTCCTCCACAGTCTGTTGTGCTATCGGTTAACAACTGCTCCATCTTACTGTGAAGGGTCTCGCAATGAATGCAAAAGTAATATCAGAACAAAAACTCGTGCAGAGAGCAGAAACTGCAGCACTGGCTGACACTGAAAACATACAAGGGAAATAACACGGGAGCCCAGGGCACAGAGAGGTTGTGGCACTTATCTATAGACTGAATATCGCTGATCAGTGGGTGCTCAGCGCTCAGCGCTGAACACGCGCGCACGGAGCGCTAAAAATAACAGGAGCAACTTTGGAATGGCCATTATGAGAGCGGCGCGAGGGAAGTAGTTGAAAGTCAGCGTATGTGCTATGCATCCAAGGCTCCAAGCAAAGATAGCATTCAAATACACGCATCTGTCACGGACTATGGATATCGAAGGGTCAAAAAGTAAAACCAGCGAGCTGCCTTGACACGTAAACGCGTCTGTGAGGTCACGTGTTAGGTTGGTTCTCAACGTGCTTTGCAGGCAGGATCTGTTGTCAGACGTCAAGGATTTGAACATAACGAGACAGGGGAGTATGGGGTCTAGACAGATCTTCGTGTCTGAATCCCAGGAGCGCTACTTACATACTACAACTGGCATTGTTGAGCGCGTCCATGGAATGCGTCCAAGTAAGAGCTTATCAAACAATCGACACAGATAAATTGCAACTCATGGCCGAAGAGACTACGGAAGACGAGAAAATAGTGGGGCGAATCAGGGAGTGAAAACAAGTGCTATTTACGAAAACAACACTCCCAGACAGTTGGTGCTCCCACAATGGCACTGCGCGTAGACCGCATCATTGTTCGCTTTCGCATTTCTGGCCTTCATCATCTGATCGGTCGGACTATATAGTTAGATCGGTGCTACACCGGTAATGAATAACGTACCGTGTCATCATCAATGGTGCCCATGTAGGAGAAAGACAGCTCCTCGAAGGGTTCGACTTCTCGCTTCGTAAAGACCGTCAACAGTGGCTTCTCGATACTGCCTTCGTTGATGTAGCACGCTACAATTTCACAATTTGGGTTACAACTGTGATTCTGCATAGAACGACGTCAGCTCTGTACAAAAATGGAAAAAATAGGCTTGCAAGAAAACGGGTGAACTACAAGACAGACTGTCAGAGAGAGCAAAGGAACGATCATTACAGGAACGAACATTTCCAGCATGGTAAGCATCCACCGCGTACGTTGGGTCTTCTTCACCCAGATGATGGAAATCGATGTCAAAGAGGTAAGTCCGTCCGAACTTGTTGTATAGCCTAGCCGACGGTTAAGACCACATATCTCGCCCATACACTGGGCACTCACGCTCCACGACGATCAGCTTCATCAATGGTCAGCAGCTCGCCAGCATAGATACCCATAAAGGATCCCTTAGGAATCCTCTTCTGGGCATTAAAGATACCTGAAAACAGTCAATGATGTCATATAAAGCAAAAACACTAAAATCTCACCCCATCCTTTATGTTCTGTCCTCTTGATATTGACAGCATATCTCCTACCCCTCTGGACGACCTAGAAATTCAAAGGTCAGCAATCCAACAAGAACGTGCAGACAAACGCGCCATACCCGATTCGGACAATCGTCATCGCACCCACAGAAATCGTTGCACTCAAAGATCGGCATTCCTGACCATTGAAGACACCCCTTGCTGTCATACACAAACGGCGCGCCATTCCAGCTCTTCGGTATAGTACCATCGGCAATATATGGCTTTAAATGATGGTGCTGCTGCTTCACACACCCACACGTCTTAGACTTGGGATCGCATCGCCCGACGCAACTGCAGCTCTTCAGATTCTTCATGTCAGGCGGAGGAACGCCCTGCCCATACCACATCTCATTCGTATACACGAACTCCCAAGGTGGTGCGCCTTCGTCTGTGACGTCGTTGACGACAGATATAGGAGGCGCTTCGAGCTCATTGTCCATCGCTTCGTCGATCATCGCCTCGAAGAGCACCGCTGCCTGAGGCGAGTCTCTATACGATTGAGGGAGGGCATTGACACGGTCTTGGAGCTCATGAGGAAGGTCCTTTGCGAGACGGTACTTGGGTGGTAGTCGCCGTCGTGCTTGCGAATACGACTCCCACGTCACAACGGGGTATCCACCCATATAAGATTCGACCCCGTCTTCGAGCTGCTTTACGGCGACGGCATCACCTCCATCTCCTGCGCCAACAGCGCCCACAAGAGACTGAGAAAGATGTCTTGAAGAAGCCTGTGAAGATACTGTCCGACTGCTACTGATGGAAATCGGATGATTTGCGTCTCCTAACTGCAAAGCAAGGATAAGAAACAGTAGACGTTTCGCCACGAACGAGCAGCCGTACCTCTCCATCTGAAACCTCTAATTGCATGATCACTGAAAGGCATTCCTGGTCGCTATCGCCCGACTCACCCATCGACGCAGAGCTTGCCCTCGTCTGCTCCGCTGATGCATCTCGTCTTCTCGTAACTAAATTGTCGCCTTCTTCGTCAACATTGTGGTGCTCATCCACAGAGACCGGAGCTTGCTCTACGCTCTCAGCCGAAACGTCATCTACCAACATCTCCAGTGACTCGAACTCCCGGTGTTCTATCAATTCGGAAGACACTGGGACAGCTCCGAGGTCCCCGTCTTCAAATATATTTTCCAGAGGCGAAGTGTCCACCTGATGAAACATGTCAGACTGTCGGTTTCACCTGGTGGACTCCACGAGAGTTTGTACGTACCTGATCAACACTGGTCTTTGCTTCTGATGATCGGCTGTGTTCATGTAGATCCAGAAATCCAATGCTCTCCGTGACACCTTGTAGTCCTTCCGATCGAAGCATAACATCTATTATGTCATCTGGGGGAGATGCGCCTTCGTGCGTAAGATGTGTTTCGGCCCCTGTGTGCTGGACTTCCGTTTCTTGCTCCATAGGATCAACAAATGGTGAGGTGATCGACGTAGCTGTAAGTTCCTCAACTACGTCAGGCTGCGCAAAATATCGACCATGAACTTGCGGAGAAACCGAGGGCGGCGGATCCGAAGCAACAACGTCAGGACCAGTACTACGAGGGCTAGGCGACTGAACAGCACGCCTGGTTCTCCGGCCCTCAGACGGTGACAACGAATGATTGCGCACCAATACCCCAGCTGTGGGTGTGATAATGCGCTTAAACGCATCTGCATTACACGAGGTCCTCTTACCACTCCGTGGCGTCATCTTTTTCGTTGACGCAGGCTGGGATGTGTCTGGGATGGGCGAGATGAACATTTCCAGACTCGCCATGCCTATCGAACGACCCTTCCTTCTCGAGCTGGCTTTGGAGCCGCTTTGGTTGCTAGAGGATGTTGAATTGGATGTGAGGGAACGAGGGGGAGAGATATCGGGGCCAGATGCTGCAGATGAAGTGCTCGGGTTGCTGGCTATTGAAGAGATGCTGAGCTTGCTGCTGGATGGACGCTGACGCATGAGATCGCGGATTTCCTGTATGCTCGGCGTACGAGTCTCAATAGACGGAGTTGGCTGGCCGGCTGAGGCCGGGACAGCAGGCAATGAAGACATGTTCGTGGACGTAGGATGTGGATATTGCACAGATTCTTGTGGCTTCGATGTAGACACACTGGGTGCCTGATTATCACCACTCGAAGGTGACACGTCGTCCGTGAGATCGATGCATTGGCCAGAGCGACGCAACCTGAAGTGCTCCTCTCGTCTCTTGTTGATTAACTCGGTGAGTGAGAGTTTGGCGGTAGTGCGTTGCACGCGTGGTGGGACAGGAACGGGACGGGACGGGACGGGGATGGAGGGGGGAGGCGCGGATGTTGATGGTGCTGGTATGTCCGACGTGGTGATGGGGACATTCATGGATGGAGGTTCGGACTGGGTTTGAGGTTCGCGAGCGGAAGGTTGGTCGCTAGGAGTCATAGGAACACTGATATTGTCGCATGATTCTGTTTGTGGAAGCTGGAGGGACGCGTCTACTGCAGCTTTATCTGCAAGTGTTGGCAAAACACTCCTATCATCGTTACGAGGTGGAGATTTAACAGATGAGGGTGCGTTGGAAGCCTGTTCATCTACCAATGACGCGGGTGGGGTGTTTTTTATGGACGACCCAACAGCGGCTGGTGAAGCAACTGGAGCAGCGGGAGAAGTGGGCACGATGGGTTCACTAGATATCTGTACATCCGAGGGTAGAGTTTTTTTCAACACCTTTGCATTAAAAGCAAGCGTTCTAGCAAAAAACGGGTTGGTGCGGGGAGGAGTATAATTCCACGTAATCGAGGGTTTGGTGACGGCAGCGTGCGTCTGGGACGGAGCTTGTGGGACGATTATTGAAGTTTTGGAGCCCGATGACGACTCTAGACGAGGAACAGTATCGGCTCCGTTAGGTTGAGAAGTTATCCCGACCGGAACCATATCAATCAAGGAAGTCTCGGTTGCTTGCTCAGAGGGTGGAAGGCTGGAATCAGTGGGCAAGTCAGGGGCTGGAACATGTGGGTCCTGAGCAGTATTAGGGGCGTCGTGAGCAATCGGACTATCGATTCGATCAGCGTTATCTGGTTCTGGGGATCCAAATCAATATACGAAAACAATTCCTCTGTTTGACGTTGCAGTTCTGAGCTTGCAAGTCCTTCGTCAAAGTTGGATTCAGGTTCCATCGGTACATAGAACGAGTCTTCTGGAACTTGAAATTCGAGATCGGGCAGTCGCTTCATTTTCTGGTTCCATAACCATCGGAGATGGCGAAGGTAGGCGAGGATTGGGTGCCTGAATGGGAAGAACAACAGTCGTTGGCGGGGGAGCAGGTGCATTGTCATCATCACTGTCTGATATGCAAATAACTTCAGCATCAGCAGGAGGTGGATGTCGAGGGCCTGCGTTGCGGGAAGTCGGCTTCTGCGATGGCTGAGGTTGTCTTGGAGGAGTGCCTCCATCTGAGCTCAAGATGATGATGGTATCGTCATTGCGGATCATTCTTCGTCTCGCAGAATCCGAAGAGTCAGTGAGCTCAATGACGTCTCTAGTGGGCGGAGGCAGGAACCCTCTACCAGAAGCTGGGTGAAGACATTAAGGGTGGATGCAGACGGGAAAGTATGTAGCTGACCTCTTCGCACACGAGTGGCAGCAGCAGAAACGTCAGAACCACCTTGTCACGTCGCGCACTTATTAATACACTGAAGTATACGATAGGGAGGGAAAACGTACTGCTGGACTTCTGAACTGCGCGAAAAAGGTCTGAAGTGGATACTCTGAGGCCTCCAGTAGTCTTGCGAGCTGTCTTGCGAGCTGTCTCCACGCGCTTGTACCGCGTCTTTTGCTTCTCGAGCATAGTTGATATATTATCACCCAGCGAAGAGGTTGACCCCCCGCTTGACGCACGATCTTTGCCTTTCTCAGGACGCGCAGGTTGGGACAAACAAGAGGAACGGGATTTCTTGGCGATATTAGGAGGTTGTGTTAGACTACTAGGAGCAACACCATTCGTTCGTTTACCAAACGACACTTCAGCACGATTCTCGCGCTGATTACTATCATTGAAACGCGGAACCTTCTGGAGCCTCGGAACGGAAATAGGGCTCTCGATAGCTTTTCTCTTCCCTGGGGGTGTATTTGAGTTATCTTCTTCGTTGTCGGCGAGATCACTGGCAGGGTCAGATCGCGTTGTGGGTGTAGGGGAAGTGCTTGGAGGCTCTTGCATCGAATGAGCCGTAGAAAATTGACAGTTTAGAGGATATGTAACATTACCTGGCAGTACTGTCCAGCTTGGGCCAGGACTGGGTCTCAGCATCTCCTTACTAAACTCGGCCAAGTCAACCAAGTACTCCGCGATCCAGTGTCCCGCGGGTACAAAATTTCAAAAGCGTTGAAAAAAAACGAACAACGCGATGCTATGCGATGTCAAATCTACAGCACGTACAGCTGCACAGTTCACTGAATCAACAAGACTGCAAACAACATTTTCGAAGCACGGACCGCATTGTCTGGACCTACATTATTATGTAACCACTGGACCAATATAATTCTATGTAAATATTGGTCCCTATTTGTGAGCATCTGCACACATACGCTGATACGATGTTCATTTGTTCCACAAACCGACAGTGATATGACCCTCTTAGCAACCTGATTCTCGAGCATTTTTCGCTTTAAAACTATGCTGAACCCACGGCCTTCACGTACTCGCAGCGTGAATCAGCAATCTGCTGATGCTGACAGTAATTTTGATGCGCTCATAGATCTACTCGCATCGGATGATATTCATAATATCGCAGTAGCCAATTCCTCACATAGCCCTCATCCCACCGTCGAACTACGGGACGCATCGGGCAAACTAGATTTTAACAAGATCCGTTTGATGTTCGCAAAACAAAATTTAGGCGCTGATGGAACCGATAACATCTTCCCCGATAGCCACTTAGAGATCCACCGTTTGCGTGCGCAGCATGGGAACGACGTGCAGGATGTATGTATATTCTGTCATACCACAGCATTTGTTACTGATGGTCCCAAGGCACTTGGCGGAAGTGGTCTCTCCAGGTCTGTGTCCCCGTCAAGTCAGTTCTCTGAACAGAGGCGGCAGGGTTCACGTCTGCCCTCAGCCGGTTCTTCCGAACCACTGGATCAGATTGTTCAGAATAGGACCACACTGGTACAACAATCCCCATCGTCAGCTAGGGCATCACGCTCTTGTTCCTCTTCAGACGAGTTAGTTCGCATCAGATCTGATGAGAAATTTTTTTCCTCCCGGGACGAGCTACCGAGTTCGCAAATTCCCACAGTAAATCCTACACTGCACACTCAGACACCACCTCATCAGGTATGTTCCGAACGTATCTAATGCGAACTCCTCAATTCATAACAGTAGAGTAGTTCTACAGAGAAATATGCCACGAGGACCGCGGGACTAACTGCACCGCTCACGACACCCACAACTTTACGCGCGGTGAGTCCCTGTACAGCTCATTGTTCGCCCTGATCCTGAATCTCTGCATCTGCGGTATGGTAGGATAGGGTCCAAGATCTGATTAAGCCACTTCAGTTCGAGCATTTGAATCACGAGTTCTCACACGCTACCTCCGAAGTCAACGCTCTCCGCGATAATTATGACAACCTCCGAACCTTGGTCGCGGAGCGGCTTTTCCCGTTGAAGAGCTTACAAGCAGAAAAACCTTGTGTTCAGCCTTCCGGGGATCATGACATTATTTCGTCCCAGGCACAGGCATCTGTAACGCCACAAGGACTTAATTCCACTTGTTCAGGATGAGATCTCGCGTCTTTCTGAACACTAAGGCCAAGAAAGGTTCTTACCGTGAGTTTCAAGGTTAGGTTTCTTGTAATGCTCATGTCACAATCTCATCAGGAACTGATCGCATCACTACAATTGTCTGCTCATTCAGTGATAAACCTAATTTCTGAATGTCAGAATGAAGGTCCGGACGTTGTTCGTCCACAGCCCAGTGTCAAGGACATCAGGTCTTCCATGGACTTCTTGGCTAGTGTCGATGAGCTGGTATGGAAACGGTCTATGTTGGTAAATGGCGATGGTCTGGATCCACTCTATTCGAGCACGAATGCAGATGCTCTCCTACAGCGGCTAGAACTAGTGGGAGAAAGCTATCAGAAGCCCTCACAAAAGAGCTGGAGCCCTTGATGGCGTCTCGGAAAAGAATCGGGTTCACAACTCACGTCTCCGTGGTTGTAGTGTAACAGCTGCTTCTGGACGCAAGTTTGAGAGGCTCCACGGCCCCGCATGGACGGCACTTCCGGCATTTTGATGGATTTGAAAGAGGGGTGTTCACAGGTCAGCTCTTCTCCCGCGAAGAATCGTCTTAGTTTATTTTCAGCTTGAATAATAATAACGCTATCCCATTTTGGAGCCTCCTCCCTTACCGTTCTTTCTTATATCAAATAAGTTGAGACTCAGCGTGGTATGTACTGCCCCAGAATGAATAAGTATTTAACGCGATGTGAGTACTTACCGCTCACCAACTATGCCCCCCCTCCGCACTCCCCTCTTTGCCATCGCGATGAACGTCCGCCGTGCCGAAAAAAATGCTGGTGGCCTGCAGTGGCAACTTGTTATCGGTATCGTAGCTGGTTTCCGTAAGTACCCCCAAGCGCCGCCGAGCTCCCGACATTAAAGTTGACTTGGCCAATGTGCCGATCCCACAGTGTCGATTCTGTCCGTCATCTATCTCCTTCACTTATTATTCCAGCCCCGTTTAAACATCCACCGTCGCGTCTTCGGTGAGCTGTTTGTTCCTTATTGATATATATACACATTTATTAATATATCTGCTGGCACCAGGATATGTGCTGCCGTTAGGCAATCACCGTGCCTCGAATTCTGTTACTGAAAGTGAGACGTCGAATTCGTCACCCGACCTCTCGATGGCGGCGACTCCCGCTCTTCCTCCTCCTTACACAGCAAGACCAACCACAGCTTCCTTCTACGCAGTCCCAATTCCACCTCAGTCGCACCAGAGAGAGCCAGTACGCCACCCGCGGAAGTGCCACCCTGCGCCGCGACGCCACGTAGATGAGCCCATTGCAAGGGGATGACATCAGTCCTGAACACTGTTGCTGCGGACGTACGCCACGTCCGACTGTCATATGTTTTGGGACGCTTCGGATGCATCCGTTACTTCTTGAGCGAACTCGTGCTCGCTCATTCCCGAAATCGATGATTCCCACCGGAGGATACTCGTCCGCGCCCCAAGACCGACTCCATCATTATTGAATATCATCCGTGGCCTGAGTCCCCCTTCACTCCAGTAGATGGCGAGCTATCCACTTAGATGCCTTGGCATATTTCATTCATTCGCTTTGCGAGTGCAATTCAATGGACGTATGTCTTCTCTTTCTCCATGGTCTACGGACTTTTGTTCCCCCTCACCGCATGGTTCACATACATACCCCCATTCGCCTGCTAGTGCCACCGATTAGCTCCAACTTCTTTACTTACTTATACATACACTATTATAGGGCTGCTCCTGAGTCTTCTGTATGTCCCGTACGAGGCTAGCCGAGCGACACGTTTTTGTCGCAGGATAGGACCTGCTTCATACCTAATCTAGGACGTGTGCTTATGATTGATAGTAATATCTGACAGCCCTTTGTAAATTTAAATACTATGTGGATATGAAAGCCGCGCAGACGTCATGGTTGTTCTTAGCTTAGCTAGTACGATATACAAAACATTATTAACCAAAGTTATACTGGCAGTGGCAGGCGATTCCATTCCTTTTGCAAAGTTACAGAAGTTCCGTTGGCAGAATAAATCTCGCATAATTTTAATCGGGGGCATATTGCTAATAACACTTCGTATATGTGGCAGATTCCGGCACGCTGTGTCGTCCGTTACTCTATGGACCCTTATTTTCCTTATCTTAAGCTGAGTGAGCTTCTACTTGCTACCACATATGTGGATTATTCGTCTGTCACAGCCCCTTTCACTCAATAACACACTGTCAATCTCCGCCAACAAAATATGCGGAAGGGTTCGGAGGGAAATTGCCCCAGGTTCTGTGGTTTCTGGGGAACATTCTCAAAGCACCCACTTGATACTCGGGCGGGTAAAAGGACCCTGAATACTTCTGATAACTATGGTGCATGTTCGCAAACGTGCTTTCCGGGCGCAGCAAGCTTCGAGGGGCAGTGATTTTCCATATTTTCCGACATACCTGCGTATCTGGACAAACAAGGTTACCCGCTTCTTCTTGGACTTCATCAGATGGATCTGTATACATTCATAGTCGTACACTGCTGTACAGCGTTCGATTGTGAACAGCGCCACGTCGCTTATGCATGAGGAGCTGCATTAATGACATTGGCAAGTATTGGTAATAATATATATCGCCAAGTGGTGCGAACCTGTTTAAATTTGTGAGCGCTTTCTAATGGAAACGGGGAACAAGGCAGTCCCAAGGCATATGTGAAGACACTGTCCAGCATATGCAACACTTGACCATGCAGGGCTCGAGAGTTCGAGCAACGACAATACTCAGATATGATTGGAAATTGGTAAGCTACCTAGGCAGCCGATAGACTTCGCATTTAGTTGCTCCCCGCGCCGATATTGCAAATGAATCCCCAAAGGAAGGGGATAGATGACTCATTTGGATAGCCCGTTATAGTAAAGACGGTATTGAGAAATGACGTAGTACGATCATTTCTCGTAGCTGGCGCAGGCAGTGCTTGCATCATGACGTTACACGGAACGTAAGGGTCTTCCGGCAATCGTTGTTGGCAGGAGTACCAATCGTTATTTCATCTCGATTGATGCGTGATTTACACACTGTTCAACGCCTGAGGTCAAGTAGTAAGCAACTCCCGGGTAGTGGACTGTAAGAAGAAACAAAAAATCCCGCGTAGCACACCATAGAGTACTTATATTGGGACTCAACGCCTGCTTTTCCGTCACTAGAGGTGTTATCTGAGTCTGATTCATTCTCCTGAAAGTGCGCTGCGACGGCATCGCCAACTTGCTGTTGTTTTCTTCCAGAGTGAGACCTTTTATCCGTTCCAACATCAGAATCCCTCGGATTACGTCCAATTAGAGCCTCACCTCAGAAGGGAAATGGAGCATGATAACCAGATTCACTGCCATCAGGTACATAAATACCACATAGTACCCCCACCAAACCCCTACGAGCACCGTAGAAACTTCTAAGAACACAGCAATCGACAGAAATGTCCCGGTCATAGAGAACGCCACACCCGGTGGGCGTATGTGTGATGGGAATATCTCGCTGCAGTAGACACATGAAGTGGCGTAGATTCTGCCAGTATGGAAGCAGATGAAATAGAACAAGTATGAATAGCACGCCAAGAGCATCCCCCGTGTGAGACGGGGCCCACTAAGCGAGTTGTCACTGCGCTAGCGAAGGAGAGGAATATCATGCAGCCAGAAAGACCAGTTGCTGTGCAGAGAGTGAGGATGCATGGTAGAGAACGGCGATTTTTTTTACCAAGCAGGCTAGACGCGACCAAGATCCATAATCATGGATGCATGATGACATTCACGGATCCTACAAGGAGGATACCAGCTACAGTCGAGACCATAGCAACGGTATCCATGCTAGGTCAAAGTAGGTCAGGGGTGCTGGCTGACCGAGTGTATATGACACTGTTAGCGTAGCCATTTGTCAGGCTGCTCAGGTTCAGAAAAAGGATGACCTGTTGTTGTACCACGAGTAGTGAGCATTCATTATGGATGTAGGGCGTCCAGGACGCACCTGTTCCAGAGCCAATGGCTTACCCAAAGGGTGTAAATGCTGCGTGCATATGATGTTCAGCTGGGTTACGGTACTAGGCGATTACTTATTACTGGAAAAAACTTGTGACCCCACAAGTGCCACAGTGATTGGGAGAGAGGCTGATCGAGATCGGGATCAAGATAAGCCGCGGAGAAAGTTTTTGTAGTATACAACTCTATCTGAGTCTGATTCTGAGAGTCTGATGTGGCAAGCTGGGCTGAGTTACTTATCGAGTAAAACGTCGAAGAAAAGAGTAAGACAAACCTGAGTCGTGGAGAATTGCTGCCAGTTTCATGGAATTGCAGGCCTCACGGTGACAGGCGAAGCAGTACACCCTCGTGCTACTAGCCGTTCAACTAGTTCAAGCCTGCCAGCATTCAGTGACTACTTCAGATCCGCAATTTTCTAGATGCGGCGTGACTTTTCAACATCGTTGACTGTGGCTAGCTACAGAATTAATGCGGGTGAGGAATCTCCTACTAAGCCGAGATCATGAAGGTTCCGTACGTACCCGCCTTGATTCTGTGGCCTCACACAAGGAAAACGGAGTTCTCCCGTCTGAGAGTTTCCACATAAATTCTGATTCAATCTAACCCTAACCCTATAAACTATTTACGGTAAATGCGGCGTCGGTCACAATGTTCCGAAGGTTGGCGCTGCTTCCCACCTAGCCATCTCTAGCCATTCGTTTATTCGTTTCCCTTGTTACTTCTTCTCTTGCCATGGATTATGACAGAAAATCGACTGTCTCTTCTTTCTATGGAGGACGTAGAGGCTCTTTCGATGCCCTGAATCATGCAGAAACTCCCAATTATACACCCTCTAGTCGTCCACGAGATGATGCTTCTTCGTTCTATGCTGATCGACAAACGCGGGCGAGCCATGATGCGTTAACTGGAGGACAATCTGCAGGGTACAACGCCTCATCCTTTTTCGCTGCAGGACGCCTAGAACCGCTGAAAGGCGGACGTGATGAAGAAGAAGAGGTACCAGAGGCTCAGACCTGGGACGTTTATGCAGATTTTAACAACGCCGGCCCAAGATATAGCACTGCGTTCGGGATTGGGCAACATCAGGAAGCAGGGTATGTATATGGGAGAACGTACCTGTTCTACCATGCTAAACGATGCGCAGTTATCATCAGCTCCCCCCACCTCCCCCTCCGCCTGGTGCCAAGACAGATGGTGACGCCGACAGTGCTCTCACACCAGTAGAACTTGTCACTGTACCTGCACTCGGTCCAGAATGGCAATTATCTGAGATGAAAAACATGACTAAATCGGGTCGACGAGAGATGAAGAGTGACAAGCGGCGAGAGAAGTGGAAAGCCTGGCATCGCGGGGAGACGGGTTTGTGTGGAAAGTGGTTCACCAAAAAGTTCCTCATCTTCTTCATATTTGGAGTGTGCGCCGTGTAAGTCACTCGTTCTACCTGAGCATAAAGATATTAACATGTCTTGTAGCATCGGCACTATCCTCGCACTCACTATTCCTCGAGTACCCGGTCTATCGTTCAATAGCTCTACACCTCTGGTTGCCGCCACTGGTAACTACAATGCCTCGATTCCAACTGAATTCTCCCGGTACCCAGCCAATTTCTCCTTCCCTGCACTCGCAGATATCCAAGTTGATACCACCGGCAACTTTATTCCCCTTACCTTCAACCACATCACTGCGCAGGTGTGGGACCCGACCACAAACCTGCAAGTTGGCACGGGGTATTTCGGGGGGGATACCCTCCCCGCAAAGTCATATCCGAAGATCCAGGTCCCGCTCAACTTCTCGTATGTTGCATCAAATGACACGGATCCGACGTGGAATTCGTGGTATAACGCATGCAAGAATTCTGGGCTTTATACTGGTGGGCAAAGACCAGGTCAGTGTCTATGACATAGTTACTTTTGTTTGCTCACACGAGCAACAGGTGTGAGCTTCAACCTCATCCTTTCGATGGATATTGCTGGACTGCCGGGAACCCATGCCGCATCCACACAGGTAAATGCCGCCCCCTGCCCTATTGAGCTGCCCATCAACTCAGTATGATGGACGATTACTGGACTCATCCGCGGATCGCCTCTTATTATGTTTTCACTGTGTTCTGGGACGTTGCACTATCTCCGCCATTACATACTCTTGGATATCGAACAATATGACCCTCCGTCATTATTTCACGACCTATACATTCGCCTTGCTCCAGTCCGTCCTTATTTCGTCCTTTCATTTGAGCGTTTGCGGCGTTACACATCATGATGTGCAGACAGATTATTGGATTATAATAAATGCTGGTTTCGTCATTGGGTTTTGAAGTCGGCTGATTCCCGCTTTGATTTCTGTGATGGGCTCAAATCAGATGCTGTAATTCGAACTCACGTCACTTATAATTACTTGCCACCGTTCCAGAACTCGAACGGGTGACGAGATTCAAGCCCTTCAAATTCTACCTGCCACGGCGCCCGTGTTGCGCCCGGAGCTTGCTCGTATCCCAACTCATTCATAAGAGATAAGAAGGTGCGCGATTTGCATTCCTCGCGCGAATCCCATTTTCTACCTCTCGAAAGAATGGAGATGCAGTATTCAGTTAACGATATCGCAGCAGCGAGGAGCTTACAGACGTACACGGTGCGTCTTTTTTTTGTCGATCCGACAACTGTTGATTAAGATACTTAACACATGTGCCACCAGTACATATATGGTGCGTACTGCATGAACTTGTTTCTTGTTTCTTCTAACACAGCTCAGCGTCGATGGCTACATTCTGGGTGGGCTTCTCCCGATGAATTTCTGCCTGTCGTTTAACTTCCTTGCCCAGACTTACGATTATGCTTGTTCACTTCATCAGGAGGTAATACACTTACGACTCGTTTTTTTGCTATTGATGATAATCAATCTGTTCAAAGTGGTCATTCCTACTCCGGTCACGCTGGTCCAAGGTAAAAGGTCTTTATGTTGTTGCACGATACGTGCCTTTTCTCCTCTTCACCGGACATCTATATCGTGCGTCAGCCCCAGCACATGCAGCTATGAATTGACATTTCCTGCTTCAGTGAACTCCATCTCGATCAAGAACTCCGAAGTATGTGAACGCGTGGTGGACTCATTGACTGATGAACGACGCTGACTGCATGACTTTGCCAGGCATGCGAGACATTGAACGCTATTTGCTCATGTACGTGCATCGCACATGCATCTATGGACGTCCTTGCTGAGCGCTACCCTTTCCTCTCACAGGTTTTAGCCTAATATCAGTCACTTGCTCTGAATGTATCTATTCTTTCGCTGCGACATGCCGGCGTTCCTGATCCCATTCATCCAGGCTTTTTCGTGCTCAGAACATGTGCACTCTGGAATCACAATAGATTCGTAGCCACAACGACGCTTGTCGCCTTTCTCGTGAGTCCTATGCCATCACTGCATCGCAAGCTCTTGGTAGATGCACCCGTCAGGCTGTCATCTTAGCATCCGTCAGCATTTACTTCACCAATATTGCCACCGCACCATGTACGCGAGTGAGCCTTCCTTCCAATATTCACACGCTTTCACACCACTTTCACAGTTGCGACCAGCGCGATACCGGGCATCACAGGCTGCTACCAGAGCTCGAACAGTATCCAGCTCTCTTTACCATTTCTTCTCTTGCTTGCGCTTGGACTTGGTGTGTCGCCAGGAATCGGGACCATATATATATAGATGCGTGTTGACTGTCGGTCTCCAGGACTCATGACCCTCACACTCGTACGCGCCATACAGAGCAGGCGGACGGCCAACGGCCATATGTACGCCGTCCTGGTGCATCATAATGTCTTTTACTATGCATGTGGCGTGTGTGAGTGAAGACATGCACACATCGTCAGGCATTTTCAGTGATTCTTGTTTCGGAAGCTTTCTCCATGGTGAACGTCCTCACGTCGCTGCTCCTCCATGTGCGTGAACAAATTCCATTGTGACCGAGTCATTGATCATCCGTGCACAGTACGAATATTACGCCATGTTTCAAGAGTATGCACTCTCTAAATCCTGCTGCGCATTCATACTAACTAGACCCCCAAACACACCTATATACAGTTTCCAGTTCGTTGTCCTCGCGATCCTCGCCACGCGCATGCACCTCCATCTCTGGCATATCGACCGGCACCTGCACGGCACTGAAGGCCTCGCGTTTATTCCCATGCCCAACTTGTCATCGGGCAGTATCACGTGATGCCTTGTCGCCTGGCTTGTTCAGACTCCACTCCGTGAACGACGCCGAATTGTACGAGGAGGTCAGATTGGTCAGATTCTGGATCCGCGGGCTGGAGGAGGAATGCAGTTTCTGCTGCGAGATCGTTGGTGGGTGGTGAGTTTGGTGGTCTTGGTCTGTTTAACATTGACCCTTCGAGCTGCCAGATGAGTGGATCGATCGAGTTTGCTGGAATCAGAATTTCAGAAGCGCAAAACTCGAACGAATACAAAGGCGATGTGTGCTGCGGGCTTGTCCCGGGACCGTGCTCGTTCTATTTGGACTTTATACCCCCGCTATTACATCATATACATTCATCCTGGATAGTGATCGATTGATCGATGACCATCCATCATTATTTTATGAACTGCACACTGCATTCGCTCTGCTAAGTTAATACCGTCCGTCTTCATTCTTCATTTGAGCTTTAAGCTCATACTTACGCTAGACTGCCGTCAACCCATGCTGTATCCACACAGCATCAACTCAGTATTTTGGCTGATTGCTAAACTTACCCGCGTGTCGCCTCTGATCGGATTCTGTTTTAACTTAGTCTCAACCCTAGTCAGACCATTAGAAAGACAGTTGTTTCTTGTTTGTCTGGGACAATGAATGATGAGCAATTTTAATTGGCTGGCTACTCTCCGCCATTTACATAATGTTGGACACTGGTTCAGAGTCCAGTTTGCGGCATCAAGTACTCTGCAGACTAGTGGATCATATTTAATTAATGCTAGTACTCTCAATCATTTGGCTTTGACAGCCATTTTCATATCCACCATCAGACCAGATTTACCCTAATGGCGCTTGGGGCGATACTGAACGGAAGCTCGCCGCGGCCTCTCCATCATCATGATGTTATTTTTGTTCCTTTGGGGTACTGCAGCTACACTGTAGCGCCCAACTGTGCCCGGACACTGTCGACACCTACGGCGACACAGGCTGTTGAACAATGGGTCACCATGTCCGCACACATGAGCTCGAAGGTCATAGCAAAAGTGCTAGTGATAGGATCAAGCCGTCGAACTATTCCACCACGTATTTCGGCTCTTGCAACCTGAAGTTCACTGAGACTCCAAAGGTGCGCGCGTGACCGAACTTTTATTTATCTAACTCTAAAAGAATTTTCCAAGATCCGTCAATCTATCATACGACATGAAAATAGCTGTGAAGGCGAGCAGGCCCAGGAGATGCAAACCATAGAGTGAGCACAATGGCTGATCCTCCCGTTCGCTGCATCTCCCCTTCACGAAAATGCAGTATACGCATGCCTCAGATTCGGATGCGTGTCACTTACTTTCAAGAACTCGAACCGCAGGGCGCCAGTTTTCGTTCTCGCATGACTTGACCTGAGCGCTCCAGCTTATATTTGAAACGGTTCCCCCGCTGCACCCGGGGTCGTTTCATTTCAGTTTCCCACTTCATTCATGAGAGATAAGAAGGTGGGTGACATACGTTCCTTGTACACAAAACCCATTTTCTCCTTCTCACACGAATGGGGACAAAGTATACGGCTGATGATCTTGCCGTAGCGAAGAGTTTGCAGGCTTACACGGTGCGTCTCTGTCTTATCAATCCGAGAGCCGTTGATAATAATACATTACCCATATGCTGCTAGTACCTATACAGTGCGTACTGTCTGATCTGCTTCTTCCTTGTTCTAACACAGTTCAGCATCGATAGCGACATTCTGGGTGGGCTTGTCCCGATGTGTTTCCGTCTGTTGTTAAACTCCCTTGCCCAGACCTACGATTATGCTTGTTCACTTCATCAGGAGGTAATTTACTCGTTCAGCCTGATTTTTGACATCGATAATCATAATGTGTTCAAAGTGGACGTTCCTGCTTCGGTCACGCTGGTCCAAGGTAAAATGCCTTTATATCGCTACACGATACGTGCCCTTTCTCCTCCTCGCCGGGAATCTATATCGTGCGTTCAGCTCCAGCACACATCGCTATGATTTGACATGTCGTGATTCAGTGAACTTCATGCCAAACAAGAACTCTGATGTATGTGAACGCACGGTATACTGGGTGACTGATGAACGACGCTTACTGCATGACCAGACATGCAAGATGTTGAACAATATTTGCTCGTGTACGTACATCGTGCATATATGCATGTACGTCCTTTCCGAGCGCTGCCCCTTCATCTCACAGGTTTCAGTTTAATATCAGTCACTTGCTCTGAATGTAAGTATCTCTTCTTCCACCGCGACACATCCGCGTTTCTGATTCCATCCGTTCAGTCTTTTTCGTACTAAGAACATATGCGCTCTGGAACAATCATAGATTTGTACTCGCAACCACGCTGACCGCCATTGTCGTGAGTATGTCCTCACTACTACCCCGGACTCGTGGTAGATGCATCAGTCAGGCTGTCATTGTAGCATCGGTCAGCGTTTCCTTCGCCACTACTGCCACCGAATCATGTATGCGCTCTCACCCTCCTTCTGTTATTCCACCACCACTCACGTAAATTCTCTCCACTTTCACAGTTGCGACCAGCGTGGTACCGGGCATCACAGGCTGCTACCAGAGCTCTGCTAGCGTCCACCTCTTCATACCCTTCCTTCTCTTACTTTTGCTTGAACTCGGTGTGTCGCCGGAAATCGGAGTATACATATACATAGACGCGTGCTGACCGACGCTCTTTAGTACTCATGACCCTCACGCTCGTACGTGCTATACAGAACTGGCGGACCACCAAGAGCCATATGTACGCCGTCCTGGTGAAGCACAACATATTCTACTATGCATGCGGTCTGTGTGAGTCAGGACATACACATATTTGTAGGCTCATTTTCCGTGCTCAACGATGGTGGTCTCTATTTTGAAAGTTTTCTCGACGGTGAATGTCCTCGCAACGCTGCTCCTCCATGTACGTGAATCCTCAAATTCTTCTATGACTGTCACTCATCAACCGCACCCATAGTACGATTACCACGTCATGTTCCAAGAGTATGCACTATTCGAATCCCACTGCGCATTCCTACTAACAACATCCTCAAACTCGCGCCCATAAACAGTTTACAGTTCTTCGTGCTCGCGATCCTCGCCACGCGCATGCACCGCCATCTCTGGCATATCGACCGGCGCGTACACGCCTTTGTACTTATTCCTATGTCCGACATGTATTCTGCGGCCGGTACGACATGATGCCTTGTTGCCCGGCTCGTTCGGCGTCGTTCACGAAGTCTGGTGGATGTGAACTTGATTACATTCTAGATCCGCGGGCTCATTGAATGTCATTTTTGGGGGGTCATGAAGGAAATAAGTTGCCTAGTACTTTTATGCGATTGTGCCTAGTCGAATGGGAGGTTATCCGGCTACTTACCTACGCAGCTACGGATTTAGGTATCAGACCTAAGTACGTGGACAAATCAATCGAAGCAAGCTAGTATTTATATGGATTGAAAGGGCGATAACCACATTGAAACTTGACAGTATCTCTGCAGAGAAGGAACGGTCATATAATAATGAAAGTCTAACGTACCATCTACATACTTACACAGAGTGAGTTCCCCGCAGAGGAGGGCAGTTCAAAGTACACTTGAATGCCCATATGTTCTATACGCTTTGCCTGTTGTTCGGCTTGTTATCACAGTACGCATTTCCACCTCGGCTAAATAGCGTTCGACGGGTCGTGCATTCGCTTCAATCAACGGGTCGTTGTGACGATCTCGAGTCACTAATATATATACATGCTGATATATTTCTTGTGTGGTTCCCTTCCATGGTTAACTGGTGACTACGAGAAGCTCTCCAGCTCTAACATACCCGAGCGTAAAGTAAACGCCTCCATCGCAATTCTATGTCATGGAATTCCTCTTGTAAACATGCTCGTTTACTCGCGCTGTCTCGCGATCTCAAAGGATCCTGATTATGACCATCTTCGTTCATTGCTTCACGGTCTTTGCGCTACAATACATGCACCAGCTTCGTGCTCGCTGAATTTCTGCGAGCCCGATGGTGACATCTTACATCCTCTTCCATTCTTCGATGCGGAAGCATCTTCTGATGACGGCTCCTGGACTGATTGAAGTCGTCGAGGTGTCCGTCAAGTCACACCATAATGTACATAAAATCCAACGAAGCAGGGACATGTCTGAGTCGAGAGGGCCGTAGAATAAAATTCTGATCTATCCAGAAGACAGGAGGGCCTGGCTTTGAGGAAGCAGGACAGTGCAGTCATCGACTTCGAATACTTATTGCACGTTGTTCGACCAACACTAGTCATAGTGGAGAGTACTTGCGGAACTTAGCTTTCCCTGGATGACGACTCGTGTTTGGATATCACCGTGAGCTAGTTAACCGATACATTAATATTGTGTGAAATACGATTGCTATTTTCGTCCTGCCGATGTATTTCTTGAAGATCGGGATCGGGATTGATATGTGCCTGGACATGATTGCAAGGAGACGTTGCCTCACGCCAGGGTGACGAGTCGGAGCGTGGCAGTGATCGAGCTATTTCAGCACTACCACCCAACCAACCAGCACAACGTATGGCGGCATGGTGCGAAGCATCTACTTACTGATTAGTCATGCCTCCTGGAGCAGCTCTAGGACTTGGGTGTCAATACGGAGCTGATCATACTCTGATGGGTATGAAACCGTAGTGAGAAACACAAGGGGGCAAGAAATACAGAAGCACGCACACACGGTACCAATATAACGGAGGTGCGCAATCTATGAAATATTTCCTGGGGCGAGGAAACCAGAACCCTGCGTGCGACAGCGTATAGAACCGTCAAGAACGACGACGAGTATTCTAAAGGTCATTTGTGATACTCACCTACGTCGAATGTGTTCGCCGATAATGGTCCTTGGAGTCGATCAAGCATCTCGCCGAGACAAGTGGAGAAGGGTGAATTGTCCATGCGGAATCTGGCGCTAGTGCAGACGACGTTGACGTGGACCATGAAAGGCTTGCCCAAGAGGTGAGGATCGGTATCATGCGGCGAAAGCAGGCAAAGCAGTACTCACCGATAACATGCATTAGCCGCGCTCGAGACACGCATGTCCGATATGTAATATCCCGGAAATGTGAAGACATCAGCGTCGGACGGCCTTTTTGATCTCGTAGCAAAGCAGGGTATGTTACAGAGGATGATGAAAGACGAGGTGAGTAAAATGGATTCATGGTTGCGGAGTTGGCCGTAGTGCATGATTCTACCAGACACGTGTTCTTTCGGGCGGGGTCAGTGGGAAGAGGTGGCAGTGATGATGGAAGGAGCGAAATGAGATGCGCGACATAGCAGCGTGGTAGGGAGCCTTCAAGAACCGTGGACAAGCACCTACATGAGTTGGGTTATAGGCAGACATCCAATGCTACCCAATCCACACAAGATCTACGACGTGACCATAACCTCAAAGTACGCTCCTCGCCAACTTCAGATGCTGCTGACCATCAATTTTTCTGTCTAGGTCAACGTGACATGTCAAGGATGCTTGATGTAGCAAGAAATGCCTATCTCGCTTTAAGAGGGAGGTCAGCAAAGGTGCAGGAAACGCAACGACAACCTGCGTCGGCAGCGCAGATGATGCGAGGGCAACTGGCGCCGTCGCGAATGATAAAAGTGCACAAGGAAAAAGTGTGGGCACTCGCGTTCTTCAAAGACGGCCGACGGGTCATCACTAGTTCACACGATGCAACCCTGCAAATCTGGGACGTGCAGAAAGGAGCATTGGTAGGGGGGCCATTCGAGGGACACAAGCACGGGGTAAAATCAGTCGCCATATCTCCAGACGACAGACGAATTGCGAGCGGTGGAAATGATAAAACCATCATCATCTGGGACGTCGAGAGTAAGCAGATGGTGTTCGGAATCGATCCACTAGTGAAGCACACAGACTCGGTGTGCTCGGTGTGTTTCTCTCCCAATGGCAAGAAACTCGCCAGCGGTTCAAATGATAAAACAGTCGTTATATGGGATATGGAGACTGGCGAGGTCCTCGCAACACTCGAGGGCCATAGTGAGGGGGTTTACAGCGTCGCGTTCAGTCCAGACGGTCTAAAAATAGCATCCGGGTCAGAGGACCGTACCATCCGGGTTTGGCGCACCGATACCTCCGCGCTTCTTCTTCAATTCGACGCTCATGAACACCGGGTTCGAAGTGTCGTGTGGTCTCCCGACGGTTTCCAACTCGTCTCCGCATCATACGACAGCACCGTCAAGTTCTGGAATTCGCATAACGGAAACCAGATCGGTCAACCTTGCATCGGTCACAGTGACTGGATTTATTCGCTCGCCATCTCTTCTGATGGTTCATTCATTGCCACGGCCTCAGACGACCAGACTGTGCGGCTCTGGAGCACAAAGACACACAAACAGATAGGACAGGCACTTAAACACACAGAACTGCTTTACTGTGTCGCTCTTTCTCCCAATGGAGAACTACTCGTCAGTGGAGATGGCGAAGGAAAGGTGCAGCTCTGGCCCATTGAGAGCGCACGTTCTTTAGCGATTCAGCTGTGTTCCTCGTGCGACTCCTTCTTTGCGCACCGCAGCAAAGTAAAGTTGGGACAAAACCTCTATCCGGAGGCCCTTCACGACGCGGAAAAGGTACGGACGATACCCGTCATTGATCTAGTAATTGTGCTGATACCGCCAATGTGTAGGTCGTTGAGCTTGATCCTTCCTCTTATCGTGGGTACGAGCTGAAGCATGCAGCGCTGCGTGGCGTGCAACGCTATGATGACGCAATCGAGGCTTTCAAAGTCATGCTCTTCAAGTTGGACGATGCTCCCTACGCACAGGTACAAAGTAAGCCCTGAACCCCTCATACGTCAACGCGAAGATGATTAACTCGTTCTCCAGAGCTGCGTCGGAAATATGTTAGTCCATCTGAAGCAGAAGACGCTATTCGAAGAGCTATTCACGCTCAACTGGATAACGCCCCACTGCGTCTACTCAACACTTTCACCGGGCGTTTATGCAACCGAGAGGCGCAGATAAACGCCTTTGTGGAAAGCACAGAGTACAAGGAGCTCTTGTATTCATCGATGACGCATGCGCCCCTGCAAACGGAGCCCATCACAGAAGCGGTCGCGAAGTACTTCAGTTGGGTCATGTTATCGCATAGGTGGGAAAGGAAGGAACTGTTGCTGGACGACATCCAGGAGAAGGACGTGTACAGTTTGGATCCAGTCGGAAATGTTGTGAAGCTGCAGAAGTTCTGCGAAATCGCTCGTGATGCGGGTTCTCACTGGGCGTGGAGCAATGCATGTTGCATCGACCAGAACAACAACGTTGAGCTCCAAGAATCAGTCAACTCAATGTTCGTTTGGTATCACGACTCAGCACTCACGATCGTCTACCTGTCAGATGTTCCGCCTTCCTCGAATTACGGGGCGCTGGCAAACAGCACTTGGAACACCCGAGGATGGACTCTTCCGGAGCTCCTCGCTCCTAAAAACATTCTCTTCTACCAAGCGGATTGGACTCCGTATCTCGACGACCACTCTCGCAATCACAAGGAGTCTGTCGCTATTATACAGGAGTTGGAGGACTCGACAGGAATAGATGCACGGGCCCTCGTTGCCTTCCATCCGGGGATGAGAACCGCCCGAGAGAAATTGCGATGGGCGGCCACACGTGTCACAACGGTGGAGGAAGATGTTGCATACTCACTGTTTGGCATCTTCGGCGTCCACCTACCTGTCATCTATGGCGAGACAAAACAGAACGCGCTCGGACGACTCTTGCAGGCAACTATAGCTCATTCGGGCGACATTACTGCCCTAGAGTGGGTCGGAAAATCATCCGAGTTTAATAGCTATCTCCCAGCTGACATTGCCTCGTACAAAGCTCCGCCATGCACACCACCATCTCTATCCCAAGACGAGATGCAGACGTCGGTGTCCAAGCTGCGGAATGTTGTTGCTGTGGAGTCGGCTTCGAAACTCTATACCCTCCTTGACAACCTCAGCACCCCTCATTTCGCGTACTCCAGACTGCAACTGCCTTGCATCGTATTTCCTGTTACAGAAGTGAGACGGAGGCGCGGTCAAGACCGGGAGTCATGTTTCACCTATGAAGTCAAGGCAGACGGGCTTGAAGACTTGCTGATTACCACCGAAGACAAGTTGATTCAGTTCTCTCCGGCAAGACCTCCTCGGCAGACAGTCCTTCTCATCCGTCCATGGAATCATCATGATTTCGGGCTGCCTGACCTCACAGACGAGACACAGAACATGGACGATTCGTCGGAGCCCAAGCCTTCGTCAGACAATTCGTTCAGCAGGTCTTCTGGAGAGTACAGTGAGACGGTTGATTCGGAGTTTTCATCAGACGATTCGCTCAGCGGGTCTTCTGGAGAGTATGGGTCGGTTGATTCAGAGTCTTACTCGCGAGCGTTGAGGTTGATGGTTCGCCTCGGCCAACCTTTTGGCGCACTGTTCCTAGCGCAGCAGCGGGGTGGGGAGTATAAGAGAATCGCTTCGGATCGCAGTATCATCGCACGAGTCAGGGACATGACATCTGTTGATGGCATGACGGACGTCAGGACGCTAGAGATATCGTGACTGGATACATCCCGAAGAACAGGGATCTATGACGCGTTTTTATCTATACCTTTACATTATCCTGCATGGAACAATTCTTCTGGGCATTTGTATTTTATCGTATGCTGACTGACGACAGGAAATCGAACGACTATGATTCAATGATGGAATTATCACTGGTGGAGTATGTGTTGTTTATCCTTACTTATCGTCCCATCCACTGATTCATTGATCATCAGTATGATCACCTTTCACGAGTTGTACATTCGCCTTACTACGCTCTGTCATTACTACTCCGTTTCCCTGCATCTGACTGTTTACCGCAAGCGTTACTCACCCCATCATGATATGCCGCTGGATCGCCTGTTGAATGCATCTGGTGTTGAAATTTGAAAACTGCTGATTTCCGTGATAGGCTCACTTCAAACTATGATAGTATGGCTGTGACTACTGAACTGATAAAGGTGAAATCCATGGAGATCATCCGACAACCAGGTCCGTCACACTGGCGGTTCATATGAGCTCCAAATCATGTAGCCCGAAGTATCATAGGTCCCTTGATAGCCGCCAAGCAAATAAAGGGCGGGTACTGTAGCTACTGAGACCCCTGAGTGGTGGAATGTTGTGGTAGAAATCGGCATCATCGCTTGGGGAAAATGGCCATGATCATTGCGAGGTCGGACCTCGGTGCAAGCCTGGAGCAACTCAAAGCCACACTCGAATTCAAAGAGCAATATTGATTGGCACTGGCACTTTCAGAATGCCATGATGGTGGAAGACGATGTCGCATACTCATTGATATTTCAGCGTCCACTAGTACTTAATTACCTGCCATCGAGCTCTGGGGAGAGTAAAATGTAAGTACATGAACTCATTGATTCACTGGCAAGTCTAGCTAGGGACTCGTTTTCAGGCCGTGTGAAGAACCCATTGAAATTGCCCCCTTCCTCATCAACACAATTCATCGAATTCCTTTTAATTCAGATGCCCATCATGCGGACGGCACACTAAAGTCATCATTTCACCGTCACGTTCTTGTTCTGCCACCAGCCACAAGCTAATTCAGTTCTCGCCAGCAACTTGCAAGACCTGCCCAGCAGACTGTCCGTGGAATCATCATGATTTCCGGCTGCCTGACACCACAGACAAGACGCAGAGCATTGAAGTTGATCATTCGCCTCGGACAAATTTTTGGTGCACTTCTCCTGGCAGCAGCAGAGTGAGGAGTATAAGAGAATGGCTTCGGATCACAGTATCATTGCACGAGTAAGGGACATGGCTTCAGTTGATGATTTGATGGACGTCAGGACGCTAGAGATGTCGCACTCCCAGCTGCATCCCGAAGAATGGAGATCCATGACACATTTTCATTTATACCTTGACATCTGCATCAAACAGTTCTTGTGGGCATTTGTGTTATATCGTATGCTGATTGACAACAGGAAATCAAACAACCGCGATTGTATGATGGGGGTCGTCACTGGTTGAGAAGGCGTTGTTTATCGTCCTAGTCACTTGTCATATTACAATTACCACCTATTGTTCCCACCTTTCTTACTTAATAAAGTGGTACCTAAGATGTTTACGTGCCACTACATTAGCTTAAAAAGGTCTATTTGTGAGGACTGGCGGTCCAGACCAGCATCCTAAGGGGACTTAGAGCCTTCAATATTGTACTGTGGTATATGGAGCACGTGAGCAAGTGAGTAATGTCTAAATATGGTAGTACCATGCCACCGCCATTGTCGTCAACAACGTGCTCGCTGTCTCCCACAACGAGCTCACTACCTGCCTCAATTTTAGTTGTTTAAGGGCGCATTTTTTTTCATCCTCCTCCTTCCACTCCCAACTAATATATAATTTAGCTTTCTTCACAGCACAGATGCCAAATACAGAGCTGTATACAGTATGTATTTTATGTCACAAGGTTTGAACTATGGGTGACATATGTCACATGCCACCCTCAACCTTTCAACCGCCTTCCACACATCACGCCACCTGTTCTTTAGCCTCCTTTCACCTTGTGTTAGCGATGACCAAAGGACTCTACAACGCACCCGGCGTGTCTCAAGCAGCACGGATATCCATTGGAGGGAGGAGAAGCCAGGTGATTTGCAACAAAGATTGTGCCAAGCGGGCAGCGGTAGCATCCTCAGAACATGCAGCGCAGCTCCGTAGTGCGTACTTCCTACTCTTTTTCACTGTTGCCCTGCATAATTGATCATTAGAGATGAGCTTGCACCAGCGGGAACACTTTTTGCAAGCAGAAAAAGATGTCACTACAGCCAAACCTTCCTCAGATCTGCCTTACGACCTCACAAACAACAGCTTCAACCACGATGTCGATTTTTCAACAATTATCCCTCCAGTGGGCTGAGGAAGGCTTCTCAGTCAGTCATGGCTGGTGGAGAGCTTGAGCTTTACAAGGATCTGAGTAATGCCCTATCCTCCCAATGGTAAGCCTCATATTTTGATCAATTCTACTTGTTGTGTGATGTGATAATTTAGTCCTCGTATTGATGACCGCAATCAACATGACCGCACAACCCGACTAGCACTATCCTGGGCAGCCCAGTATGAGTTGCTCATTGATGCGTACCTACAGTTTCGTTATGAGAGCCCATCGTTTGCGTCTCTCCCCACAACTATCAGCGATTCTGACAAGACCTCGGAGACATTTCCAATAGAAGTCGTCGACTTATTTGGTGAGTCATAGATTCCTTCACCTGAGCAGCACCTCATGTTCCCTTAGAACATTATCATGCTGTCTTTGCTCACTGCTCAGCTCATCTCAATGTGTCACTTATGGCACGGGGGTAAATAGGAGCATCGCCAATTCAGCCAACAGTCGCCATCACTTTATGAACTCTGGAATCCTACCGTCAGACTCACCACGCATGTCCACGTGTGAGCATTCATGCACAAGCAAAAGCGTTATGTCATCTTCACAATGTAAGTCAATTATTTTTTAAGTTTCATACACGTAATTCTTCTGAGTACAGGTCTGTTACAGTCGGTATCTAGCGGCACAGTTTCGGGTTGCCTATGATGTGTACCTCAAAATATTACGATGTGTGTCGCTGAGCGTGTTGCAAGCTCTTGGACATACAGGTCCAAATTGGCGCGCATGTAACTCTTGTCCTGCTTGTCATTACAAGGTCGAAGGTGAACCAGAACTTCGGTTTCCATTTGAGGTTGCACTCAATGGCAACAACTCAGCAAAATTCGTGGACCCTGCCCTACGTGGGGGAAGAGAGCGTTCTGACCCCCAAAATGGCCAGTCTGATATCTGGCTTGATGAAGAATATGTTGACCAATTCAAAGATGAGGTTCAGAATGCTTGCTGGCGCTACCATCCTACTCCTGCTCAAACTGTGGATCCAGATGATCCATGGGTTGATTGTGAAGCCGAAGAACAAGATTCAAATGAGCCAATCAACGTATGTGTCGATCATTGGCGCAATGCGGCCCCCAAGGCTCGTAAACAAATGTTTGCAGTCTTTCACAAGTCGGGCATTTTTGTAGCTGTATGCCATCACGGCTTTCTTCTTTCAATATGCGATATGGTTCGCAGTGGTGAGCTGTGCGTTCTATTCAGATTACAATATTCTGATGCCGATCTGCTGACTCAATAATTTATGCAGAATGAAATATCCACTGGCAACCATCAGCAAATTGATGGAAGTCTTTGCTGAACCCTTCCTTTATGGCTATGACATTAAGTGTGCATTCCATTCCATTCTACATCGCTCATCGCTTGGATCTGCAGTGCAGGCTCTCGGTATTGAAGGAGTGGTACCAGGATTTCACGGTCATGCGCAAAATAGACTCTGTCAAGTACGGCACCACTCGAAGTTCATGGCCGGCGCTGGGAAGGAAGATTTTGAAACTTGTGAACAGACATTTTCGGAGTCTAATGCACTCGCTCCTGAAATTAGGAACGCAACCAAATTCCACAGGCATCAAGCACTTGATGAACATTTTAAATTCGCTGATGAGGACAAATATGCTACTCTCAGTTGGTCTACGCTCCCATACTAGTGCTAATATGTGCTTACGACAGTTTCCAGGTACCTTCATTTACCACAATTACGTGCAAGCACTCGAGTGCATTCATTCCCATGAGGAGTTTCTTCGACATTTTGATCTCACCCCTCAAGATTTTGAATCGGATCTGGCTGAGGAATGCAGCTACCTGGAGGCAGCCAGTCAACGCAAGTCTGGAGATAGTATACAAGTGGAATATGTGAAGGCATTGAATGACCTTGATCTAGCATGGTGAGGCTGGATTATTCTTCTAGACTCATATTTACATTTAATTATCTTAGAACTCAATGGGAGGCCGCCCAACACGAGTTCAATCGCCTCGACTTACACAGTTATTGACAACGGATTTACTAATAAGGACATCGCCTAATGTACAGCCGTCGCCGTACCACAACACAGAACCAAATGGAGATGAAAGCCCAGGTTGTCAAGGATTTTGAAGCTTGCATTGGTGTTGAGGAGCGGTGGTCTCTGACCCACTGTGGAACGCATTAGAGCGCAATCACTCATTGCCAATGCGCAGTATCATAAGGCTGTTGACAATGTGGAGCAGCCTCGTGGTCATGCGACTTCTGGAACTTACGAAACTCCAGATGAGTGGTTTAGGTAAATTTCAAATCTTCATCAGATCCACGCTAACTTGTACTACAGGCTATAAACTACTGAACACAGATCACCAAAGCCCTAAAGACCCGGGCCACTGCAATCCGGAATGCCCTCAACCGATATAATAAACATGCCACCACACTTGACCCTCCTCGTGCACCAATCACATGGGAGCAGGTTGTCGAGTTCTCACAACTCGCTGAATTTGACCTGCTTTGAGACACTGGGAACCAGTTGCACAACAAGCGTTGGTCAATCCCTCGTAATTGTCAAGCATTGGGAAAATACTTTGATCTAGAACGTTCAAAGGAGGAGATTGTGCGCTGCAATGTAGAGACTCTGCTGCCTTCGCATGAAGATTCGAGATGATGCGATTCTTTTTCCAGCTGTAATTGAGCAGTGTCATGAATCTAACCCACCTCTTGCAGCTGAGATACAGCGCCGCTGGCACCATCTGCAATCTGTTAACACTTTCCACCTCTCCCGCATTGCACAAATTCACGCTCTTCCTGGATTTTCGGGTAGCAGAGCTGTAGGGACTCGTGTCGGACAGATGATTAGTGATGCACAAGCAGAAGGTGACGCAGATACGGCTAATGAGTTAGAGGATGACGAGCATGATCCTGATGGCCAGGAACAGACGTTGATGGAGGACTTCTTTGATCAGTTGCATATTGGATCCGCCGAGACAGAGGAAGACTAGCATAGCTGCATTAGACTCACAGCCCATGTATTAGTAGCATAACGAATGTTGATGATGATTCTGATATGGCAAGGAGACAATGGAAATAATTGTTTAATGAAGCCAGATGTTTTGCTGCATTAATCACTTACATATTTTACCGCATCAAATATGGTCAGTACTTAATTGACACCAACCTTCGTTCCGCTGCCACATTCACCAATGAACTGGTCCAATAGCGATTTCAATCATGCTCCCACCGTTGATGGCACCCGCAGATTGCTGGAAGCAATATCTCACCCTGCAGAACCTGCAGGCGTCACGGACATGTCTGATCGATGGATATCTGCTCTGATTGCTATGCTAGCTCACGGATTTCACAACGATAACAACCACCTCAAGGACGACAAAGGCTTTCATCCTTTAATGATCGAACACTACACCAGCACTAGCTTTGATGGGTTGTCGAGTGATGACAAACAGGGTGCCTCACGAGAGCGAAGCACACATCTTGTCCGTCTGCGCAGACTCATATATGACTTGGTAGGTCATGCGTCGTGATTTAATGATCCTCGAGTAACTTTTTTTTGGCAGTGTACCGTCCTCGATCGTCTTTCTGGTGGCACAACTTTGTGTCTACATCATCCAGGTGCAACTGCGCCTTTGACCGACATTCATGCTGAAGATCTCAGTGCATCACTCTATATCAATCCAAAGCTTCTTGCTCAGCAGACAGAATGTCATCAAACCATCGCACAAATCACCCAACTCTTCATTGAGGGATGCGCTCTTCCAGTCGCACAATCTTTCCGCAAAGCTCAACTTGCACATGGATGGAGGCAGGATCTTCAAAGTCACTCGGTGCAGCATGAGTATGATGCGATCCCCCTCATCCCCTTGCCTTCTAGTGGTACTCATTCCCCCTGACTTTGACATCCTGGGGCGACCTGTTGGTTGTCTTGACCATATATTTGCCACGAGAGCAACCACTGACTCCATGGTACCGTTTTCTTCTATCTCTGGAAGACTGTCATCTGTTCGTTGGATCAATCAGCAAGTCCCTTTATCTAGCCGCACTTCATTGGTTGCGAGAGATAGCACAGACAATCTCGTAAGTCAACTTTATATTGTGCATCTTACTTAACTAATTTTGCCTGCAGGTTAACCAGTTATGCACCACGTCACCATCAGATGCAATTGCCTCGCTACCCGCTTTCACCCTCGATGTATGATGTTATGCGCACTAGGGTTAGCCCTCATTTCCCAGGCGATGTTTTGGTTCTTCAACCCCCAATTCAGGCTTCCACCCAATCGTCTGCCACACCATCTCAGGGCATGACTATAGCTCGAATGCACCAAATTCAGGCTACACCATCTGCCATGCCATCTCGTGCCAATTCTTACAGCCTGAATGTAGCTCACACTCTATCAAACACATCACATCTTTCCATGCACGAGGTTTCCGTCACGCCGGTGTCAACACCAGCAACTAGTAGGATCACAAATCAGGAGCCCGGTGGCTTTTCTTCGTATCCCTCTCCTAGAAGACCGCTTCGGTCATTTGGACCTGTCAACTCAACTCACCCTCCAGGCACTTGGGTATGGTGATGTGTTTCATAAAGTTTGCCGTGACGTGTTTGACAATTTTGTCACTGAAAACTGGGTATCAGAGCTAGCCAAAAGAGGCTTACTAACCCAGATCATGCTGAGCAGATCTCCGCCGCCATGTGGGATGATTGTGATGAGTTATGATTGTGCCTCCACTAATGTTTTTGCAATGTAATACCATGCTGTGTGCTGACTTCACAAATTTAAGTTCGGTTGCTCCATTTCTGAGTACAGCTTGTTTTCTATCTATGGTGCATTCTGTCTTCTTGAGCAGCAGACGTCGCCTTGTTGCTCGTTGTGGGCGCAAGAAGGCCCCAAAGCTATCCTGAGACTGCTCGCCAGGCTATTACTACCCAACAGCGTGCCAAGCGTGCTGATGAGGATGCTGCGGTAGATGAGGTCCTGACCTATATTGATGAACAAGCTACAGAGCTAGCTCAACAGTTTGGTCGAAGTCGCCGACATTATCTGGAAAAAAATTTCATCAGCTCAGCAATGCAAAGAAAACAGCACAATAAGACCAGTTCCTGGTCCGTGTATCTGCACTTTAAAGGTCGAAATTTTAATGCAGGTATGTTCTTCAGTGGCGACTAGTATTGAATGAACTTGTACTGATTGCTAGCAGATAAAGAAGTAGGACAACGAAGCAACATTCGTGCCCTCGCTCGTGACACAGAGGAATACCACCAGCTCACATTGGAGCAACACTCAGAGATGGTAGAGGAATTCAATAAAATCAAGAGCTCCAGACAGAGTAAGCCGCCAAATGTCACCACTCATACTCGCCTTGCAGAGGTAAATCATAGCTTTGCTGCAATGGTCAGTGAGGTGAGTTCCAACTGGTCCTTACAGTATGCAAAATCTAACTGTTCTCCGACAGGCTGAAGCACTCAAGGAGCATGTAGGTACCGAAACCTTGATCGTTGCAGTGCGAAGTTCAACCAACCTCGACATGTTGCCCAAAGTCCACTTTACCAGTGATGTGGTGTCCCACTTTGTCCACACACTCTTATGCGAGGATCCCATGAAATTTGGGATTAAGATGGAATCTACAGTTCTTGCTGGGCTCCCAACACGAAACTGGTGAGATTTTTGAGCCAATGGGTGGTTTCACGCTGCTAATCCTAATCATGCTCACTTAGTTTTCTCTATGACTTACACTGATCGCAAACTCACTGCCAAGAGCTCAATTCAAAATGGGTTGAATCAAAGTTTAGGTACGCGTTCATTTTATTTATTTACAATCTTCTAATCTACCTAATTAGTTGATGTGACTGAGGACCAGAACGCAACACTTGAATTTGTCCGCTATGAGCGGATGGTCCAGGCTCATCTTGTCAAAATTGTTGGCTGGTGTCACAATCACTGGGGTAATTCAAGCAACCTCAAGGCGGTGTTGATGCCTTGCAGATGCTTGCACTCACAATTGACAATTGAACATGCTGGTTTGTTAGGATTTCGAAAGACGAAGCCATCAAGCGCATGGAGCGCATTGATGCTGGTGAAGACTTGTCACCGAACAAAGTTGACACAGAACCCTATGAAAGTGACAACAACAACAACAGAGACAGCAACAACAATGACGGAGACAGAGACGGAGACAACAGCAACGACATCGACATCGACAACAGCAACGGCAATGACGGAGATGGAGACAACAGCAACAGCAACAGCAACAGCAACAGCAACAACAGAGACAGAGACAACAGCAGAGACAGAGACAACAATGGCAGTGTGGGCAATAGTGCTCCCACTAGAGAGCCTCATAGCGAGATAATAGATGACCTTCATTGATCCTGCACTTTGAGCATGCGGAGGTGAGCATTTTAACATTGTTGCGAATCCTACTAACTATCTACTTTTTTTACAGCTTCTGCGTCTATTCCAACTTTCAACTTGGCACCCGGTAAGGAGGCTCCATGCCCACACCTCCTTCGTTCTTAGACAGCCCATACTAACAAGTATCTACTACAGTGACGAATCACAAGCGCGGCGCTCCGGAACCTTCAACTGATGGAGCGCCGGCAAAGCGAAGGAGAAAGATGACTGAAAAGGCCATGTATGCAGCAAGGAAGGCACAGAAGTGGAATAGGAGGGGGAAAGGAGCAAAGAGTGTGGCTGTTGTGGATTCTAGTGACTCGGATGAGAACGAGTGGGAGGACCTTTAGAACGAAAACGGCTACCACAGTGCAGGCTTTTTCACCTTGTTTTTATGTTGTACACACCACTCTTAATACATGGTTTTGATGTATGCAATTAATTTAGAGTAGGAAGTATGCACTACGGAGCTGTGCTGCACGTTCTGAGGATGCTACCGCTGCCCGCTTGGCACAATCTTTGTTGCAAATCACCTGGCTTCTCCTCCCTCCAATGGATATCTGTGCTGCTTGAGACACGCCAGGTGCGTTGTAGAGTCCTTTGGTCATCACTAACACAAGGTGAAAGGAGGCTAAAGAACAGGTGGCGTGATGTGTGGAAGGCAGTTGAAAGGTTGAGGGTGGCATGTGACATATGTCACCCATAGTTCAAACCTTGTGACATAAAATACATACTGTATACAGCTCTGTATTTGGCATCTGTGCTGTGAAGAAAGCTAAATTATATATTAGTTGGGAGTGGAAGGAGGAGGATGAAAAAAAATGCGCCCTTAAACAACTAAAATTGAGGCAGGTAGTGAGCTCGTTGTGGGAGACAGCGAGCACGTTGTTGACGACAATGGCGGTGGCATGGTACTACCATATTTAGACATTACTCACTTGCTCACGTGCTCCATATACCACAGTACAATATTGAAGGCTCTAAGTCCCCTTAGGATGCTGGTCTGGACCGCCGGTCCTCACAAATAGACCTTTTTAAGCTAATGTAGTGGCACGTAAACATCTTAGGTACCACTTTATTAAGTAAGAAAGGTGGGAACAATAGGTGACAATTACGGTGTGTCCTTGCAATGTCAATTGTGGTCATTATTAATTCCCCTTGGCTTCTACCTGCAACGTCCCATCCATGTAGGAAGCTCATGCTCGTTCAGCTTGAGAATTGACTCTACAGCAAGTTTATTAAACCGACGACTCCAAGATCCCCCCGCAGGTTTAGCTAGCCCCCATGGTGCAGAGGATACACTAGTCTCGCTCAATCCTTCCGCTCAGCATCCGATATTCCCTTGTCTTCTCAATGAGTACTGCACACCTCACTGTCCGGTGCTCATTCTGCGCAGTGGCTGAGTCGGCAATGCAATATCTTGGTCATTACAATCTTGGAAAGTCGGAGGGTATGAACACCCGTCGTTAATTCACGAGTTACACATCCGCCTTGCTATCCTCTGGCTTTATTCCGTTTCCCTTCGTTTTGACTGTTTGGCGCAGGCTTTACTCGCGCCAATCATGATATGCGGACTTGAACAGGTTATAATTAAGTAACATTGGTATCGCTTATTTGGTTTAGATATCTACTGATTCCTGTGATATGACTAGTCGGACTGTTACTACGGAGCTAATATAGACGACATCCATGAAGGTGATCCATAGCCCATGGGCCATGGGCTGCAACGGGCTATCCCCATTCACTACATGTCGCTTGCATAACAACACACTCTAGACCTGTGAGAGCGCTCTACATTACCTTTCCAACCCACTGGCAGAACCTGCAGAAGACAATATTGGTCTCCCCGCCGTGACAGTATATGCATCGGATTTGGAGTCAGGTCGCACACTTTCCAGAACTATAAAGGCAAGCTTCATGTTTGAGCGACCCGGCTTCGGCTTCGAAGCGCAGTATGTCAACTTTTGCCATCCCATCAAATGCTCCATAACGATCACCAAGCTAAGCCTTGGGCGATGATGTTCCTATTACGTATCTGTCGGAACCTTGATCGGTTTAATTACCAGCTCATTCATTAGAGATAAGAAGGTGCATCTCTCAGTGAAACCTATTTTCTCCTCGCGACCAAATGCAGACAGAGTATTCGGCTGACGATGTCGCACTAGCGAAGAGCCTACGGACTTACACAGTGCGTCTCTTCCTTGCCAATACAAAATATACATCGATGATCCATGTGCCACCAGTACATATGCAGTGCGTACTGTCCGAATCACTTCTTTCATGTCCTAACGCGACTCAGCGTCAATGGCCACATTCTGGGTGGGCTTGTCTCCATATGTTTGCGTCTGATATTAAACTCATTTGTCCAGGCCTATGATTATGTTTGTTCACTTGACGAAGAGGTATTGCATTCGTTCATTGTTCATGATACGCCTCTTGATGATGATATGTGGTTCAAAGTGGACCTTCCTGCTCAAATCGCGCTGGTCCAAGGTAAAGGGCCTTTATATCGTCACACGATTCACCCCCTTTCTCCTGCTCACTACGAATCTATATCGTGCGTTCAGCTCCAGAACACATCGCTCTGAATTGACATATGGTGTTTCAGTGAGCTTCACCCCGACCGAGAGCTCCACTGTATGTGAACGTAAAGCGGACTTACTGACTGCTTACTACGTGACATCGCCAGAAATGCCAGACCCTGGTCAATCTTGAAATATGTACGTGTATGGTCCGCACATGTATACACGTCACTGCTGAGCTCTGCGATGCTCTCACAGCTCTCGGTTTAATATCAGTCACTTTCTCTGAAGGTATTTCCCCTTACCCTGTGATATACGCGCGTTCCTGATCATATTGTCCAGCCTTTTTCGTCCTCAGAACATATGTGCTCTGGAACAACAATAAATTTGTGCTCGCAGTCATGCTAACTGGCTTTTTTGTGAGTCTCATGCCCTCGTTGCACCCCAAGCTCGTGGTAGATGCATGAGTCAGGCTCTCATCACAGCATCCATTGGTACTTGTTTTACCGCTAATGCCACCGTACCATGTACGCACACTCTCTTCTTTGTTGGCGTTCCAATGCCATTCACACAGTCTTTCAGATATAATCAGCACGACTCCGAGCATCACAGGTTGCTCGAACAGTTCCGACCTCTTCATACCGTTTATTCTCTTGTTTGTGTTTGAACTGGGTGTGTCACCAGGGGCAGACATACACAGGCGCACGCTAAACGATGCTCTCCCCAGGACTCTTCTTCCTCACGCTCATACGTGCCATACAGAATTGGCGGACAACCAACGGCCTTCTGTACGCCATCCTGGTAAAGCATAATATATTCTACTATGCATGCGGCATGTGTGAGTCAGGACATACATATGTTGTCAGGCATTTTTCTGTGCTCATCGAAGATGGTTCTTGTTCTGACAGTTTTCTCGGCCGTGAACGTCCTTGCGTTGCTGCTCCTCGATGTGCGTGAACCACACATGTCCTGTATTACTGAGAAATTGACATATCGCACACCCAGTACCAGTACCATGCCATGTTCCAAGAGTACGCACTCCCCAAATCCTTCTGTACATTCCAACTCACAACACACCCATATACAGACTCCAGTTTATCGTCCTCGCGATCCTTGCCTTGCGCCTCCACCTCCACCTCTGGAATGCAGACAGGCACCCACATGCTTCTTCCGCCCTCGTGTGTATTTCCCTGTCCGATTAGTGTCACCTGTGGACCGTACAACGTGATGCATTCTTGTCTAGCAAGTTTGGGGTTGTTGGAGTTTGAACTTTGCCAGGTGAGCTTGGTCAATGTGCTTGGTGGCGTCGCACGGTCTTGGTCATGATCTGTGGACTATTTGCCATCAACTGGTGTTGAGCTTTCGCTCACGGTGTGCGGCGGTAGCGATGATTAAGGATTGCGTATGCTGGAATCGGATTATCAGAAAGCACGAACTCGAGCGGACACAAAGGTGATATGTGCTGGACGATTGATCATATCTGCTCATTCTGTTTTGACTTTGTCTTGGGACACACTACCTCCACGATTACACTTGATGATTTTACGGATTGCACTATTCGCCTTGCCAAGTATGTACATAATGCCGTCTATTTTTATTCTTTATTTCGAAGGTTTGCGGTATTTACATCATATGCGGATACACTAATAACAGTACTAGTACTTGTTAGTCTATATTGTTTCAGAATCGAACCTGACTATTTTCTCGCAGACCAAGGGCCCGAAGAACTGTTTGTCCGCCACCACTGGTCAGAAGTCGAGGAGTCTGCCATTAAGTCTGCACAGACCTCACACAGACCGCTAGCCAACATAGTCTCAAATACATACTGTAGAGATACGACACTAGGTTCGTCACGGGTCACAGCCATCGACGAATCGAACCTATTTGGTGTGACTGTCACACCAATTTTTTGGGGACCGAAGCTAATTTGTGACATATGGTAAAAACATACAGAAAAACATACAGAAAACATATAAAAACAACAATGCCGAGCTAGATTCTACCTGTTGTTTCTCAGCTTTACAATAATATATGAATCAGACAAGAAGCCAAGGTGCAGCAATCACAATTTGCGAAGCTATTTTTTATGTGGTCACAGGTCACAGGGTCATTCGAAGCTGTGACACCAAGTGTGACTGTGTCACGTGCTGCACGTGACGAAGCTAGTGTCGTATCTCTACAGTATCATAGTCAGACTCAGTTTACTGGGGTGGCGCCACCTTCTGGCCCATCTGCCAGCTAGTCAAACGGCCCTGCTCAATTACGATCACCTAAGCCTGCGCCCACATTACGCCAAGATGCTTTGGGAATATTCTGATGCGGTCACCTGCAGCTCATAAGATAGACCTCGTTCATACACCGGTTCATCACATGATCTAGCGTGACATTTTGATGAATTTACACCTAACTCCATGTGTATGAACTCTGAGAAGATTTCGTTCTATGATTATGTGCGGAGAGTCTGTAGCAAGACATGCATGTAATTTTTATAATCTAAATTGGTGAACTGAGAGACGAGTAGTGTTTGTGAGTTCAAATATCTCAAGTGAGGTGACTGAGGTCACATATCAAGTCACGATGGTAAATTTGCCACGAAAATGCCTACTCCTCCCTCAAGTTGCTGAAAATAAACATTCTGAGGAGACAGAATTAATACTATAGTTCATCCTCACAGGATCATAAAATAGATGTCACTAATTCTCATCCGAAGCAGAGTTACAAGCCAAAGAATATGTTCATGGGCCTAAAGTCACGTGATGAACCGGTGTATGAACGAGGTCTATCTTACGTTAAGATAAGAAGGTGCACGATGTGCATCCCTCGTGCGCAAGACCCTTCTGCCTCCCGACCGAATGCAGATGCAGTATTCGGCTGATGATATTACAGCCGCGAGGAGTCTCCAGACCTACACAGTGCGTCTCTTTCTTGTCGATGCGAGTACATTTGATCATAATAGATGATCCATGTACTACCAGTACATAAGCAGTGCGTAACCATCTGGACTGCTTCCTTCATGTCCTGACGCGGCTCAGCGTCGATGGCCACATTCTGGGTGGGCTTGTCCTGACATCTTTCCGTCTGCTGTTAAACTTATTTGTACAGACCTATGATTATGCTTGTTCACTTCACGAAGAGGTATTGCATTTGTTCATCATACGCCTCGTTTTGACATTGATGGTATGTGATTCAAAGTGGACGTTCCTGCTCGGATCGCGCTGGACCAAGGTAAAGGTCCTTTATATCGTTACACGATTCATGCCCTTTTTCCTCATCACAACAAATCTATACAGTGAGTTCAACTCCACTGCACACGTCGCTGTGATTTGACATGTGGTTTTTCAGCGAACTTCACCCCGACCGAGAACCTCAGTGTATGTGAACGTACTGTGGACTTACTGACTGCTTACTGCATGTCATCGCCAGAAATGCCAGACCTTGATCAACCTTGATTTATGTACGTGTATGGTACATAGTATGTGCACGTCATTGCTCAGGCTGAGCGCTGCGCTCTCACAGCTTTCGGCATAATATCAGTCACTTGCTCCGAATGTATATCTCCTTTCTCCGTGACATACGCGCATTCCTGATCACATTCATCCAGCCTTTTTCGTCCTCCGGACATATGCGCTCTGGAACAACGATAGATATGTACTTGCAATCATGCTGACTGGCTTTCTTGTGAGTTCTATGCCCTCACCCCACCCAAGCTCGTGATAGATGTATCAGTCAGGCTGTCCTCGTAGCATCTATCATTACTTCCTTTTCCGCTAATGCCACCACCCCATGTACGCACTGTCTCTCCCCCGTTGGCGTTTCAACGCCATTCACACTTTCACTTTCCACTTTCACAGATCCGACAAGCACGATCCCGAACATCACAGGTTGCTCGAGCAGTGCCGACCTCTTCATCCCGTTTATTATATTGTTTGCGTTTGAACTTGGTGTGTCGTGGGGAGCAGACATACACAGACGCACGCTGACAGACGCTCTCCAAGGACTCCTCTCCCTTACGCTCATACGTGCCATACAGAGCTGGCGGTCGGCCAACGGCCCTATATACGCCATCCTGGTGAAGCATAATATATTCTACTATGCATGCGGTCTGTGTGAGTCAGGACATGCATCTATCGTCAGGAAGTTTCTGTGCTCATCGAAGATGGTTCTTGTTCGGAAAGTTTTCTCGACCTTGAACGTCCTTACGTTGCTGCTCCTCGATGTGCGTGAATTACTCATGCCCTGTATTACTGATGGATTGATATTTCGCACACCAGTACCAGTACCATGCCATGTTTCGAGAGTAAGTGCGCACTCCTAAAATCCTTCTACACATTCCTACTCACAACACACCCACCAAATACAGTTTCCAGTTTATCATCTTGGCGATTCTTGCCTTGCGCATGCATCTCCAGCTCTGGCAGATCAATGGGCATGCACATGGCCCTGACACCCTCATGTCAGATTTCATGTGTATTCCTCTGACCGACATCTCATCTGCGGTCGGTACGATGTAATGCCTTGTCGCAGCTTATTCGGTGTCATTCATCAAGTGAAATTTCAACTGCGAGGTGGCAGCGAAGATGAGCTTGGTCAGATCCGGGAGTCGGTATACACAAGCTTCAGGAGGAATGTTCTGCCGTGAGAGTGGGTGGGAGGTGCGTTTGGATAGAGATGGTCAGTTTAACATCGATACAGTGATCTAGCTCCCAATGTGAGCGGCGGTCGCTGAGTGGATGACGGTCAGGATTTGAGTGTGCTGTAATCATAAGCACGAAACTCGAGGGAGCAGGCTATGTATCTGGTGGCTTCGTTGGCATTAACTACGCCCAGGTCCAACAGCATCCCAGCCGACAATGCATTCACTGTTTGAATAAGTGTGACGCTCAACAAGGGACGAAGAAATTCTCTGATGCAAACAGGAACCTTTCGGAAGAAAAGGTGACATGAAAAAGTAATGCTTGATAACTGAGATGAGTGAGGCTCTGTAGTTTAGGATGTTGCGATTCGTGATAGAGTTACCACGTAAGTAACAGCCTGGGCACCAAATATTTGGGTGTTCCCGTGCACGACTCCTGCGATCAAAAAGGAGCAGAGTAATGAATAGGAAGAGTCTGATGCCAGTGTGGAACGAAATGAGATACCGCGCCGTATGGAGCCTGCTCAAATCAGGAGCCTCTGAGGGATTGCTGGTCTCGAGACCGGCACATCGTTCTGTGGAGGATTGCAGGCGGGCGGGATACTTACTTGGTATTAATCTTCACAGAGGATGTCAAGCAAGTACGCAGTGCTGAGAGTGAGCAATATTTCCAGTTATGGATTGTGCCAAGCAGTCACGTTCTTGGACCGCAGCCAGCAAGTATTTTTGTCGATTTAATAATTTGGTACTTTCAGGCAGTGAAGTGCTTCGAGATCATGATCATTAGATTACCGGTGGCTGCAATTTGCATCTTGTTTCTTGATGGGTCGTCACACGCGTCACTGACAACTAATTCATAATTAACAGATAAGAAGTTGCATGATCAGCCTATCTGTCGTGCGCGAACCCCTTTTTTTTGTCTGACGATGGAGTATTCATCTAACGATATCGCAGCCGCGACGAGTTTGCAGGCCTTCACTGTGCGTCTCTTTCTTGTCGATATCATAGGGCTGTGGATAATGGTAGATGGTCCTTGTGGCACCAGTATATGTATGGTGCGTACTGTTTGAACCGCTTCTTCCATAAGCTTGTTCTAATGCAGCTCAGTGTCGTTGACGACATTCTGGGTGGGATTGTTCCGATGCGTTCCCGTCCGCTGTCTAACTTGCTTATCCAGACCTATGATTATGTATGTTCCCTTCGCCAGGAGGTAATGTGTTTCATGGTTTTTCATATCGATCATAACACGCCGTTCAACTTGAAAGTGGATATTTCTGCTTCGGTCGCGTTGGACCAAAGTAAAAGGCCTTTACATCGTTACACGGCATCTCCCCTTTCTCCCACTCACCATGAATCTATATCGTGCGTTCAGTTCTCACCATCGCGCTAATGGTGAATTAACATGTTGTGGTTTAGTGAGCTTCACCCCAAACAAGAACCTAGGTGTATGTGAACATGCGACGTGGACTTGCTGACAGATGAATGACGCTTACCGCATTGACTTCGCCAGGAATGCCGGACATTGGAAAATATTTGCTCAGGTACGTGCGTGATACATGCATGCATCGGCGTTCTTACCGAAGGCTCCCCTTTCCTCTCACAGGTCTCAGCATGTTATCGATTATTTGCTCCGAATGTATCTCTCCTTCGACCTGCAACACACTTGTGTTTCTCATCCGATTCATCTAGGCTTTTTCATCCTCAGAATATATGCGCTCTGGGACAACAATAGAATCGTACTTGCAGTCATGTTGTCCGCCTTTCTCGTGAGTCCCTATGCGCTTATCATATCTAAGATCATGATAGATGCACAAGTCAGGCTTTTGTCGTAGCAGGTATTAGCATTGCATTTGACAATACTGTTTCCGCATCATGTGCGTCCTCTCCCCTTCCCCCTGGAGTTCCACCACAACTCATACATTCCTTCTACTTTCGTAGATGCGACCAGCCCTATACCGGGTATCACAGGCTGCTACCAGAGCTCGGACAGTGTCCAGCTCTTCATACCGTTTCTCCTCTCGTCCGTGCTCGAACTTGGTAGGTGACCAGGGGTATACATATCTACAAGCGCGCGTTAATAGACGCTCTCCTCAGGACTCATGATCCTCACACTCATACGCGCCATACAGAACTGGCGGGGGACCAACAGCCATCTGTATGTTGTCGTGCTGAAACATAACATACTCTACTATGCATGTGGTCTTTGTGAGTCAGCACATGCACACGCCAACCCTTTTTCCGTGCTCATATACATGATCATTCTCGTTCCTAAAGTTTTCTCGGTGGCAAATATCTTCACGTCGCTGTTCCTCAATGTATGTGATCCCCCGAGGCCCTTTATAATCGAGCCGTTGATGTTCTGCACCCCCCAGTATGCATACCACGCCATGCTGCACGAGTATGCACCTCCACACTTTGGTGTACATTCCTACTAACAACTTCTCAAACACACCCATGTACAGTTTTCAGTTCATCATTCTTGCAATTCTCGCCACGCGAATGCACCGCCATCTCTGGCATGAAATCAGCCCTGATGCCCTGATGCGTATTCCTATGTCCGACATGTTAACTGCAGACCGTATAGTGTGACGTGTGTGACTTATTGGACGTCGTTCATGGAGTGAGGTTTGGACTGCAAGATGACTGGTGGGGGTGGACATAGTTGGGTTCGGGACGCGCTTAATTTATGGGGATGCATCTTCTGTCGTGGACGGGAGGTGCGTTTGGATGGTCTTGGTATTGAGCTTCCACTGAGTGGAGCAGATGAGTGGATAACAATAAGAATCGAGTGTGCTGGAACCAGAGGCACGGCCTGAAGCTGATGCGGCAATGTGCTGTACAGCATCTATTTCTATAAAGTAGAGTCGAGTTACAGCAATTTTCAAGAATAATGAGATTGGTCGTTTTTTTTTCATACCCGTCCGAATTTGGAAAACTGCCTATTTCAGATGTATCATAGTTTCATGTTGCAAAACTACATCATATAGATATCTTATGCACGAGGTATGTGTTGGAATTGGAATCGTTCACTCACTTAGTCAGCACATTGTGGCTTGGTATTATACAGTTCCTGAACTTTAACTCACCCTATATACACAGTAGTAGTGCTCCTGTATTCCTTACCCACTTCATTGGATAACACTGTCTTATGTCTATGGTCTGAATGAGACCTGACTTTCTATCAGCATGTCACAAACACCTTCCAAAGTATCAAGATGATAGGAAGATGAGCATGGGGAGAGATGAGCTAGACAAAGAATGTATCATCTCAGTATCTGGAAGAGACTCAGTGTACGTGGATAGTACCTAGACAAAGAATGTATTCTAATGGTACATTAGCTCGTTATCGAGAAGGGAAAAAAACTGTAAGGATTACATCTCAGTATCTGGAAGAGACTGAGATGTAACGACGCTGGTGCACTTATTTTAACTACGGGTAAAGTAGGAATAGAGTAAGAAATTGGTTTGAAACCTTTTCATGTGGTCACTTGGCTGAACGACTGCTCATTGTGCTCATACCTAGTCAATGTCATTCACATCGGTCCTCCTGTCCTGATTCATCTGTACGCAACACAAAGATAGTATTGTCATGCTGGAGTCTGAGAATGAGCACGATCAGCTCCTCTCTGATAGTTTGCAAACTGCCTGGGAACCTTGTGAGTGTCTGCTATGTTGGTGCTATGAGTTGGCATAGTCCTTATCCAGGATATGAGCTGCTGTAAATTTTATATTTATCAACAAGTTTGCACCCAATGACTTGGAGGAGCTTGTAGTTGACAATTCATGGCCAACAAAGGCTGCCAACAGGCCCCAGATAGGTTGTAAGTGAAAGGTCAATGTTCCTTCAGCAGGTGAAGACAAAGGTGACCAGGTACAAGCTCCAAGCAGCAAATCCAAGGGTGTGAAGGCAAAAAAAGCTAAGACAAGTCAAGGATAACACAATAAACTGTCTGTCTTTGAATCTGATGATGAGGATCATCAACCACAGTTTTATCTGTGTGGGCTTATCTCCACATTGAAACCACCTCCCAGCAGCCAGGTTGCAGCAAGAAATCAAACATGGTCACAGTCATGAAGAGCTGTTAGGTACTGTGCCGGCTCAAGAGGCAGAGGGGTTGGGGCTTGGCTTCAGCTCTTGCGCTGTGCCCTTAGCCGAGTATGTGCCCCGAATTTGGAGTGGGTCCGACGTTGTCTGACAATAGGACAAATGGACCGCTTCGGTCCACTTTGAGGGTCGGGGAGTAAGAGCTGCTAGCGGCGGGCCGACTAGGAGCGGAGCAGAGAAGATGGGGGTTGATGTGGAGGGTGGATAGGAGCAATGGGAATGTTTTGGCAGAGGTGGAGAAGGCGGGGGATGATGCAGAGGGACAAGGGAGAATATTGGATAGGGGCGGAGTATATGGAAAAGACTTAGAGCATGGCTCTAAGTCAGGAGCGGAGGATCAGAGGGTCGGAGGTGACGACAAGTTGAGACTTGTGTCCAGAGGAGGCAAGGTCCTACTGAGAATTCTCACAAGATGTAACTGCAAGAAGACAAGTAATATTAAGACTAAGGGAAAATATCTAAGTACAGGATATGTTATATACTTTCTATGTGAGGCAGTGATCAGGATAACTATGTAGTAAAGCTATGTATCAAGGATATAGTTTGTAAGTACCTTACATAGGCAAAGACATAAGTCGGAGCGGATATCAGTATGTATGCGTTGGATCAGTGATTGGGCGGTAATTGGATTTACCGGTGATCCGGAAGTAAGAGTCTATGTACCGAAGGGGAAAGCGTATGTCTATAAGGGGAAAAGGATCCAGTTGAATGGAGAGGTTTATGGAAGGGGACCGGTTGAGCGGTTGAGCGGAAGCGTAGGGTGGAATGCGGGTTTGTGATAGGACAGAGCGGAGAGGGTCGGAAAGCGGAGCGGATATCAGTATCGGAGCGGTCGGATCTGGTATATGACAAGAGCACTCAGTGCAATCCATTCATATTCACAATTGACAGTTCATTCAAGGCCTTTGTTTGAGATATTGCAAGTGCTGTGAAGACTATGACTTCAAATCTCATGCTCTCTCATCTACACTGGAAGTTTGAAACACCAGCCAGTTTACCCATGAAACTGCTAACTGATGAGGTTGGCTTTTGAGCAATGCTTGATGCAGTGCAGGAACACACAAAGGGTCATACCATCTTTTTGTACCTCCTGAAGCCCATTGATCTTGAAGGGATATGTCACTTTTTGCCTTGAGATTTCTGCTTATTGTGTCAAAAGCCACCAGAGGTGTCGAGCTGTCATAATGTGAGATATGAATATGATGAAGATTCAAGTGTCCCACCAGAATGTAATGTGGCTGTGTCTCACAAAGCTCAGATTGTGAGAGCTCTGATGACTGATTATATGCTAATGGACACTAACCACCTGCCTGCACACTTTAGAATGCTTTGCATCAAGAAAGCACCAAGGAAGTCATGGAGTTGGAATGTTGCTACCTCATCAGAAGCCATCCTCTGTTCCCAAACAAGTGCATATATGTGAAGAACAGGTTATTTTGGGAACTGAGCTCTCTTTGCCTTGATGTATGGGGTGCTGCAATTGTATGTCATTTTATTATGTGATCTGTATTATTGTTCTGATGTTGATCAATGTCAGTCAACACAATCTGACCCTTGTGCTACATATGATATGCCTCTGGTGTCAAACTACTTCACAAAGGACAAGACTATCAAACCAGCTTGTCCACCACCCAATTCTCCAATGACCATGTTTGCAGCCTATGGTGCCTATGCCAAAGGCGAGGACTACACTCCCAAGTCTCATGGAGGTTCCTGTCATATACCAGATCTGACCGCTCCGATACTGATATCTGCTCTGCTTTCCGACCCCCTCCGCCCCATCCATCCTCTGCTCCGTCCTATCACAAACCTGCATTCCGCCCTATGCTTCCACTCAACCGCTCAACCAGTCCCCTTCCATAAACCTCTCCATTCAACTGGATCCCTTTCCCCTTTTAGACATACACTTTCCCCTTCGGTACATAGACTCTTACTTCCGGATCACCAGTAATTCCTATTACTGCCTGATCGCTGATCCGACGCGTACATATTGATACCCGCTCCAACTTATGTCTTCGCCTATGTAAAAGTACTTACAAACTATATCCTTGGTACATAGCTTTACTACATAGTTATCCTGATCACTGCCTTGCATAGAAGTATATAACATATCCTGTACTTAGATATTTTTCCTTAGTCTTAATATTACTTGTCCTCTCGCAGTTATATCCTGTGAGGATTCTCAGTAGGACCTTGCCTCCTCTGGACATAAGTCTCAACTTGTTGTCACCTCCGACCCTCCAACCCTCCGCTCTGGCTTAGAGCTGTGCTCTAAGTCTTTCCCTTATCACCCTGCCCCTATCAATATCCTCCTATCACCCCTTTCCCTATCCTCTGCATTATCCTCTGACATCTCCGCTCCTATCAAAATATCTCCCTAGTTCCTATCCACCCTCCACATTGTTCCCCGTCTTCTCTGCTCTGCTCCTAGTCAGTCCACCACTAGCAGCTCTTACTCCCCGACCCCCAAAGCGGACCCAAGCGGTCCACTTGTCCTACCATCGGACAACGTCGGACCCGCTCCAAATTCAGGGCACATACTCGGCTAAGGGCGCAGTGCAAGAGCTGAAGCCAAGCCCTGACCCCTCTGCCTCTTGAGCTGGCATGGTACCTAACAGTTCCAGACTTTGCACTGCTTCAACTGACTATGAAAATAGCATGCCATCAAGGTCCAGGCCTGACCCTTCATTTTTCATGCACCAGCTGCCACACCTACCTTCACCTCCCTTGTATTATAATCTACCATATTATCCTTATCAATACTTGTACTATCCTCTTCTGAATGCTGTACATACACCCACAGCACCACCACACCCATCCTTGGCACCATCAGTTCCAGCTCCAGCCACTGACAGTGTAACAGACTTGTATCCATCACCTGCTATTACCACGAAGCACTCCATCACATTGGAGGCATTCTGTGCCAAATTTGTTGTGTCTGCTTCTGATTCAGAGAAGCTTTCTAAGCTTGGGTATAATCCTGGCAACCAAATTGTTGAAAGCCTGACAATGGATGTTTGGCAGTCCATCAAATTCACTGTGCTCAGCTGGCATACATTCTTTTCTTATCATTGTAAATTTTGTGATGCCATCGTTGCAGGTACATGGATCTTGCCTTCTTAGACATCATTGGTACTTGTCATATCCTGTACCTCATGGATCCGGAATTCCGGATCTACTTCATTAAAGTCCGGTCCTCCATCTTACTATTCCGCCCGGCGCTCCGCCTTCATCTCCGCACTCACCCCTAACTCCTTTAAGATTAGCTATTGCTCCGGTTACCGGTTATGTTCTTTCCGCTATGCTTATTGATCCGTCCATTCCTACTTCATTTCCGACTTCACTGCTTTGATCCGCTACACTTAGTAATAGACTTTCCACATGCTTCGTACATAGCCCTTACCTTTGCCTGACTGATTTACTTACATGATACCTACAGTATATAAACCCCTGTAATACTCCGGAACTCCTCAGTTCGAATATCATCTTAGTTCTGCTCATTCCTGCAATCTCCAGACTTGAGTCTCACCTCTTGTCCACCTCCGAGTCTTAGGGGTTAAACCTTAGGACTACTTCTCCGGCTCTACCTTAGGGTAGTCTAACCTCTGTTCAGTTTCTACTCCGGACTTCCATAGTAGCCTTACTCCAGTCCCAGTATAAACCTTCTGGAGTTCCAGCCAAACTCCACCAACACTAAGTCCTCCTGGAACTCCCCGGACTTCCGTCAGACTTCCCCTCTGTCCCCCGGAAATTAAAGGGCACGTACTCGGGTAAGGGGCGCAGCACACGAGCTGAAGCTGAAGCCCTTTGAGTAACCTCTCCCTTGAGCACGACCTTAACAGTACTCATCATGACCACTGTTTGGTGCTTTCTTGCTCATCAATTGTTGCTATGATTCACTGTTTGCTGAAATCATTCTCTCTCTCTCTCAAAATTGTTCAAAAATGTTTGTACCATTAGTTGCAGGAGTGTCAAGACTTGATACCAAAATACCACAAAGTTGCTAATTGACAATACAACCAGAATGATGGAACCATCCTTTGCACATCTCCAGTGTGATACATGCACATGCCTTAATGAGTACACCAATTGGGTCATTGTTAAGGTCATGCTCAAGGGGGAGGTTACTCAAGGGCTTCAGGCTTCAGCTCAGTGCGCTGCGCCCCTTACCCGAGTACAGTGCCCTTAATTTCTGGTAGGGCAGAGGGGAAGTCCGACGGAAGTCCGGGGAGTTCCAGAGGACAAACATTGGTGGAGTTCAGCGGAACTCCGGAAGACTATGTGGGGATGGAGTAAGGCTACTATGGAAGTCCGGAGTAGAAACAGAACAGAGGTTAGACTACCCTAAGGTAGAGCTAGAGGATTAGTCCTAAGGTTTAACCCCTAAGACTCGGAGGTGGACAAGAGATGAGACTCAAGTCTGGAGATTGCAGGAATGAGCAGAACTAAGATGATATTCAAACTGAGGAGTTCCGGAGTTTTACAGGAGCCTTATATACTGTAGGTATCATGTAAGTAAATCAGTCAGCACAGTAAGGGCTATGTACAAAGCATGTGGAAAGTCTATTAGTAAGTGTATAGCGGATCAAGGAAATGAGGTCGGAAATGAAGTGCCAATGGACGGATCAGTAAGCAAAGCGGAAAGGTGTACAACCGGTAACCGGAGAGCAGTATTCTAAAAGGAGATAGGTGTAGGTCTGGAGATAAAAGCGGAGCGCCAGGTGGACAACAGGATGGAAAACTGGACTTCCATAGGGGAGAATCCGGAATTCCGGATCTGGAGGTATGGTATATAGTGTTGGAGAAAATAGGGGTAGTGTCGGAGGAGTGGA